AAGCCTTATATGGTTTGAAGCAAGCCCCTAGGGCTTGGTACAACCGAATTGATTCTCATCTTCTAAGCTTAGGCTTTGAGAAAAGCTTGAGTGAATTCACTCTCTATGTTAAGAAAACAGAAACAGATATACTCATAATATCTTTGTATGTTGATGATCTATTAATAACAGGTAGCAAAACAGGTAGCTGTTGATGATCTATTAATAACAGGTAGCAATGGAAGAATGATAAATCAATTCAAGGCAGAGATGATGGAGGTGTTTGAAATGACAGACCTTGGAGAAATGTCTTTTTTTCTTGGAATTGAAGTGCATCAAAAAGAAAATGAAGTTTTTATTTGTCAACAAAAATATGCCAAGGAGATTCTAAAAAAAATCAAGATGGAGAATTGCAAGTCAACCACAACTCCAATGAATCTGAAGGAGAAATTTTGCAAAGAAGATGTAGCCAAAAAGGTAGATGAGGTGCTGTACAAGAGTTTAATAGGTTGCCTAATGTATCTAACTGCAACGTGACCTGATATCATGCATGCTGTAAGTTTGCTGTCAAGATACATGCATTGTGCTAGTGAGATTTATTTTCAAGCAGCAAAACGTATAATTAGATATATTAAAGGCACAATAAACCATGGTATTAAGTTCAGTGAAGTTCAGAATTTTAATTTTCATGGTTTTTTCGATAGTGATTGGGCCGGTTGCTTAGATGATATGAAGAGCACTTCCGGTTACTGTTTCAATTTTGTGGTGTATTTTCCTGGTGTTCCAAAAAGCAAGATGTGATAGCTCAATCCACAGCTGAAGCAGAGTATGTTGCAGCCACTTTAGCAGTTAATCAAGCTTTGTGGATAAGGAAATTGTTACCTGACTTGTCTATGCAAGAAAAAGGAAGTACAGAGGTTTATGTCGACAACCAGGCTGCAATCTCAATTGCAAATAATCCAGTATTTCATGGAAAAACTAAGCACTTCAAGATTAAATTGTATTTCCTTAGGGGACTTCAAAAGAATGGTGAAGAAAGTTTGGTGCACTGCAATTCAGAATTTCAGAATGCTGATATTTTGACCAAATCTCTCTCGAAGGCTAGATTTGAATATTTAAGAGAAAGACTTGGAGTTTGCTGCTCCTAAGCCAAGGATTAGATTTTGTTGAATGTTGACTTAGTAGCTATGGTGAAGGCCGTTGGAAGATTAGATAATTATTTGTTATTCTGTTGCTATTTTTAAGGAATAATTTAATATATATGCTTATCATATCAGATATGCATAATAAGTTTGCTTATTTTTTTGAAGTTTTCTGTTTTTAGAGTCTATAAATTTCTGTTTTAGAGTCTATAAATTACTTCTGTAATAGTGTTTCAATATATTAAAAAAAAAGCCTTCACAATGTTTATAAATTTGTTGTTTAAGATCCTTTTTGATTACTCTTAGTTTCTTGAGACACATATCTAACATATCTCTTATCATTCATCAATGATTAAAAGTTATTGTGCATCTCCAAAGAATTGAGAGATATGTGATTTGTAAAAAAGATGGAGCAAGTAATGAGTCGGGGACGGTTCAGAAAGAGAGAAACGAGGATGCTAGCTACGTGAACTAGGTTCCTGAAAACTTGAGCTTCCGAAACTCACACGATTCCCTGCACATTGTGATTTGAAATTGAAATGTCCTGCATTAGAGGAGCTGCAAATTAAAAATTGCCCTGCCACTGATGACATTTGTCCTTCCCAGTTCTGCAGTGAAAGCAAGCATCCAGCTAGTGAAACCTCCAAATAATGAAACTCTACACTCTTTGATGAAAGGTACTTATTCTTTCTTCTTAATATTTACAGCTTTTAACTTGTTTTGCTTTCTATCCTAATTATATTTTACAGAAGTGAAACTGAGCTATGTCAGTTTGGTTTTTTTTTGGTTTTATAAAATCAAAAATTAATTTATATATTTAAAAATTTATAAATACACAACACACATATATTATCATATTTTTTATAAATATATAATTTGATGTGCATTTATTTTATTTTGCCATCAAAACTACCAAAATTCAAATGAGTCAAAATTTACTGAAAATTAAAATACAAATTTTAAAAATTGAATAAAAATCAAAAAAAATATTCCTACTTATGCTAACTTTTAGTTTTCAGAATTTGATGTTAACTCCATGAAATTTTTACTTCAGATTTTGTTTCCCAACTTGGAAAATCTGCGTATCACGAACATGCACACATTGAAGATGATATGGAACGATGAACTCTGTGTGGATTCCTTTTATAGATTGAAAGTACTCGAAGTAGAGCATGGAAAAGAACTATTGAAAGTTTTTCCATCTAAACAGTTGCTGAGATTCAAGAACTTAGAAAGATTGATGGTTAAGGATTGTAATTTAGTGGAAGAGGTATTTGATCTCCAAGTATTGATGAAAATACAAGAAGAAACAGATGTTGCAGCAACCACTCAGACTCAATTGAGATATTTGATTGCAAGAGAACTCCCAAATTTGAAGAATGTATGGAATGGGGATCCTAGTGGAATTTTGTCCTTTCATAACCTACAAAATGTGCATGCATGGGATTGTCCAAATTTGAAAGAGCTATTCCCATTTTCAATAGCTCAAAGTCTTCCACAACTTGAACTGCTGAATATAGATGGTTGCGGGATGGAGGAAATTGTTGCCAAAGAGGAAAGAGCAGAAGCAACTCCTAAGTTTACATTTGGTCGACTGAAGTCCTTATACCTTTGGAGATTAAATGGATTAAAGTCTTTTTACTCAGAAAACCACATCTTAGAATGTCCGCAGTTAGAAAAATTGAGTGTCTATGGCTGTGATAAATTGGAAATTTTTACTTCAGAACCTGGGGATTTGCAAACAATGGATTTGGAGAAGCAGGAGACTCAATTGAAGATTCAGGTTCCGCAGCCATTTTTTTCATTTAGAAAGGTATGTAAGAAAATGTGTTTTTTTCAATTTTAATATTTTACAAGAAAATTACAAGAAAAATTTTTTTAAAAAACTATAAAACAAAATATTTTTTCCTTTTGAACAAAAATTTTGACATTTATTCGTTTGAGTTCGTAATCATATAACTGTAATTCCTATAAAACGGACTATTAATCAACTTGATTTCTATTCCAATGGTTTCCAAGATTATTCCGCAACTTGAAGCATTTATCAAATTAGAGAACAAGGACAACCTCAAACGATTCCGTCAAGGCCAGTTTCCCAGCACACCAACTAGAATTTCTTGATTGAGTTGTTTTCTTGATGGTTCAACAGATTCTGCATTGGTCTCGATTCATAAATTTTCCAATATTAAAAAGCTACTCTGGCAGCTTTCTTCCTTCAAAAGTGCTATTCCAACAATGGTATTCTTGGTGAAGCTGAAGGGGTCGCTCGGCTGCAATTCTTAAAACTGGAAACCCTTCCGCACATGAGCCACATTTGGAGTGAAGATTGCCCACCTGACCATGTTTTCCAAAATCTTGAAGTTTTAGTTGTCGGGGGTTGCCCCAGTTTGATTATCTTGGCACCGTCAACCGCATCTTTCCAAAACCTTTCTACTCTTGATGTTTGGCACTGTGATCAACTAGTCAACCTAGTAGCATCCTCTACTGCAAACAGTATGGTGAACCTCACGAAATTGACTGTAAGAGATAGCAATATGCTGAAAGAAATTGTAGCCAACGAGGGAAATGAAGAGGGAAAATGATCCCAAATCCCATCCCCGAACCTCAGATTATTCTCAGTAATTGGTAACTCTAAGAGCTTCCGTGGCTTGAAAAAACCTGACTAGCTTCTGCTCAATTGCAAGTTGGCACCCATCAAATTTCCCATCTTTGAATGAATTAGTTGTGGCAACAGTGCCCCAACATGAAGATTTTTTCTCAAAGGAGCATAAACCTCGCCAGAGCTAAAGAGAGTAATAATCAGACACAAGCATAGAGATAAATGGCTTTGGATTGGGGACCATGAAATACCTACCATAAAAACATTGTATGAAGAAATGGTAAGTTTGATAACAATCTCTCCTGCTTAAAATTCCGGATGTCTATTTGTTTCTTGTCCATCGAGAATAATTAAAATTTGTTACAGACTTATAAATCACTAAAAGTACAATTTTGCTTTCTAGTGTTGGATGGGTGGCCTGCACATTTTGAACTCCAGAATTTCCCCCGTTAAAAAAAATCTGGCATGACCAAACTTCAGTAACAAGTTATTTGGCAATTTAAATAGGCTTGGTGATCGAATGATTGCGGCATTTACCTTTAGCTTTCAGTTCCATTCCAATCTAATACCATTTTTGGATAAATTGGAAGAGCCTGAGGTAAGAAATTGTGAATGCAGTAGAAACGAATATTTGGTCTAGAGTTTGCTAATATCCGAGTGGATTTGTTGGACATTTTTCCAAAAGTTAACCAAGCTTGACTTGTGCATGGTTGTGGCAAATTTTAAAAATATCTCTTATCATCCATCAAATATTAAAAAAGTAATTTGTGATCTCCTAAAGAATTGAAGATATGTGATTGAAAAAAGATGGAGCAAGTAATAGTCGGGGACGGTTCAGAGAAGAAACGAAGGAAAATGCTACTTACGTGAACTAGGGTTCCTGAACTTGGAGGTCTTTTCCGAAAACTCACACTGATTCTGCACATATGTGATTTGATTGAATGTCCTGCATTAGATGAGCTGCAAATTAAAAATTGCCCTGCACTGATGACATTTGTCTCCAGTTCTGCAAGTGCAGTCATGGCAGCAAGCAGTGAAAGTGAAATATTGGACTATACACTCTTTAATGAAAAGGTGATCTCTTTTTCTAATTATCTAAAAAGATTGTCTTCATTCCTGTTATATGGTTCGGTTAATTTGTTTATTTAGCTGGTGTACTTTCGTGTTCTATTTTCATCATATTAGTAATGGAGTATGATTTTGTGATGCAGGTTGCATTCCCCAACTTGGTGCAAGTGCAAATTTCCAATGCAGATGCTTTGAGAAAGATCTGAGATGCTTTGAGAAAGATCTGGCACAACCAACTCCACTCAGATTCTTTCTACAAATTACGGGTAATGAAGGTGGAATATGGCAATCAACTAGTGCAAATTTTTTCATCTAACATATTCAAGAGACTCGAGAATCTCAACGATGTGGTCATATGGAATTGTGATTCACTAGAAGTGGTCTTCGATCTCCAAGAGCTGGTTATAAATATAACAATAACAGAATCAATAACGAGTGAATTGAGAGATTTGGATATTCGAAACCTCCAAAATTTGAAGTATGTGTGGAATAAGGATCCCCAACAAGCTCTCTCCTTTCCTAACTTGAGTTCAGTTTATGTTTGGGACTGTCCAAGCCTGAAAAACCTGTTTCCAACTTCCATTGCTAAAAATCTTCTCAAACTTAAAACACTTAACTTAGATGATTGTGGCTTGAAAGAACTTGTTACAAAGGAGGAAGGAGTGGAAACAAATCCTAAGTTTGCATTTCCTCAACTCAAGTGCTTGGACTTGTGGAGATTAAATGAGCTAAATTGGTTCTATCCTGGATCTCACACACTAGAATGTCCAGTTTTAGAAAAGTTGGTCGTCTTTCATTGTGACAAATTGGAGACTTTAACCTTTGAACCAGTTGACAGCAACTTGCAAGAAACACAAATGGAGAACCCGCTTTTCTCATTTAGAGAGGTACCTGTGGTCCTCAATCCCTATATTAAAGAAAATCTAAGCACAACGAGTTTTTTTCTTAACATGTCTGCAAACTATTTCAATTTGTCTTTTTTTCCAGATCGTCAACAACGTGGAGCATTTATCGCTAACAAGAAAGGATGCAACATCGATATTGCAAGGCCAGTTTCCAGAACACCTCTTTCACAGGCTAAGGCCAGTTTCCAGAACACCTCTTTCACATGCTGAAAGTCATTCAGATAAATTGCTATCACGATGAATCTGCAGTTTTTTCCATTTGATCTCCTTGAAAGATTCCACAGCACGGAAAAACTTCTTGTAGGATGCAGTCAATTCAAAGAGTTGTTCCCACATGAAGGACATGTAGGTAAAGAAAACTATGTTAAGATTGTGGAGAAGATACGGCACTTAGAGTTGGATGGTCTTGCCAATTTAGAACATATTTGGAACCAAGACTCCCAGCTAGACAAAGTTCTTCAGTCTCGAGAAATTCTAGATGTTTCGGGGTGTGACAGTTCGATTACTTTAGCACCATCCTCAGCTTCTTTCCAGAATCTGACAACTATGTATGTAAAATCTTGCAAAGTATTAGCAAGTTTGATGACATCCTCAACAGCAAAAAGTCTTGTTCAGCTTACAAGATTGAGTGTAAGGGAATGCGATATGCTGATAGAAATAGTTGCCAGCGAAGGAAATGATGGAGCGAAGGAAATGATGGATCAAGAGAGGAGATCATCTTTCAAACAATTAAGAAAGTCTGAATGTTCTTTACCCAGCCTCGTTAGCTTTTGTGGCAGCAGAGCACAGCTTCAAGTTTGCCCTCTTTGACACTAGTAATTGTGGAGCAGTGCCCCAAGATGCAGGTTTCTCAAAATGGAGTCTTAAGCAACGCCAAAGCTACAGAACTTTAAGAGCGAAAGAAGAACAAAAAGTTTGATGAAGGACGGTTGGATATGGCAACTTAACGAACACCATAAACAAACAGTTGTTTTACAGAAATGGTATGTTTTTCTGAATTAAATATTCAATTTTCCTTTAATGAAAATAGGTAAGGAAGTGCATGCGTACCTAGTTCAAGAATAATCACAACATTCATTAAAAGACCAAAAAAAAAAAAAAAAAAAAAAAAATGGTAACTAGAAGTCCATCCTCAAGCATTACCTTCCTTTATCTGACTATTGGCCTCTTGCCTGCCATATTTGCATGGTCGCTCAAGATTGCATGGTCGCCAGAATGCAGAGGAAGATCAATCGCCATCTATCGAGTGCTGAAGGCGTAAAAAGTCGATTTTCGTTGTGATACGAGGCAGTAGAGGCAAATGGTGTACTCTATTGATTTATGAAATGGTGGAGGATAATTTTATTTCCTTGTTGTTGCTGCTGTGAAGCTCTCTCTGTATTTGTATTTATTCAAGGATTCTGATATTCATCTTAATATTTGTAATTATATACTAGAAATTTTTCACACAATTGCATTATCTTAAATTTGTTTTAAATAAATCTATATTTCTGATTTGAAACCATCAATGAAGTGCAGGGATCTTACTTAAATTAATATACACGAGATTCTCCATGGCAAAACATCCCTCTTAACTTAACACATTCTTTTTACAATACCAGAAAAATATTCAACTAACTATACGATATTAACTTTCTTCCTTGAAAATCTACTTTGATCTCCTTCAGGTTCAATTCAGATCCAAACATCCCTCGGACTAGTCATGTGTTCACAATCCATGGGCCTCAGTTTTCACAAGCCCGTTTTAAGTATACGAACTTTGCTATAGCTCAAGTGAGTTTTAATTGCTTACTTGACCTCGGTTTTAAAAAATGTTGCAAAGACTTGAAGTCAACATTATTAAATTGTAATTAAAAATTAAATTGTAATAAAATCAAATTAAACCCGATTAATTTAAATGAATTCAAATTTAGTAAATTCTTTCTTGACATATTAATATTAATATATATTTAAAATTCAGCTTCTGAACTTTAAACCCTTAAAATACTCGGATTACTATATATAAATAAAATAATGAATACAATCCAATTCTATGCCTAGATTTGAGTGGATATGAAGTTATAAACAGAAACACGTCTAAGTCGTAGTTTCCAGTACATAAGCAGTAATCTGGATGTGCAAAAATGAAACCATCTCCACATTTTTTAACAACTCTGATGCTGCAGGCATTTCCTTCAACAACTCTGATGCTGCAGGCATTTCCTTCAAATATTAAACCTCCCCATACTTGCCTGCAACTATTTTGTTAGGCTGACAATTACTGATACAATATATGGAAGAAGGTACAATAATAAAGCACCAAGCACTGATGATAGTGCAAGTATTAGAAAACAAATTGTCCTCTACTGATTTTTAACTTGCGCGCTCTAATGGGGAACTAAACAGAAAAGGTAAATAGATTTAAGAACAAGTTAGCGATAGGACATAGACGGCCCCGCAAATGAGTACCGAGATGAAACAGGCGGTGGTGCGATTTCTGGTTTGGCTCCTTGGTATGTCTTCCTATAATCTGGTAGTGGATCAATAGCATACTTTAAGTGCAATTTATCCATTTGATCAGTCTCTCTCCTATGTAGAGGATCAGCTTCAGTTAAATAAGTCTCTTTCAGACTATCAGAATAATAGGAAGCTGAAGAAACTTCTTCCTTCCCCCTGGGGGGCAGCACATAAGAACTCGCAGGAGCAACAACCGGTGTTTGATAAGAATGATAAGAATAATATGGATTGATAAGAATAATATGGATCCCTTGTATACGAGTCTAACGCAGTAATAGCAGAACCAGATGCTGCTGCAGAAACTGAAGGAGCTGCAGGTGGCAATTCACTTCTACCACTAAGATTATATGTCTGAAACTCTCTTTGAGCCAAGTACAGGGGATCAGCAAGAATGGATGCTCTATGCATGGGAACAGTATCACCATACATAGCAGCTGGCTGTCTAAGAAGCTGCTCTCTTTCCAGATCCTTCTGGTATAGATCTAGGGTATTAGAAGGAGCACCACGTAGAGGAGTCACGTTTCTTCGCTCTCTTTGAAGACCATAAGTACGATAATCCTTTTCACTCATGTATAAATCGCGAGAAGTTTCCTCTTTATGTCTTAATACCACCTCCTGGCGCCCAATACCCTGATCCCTTTCATGAGGGACTACAGGATAACTCCTACCATCACCACTAACTCTGGCAAATGTTTCCCCCCGATGCTGAGACGTCGCAAATCTCTCTGCCCCTCAACAAGCTTCCCTATTCTCGCATAGTTGGCCTTTGCTGGGGAATGGATAGGCACTGTAGCTGACTGCATGAACTGCATCTGACTGAAAAATATGGCAGGTCGGAAAAGTTCACTAGCTTCCTAACCTGAAAGGGAAATTTTGTAAAATCATAGAATGGTAAACTGTGAAAATAAGAGAATAACCAATAAACTACCAGGTAAAAAAAACAAAGTAATTCTCACTTGCCGAACAGTAAGTTCTATCTTGAACTTGTTCTTTGTCTCATCGTAGTTGTCCTTTATACCCTCTGAAGACACTCTCAGGGAGTGGAAAACAATCCTTATGGATACTGAAACGTACTGAACTTCAAAGATACATCTACAGATCTAACTAATTGGTGAAGAAAACAACAATGTTACCGAGAATAAAAGTTAGACTGGATATACAAACATAAAACCTGAAACTGGAAGGACCCACCAAGCCTTGGGCTCCAGTCTCAATCCTCACCAGAAGATGAAGGCTTTAATAAATTCCATACATAAGTCTAAGAATCACAATCATAGAGGAAAAGCTTTAGTCCAGGTTTTCACACCCCAGCACAACGGTCTTTTTTTACTTCCTGTTAACACCCATGACTTGATAATCGGAAACAATTCTGGCTTGGTCTTGCACTACACATAAAAGATCAAACCACCGAGCTTCTCCTTTTCTTTCATCTCTTTGACTCTTTTCCTTCAAATCAAAGCTTTTCTTTGTTTCTTTGACTCCCGAGTTCCTTATCTGTATTGCCAGGCTTTCTTCACTCCTTAAGTTACTCTCCCGTTCCTACTTGAACCAGCAATCCTTTCTTGGGTCTTTTGGATGTCTCTTCCAGGTGCTTTGCATTGGTGGCTCTTCATGGCACCTTTCTTTTTTAGTTTATCTTCCCCTAGAATTTGGGTTCTGGTCCATTCTTGTGCCTCCTGTCCTGTTACCTTCCTTCACATTCAGGTATTTCCCTTTGTTTTTTTTGAAACCCTCCTCGAGCTCTTATCTGTAACTGCCAAGCTATTCCTTCGCCATCCTTAGGTTACTTCCCGCTCCGACTTGAAACCAGCAACACCTTCCTTGGCTTTTTTCAGTTCTCTTGGTGTTTGCATTGTGCCTCTTCGAAATGGACACCTTTATTGGTCCCTCTTCTCAGAATTGGGTTCTGATCATTCCTTGTGCTCTGCCTGTCACCTCCCTTGTTCTCTTTGGTACAACATTGTTATTCCTTCTTCTTTCGTTCTTCCCCAAGTTCCGTGGATTAATCTGTTTCTTCCCCAAGTTCGTGGATTATCTTTAGCTTTCTTGACCTTCAATGATTTCTTCTTAACTTCAGATTTGGCCCTCAATGATTTGGGAGTTATTTTTTTGGATGATTCTGGTTTAATTGGTGTTTCACCAGGATTCCCAGATTCCTTATTTTGCATTGCACTTGATGGTGATTCGGTGGAGGTTTCCACAGGATTCTTAGCTTCCTGAGGTGATACTGATGTAGCTTGTGCTTCAGCAGAATTGCCTGAATCTTTATTGGCATTATCTTGTTCCATGTACCCTATGAAACTGAAGAACCTTCCTGTAAGCAAAATATCAAATGCAATAATAAAATGATTTCCTTCAAGAAAAACATCATCAACACTTTGCCTGTTGCATCTATAAAACAGTTTGTTGCATAAGGGTTAAAAATGGGGAAAAGTGAGTTTTAGCTACAGTTTTATATAAATCTGGGCCTAAATACGCCAAAGTTTCCGAAGCCTGAGAATACAATCAATCTAGGGTTTCATATAGTCATAAGATATTGGCAGCATATAAATATTCAACAGCATTGCGCACTATTTATGAGGCCGCAAGCACTTCTCTAGACATCAGTACTCCACCTAGCATCCAAAGCTCATTGCATCATTAACTTGACCAAGCAGGGTCTCTCTTGGTAGAAGGTACAATATAGGTTTCCTTATAAAGGAATTTTGAAATTTCATGTATCTAGACGTACACTGCATGATAGAGTTCGCAGTCAAAAAGATGTTTTAGGTTTTGAAGTTATAATTTTGGTTAACACAAGCTTTGAAGAAAGGAGATTGACAAAGCCTACAGATAGTTATTTTTAGATATTAAATACCAACTTGCTCGATGGCAATTACAACCAGAAAGCTCAGATTTAAAGAGGGAAATCTATTTGTCTTAATCGAATTTCATCTATCCCCGAATAAATTTAACATACCCAACAAGTAACCATGAAAACCACCAAATTAAAGAAAAAAAAAATACACTAACAAATCTAAAATTGTAGAATATGTCCTCAAAACCCAAATAATCAATCACAATAATAAAATTTAAAAACAATTAATTTACCTCAATTTCTTCCTTGTTTTCTCGGAAAAACAAACAGATTTAGGCAGAATTTCCCCGAGAAAGCAGAACTAGAATCGCAACCTTATTCACGTATACGATTATAGTTCAACAAGAGAGAGGGAGACTGAAGGTACCATGGGCAAGCTAAGAAAGAGAAGAAAGATACGGCAAGAGAAAATGTGAAGCTTATTCGATTGCAGAAAAAATAGAAAACACAGTCGAAATTGAAGATATTATAAAGGATAAAAACCAAAAGCCCAGAACGACAAGAAGCCGCTTCAAAACGGTGAATAAAAGGGCCTCCGTTTTTCATGATTTAATTTTTCTTTTTTCTTCTTTTTTAATTGATTCAATTTATAAAAAAAAAAAAAGGGCATTCCGGTAATTGAATTCGTGATGTCTCGGACCAAAGCAAGAATCATACAACTGGATCAAAAGCCCTTTGCTGTTAAAAGCTTATGCTGCTCTTTTGATAAAATTAGAATGCACGGACCAAGTTCACTCTTTCCTTTGAGAGACCAGAGGGAACAGAAACTATATAAATAATCCTGGAATTACAGCCTAATGCCCACGAGAAGACTATTGGAATATTTATGCTTATATGTCTGCATGGCAGAGTACGGAAATCGCTGGATACATGCTATGATTAGTCAGGCAGAAAACACCTTCAGAATCAAAGAAGCTACAACAGATCTGGAAGGAAAAAATCAATTCTTGAAAAGAAAAATCATCTTGTCAAGTTTCTACCACCTCCATTTAACTTTTCACAGGGAACTTTTGATAGCATCCTAGTTACACGGGAAAGGGAAAAGAAAAGCTAGTGCGCCATGCATAACATGACAAATCTACCATAAGAAAATTACAGTACAAGGAATTGATGACGATCAACTTCACAAAAGCTACAGAGAGGACCTATGTTTCTCTCCTGCATGCTGGGAAGCTAAATTTCTAAATGCATTTTATCATCAGGCTGACATTTGGAAGCACCTGGTTGGTCATTTCTTTCATCTGCATTCACTCCAATACCCTGTTAGTGTCTTCTGCCGTAATTTACTTGCATTTACTTGACTATTTCTCTTGCTTGAACCTCTCGGAGATCGTCTAGGTGTCAAGACATTTGTTACATATTTACTCTTCTCGTGTTTCTTATGGATTGTAATCTTCTCTTTTGCCTGAAAAGAAGTACAAATTTCTTCAGGTTGAGTTAGCTCGTCATGGCTTGAAACTTTGCTACCATCTCCCGTAGCTTGTTGACCTGCATCAACTTCATTGTCATCCTTGCATGTCCCAGTTAATTCTCTTGGAGATCTTCTAAGTGCTGAAGTCCGTTTTTCAGGACAACTGCTGAGATGCTTAGGCATGCAACGCTTCTCAGAGACCTTCACAGGTTCCACCTGATATTCAGAAGACTTGGAATATGAACTAATTGCATCAGCAACCAACTTTTCCTTTCCAACCTTCACATCACCAAGATCAACAAGGTTACCAAAATTGTCAGGCAGAGCAGCAGTGTCAAGTTCAAAAGACCCTGCAGGGACTCCTTTTCCTTCATGGCCAGTCATTCTGAACGAGGGAATTCGGTGAGAAAATCTGTAAAGTTCATTTGGTCGTATACAAAATTTGAGAACATCATCACAGTCAGCTCGCTGAAAAACACTTACAAATCCCTTCACTTTGCCCAAATAAGCAACTCCAATGCCAACATCCTCAATAAAATCTGTCAGGACCTCCACAATTTCAAATCGGTTAGGGAGTTTACATTTTTCAAGATCAGAACTCCGTGCCATGTCCGAATCCTTAAAGAGAGCCCATGTTTCCCCCTTCTTAGGATAAATCATGTAAGTACCTCTACGGCCACCTTTAGTGCAATACATTTGATGAGAGAACATCAGGCGATCTACAGTTTCTTCAGTGCCCCCGTTTTCATACATACCACAAGCAACGGGAAAATTGGCATCACACCCTTGTAGCTCAGCTTCATCATGAGAGATTGCTTCTAGCCAAGTTATATGCAACTTGAACCCAGGTGCGTGCACTTTCCTCACCCGTGCATAAAATCTGGGCATACCATCAACTGAATCGTAAATAGCCCATACTTGATTAACAGCAAATGAGTTTTCTGCCTTATCATTCATAAAATCATTGAAGTCTGCGTCAGGACATAAAATCTCTGACTTTAGTGCTTCATTTGAATTTAACCTGGACATGTCAGTTCTGGATTTTTCATCATTGTTCTCCAAATTTTTACCAGCGTTCTCTGAAGAAGATGCTGCCTCCACTTCAACCTTATAATCTCCAGTTTTGTTCTTCTTGTTCGATGATCTTTCTTCGATACTAAAGCTTGGGTTTTGCTTGACCACCTTATCCTTTTTATTCAATACAACAGTAGCACAACCAGATGAAAAACCTTCTTTTGGTACCCTACCATCAATCCTTGCTTCTTCCATACTCTCATCAATCACACTAGATGAACAGCTCTTTCTAGATCTTTTTGTAGGAAGCACAACAAAATCACCATTATATACATTTTCCTCATAAGCAACATCCTGCTTCAGCCTTGAAGATCTTCTAGAACAGGGTCTAGAATTCTGTGCAGGAAGATCACCTCCATGTCCCTTGATAACCACATTTGCTTTATTGCCAACATTTGTGCCTTTGTCAAAACACGCACTCAATTCCTCTACTGACTTCCTCTGTCTCTTGCCAATTGCACTTTCCAAAGTCTCTGATTCCTTGGGTTTTGCTGCACCTGACACTGGCACTGGGCCAACCCTCTCAGCTCCCAAATCCACATGCCCAATCATTTTCTCTCGTGGTTTCGAACCTCCACTGGTTCCGGCAGCATTTGTAATATTCACCTCTTTGGGTTTAGAACAACCACCAACATCCACAGCTTTTCCTGCCTCAGGAACTGATTCTGACCCTAAAACCCTATGTGGAAAACTATCACCAGAAGGCTTTCCTGCATTATTTTGTGGCACGACATTGCAGGGAACCTGCTCTGGAACTCTTTTCTCATTGAAGAACATACTCCGGGTGGATCCAGGCGAAATGCCAACATCATGAGCAATGAAAGGCTGATGACAACTTTGACAGCGTAACATTTTCTTTCGATATTCTCTGTAGTATTGGTACCTCATGCTACAAGAGGGGCAGTATGTCCAGAATGTTGGTTGTTGTGGTTGCTGAGAAGCATGTGAACTCTTAGACTGTGAATGGGGACCACTGGAAAACTTGTTTGCAGCTGCACGCTGTTTCTTGGCAAGGGAGCTCCTATTTGACTTATCAGATGTTGGCTTAGGTCCAACCGATCTCAATAAACCTCTACACTTCATGTCATACAAAGTGCGTTTAGTTGGGTCCATTAGCACCCTGTTGGCTTCACCAATCAACTTAAATGCAGCCTCTGCACCAGCCAATTTATTCTTGTCAGGATGAAGTGAAAGCGCAAGCTTTCTGTAGTGCTTCTTGACAACAGACTCGTCTGCAAATTGTTCAATTTGCAGAATTCCATACCAATCCATTTCTGACCCATTTAGTTTATTTTGTGCAGAGCAATGAACCTCGCAGACCATTAATAATTGGGAAATGTTATCAAGATCAGGATTGAGTTGTTGTGCCTTTAGCGCAATCCGACGTGCCCCAATAAAATCCCCAGCTTGCATTTTCTTTTCTGCAATTTCCTTTGCTCTAATGGCCTCCTCTTTGTTGCATTCCATGGTGAATTCAAAGCTGAGTTTATCCGACCAAAGGCTCTCTCTTGTGTAGTATAAACCTAAAATAGCAGATAACTTCTCTTGTCCTGTCTGGCCCAGAGTCCAACTATCATCCAAAATATTCACGCTGCACCAAATATAAGACAAGCAAGTTTAGCCCAAAATTTCCACCAATTTATGTGTTTGTCAATAATTCATTAGAAACAATATTCATCCACCATTCAGAAAACAAAATCAAGCTATTCAAAACGCGGTCAAATGAAATGCAAATTGCTTACCTTTCACCACCGAACTATCTCACACTAGGCGAAAAACAATCTCACTTTCCAGGATCATATGACACCTGAAACCCATAATATTAAGATGGAACTAACTCGAACAATTTAGCGACTTAAAAAAAATTGGACAGTGTATTGAGGGAATTCTAAAACAGAAATGAAAAGAAAACGCCAGAAATCATAAAATTCCGACTGAAAAGGATAGGATTGCAAACACCAGAAGAAAATTTATATGAAAAAAAAAAAAAAAAAAAAAAAATATTAATCCCGTCATCTAAATAAAACCAAACATAAAACAAAAATCAAATTGAATATCTAAGTCAAACAGTTTTCCGTGTATTTGTATATTCATGACTAACTGAGCCTAGCAGCAGTAGTAACAAGCAAACTCAGGTGAAACGTTGAGCAATAGCAAATTGAAGTTCACTAGCAACTAAACATACTCCAATATAACAAAACAAGCAATAAGATTCTTAGTTTAAAAACCTAAAAATATCAACCATCCCTGCCAAAAAGCATGGAACAAGAGAGACAGACTGCAGACAAACGTTTCTCGAGAAACCCAAAATTATTTGACCAAAAACAATCCAGAGTGCGGTAAAATACAAGCCCTAGAAACAGATTATACTTACAGATGAAATGCAACACCATGCAGACAAAGATGTCTCGAAATGAAGCACGACTGAGTAAACAGAAACAAATCCCTAAAGATTTCAAAGTGAATAGTGTAGGAGAGAGAAAGAAAGAAAGAATTTCAGTTACTTGGGGGTGTGATTATTTACCAGTTTTAGAAGAAAAGGACAGAAACAAAACAAAACGAGAAGGAGGGAGGTGATGGGGAGGAAAAGAAAAGGAGGGAAAGTGCAGCGGGAGGAGAAAGTGAAAAATTTTCAGGGGGGAGGAAGAAGCAGGGAGCGAAACTAAGAGAAAGTGCCCCTCAGGTTGTGGCAATTTTTTTTCTCTCCCAAAATGTTTTCCTTTTTATTAAATGTTGCACCTCTTTTTTTAAATTTTGAATTAATTTTCAATGAATTATCCACATAGAACCAAAACCCTAAAACCTATGATATGAGAGGTGAGATTGAGAGGAATCCCTTTTTTCAAAGGTGTTAAATTCGAGTTATTAACATGAAGTATTTTTAAATATTCGAGTTATTAATATGAAATATTTTTAAATATTCATAGGCTTTCAAAGAATAATCTTAAATTCGAGTTATTAATATAAAATATTTTTAAATATTCAAAATGAAGCGTTTTACTTTTTTATGGGCCTTTTAAGAACGAGAGTTAAAAGAAAAAAAAAAACTTTAAACCTAATATTTAATGGGATTGTCTTGTCAATTGGTTTGGATTAATTTGGTTTGGATTAATTTTCAGTTGAAATTTTCTGATTAGGCTTATTTTCAAGAAAGCCATTGAAAAAGTAGATTTTACATTTTTAGATTTAGTGGGTATAATAATTTCACATTTTTAGAAAAATGCAATGCCTGGTCTTATCCCTACTGCTCTATATTATACGTGGAAAATAAATAGAATAATTTAATAATTTTTAATAATGCCCTTAACTAATTTATTTTTCTAAAAATTAAAAATTTACCTTTTAAAAAAATATTTTATGTGGAAATATTAAATTATAATAACCAATTTAAGGTTGAAAGTCTTTTACAATAATATTAATTGTTTTAATAACTCGAATGTGGTAGCTCAATGGCAAAAACACTTACGGAATTGATCATCATGGCTTAAGTTATGGATTCGGCCAGCTCCTTTGTCTCCAAGAACGAGCGGAGATTGTTAATCGGATATGAGTGTTTCAATAAGTGTTAATTGATATATTAAAAGCCTTTGTCAAAAAAAAAAAAAAAATTTTATATCATGTGGAATTACTATGAGTAAACAATAAAATGATGTTCACTTATTGACAAGCTATACTAGGACCATTTACTTGTAAGGAAAATCTAGATTATGATTGAATTTTTGAAAAATTTTGCATTTTTCAAGTTGAAATCTAATTTATAAATAAATATTATTCTCTTTGTTCACAAATATAAGTAGATAAATCTTTTGTCTATAAATAGAAATCACTTTAAGAATATTAAAGAGTAATTAATAAAGTTATTCTAAGTTTACCTCTATTTATATAAATGTAATAATTATCTCTATAATTTTTTTTTAAAGGTCATTTAATTAAATTAAATAATATTTTTTATATAATTTAGTAAAATCTAATTATTTCTTTTATATGCGTTGTCAGAGGGACTATATAGCTGAATTTGAAATATTATTAAATATGAGGGATTATTGACATTTTTTTTTCAGAATAATTATTTTATTTTTTCTTTTTCATTATTTAATCACAAGGATTAAGGAGATGGCAGCTGAAATAAAAACTAGTCCATATTATATATAAAAGTGAGAACAGAGAATAATGAGATTTTTTTATATCATCATTAATGAAATTTAAAATGTTATAAAGTACCTTTAACGATGGCCAATTAAAAAATTACAGTTTATTAGTTAATTGGATATAATTTAAAAAAAATTTATTTTTTCAGCCAATCATTTGCGACTTGATTATCTATTCGATTATGTGAGGAGTAAGAAATCTCGAGTTCGAATCTTCTTGACTACAAGGGTTTTCACTAATTTGGCAAGTAGAGAGTTATTTCTTATTATGTAACTCACAATATTATTTCGGTACATCAAGCCTCCTAATGAATAAAAAAAAATCATTTTTTAAATAAATACATATAGATAATTAAACATTTCAAAAATTTTAAATTTTATATTTATTAAATTTATTTTTTAATAAATATATTTTTAGGAATAGATAAAAAAGAAAGAAAAAATTCTTTGAATTAAATTCTTTTTTCTTATAATTTTATGTTTTGATTATATATATTTTAAAAAATTAAAATTTAGTAAATATATAATTATTTATTAGAAGAGATAAAAAAAAAGAAAAATAAATATTATTTTTATTAATATTTTTTATATTTTGTAGTTGATTGATAATATTTTAAAAGTAAATTCTATAAATAGTGATTACATTAATAAAATTTAGATGAATAAATATTTAAATTTTTAATTAAAAAAATATATAATATTTTATTAATATATTTAATTTATATATATGAAATGTTTTTTTATGTGATTTTTAAAATATATAATATTTTATTAATATATTTAGATATTTATATATATTGAAATGTTTTTTTTATGTGAGTTTTAAAGGAGTTTTGTTTTTAATAATAATTTTTTATTTATTTTTTCGTTATTAAATAGTTTGTAACTACTATCATTTTAATTTAATAAGAGATTTATATTTCTCTTGCAATAAATAGATGACCTATTGATGACTAAGTATTTTTAATTTTTCTTGATATTTTCTCTCTCATATCCTAAATATGTTTGACTTAAAGAAAAATAAAGCTTAGGAAACTGAAAAAAAAAAAGAGAATTATATATTTCTGTTTGAGTCCGGGTTTGAAGAATTTGTGTATTTGTCAATATATTATTTTCTCTGATACACTGAGTAAGTCATATTGTCACTATAACCAAAGTAATTTCCATTATCAATTTAGATCATCTTCTCATTTATTTTCTTTTACATAGCAGTAAAAAATAATTTATTATTATTTTTTATTATAGTTGTTATAGATATTGATTTGAGATTGAGGGTATGAGCTAGAGAGTGAGTGATAACTTGATATTCTTTTTGGACAACTATTAGAATTTTAAAAATCTGCATTTATAAATTATGGACTAAAGGAATAGGAATAAAGATTGAATTGAACTTTATTCTGAGACCACTTTATTATATAAAAATAAAAATAAATACATAAAAAATAGCATTGCAAGTATTTTGTACGGTAAAGTGCAATATAAATTAACTATTTATATTTATTTTAATCTAAACAAAACCTATACTTTAATATTATATAGATAAAAAAAAATGAAAATATAACAAAGATAATCAACGTGTAACGCACTTCGTACAAAAGGCTATACTATAAAAAGCAAAAACTATATGTTTGGAGGTGGGGCTTATTTTGGTAATTTGCCATATAATCATTTCTGGAAAAGTGAAAGCTTTGGAGAGAACGTTTTGCGCCATTGACAAATATTTTAACCGAAAAAAACAAAAAAAGAAAAAAAAAAAAAAAGAGAAACAGAAAAACAAAAAAAAGAAACAGCTTCCAAACAAAAGTTATATTGTCGGCCACAATATTTAGTTTTTATTTTTTTTAGTTAAGTTGATTTTAAAAGAAAAAAAAAAAAAAAAAGACTGTTGAGTTTTTAAAAGAAATTAAAAAAAAAAAAAAGGAATCGATTAAAATTGCGGCAGTCATCTACATATTTTCCCCTCTTCATTGGCACTAATTTACCTACAGCAACTGATTAAAATCATCTTCTATGCTATTTGAAGATTCATTTTTTCAAAGTTTGCTTCCGGATCAAACGGAATTTATTGATACAACAGATATAATTTGAGCAGAAAAAAAAAAAAAAAAAAAAAAGACGATAAAATTGCGGCCATCATCTACATTATTTTTCCCCTCTCATGGCACTAATTTACCTACAGCAACATTAAAACAACCTAGCATGAAGATTCATTTTTCAAAGTTCTTCCATCAACGGAAATTTATTGATACAACAGAATAATTGAGCAGCTGATTACATTATAATGGAAAAAAAACATGCAGAAATAGAGTTCAGTTGGAGGAATTCTTCTTATGTATTTCTTGCTAACACATCCCTAATTAGTTGTTTTGGAGCTGCAATTAGGAAAATCAAACAAAAGATCAACAACAGCAATAATAACAATGAAAGGGCAAAGTATAGATGAGATTTAGATTATTAAATGGTTGGGAGTTTCATCTTACCAGGCAAGCCAGTGAATCTTTCAAACTGTACAAATGCTTGATTGATGAACATCTCCGTCCCGTAAACTATAGTAGCCCCACTTTCTTGTGCTTCTCTTAAAAGCCTGGTCAATTTTGGTGTGTAAATTGCATCAAAGACCAAGGAGTATTGTTTCAGAGCATCCTGCAAAACGAAGAGAGAGATTACGATTACTACAGGGTACCTACTGAATTAATTGATAATAAGAACTCCAATAAGGAATATGAAGATTCTGATGTTAAATCACTTCAGGTAGGAAAACAACTTCAAACGCTGTGTGCCATATCAGTTGAAGTGTTTTTCACAAGTAATATTCCCACAACATTCTCCGAGACTGATGTGGCACTTTACGCAGAACCATCAATGTAATGGAACATTTTGATTATTTTAATGCATCTGTGAGAATTGGTGCAAAAAATTGTTTGGCATTGGAGTGAGAAGAGAACACGGAACAGCAAAATAACATGGGCTAATGCTTAACCTTAGGAAGGGGTGTATCGTCAATTCTTGGTTTCATCCCGACTGATGTGGTATTTGCAAGAATCATTCCCTCTTCTGGATGAAAATCTCTCAGTTCATCTAGAGTCATTGCTTGTCCTCCAACTTTACTGGCAAGTTCTTTGGCTTTCTCTGGTTAGAAGAGAGAATAAAGCGATCAAATTAGTTGGCAAATAGACCAAATCGATGTTCATTGGAAAAAAGCAATATCCACTATTAAAAAAAATAATATTAATACAGCATTTCAACATCAATGAAAAAGAACAATTTGCATATAAACAGGCAAGAGAAAAAATAATTTTATACTTTCCACAGAACCAACTGAATTTTTCTAAAACAAGAAACAAGTATGCAATATGGCCTTCAAAGATTCATGTCATGTCAACTGAATGAGTTTTGTTTCAATTGATTTCAATTAATTCTGTGATATTGAAAACGTTAATTTCTTTCTTCACTTTGATAGACAGCAGTTGTTTTATCTTATCACACCCAACTGCAATTCAGGCAGTAGGACAGGGGAAGTTCCCATTCTGAATTATCTACTAAATATCTTTTACCATTTTATTTATTGAATGCAACCTGTAAAAGCCATAAAATACTCGTAAGAAAATCCATCAAAATTATATTACATAATCAGAAATACTCACCATACGTGCGATTGGCAACAACAACTCTTGCTCCCTTCTCGTATCCACCATACGCAAGAGCCTTTCCAGCTCCACCAGCTCCCATGACAACAAAGAGTTTACCGGCCAAGGGGGAACCAGAAGTAGAGGAACCATTTGATGCTGCAGGAAAATTGCAGAGTTAAAAGGGACAATAATTCAATTGCGAAAGAAAATTTTAAACAGAATATGCCACTAAGATGTGTTGGAAACCTCGTAGTGCCTCTTCTATAGCTCCTATAGCTCCAAGGTAGTCAACATTGTATCCCATCAGCTTCCCATCAGTTGATCTCCTAATCATGCAACTAATAGCTCCTATTGCCTGCAAAAGTCAGATTGTTTGAAAAAATGGTACGACTTTAACTGTTACATTAAAGGTTTATGGTGATTAAAGTTTTAAATGATGATTGCGTGGACAACTGCTAAAAAAATTCTCATAGCTACTTAATTACCTGGGCAATTGGATCGATTTCATCACAGCATTTAAGTCCATCTTCCTTGTGAGGAATTGTATAACTGCATTTCATATCAATCAAAATTACATTTATTTACAAGAAATGAATATTTAGATCTTCAAGGATTTGAAGAATCTACTGTAGCGACTATATCAACACAATTTTTGTATCCAGTACAGACTCAAAACTAAAACAAGATAAATGATGCATAACCCACTGTTAGATTTTATGGAAATTTTACCTGTATCCAACAAAGTCTGGAGATGAATATGTGGATATGTAATTTGCAACATTGTCAACCAAAAGAGGCAGATAAATTCCATTGAAACCAACTGACTTGAATGCTGCATTGTAGAGGTGAGGACTTTTGCTGTGACCAATAGGCTTTCCAATAACACCATGTACTTTGGTATCAGCCCCTATCTGTCTAAAATTATACAGATCCAACAAATCTTTAATGGTTGGTTGCCCAGGAGCTGATGCTACTCCAGCCTCAATGGAACCAAAAGTGAGAAATCCTCCAAATTTTGCTGCAAGTATTCTTGACATCAGACCTCTCTCACCCATTACCAGTCCTATCATTGGGACCTACAATTGAATGGAGAGTCATTAATCAAGCCTATAAAAGACTTCAGCGACAACTTTATTCCGACCCCTTTGTTTTTTTGTGGTTTTCATAAAACAGAACAAAAAACTTATTGTGCAACTAAGAAAAAGGAGGTTACAGAGATGCAGATGATGCATTTTGATGATCTCACAAACAAATGTAATCGTCATACAGTGATTTAACATGCTTGAATTTCATCTCCAGCATATCAATTACCGATATGTGAATCCTACAGTTCCTAAAATCCGATCACAGCATATCAATTACTTACTTGTGAATGCACAAGCACTTGAAACATTCGTGCATTGTCCACAATGTCTAAAGCCGTTGTTGCAATCTTCACAATGTCAGCTCCAGTAGCTTGTATCCTGGCAACAAGGTCAGCAATGTCCTCTACAGATGGAGTACATTCATAATTGTGAGAAGAAACAATAATCTTGCTCTTTTCAGGTTTCTTCCCTTGAATGGAACTGAAGAACTCTTGAGCTGCCTGCAAGAGGCAATTCAATTTTTCAATAACATGTTCATTGACACAGTCAAGGTAAGGCTATATTTAGTGAGCTATAATGGAACGAAATATAATGTAATAAAAGGCATTTCTAATATAACATTTATACTAGAAATGCCTTTGATTACATCGCTTTACATTCCATTACAACTCACTAAATGTAGATCAAGCATTTTAGCCAGTGACTTTTTCAACTTCAAATAGACAATATAATATCCCAACCTTTAGTTCAACATCAATAAAATCTGATCCTAATTCCATGGCAAGGCGAAATGCTTCTTGACGCTTGCTTTCATCACCATCATACTGGCCACCCTCCCATTTTGGTCTAAGAGGTAAATAGTTCAAGAGAAAAATCATTCATAGAAGTAAAAAAGTGTGGATATTAAATTAGACCAACATTTGGGTGAGTTGTAACACAACAGATCAGTTCAAAAAATCTTACAAGACCAAAATACAAATAGGGAATGACATACTTTGTGTCTCTATTTTTAATACTTTTTCTGCACAATTCTATGTCAAGGAAAAGCAACAAATTTCCATAGTTTGCAGTCTAAAATAGGTTTCAAGCCCAAAATACACAAACTAAACATTGAGATTCTATCTTAATCCATAAAAAAAAATAAATAAATAAATAAATTTTGTGATTCATTACCTATAAGTGATAAGAGTTGGTAAAGGACTTTGCTTAATCAAGGTTTCAAGATCTTGTGAAGGACTGAAGTTCTTCAGGAAATCCAACCGAATTTCAACAAGGTCAGCCCCATATTCCTTTGCCTTTCTCATTTGAACTAGCATTTGATCAACTGATTCTGCCATTACCGGAGCACATATTTGAGTGGAATTTCTTCGAGCTCCCTCCTCAATGCGAAGATCAAGAGTAGTCAACTGGAACCCACCAAAAAATTTTCAAAAAAGAAAAAGTTCAATAAGTGAATATATAGGAAAAACTATCAAGATTTAAAAACAATCAAACGAACTTGGATTTCTCTCTAAAGTCTCATTTGCGTCTTTCTTTTCCCTGAATAAAATTTCTTGTAAAGCAATGAAAGAAAATAAAAAATAAATCGAAATTAAAAAAAAAAATCTGATATAATTTGCAATCTCAATATTTTTTATAAAATAAATCAAGAAGCTCCTATTGGTACTATAAAAGTGAAGGAAACGAAAGCTAATGTAAATTCAAATATCATATTCTGAATTCTACAAAGCTGAAGACAATCGAAATCTATTAATGAACGATACCCTGTGCACCAACCATTTAAACTCACCGCATTTGAATAGTTAGGATTCAAGAACAACAGAATTAGACTCGAAACTTCTAAAAAAAACGAGATCAAACATCAACTTCTTACACGTTTTGGATACAGAAACTAAAACAACATAAAGCATCGATCATGTTTTCTTTCTTTACCATCAGCTTCCAAGAAACCAAACAGAAAAATTAGAAAGTTGACGACGAAAATAGCAGAAATAGAAAGTTACCGGTACACTGCCGGGAGTCATTATTTCTATCTGTGTCAATTGTATGCTGTTGTTGCTTCCGACCAGCCAGAGAAAGCAAGTGACACAACTGTGCGATTGATGATGATCTCAAGAGGGAGAGGTGGTCTACATTAGGTGTGAGTGGGTTAGGTGTATATAAATAGCAGAAGAAATGAAGTTTGATGGGCTTTGACGTAGAGGAATGTGTTTCTCAATTCTCACTTTCTTTGCATAGAGGTTTAAAAAGAAGAACGTTAGCTGGTTCTTTTCAGCTCTTAGAACTGCAGATTGCTTTCTCTACCAATTAATCTCTCCTCCTTATTTTTTTTTCCCCCTGATTTGTTGATTGATCTATTTATTCTTTGCTGCGTTGACTCCTTTTTACCATAGTTTTGATTTTTCAATTTTTAATAATAATTCATTTGAAAATATTAGTATTATCTATAAACTTGTTGATCAATGAATTATAATTTCAATTTTGGAAAATCGTTTTCAACCGTAAACGACAGCGTAGAGTTGAGCAACTCAACCAACCGAATTGGCAATTCCTCGTCTAAGTTACCTGTTGGTTGGCTGGACTCGGCGGCTAGGATACTTATGGTTGGTAGACTTCAAAAGTTCGTTTTACCAAATTGTCCATCGTCAAGTTAATATCTTAATTAAAATATTAAAGCATCTAATTATATTGTCTGACCTACGGTTAACAAAGGTTTTGTTTTTTACTGTAACGGTTAGCAAAGGTTTGATAAAACCTATTAATCATATTATATTTTAGATTTTTTTTGTTTTTTTTGTAATTTTTCAAATTTGCAATGAATAATATGAGAAAAATATTTAAAATGACCTTCAACAATAATTTTAATAATGTGCTAAATTTTCAAATTTGCATTATATTGTTAGAAGTCGAATAAATTGATCATCTACTAACTTTACAATATAAACTAAATTAAAAATATATTAGAATTGTATTTGGCCGGAATCAATATATCTTCATACTCGCATCTTTAATTGATAATTGAATGAAATTTATATTTTAGTTTTATAATATTTTTTTTATATCATAGGTGTGCTCGTGCCATATCAGGCCCATAAAGCGAAACGCTCTAAAGAATTTTTTTTCATTCATAAATTTAAACGCTCAATATTTTATTTAAGAGATCTAAATTTTTTCTATTCACACAAATTCTCGTTGGTCAGTTTTATAATAATTAATAAAAAATAGAAATAGATAAGTTATTTTTTGATTTTTGTTATATAGGTATTCCTTAATGTTTGTTATGGGTATTTGTTTAGATTTGGGTTGGCTTTTAAGGCTAATAATTGACTGGATCATATATTATTATCATAATACATAAAGAGCAAATTGGCTTCACACTATTCACAAGTGTAATTTTAAATTTTGCCCAATTTGTCTTTTTAAATCTTTTGTATTTGTCATCAAAGATTTTGTTTTTTTCCCCTTTCATTTTTCATTTTCTATTATTCTTTCTATTTCTTAATTTTACCTGAACATATACAGAATCCAATTACCATAGTACATTGAGATTATATTGAATATGTTTTGGCTAAAATCGAAAATTTTTTTATTCAAATTACCTTCTAAACTTTATAATTTATGTGCAATTTACCTCGAAATGTATGCGAAAATCTAGACAAATTCAAAATAAATTGCACGTGAACTACAAGTACATGGGGTAAATTAAACCAAAAAATTAATTTTATAGCTTTTCTTTTTCCTAAATAAAAAGTTTAGGGGTGAAATTGAACTCTATTTTGCGTGAGTGTATATATATTCTTGTCCATTTTTAGTTATCACAAATAAAAATTTTTCTCTTATAATATTAAATTGAGTGGTATTTTTGTCCTTATAAGAATTTGAGGGATATTTTTGAAATTGTCATTATTGTTTTGCTTTTGATGGATATTATTTAATTTCTAAAAATATCTCATTTAATGAACTCGTAATAATATATAGAAATGATTCCTCCATAAGTAAAGCAAAATAACCAGAGTCTCACTAATTAAAATTCTTAAACAATATTTATTCATATAACTTAATAATTAAACAGTAATTAATTAATCACTAGCTAGAGCTTGTGATGGCAAAAACTGAAAAAAAAAAAAAAAAAAAAATTTTATTCATAATAACTAATAATTAAACAGTAATTAATTAATCACTAGCTAGAGCTTGTGATGGCAAAAACTGAAAAAAAAAAAAAAAAACAATGAATATATCTTGAGTCTCTCACTTATGCCATGTTTCTTCCAAATGAGTTGCCTGAAGGCAAAAACTGAAAAAAAAAAAAAAAAAACAATGATGATATCTTGAGTCTCCACTTATGCATGTTTCTCCATGAGTTGCCTGAACAATTCTTCTGGTGCTGTAATTAAAAAAAGAAAAAAGAAAAAATTAAGATTAATTAATACTCAAAATTAATCATTTAATTTTTGTTAATCTTACCAGGCAAGCCAGTGAAGTTCTTGTATTGTTCAAAGCCTTGACGGATTAACATTTCCGTTCCATAAACAATTACAGCTCCGCTTTCTTTCGCTTCTCGTAAGAGTCTTGTGTCTTTAGGTGTGTAAATCGCATCAAACGCTAGGCAGTAATGTTTTAAGACATGCTGCAGCATACAGAAAGGCTTATTTAGCAGATAGATAAACGCTCATGGCTCTGTCGGGCAACAACTTTCTAGAACTAACATGTAGCTTATAATTAAATTTTTTTGTCATTTTAAATTTAATAGCTAATTTCTTACTTATGTATATATATAATACGAGAGAGAGGTCAGTCAAACCTTTGGTAATGGAGTAGCATCATAATTCGGTTTCATTCCAACAGAAGTTGTATTTGCAAGAACCATTCCGTCTTCTGGATGGAAATGCTCTGCTTCTGCTAGTGTCATTGCTTGACCTCCAACTTTATCGGCCAACTCCTTTGCTCGTTCTGTCATAATACATAATTTATTTGATTACGTTATGTTACATTTCGTCATTAGTTCATATCTAAATGCAGTATCATATTCTCATATACCATATGTTCGATTGGCGACTACAACTCTGGCTCCTTTTTGTGCAGCGCCATAGGCAAGTGACTTACCAGCTCCGCCAGCTCCCAGAACCACAAAGAGTTTACCTTTTAAGGGCGAGGTTCCAGCAGGAACTGCACCATTTAATTCTGTACATAACAAAACCAAGTTAGATAGCCATGGCAGAAAATAACGAAATCCCATCAAATAATTAAAAAAATGCTCTAAAATCATTTTCTGAAAACAGTTTCAACTACAATACACACAAAATCTCAGTTAGATATATACCTCTTAGTCCATCCTCAATGGCAGAGATGGCACCGATATAGTCAGTGTTATAAGCCATCAAGGTTCCATCTGGTCTCCTGACAATGTTGTTGATAGCTCCAATTTTCTGTATATATTAAGTAATGATTCAATAATTAATATCCGTACAAATAATAGAGACAAGATATTTCTTTATTTAATTAATTACCCTAGCAATTGGGTCAATCTCATCCATGCATTTAAGTGCAACTTCCTTATGAGGAATAGTGCAACTGCAAGCCAAAATGAAATTTAGATTAGCAGTTTACTCTAATATTTGTTTCTTTTTATTGGGGTTTCGAACTTGTAATATCATAGTCTTGGAGATGACTGTAATACCTGCATCCAGAAGCAAAATCAACAGAAGAATAGGTGTTGAAAAATTTCTCCACATCATCCACAAGAAAATGCATATAAACTGCGTTAAGACCGACAGATTTAAAAGCTGCATTGAACAAGAGAGGACTCTTGCTATGTCCAACAGGTTTCCCAATAATGCCATAAACTTTGGTATCAGGCCTTATAAGTCTAAAGTTGTATAAATCCAGCAAATCCTTTACAGTTGGTTGTCCAGGAGCTGATATAGCACCTGCCTCAAGAGCACCATAAGTCAGGTACCCGCCAAACTTGGGGCTAAGCAACCGCGAAATCTGTCCCCTCTCACCCATAACAATTCCAATTACTGGAATCTGTAAAGTTAAATGAAAACAACTTAGAATGAATTAATAAAACCAAATAACTCAAGAAATTAATTAAATATTATAATTACCTGAGAGTGAACCATGATTCTGAAAATGCGAGCACAGTCTGTAATGTCTAATGCAGTTGTTGCAATCTTGATAATGTCAGCTCCAGTAGCTTGTATTCTTGCAACAAGATTGGCAATGGCCTCAGCTGATGGTGTATTATGAAAATTGTGAGAAGAAACAATGACTCTGAAGTTATCAGGCTTCTTTCCGTATATTGAACTATTAAAGTCATGAGCAACCTGAAAATGTAATAGATGAAGATATAAGAATTATAACCTAAAATTAACAGAAACTAGTTTTCTTTAACCAAGAAGTGGTTAATTACCTCAAGTTCAACATCCACATAATTAGCACCCAATTGCATTGCTAAACGAAGTGCATCTTGTCGTTTTGTTTCATCACCCTCATATTGACCACCTTCCCAAACTGGCCTGAAAGGCTCATGAGACATATATTACAGACATGCATATGGTGGATATATTATATATATATATGCAAAAAACGGTTTGACCTTTTGGTTGGTACCTGTAAGTGACGAGAGTGGGCAAGGGAGAGCGTTTGATGAGGATTTCAAGATCTTGTGTAGGACTAAAGTTTCTGAGGCAGTCAAGCCGGATTTCTACAACGTCAGCACCAATTTCTTTAGCCTTTTGCATCTCAATCAACATTTGATCAACTGTGGTTCCCATTAATGGAGTACATAGCAAAGTAGGACTGCTTTGAACTTCTCTATTACTTAGTTGAAGATCAGACATGGTGAACTAAAACATGTAAGACACCAGAAAAAAGAAAAAATATAAAATGGTCATTCAAACAAATAACAATTCATTCAGATAATAAAAGTTAAGCTTATTTGCCTGAGTTGAACTATTGAACAGTCAAATTTTACTTGAATGAATAAGTTTCATTTTAGAGGAAGAGAGCGATGTCGATTATAATAAGAGGAGGTGAAGTATATGCTACTCCTTAATCATTCGATTCAAGCAAACGGCCTCCTATAACCGATGAATTTTAACTCAGCGGTCTGAAGTCATTCCTAAGAATAAGAGAGAAAAAAATAATTTACGTACCCGAAGGCTTCCCATGGCGGAGAATGGTGATGGTGGTGCTGTTGTTGAGAATCGGGCGGTTCAGATTCTTAATTAGGAGCTTAATTATATAACTTAGAAGAGTATAGTTTATGGATTTTATATATACACACAGGCTTGGAAACTGAAACTACTAAGGTGCACATATATATTATATAAGAGCAAGTTGAGAAAGTATTTTTTGTTAGTTATAGAACTTTTAGTACTCGTGACTGGAACTTTCGGTAGCGTAATTAGCCTGCAAGTACTAGTAGTAATTTAGGTGAGTGCTCAGCTTAATTGAAAGGTAGGTGGTGGCTGATGGGTTCAAATTAGCATGCAGTTTAGCATTTTATAATTAAAAGCTTAATTAATCCAACTTTGAAGTTTGATAGTAAATATTGTTAATCCAAAGATCTTAATTAGTTTTATTAATTTAATTACCCCCAAAAAGATTTTACTAATGAAATAATATTATTTTTCCCTTTTAATTATTAGCATCTTAACTAGTACCTTAGTTTTGAATAACAAACTTTCTTTCCAGTCTTTATATATATAACTAGTTTTCTTCCTTTCTTTCTTTCTTTCTTTCTTTACCTAACATTAATATTGGATACCTAGTTATAGCTATCAAAGTCACAGGAAGGAGATGGCGGGAAGCTGGTGACTCGACTCCACCCGACCCGACTTATTAATTGTATGAAATACTATTTTGTATGGGATTTGATATTGATCATTGATTTAATACTATGTTTCCAATGAATCTTTATAAAATTTATTTAAATTTCATTTTCTCGAAACTGAATTTTATACTACTCAACTAAAATTTATTATTATAATTTAATTACATTACATGTTTTAACTTTATTATTTATTTCAAATAGAAAGTTGAATTTAAATCTAAAGAGTCGTACTAAATGGTTCAGTTTGGATTTGACATAATTTTCACTGTAGCGAGTTAAATTGTTTATAATGCCCTCAGCAAATTCAGTGCGGGGAATTTGCCCATAATATCTATAGGGGCATTTTAGGTATTTTCAAACAATTATAATGAAAATTGTGTTACACCCAAGTTGGAATAAATATATTTTTCTGAAATCCAAAAATATGTGAAATGAAACGAAGGCTTTCAGGGTGTGGGTTGCTCTGTTTCATTGGTTTGTCTACCTTTAACTTTTATGGATGTTAGTAGGAATCCTCGGCCCAATGTCTTCAACCATCAGCTCCCAAAAATGGGCTCTGAGTTATGTGGCCCGATTAAAAAATAAAAATAAATAGTTAATCAGACGTACATAATGTAGTATTATGAAGCTAAAAATTAAATTTAAATTAATGATAATTATTAATTACTCCTACTTTGTGTACCTCATGGGCTCCCTGCTCAACACATGTCTTTATCTCTATTATGGCCAGAAAAAGGTAGGAACTTAAACACTGAAAGGGGCCCACCCACTCTTTCACATTCTTATTCAACAAATAATTAAAAAAAATTAAAAATTACAAAATCACCAGCTTCGATCGTCTTCCTTGATCGAGATCTCTAATCACTAATCAGTTACCACAACTCTCTCGTAACAAAAACTGCGAAGGAAATTCGCAGAGACGAAATTAAACGACAATAAACCAACTTACCATCAATTCTCTCAGTTTCTCTTCGTTTCATCTCACCCGCGGTGAATTTCCGGTACGATACTGCAATCTCACTTCGATCTCAGGTGTCTCTCATCTCCTTTTCACATATCATAATCTTTCTCTTTTCTTTACAATCTCATCGTCGCACTAGATTTTGATTTTTATCTTTGATTTTGATTGGTGTGGAACAACTGTATGGCTATAGTTTGAAATTAGAGAGCAGCAAATTCATTCGGTTGATCTATACATTGGTTTCAGGGATAAACTGTAAGATAATAAATTGACAGAACGATATTGAACTAATTTTTAGGGATTAGAAGTTGTTAAAATTTCGGTTGAGTTTGGATTTCCTGGTAACTTCCATTAATGTAGTCTTATTGTTTGATTGATAGGCTATGATTTTAGTTTTTCATGCGTATTTTTTAGTATTTGTTAATTATCATCTGTTTAACTCTGTGTGTATATATATATGGAAAAGAAATTGTTAGAAAAGATCAGGGTGAGTCTGTCCAGTTTACCTATGGAATGATTTTGCATCGCATCTCTTTTTGATATTAAGATTTCTTTGATGTGTGCCAATTTAAAAGAATATGATTTTCCTTCATTGAAGGAAAAATTATTTTCATTTTCTATCTCAAGTAGATTCTTGCTATTGATTGATGACCTTGAATGTTAATGTTTGGTTTAGAGTTTCTGAAGGATGTCGGGGCAAAGCCAGAGGTTGAATGTAGTTCCTACAGTCACTATGCTTGCTGTCATGAAAGCTCGCCTTGTTGGTGCCACAAGGGGTCATGCCCTTCTGAAGAAGAAAAGTGATGCTTTAACTGTGCAGTTCCGTCAAATTCTCAAAAAGATCGTCACTGCAAAAGAATCAATGGGAGATATAATGAAGTCGTCTGCGTTTGCTCTCACTGAAGCGAAATATGTTGCGGGGGAGAATGTTAAGCATGTTGTCCTTGAGAATGTCCAAAGTGCATCTCTTAAAGTTCGATCTCGGCAAGAAAATGTTGCTGGTGTGAAGCTGCCTAAGTTTGAGTATTTCACTGAAGGTGAGACCAAGAATGACCTCACTGGGTTGGCCAGGGGCGGCCAACAGGTTCAGGCGTGTCGTGCTGCTTATATAAAATCAATTGAAGTTCTTGTTGAGCTTGCATCGCTTCAGACATCATTCTTAACACTGGATGAGGCAATCAAGACGACAAATCGTAGGGTTAATGCACTGGAGAATGTTGTGAAGCCTAGAATCGAGAATACAATAAATTATATTAAAGGAGAGTTAGATGAACTTGAAAGAGAGGATTTCTTCAGGTTAAAGAAGGTACAGGGCTACAAGAAGAGAGAAATTGAGAGACAGCTTGCAGCTGCAAAGCAATTTGCTGAGGAGCAGTTTGCAGAGAAAGTTTCTTTGCAGAAAGGGATTTCGTTAAAGTCAGCTCATAATTTGTTGTCAGTAGCAGAGAAGGACGAGGACATAATTTTCTGATGCAGATGTTCATGTATATGTTCTTGCTGCCTGTTCTGCTTTCCTGTGTACTGGAAGATTTTGTAATATTATCCAGGAAGTAAACTTCAAACATGTTCCTATTTATTGTGTTTTTATTATCGAATTCTCTTCATTGTAACAAATGAAAAAAATATTTGTCATCAGTCTTCAGTTTGTTTACTTCAGCACATTCTTTCCCAACAAATATGAGTTTGCCAAAACCTGAGCTTGCAGCTTGCAAAATGGTAATTATGTCAACTGAATGGGTATGCTCCTGAAAGTCTTGATCTAACAATTTCTGTCTTCAGGATCCTTATTCTGTTAATTTAGCAAGTTTATGATTCTGGCCCCTCTAGTCCGGTGCTTGAATTTGTAAATCAGTCCAGATCCTCAACAGTCGATGCTCATAACTTTAACCTATATATTGTTTCCATATATGGAAAGGATTAGAATTTGGAGTCGTGGCTGGTAGGATGAGAGCAGTACTTGTATTTTAGAATACTCGTATGAGTATAGATAGTGAAATTATTACCGGTATAAATTTAGATTTGGATACCCGCTACTTATTTATTGTTATATTAATAAATACGGGTTTGGATACCTGCTACTTATTTATTGTTATATTAAATGAGTTTGGTAATAGATACCCATGGATATTTATCTATTATTAATAAAAAATATATTTTAAATACATTTGAATTTGAATAATTTAAAATTTACGAAATCTTACCCATTAAGGTGTATTTTAAATTGGTTTTGGACATATGCATATAATAAAATTTTAAATAGATTTAGACATGATTACTTTATTTGAAAGAATTTATAATAGTGAAACGTAGTAAATTTTTATACGGATTTATAACAGTTACACGACGTAGTAAAGAATAGTGTTACTGAGTAACTTAAATTTCGCAGACCTCGCTTCCATCCCCAGTGGCCGGATCTGGATTTGCAAATATCAAAAGTTTTAAAGGCCCAACTAGCAATTTTCTTTTTGTATGTTAAGGATAGGCAATACACTGTGCAGACAGGCGTCAGATTTCCACAGGACTTCTACTGTAGTCTATATATATCTATATATATGTGCGCGCGCCACCGCATCTCATCTCTCCAGAAGATCGAGAGATACAGAGGAAGCTAAATATTCGTTTCTTTGGTTTGTAAGCTTTCTGCTAGGTAAGATAAGCCTATTTATCTTTTCCGTATGCAAACTGTTTTGCTTTTATTCAAGCTATTAGTTACGAACTTACAATCCTTGCTCGTTCTTTCAATTCTTGGATTTCAGACAGGATGCCGTTAGAATGCTTCATATGGATTCAACACTGTTGGAATGAAAGATTTAAAAAGTTCCTGAATCGAAAAGAAGGAAAATTTCAACATCTTCCTGATAGTATCATTGTTGAAATCTTAAGTAGGCTACCTTCAGAACAACTTAGCAATTGTCAACTCGTTTGTAGAAAATTTAGGGATTTAACCTCCACTCCTTATTTTCGTGAAATCCACAGCGTCAAAAGAGCTTCTCCAATTGTTCTTGTTCAATATTTCAACCCTGGTATTCATGATAAGGATATGCAAGTTTATCTTCTCGACGAAAAAACCAAGGACGAGAACCAGAAACTGAATTGTACGGGTCGTTTCTTCATGTATTGTCTTATTCTCTGTAGCTGTAATGGGTTGATTTTATTTGACTCGAGATGTAAATTGTGCATAAACAACCCTTTGACTGCAGAATTAATATTCTTAAAAAACCCTTATCAATCAGGTGGTTTTGGATGTGGGTTTTACTTTCACACATCCGAAAAAGAATATAGGTTGCTTTATTTGCATTCTAAAAGCAACTATTTGAGTATTTTATATGCAGCCCTTCAGATGATGAACAATGGAGAAGCCTTTGCACTTTTCTTTACAAGCCAAATTATCAGGTACCGCCTGTAATTGCAAATGGGTTTCTTTATTGGATTGCCAGTTATAAAAGAACTGCTGATGCTGATTATGCTTCTATATGCAAAGCATCTATCGTTGCATTTAATATTGATACCGAAGAATTCAAGATTATGGCTCATCCTGGTAATTTATGTAGTCTGCCTCGAATCGAGCATAGCCAGTCAAAAATGCAACTTGTACGGATAGAAAGTGATGATAACTTGTTGTTTTGTCGATTGAATGAGAAAGATTACATAAAGATTTGGGTGCTTCAAGATTCTGCAAATTGGATTTGGGTTGAGAAATATAATGTTGATTTGAAATGGGACTTGAGAATTTACCAATTCTTCGATCATGCTGGTCCCGACAATGATATAAGGCTTGTGAACATCCAGGATGGAGAACTGTTACTCTTTTGGTCTAATAGAGGACTGTTTAGGTATCCCTTCCTGCGGAAAACGATGAGGGAAATCAAAAGAACAATAGCAGGAAAGGAAATATCCAACCTAACAACAGAGAATTTTTTATCATAACTTACACCAGAGCTTTGAGTCTTCAGGTTTCAAAGGTTAGAGGAGTAGGGTTTTGAGTACTTAGCTGCATGTTTACAGTGAGAAATCTCAAATTTGAGGAATTCCTTTTATTTTCAGATTTCTTTTTATCATGAAGTATTATAATCCCTTTGAGGATGATGATAATAAATTTCCCGGTTAGATATTCTTCTTTAAATACTGTTCAAACTAGTTTGAACAATTTATTAGGTTAGGTTTATCAATAATACATTTGCAGTTAAATGACGGTGAAATTTCCAATTACAACAATCTTTTTTGCGATGCAATGCATCAGAACTTGGCTAAAACAATCTCTCGCATGAAATCTTCTGGCGCTGCAAAAAGGAAAAAACACAAACAGCCAACCAGCAAAAAGTGAGATCTAAATCATACCAAGGAATTACAGAAAAAAACATCATATCAAGGAATCATGAAGGTTGAAAGTTGGCAATTCAAGCTAATCAGGATTTAAGAACAGCAATAGAACAAAAATTTTAAGCAGAATTTAATGGATAAACAGTCGAATATTTTTGAAGTTAGCCAAAAGCAGACTCAATGTGGATTAGCCAATGTCAGAGATAAGAGGAAAGAAATAGAATAGATACCTTCTCTGCCTGTGAAGAGGTTGAACTGGCCGATTGCCTGTCTGAGAAACATTTCGACTCCGCTTACTATGATTGCTCCTGCTGCTTCAGCTTCTTTTAATAGTCTGGTTTTTCTAGGTGTATACACAGCATCAAAGACCAGCTGGTAGATTCCCAAAGTTTCCTTTAAAAAGTGTTGAAAGAAGGTTTTAGTAAATGAAACTTGAATGGAATTTGATTTTAGCTGTAAAATAGAGAGTACCTCGGCCACAGGAATTCTCTCTGTATTTGGATGCATCCCCAATGGTGTTGCATTCGCAAGGATAGCGTCAGTTTCTGGCCGAAAATGAACCAGATTTTTGAAAGGCTGAGCTTCACCCGAAACAGCATGAGCTAAAGACTTTGTTCTCTCTTTTTTCGAATGAACATGACAGATGGAAAATAAACTTTAGATGTTCCAGTTCATTAAGAGACCAAAAAATAATAAAAATAATAATGTATCTACCAAAGTCAATGTCGAAAATGATTATACGGGCTCCTCTACTTTTAGCACCAAATGCAAGTGCTCGTCCTGCCCCTCCAGCACCAACTAGCACAAACTGTCTTCCAGCTAATGAAGAGCTGAAAGATGTTCTGCCATTGATGTAACCTTGTTCTGTAATATTCAAATGCACAATAGCAACATGTCAACTGCTACATTTGCTTATCTATCAGTGATTATAATTGACTTCAGAAAGCATTAAAATAGGACACTTCAAATTTTTACTGTCAAGGAAGTAATTTCTGTACCTTTTAGAGCATCCTCAATTGCAGTTATCGAAGCCTCACAGTCTGTATTATAACCTATCAGCTTCCCATCACTAGGCCTCCTAACAATGGTGTTAACTGCACCTATAGACTGATAAGCGTATAAAGTTTATTACACTGAAATATACCAAGATAGGATTTGCAATTATAATCACATAACATGATGATAGATCAAGCTGATTATCAAGTTCACATATTTTAGAGGAAAATAAAATTAGCATGAAACTTTTAAGACAACCTTAGCAAGTGGATGAACTTCATCACAAAACTCAACAACAGCTTCCTTGTATGGAAATCCAACACTACAGACAAAAGAACAAAATGATCCATTAAGATAACTATAAGTAGAAAAACAGAATATGTAGCTACCAATATTGAAAATGCCAGAAAGAAGTTAATAATTAGTGTAACCAAGCAATGTATAGCAAACAAGAAAACAAACAAACATCATTTACCTCAGCTAGTACTAATCCTTTTTATGCATAATAAACACATATAAACCAAACAAAACTTGAACTTCTCAGATGATATTACCAAATAATTAATAAGAAGCATGTGTTCTCTTAACTTTGGAGCAGAAATAAGTTGCACAGTGCATACCTAAAACCGGCATAGTCAGGGCTAGAGTAGACACTAAAGAATTCCTTGAGATCATCAACAAACATGGGCACATATATTCCATTATAGTTTACATGTCTGAATGTAGGATTATGCAATATGGGGCCTTTGCTGTGGCCAACTGGTTTAGAAATTAGACCGAAAACTTTAGTATCTGAATTGATGCGCTCAACCTTATAGGCTTCTCTAAGGCTGTCTAAAGTAGGCAGACCAGGAATCAAATTTCCTTCTATGGAGCCATAGACTAAAGAACCACCAAATTTTGGGGACAATATTTGGCTTATGAGACCTCTTTCTCCTACAGAGTATGCAATTAATGGCACCTGCAGTTGTCAACAAAGTTTGAAATTATTTTTCACGCACAGAAATTTAAAGGCATTCCTGATATTTCAATGATATGAATCATTAGGTCCTTTATTATACAATCTCTTGGTAATACGTGCCACGCCTAGATAGTTATTTATGTTCTATCTGATCATTTATTATTTTCAATATGTATAAAAGGCATTACGGTTTATTACGATCCCATACCTGAGAATGTAAAAGCAAATAAAAAATTCTTTGCAGTTCTGTAATATTATTTGCATTTGAAACAAGTTTGATAATATCTGCTCCAGCAGCTTGCATGCTCCCAACCAGATGGCTAAGATTTTCTTTTGGAGGGGTTGCACCAGTGAGATAACATGATACAATAATTTTGCTATCAGTTTGATGTGTCTTTTTCAGTTCCCCTATCATATCAGAAGCCACCTGAATTATCAAAGCATACAAGTGAGGTAAAGTTTAGCATTCATAATTTCTTAAATGATTATGTTACGATGTGAAATGGATTCTTCAAAAAACATCTGAATGCAGGATCGAGAACTACCTTGAGTTCTAAATCAATATAATCAGCTCCCAGTTCATGAGCCAAACGAAGTACTTCCAACCTCGTGTGCTCATCTCCTTCAAAAAGACCACCTTCACATTTTGACCTGGAAAAATTGAAACTTTCTCTTCATGGACAATCACTTTCAACAAATTAAATGCATAAATGTCATATTATATATAGGAGTGTGAGGCTTCCATAGGAGTTTGCATATATGGAAAGGATAGGTAAATGTGCACATATATCCTTCTAAATTCATTATCTTGTTCTAAAATTTCTAATCACCATTGCTAGTAGAAAGACTAAAATTACTTCAAATTCCAATACAGAACGTAAACATTAACAAGTCATGGAGGAGAACTCCATCCCCATTGCACTCTTGATAAAAGCTTGGAGTGGGTTCCAGTTCCATTCCTCAATGTCGAATGTGAAAGCGACTGCACTATATTTAAATGAAAAAAAAAAAATCAATTATTAGACCAATTTGTTTCCCACAAGTAACTGGGTTGCGTACTGCATTGAAACCTTAGCATGGCCTTATCTTCTTTGTTAAGCTCAGATAAGGCATTTTTTTTACAGCCTTCCTTTTTTGTTTTCTTACTCGGAGGGAACAAAGCCACATTTATAACTTTTTGGCATATTTACTTTATACGAAATAGTAATACAAATTACATATTTCCTGGTAACAACAAAAGACTAAAGCATGGAAAAAAGTAAATACTAAAAGGTTACACGCAGAGAATAATTCCAATTGAAACTCTAGGAAACCTATAAATCCTAATCATAGAAAAGAAATTTAAATCACAAGCAAAAGTTCAATACTATACCGATACACAATAATCACTGGCAAGGGCTTCTTTCTGAGGATGGTTTCAAGGTCTTGGCCAGGCTGAAAGTTCTTGATGTAGTCCAACCTGACCTCAACAACATCAGCACCCTGTGACTTTGCACTGTACATGTCCCTAACCATTTGCTCAACAGATTGAGCCATTAGTGGAGCACAAACCATTGCAGAACTATTCAATAATCCAACGTGACCCATTAGGCCAAAAATCAATAGAGAAGATTAAAATGAGAATAAAAGCAACGTTGATTGAAAGCAAACAAATATCGTAAAAGACAGTTGATGAGTGGGTATTGATGGGACAAGAATTTAAGGACAGGCAAAATGAAAGAAAATATTTAAAAAAAAAAAAAAAACCCACCAACAACCCAGAATTAGGAGAGAATATGGCAAGCAAAGTTGTTGGATAGGAATTACACCTAGTTAATTCATTTTATAGCCAAAAACTCTCAGATAAGGTTTGAAGGGTTTGGTTTTGAAGAAAATAAAAAATTAAAATGCCAAGTTGAATCCATAAGCAGGCAAAACATAAACTATAAAAGGAAAAAAAAAAAAATGCTGGTGTGAACTATATTCACTGTAGCATTTTGTATTAAAAAGGGCTACAGAAAAAAGTAGGGCATCATAGCCAAGAGTTGGTGAGATCTCTTTCTCAGATTCAGGAGGGTACTGAAGCATATAAATAGAATAGACTTCCGTAAAAATAGGAGTCGTGTTTGAAAAAATAAAAAATAAGTCCAAGATTGCATTATTTGGAAGCTATTTTAACTAGTTAATGAATTTAGGCACCGTGTCAAGGAATTAAGATGGCTAGGCTTTGACTTCATTTGATTGGTGGGTGTGGTGGGTGAGACTGGAACAAGAAGATTGGGTCATGGCATGGCCTAATGATTATCCATGTAGAAGACAGATAAATTAAGCTTCAATCTTTATCATGATTCTCCATAAAAAAATAAATAAATAAAAGCTTTAATCTTTTTCAAACTTGGACTGCAACAGATTTCACCTTGTACAGGAGGAATTATTACCCTTCTTTCCTCCTCAACACATTAAAATTTTGGAAGCCAAAAAATAGAGGAAAAAGAATTATTCTCTTCCCCATCGTTAGACTCCAAGAAATACACAGAGCTGAACTGTTCATTAGGAAGAAAGAAAGAGAAGATGGAAAAAGGCAAATAGCTGTATACACCTAATGCTTGCTGTGTCTGTGAAAGTGTACATTTTGCTTTTGTCGTGGACTGGACTGTGAGATGGCAGAAGTAGCCAAGTTGCTAAAGAAGGACGACGACTATAGATTGTGACGAGGAAATATCTGTCGCTTGGATGAGGCGGCACGTCTTAGAATCTAGGCTTTGTCAAGTGGGCCACCCCAAAACCTACGTGGCTTTTCGTGTTTTCTTTTTTCTTTTTTGACAGAGTAATAGTGGGGCCAGTGCCTTTTACTGGTCTCACGTCATCCGTATTCTGTAACCAAGACATGAATATTATTATTTAAGACCAAGAAAATGACTTTAAGGTTGTTTGGTTGGTGGATATCAACATCTAAGATCTTTATCTTATCTACTTATTTACATTAAAAAGTATTTTAGCACAAATTTGATCTGACGGTCCATGATTTAACAAAACTCTGCTGCAGCCTGCACGCATTCTCGTGATGTGAATGCTAGTTATTCATTGTGGTGTAAAATAATGTTTATTATGTATCATATATTATTTTTTTTATTTTTCATTTTGACGTGTTATATATAAAAAAATATTTTCTACTTTTTTTAATGACTTTTAATAATTATTTATTTTTAAATATTTATAAATAAAAGATCACATAAAAATATTAAATTGGAAAAAAATAATCTTATCATTAGTTATTTTTATAAGATTAAAGGAGTCTAAACCATTCATGCTTTTTTATTTTGATTTTGTTTTTTCAAAACCAAAAGTTGGTTAATTGAAAATTAAACTGATAGAACAGATTAAAAACACTTCCTATGATTTCTTTTCTGTTTTGATAACTCTGTGCTCTCTTTTAAGACATCGAAAGGATTAGACTTTAATAATTCAATCTAAACTCAGACTTGTCTCATCTTGTTATAGCAATTCATTAATATATGAAATTACTTTTACCAAGAAAAGCAGGAATTTTTATATATATACCTTCGCTTTGATCAAGACTCCACTCTCTGAGGTCCAATGAACCAGATGATTGTCAAGACCCATTTGACCAATGGAGTTAATAGATTGATTGCACCTATGTGGAAAATCACACGCATCGCACGCACCAAAAAACAAGGCAAAAAACCTTGATCATTTACAGGCCAAACACAACGATCACCGGCAGTGATTGTCATTCATAAATCACATTAACAGGACATTCAAGAAGACCTGTGTTTATTGTGACCAGGATAGCCAAATGTGTTCTTGTGGTGAGAGGAATTAACATTTGGATTATAGCAGTTTGGGTGCGTGTTGTTTGTAGGATAGCTTGCCCTGTTGTAGTGTCCAGATGGTGCATTCATGTTAGGAAGATCTCTGGATGAAGCATAAATCCTAGGACGCTTATTTCCATTCTGATGTTGCGGTTGAGTTGTTGCAGAGACTGGGGAAAGCGGCTGCTGATCTAATTTAGATTTAGACCGGGAACAAGGTCTGAATTCGGCTTGAAATTTCTCCTTTTTATGCTTTTCCAGTAGAGAATCCGTTCTTCAAGGACTTCAGGTGAGAGGCCTTGAATGTTGTAATCTGCAATGCATTTCCACACAGCTTTCAATGCATTTAGCTCTCTGTCTATAGCCCTAATCTGCAAGTTCATTAAATCTTCAAATCAGTGATACTTGATGAAAAAAAACTGCCAAACTAAAGATCCACTATTACCTGCACTTTCGTAGAATTTCTATTTTCATTTTGTAGTTCCTTGGCAGAATTGCTCAAATGATCCTTTAAAATGGAAACTGGGGGGAACTTGTCGACCATATCTAACGCAAAGATATACTTAACTGCCACAATTCGTTGCTTCTTTTTAATAAGATTTTTAATAAAATCTGTCATGGGAAAGACATGTCAATACCATCAAATTACTTGAGAGGAGTCTCAAGAGGAACTGACAGTAATTTACAAAAAAGAAAAAAAGAAGACTTGCATGATGCTATAGGTAAAGGAAATTTCTGCAACAGGTTTTATATAGAATTGTCACAGTGTGGACGTGGATGAATGATATGCAAAAACAATACAGGATAGAGCAAGCACTCACTTGGGATCATCTCTGCCAAACCAAGGGCTTGAACTAATTCAGGGACCTTTTCATGCCAATCATCAGCATCCAGAAGAACAAGAAGCAGATCTGCCGTAAAAGTAGATGCCAAACTATAGGCAGCTAAAAAATGCAGGAAACATATGACCTCTAGAGGATCCATTCCATTCTTTCCAGTCTTTTTTCCCAATAAAGTGCAAATTCTTTTGCCTCTTCTCTTAACTCTGGATTAATCTGGGGAGAGACTTTCCTTAACTGTTCCAACAACAAAATACAAATTTTTCTTGAAATAACCAACTTCATATCCCTATTTCCCCTAAAGTCGAAAGGATGGGAAGTGTTCATTACATCTAAAACAAGCTTTCCTGGATCAAATGCAAGTTGAAGAGCAGCAGCAACTTTACTTGCTAAATCATGACTTTCATCCATGGTAAGTAACCGTCTCAAATCGTCCTTATTACTGTCAAAAGAAAAACATTTAGGCTTAGGTTGAGGATCCAGAGATGAAGAAGCCTCCTTTCTTTCAAATGGTGAATCACGTGGTGAGGATTTCTCAATCTGTACCGGGAAAGGAACAATGCAGGTTGCTGACCAGGTGAAACAACAAGTGTTCATTATCATTAGACAGGATGAATACAGAATATAAACCATATGGTACAGGCATAAAATAGCAAAGTTCCAAAGGCTAAAGTATCAAAATCTCCAAGTATCAGCCTAGTTAAATAAGAAAATGGGAATGCACATATACAATTTAACAAGGACGTGTAGAGTTTTTGTGTCAGAAATTCAATAAGGCCATGGCAATTGGCAAAAAAAAAAAAAGAAGAAATATTTTGTTAGTGCCTAAAATGTCAAGCAATTCCAGTATTTATTTTAGAGTACAGGGAATAGTAATCTGGATGCCTTCAGCTATAGCCTTTGTATGGCTGCTCTCATACTTGCGTCCACATGCTTGTGCTTGATAGCCCAGGATTTCCATTGTCGTCTAAATAACTGCTCCTACACTACTACTATAAACACAAAGCAAAATTAAGCATATGCTCCTAAATGTACTATGTCTCCCACAGAATTATTCAGATAACAACTCATATTAAGAATCAAGTTTCAGCCTATCAATCTTCAATGACTGGATAACACAAATATGGCATGACATACCTTGATCTGCACCGGAGGATGTGTTTAGATCATATTCTGACATAGCAATCCAAGAACTTTTAATTCCATTCTGCTGTTGTGATTGGGTCATAGGGGCAGGCAGAGAAGTTGAAGTGGTTGTTGGGAAGCAGGTAAGAGCAGGGATTTTGGTGGATGCAGATTTGGGGGCTCGAGCAGGGGCATCAACACCATGAACAATACGTGGCAAATTTTTCATCTTTCTCCAAGGTGGTCTTTGAATTTTACATGCTGAGGCTGCCAATTTCCCTTTCATATTTGAGTTTCCTTTCTTGAATTTAGCTGCCAATTTTGCTTTCTCATTTAATTTCCTTCCTCGAGACTAACAACCATCTGGTGAAGGCTCCCAAGTGAAGGTCCATACTCAATATTGTAGTTTCCAATGCATCTTAGTGCACATTTCACATCAGCTATTCTTTTCTCCCTGGCCTCAATCTGTTACAAATTTGTTATGAGTAAACAGGAAGGAAGCATTGGCATAACAAAGGAAAAAGGAGACATATATACCTGCCCTTCAAGTGATCTTTTTCCCTTTCTAATTCTTCTGGCAGCAATCTTAGAATTGTCCAAGTAATCTTTCAATAAAAGTACAGGTGGGAACTTATTAGCAAGCTTAAAGGCATGGATAATTCCAATGGCCTCAATATGCTGCTTCTTGCTGATAAGTTTTTGAATAAAACCTGTTGCACATATTGCAGGTTTAGGATACCAAATAAACAAATAAATGGTCTAAAAATAAAATACAACGGCCATTTGAAGAAGGGACAATTAGAAGAATCTCAGACATCAAAATCTTTAGCAGCAAACTATTTGTTGAAGTACATATGCAGCATGATTAGGTAAAGCTTAAACATTATACACTTTACCAGATATCTTATCTGCAAAACCCAGGACGCGCAATAGTTCAGCCTGGCTATGTTGGGCAACAACCTCCAATTGAGTGAAGAGCTCATCAGCATCAAATTCAGAAACTAGTCCGTAAGAAGCTAAAAGCTGCAAAAATCCCAAAACCTCAAGATAGTGCTCCGCATCTACCTTCATTTTTGTTATCCAAACACAGGCAGTCCAATTGCTTCCTTTTTCACTTGAGGCCTAATTTCTGGTGATATTTTCATCAATTGCTCGAATAAGAAAATGCAACTTCTTCTGACAACACCCTCTTCAAACTCCATATCTCCCTTTTTTTCAAATGGGGAGGGTAAAACCCATGCATTGCATCCAATACAAGCTTTGCAGGGTCTGATGAAAGTCTCAGAGCAGTAAGTACCTCAGTCCTAATTGAATCAGATACTCCACGCTCATTTATGAAAATCTGCAAAGCCTTACCATCAATACTCAAAGAAAAATGGATATTAACATCCAATTTACAATCCATAGCTTCGTTAACTACATGGGTATCTAGTGGCTCAATTTTCACGCGAGTATTATGGCTATGATCAAAATGTTTCACTTTCAATTCAAGTTCTTTACTTCTTTCTTGAAGTTGCCTCTCCTTCAATTCAATCTCTTTATATTTTTCCACAACTTTCTTGTTCTCCAATTCTACTCTCTCGCTCCTTTCTTGAATTTGCTTCTCCTTAAATTCGAGGCCTTTAAATTTAAGTTCTTTCAACCTCAATGCTTTGCATTGTTCATTCAAACTCTCATCTTGAGATGCAATTTCTTTCGCTCTTTCTTCAAGTTGCCTCTCCTTCTATTCAATCTCTTTATATTTTTCCATAACTTTCTTGTTCTTCAACTCTACTCTCTCACTCTTTCTTGAATTTGCTTCTCCTTAAATTCGAGATCTTTAAATTTAAGTTCCTTCAACCTCAATACTTTGCATTGTTCATTCAAACTCTCATCTTGAGATGCAATTTCTTTTGCTCTTTCTTCAATTTGTTTCTCTTTCAACTTCAATTCATTAAATGCCCGTTCACATTGCACCTTTTTCACTTCAATCTCTCTCACTAACTTTCCCTCCATTACTTTAACATCACAAGCTCTCTTCTCAATATCGTTATTAAACGACTCAAATCTCTTCTGTATCCCATCAAGAACTTCCAATTTTCTACCTATTTTATCATTCAAAGTCTCAAGCTCTCCGCTGGACCTCTCAATCCATTCAATTCCTCTCTTTCTCTCTTCAATTTCCTTTCTTTGATTTAAAACAAACTCCTCCTCTCTTATCTGCAACTCTTTCTCTCTCTTCTTGATATCCTGTTGGAGGGAATGGAGCTCCTTGGCGCATTTTTCGATGATAAGGTGCGTGGAATCCAAGTGATCTTCTATATCCTTCCATTGATGCGTAAGCAAGAGAATCGAAGAAGCGCTGTCGTGAAGTTGATCAAGCGTTTGGCGAAAGTTTTGTTTATGTAACTCGGTGAGTTTTAACTCAGAAGAAATCTTGTCCTCCATTAGAGCCAGGCAAACATAAATAGGTTATGTAATGTAAGTATATATATGTGTGTATTAACCACCACCGCGGGTGAATATATAACCGTATAGGGTTGGAGGTTTGAATTAGGAAAATCACCCGCATAAGGTGCTCAGTGCTAACTAAAAATTTATTTGAAATTTTTGTCATTAGTAAATTTATTTTCATTACAAATTTAAGTGCTTATTTTGACTTAAATATTTGTTATTTTTCGTCTAATTATCTTTTACTTATATTTGATTTAAATTAAATATTTAATTATGTTTGATTGAAATCAAATATTTTTTTTTTAATAAAAAATTAGATTTTTTTTTTCTTTTGATACAAGTTTAAGGGATAAACTGTAATAAAAAAATGATTTTTAGGCAAATTGTTTATTGATTCTAAAAGTTGATTTTTTTTTTTTCCCTTGTTTTTTCACAAATAATTCGAGATCTAAATTTAACTGTTCCCTTTCAACCTCAATTACTTTTGCATTCCCGTTCATCCGAAACTTTCTCATCTGAGATGCGCACAATTTCTTTTGCTCTTTTCTCAATTTGTTTCTCTTTCAACTTCAATTTCATTAAATGCCCGTTCACATTGCACCTCTTCTCACTTCAATCTCTCTCACTAACTTTCCCTTTCCATTACTTTAACACTTCACACAGCTCCTCTTCTCAATATTCGTCTATTAAACCCGACTCAAATCCTCCTTCTGGTATCCCCATCAAGAACTTCCAATTTTCTACCTGATTTTTAATCATTCAAAGGTCTCAAAGCTCTCCGCTGGACCTCTCAATCCATTCAATTCCTCTCTTTCGTCTCTTCAATTTCCCTTCTCTGATTTAAAAACAACTCCTCCTCTCTTATCTGGCAACTCGTTTCTCTCTCGTCTTGATATTTCCTGTTGGAGGTAATGGATGCTCCTTGGCGCTTTTTTCGATGATAAGGTGCGTGGAAAGTCCAAGTGAGGATCTTCTATATCTTCCATTGGATGCGTAACAAGAGAATCGAATAACGCGCGTCGTGAAGTTGATTTCCAAGCGGTTGGCGCGAAAGTTCTTGTTTATGTACACTCGGTTAGGTTTCTAAAACTCAGAAGAAATCTCTCGTTCCTCAATTAGAGCCAGGCAAAATAAATAGGTTATGTAATGTAAAAGTATATATATGTTGTATTAACCACCACCGCGGGCTGAATATAAACCGGTATAGGGTTGGCAGGTTGAATTAGGAAATCGACCCGCATTAGTGCTCATTGCAACTAAAAATTATTTGAAATTTTTGTCATTTAGTAAATTATTTTCATTACAAATTTAAGTGCTTATTTTGACTTAAATATTGTTTATTTTTCGTCTAATATCTTTTACTTATAATATTTGATTTAAATTAAATATTTAATTATGTTTGATTGAAATCAAATATTTTTTTTTTAATAAAAAATTAGATTTTTTTTTTCTTTTGATACAAGTTTAAGGGATAAACTGTAATAAAAAAATGATTTTTAGGCAAATTGTTTATTGATTCTAAAAGTTGATTTTTTTTTTTTCCCTTGTTTTTTCACAAAAAAAATAAAGGCAAAATTGTGTGTTTTTAATGGGACCTATTAGTTAATGGTTTCAAAATATAAGCATACAATTATTTATTTTTAAAACCACAGGCCAAAATAGTTTTTTTTTTTTTTTTTTTTTTTTTTTTTATTTTTAAAATTATGAATGACCAATTTATAATGTTTCCCTAATATTTATTTCAGAAATTCTCAAAAATTTGGACCGTATCCCTTATGACAATTTTCCTTTACGATTATCCAACCATCTGAAGCCTATATTCATTCCATACATATTCTAGTACTATATATTACTTATTTTTTTTTTTTTTTTTTTTTTTTTTGGTAAAATAGAATGACAATTATAATTTTCCCTTAAATTTATTTTCAGAAATTCTCAAAAATTTGGACGGTATCCCTTAACAATTTCCTTTACATTATCCAACCATCTTGAGCCTATATTCATGCCATATATATCTATATATATATATATATATATCCAACCATCTCATACAATTAGTGCCTCCCTAAATACAGCCAAGGCCTTTCATTTCACACATGCAACTCCAACAGAGAAAGGAAAATCATGTCATCAGCATTACTTTTACTGCTAAAATTCCAGTCTATCTATGCAAAACAAGCTTTTCTCCAAGAATATTTCATCGTCACGACTTTGGACAAGCTTTATGGACATTTAGAACTTGTCAAATTAAGTACATTTTCAAGTAGAAGAAAAGGGGAGGAGAAAAAAAAAAATCTAATTTTGTGATGAACATGCTTCAAGGCACAACACTGATCCCATATTTGTTGTAATACACTTGTCAAGCCTTTATCCGAACCACAAATGAACCTGTTCACAAGTGTACAAGCATGATGAAAATAACATGGTCAGTTATATTTTTTAAATTACATTTTTGCATAGTTGCAATTGATGATAGATTAGGAATAGGAATAGAATATAGAACACTTAAAAGCTAGCAAACTTATTGTGAAAAGATGACTTCAAATGTTGTCAACCATGACTTCCTATATATCAGCAGAACCAACTTATTGAAATGAAAAGAAATGCATTAGCTGTTTAAATGGATTGCTGAAGTGAACTCTAGAACTCAAACTTTTAACTCGGGACCCAAATTGCGAAGGCCTGTGAACTTGAAGACTAAGAGCTACAAATTTATACATAATGAATGAGATATTATCAGGAGAGAACAAGATTATACATTTTGTTTAAGTTTATTTTTAGGTTAAAAAAAAGGTGGGATGTGGAAGTCACAAAACGAAAATAGGCAAATTTAGAATTTATTTGATCAAATAAGATGAGGCATTTCAAACAGAATGCAAAAGAGAATATGCCGGAAGAAGAGAAGGAATTACGGACAGTCCTGAGAAAACAAATCAGAGGAACATGATAAGATATTAATAACAAATGGTGCATATGATTTAACTGAGAGAATTAAGAAATGGGAAAATCGATTGCCTGTAGTGGACTAAATCATGGCACAAAGCATATTGATACCTGACAGCAAAGAACTTGGTCAAGCACATGAATATCAGGGTGAAGATAACTAATTTGTAATGCAGAAACCAGGATAGCCAAACTCAAAAAAGAAACTAGAGGATAGATAGTATGAATCAGTGAAAGGCATTGACTAGCAATCCTTCAATAGGTGCTAAGTTGTACAATGATCAAGATGAACACATTCTGGTAAATCAACCTTACAAAGGAACACGGAAATCAACAACCAGTTTTGGAGGAAAAAGCCAGATAACAAATGTTTACAAGCACAAAGAACTACAGCAAAATAAGCCATAGCGAAGGCAAAGTTACTCCATATGCCATACTTTCTCTCACAGAGTGATTCAAAAAGAAATTATGTCAACAAAAAATTGAATAAGCATATCTGTCCTCATTCATGACATGCTGTAAAATAAGGTTTCCCATATAGTATGATAACTTCAATAACTTAAAATAACTAATTAGTAACCACTAATAAACAGAGTATGATCGATAATAAGGAAAAAGAAAAGATATTGACAATCTAGTTACTCACATGCCGGAAGATTGGATATGTCAGCAGAAACTGCGCAAGGGATCCCTAAGTTTGAAAGAGCTCCCCTTATGATTCCACAAGGGAAATAGAGATGCATGCTCATTGCTTGGGTAGCCTTATTTTCAGCCAAGGCAGAAGGATCTTGTGATGCTCCTCCACTTTCAATAGTTGGATCAACTGACATTCGTGCAAGCCAGCGAAACCTATTATCTTGCAGTACAAAGGTACCCTACAAGAGCACCACAAGCCAGTTCGTCATCAACCACAAGTACATGACGACTAGATGCAAATCGCATCCAGAATCAAATTCGGAACTTACTCTATGATTTGTCTTCAAGTTGTCAATCTGCTTCTTAAAGACCTCAGACCAAAAGTCCTTGCAAATGAACTTTATTGCCTCTAGATGATCACTAAATCTCGGCCGCTCCATAGTATACCTAACAAAATGAAACTCTTTTACTCCATCCTAAATTTCCCTCTACAGAAATATTAAAAGCAGGCGATGATCAACTCTAAACTTCTCTACTCCAACTGTAGAGTTTATTCAAAATCAAAAGTTTCTTATCATTTCCTATAGTTTCTCAGAAATCAAACAGACATTCAAATTTTGAAGCTAACAATAATTCAGATTTGAAGATCCAATCTAACGAGAAAAAGATGGAAGTAACCAGAAATGACCAGAAACAATTGCTCATATGACATGCAGAAAAAAAAAATCAAATTAAAACATTTTGCAAAAACGAAAACTAAAACTGAAAGTTAGGGGATTGGGAAGGCCTGCAGCGGGTGGTTTTACCGTTCGGCTAGCTGGTGGCCGACCTGATAGCCAATAGCCTCGATCCGCCGGCCGGCGAGCTCAGGTTTATTAGCGTCGAACCTATTGCAGTATGATGACACCATCTCCGTCAGTAAGCTATCAACGCAACTCTCTGACACTTCTCTGCCCATTCTCTCCCTCCCTCTATCTCTCTCTCTCTCTCTCTCTCTCTCTCTCTCTCTCTCTCCCCGTCTGTGGAAGGTAAATTTGCTTACAGTTGCTCTCTCCTCGTTTACGCTTAACAAAAAGAAATGGACAGTTCTTCTGATATTGGGCTAATGGGCCGGCCTATGGCAGTACCGGATCTCGTCTCATAAGAACAATTTGAACCTTTAGATCCAGCCCATGATATATTAAGTGATCCAAACCACCTTATGGATGGCAAATCCGTCTTGAAATCCATTTAAAATTTATATGGATCTCGAATCCATATAAATTTCTATTGTCAAAATTACATTGCTTTGTTATTAAATGATTAGTTATTTCTTTTTTTTTTTTATTACTAATTTTTCTAAACATAGGTTGTATGGTATGTATACCTATCGTACATATTTATAATCTAATTAAATATTACAATATATAATAAATTAATAGAAAATTTTACATAAAAAATTAAATAAAATAAAAGGAACTTGATAGAATTATATAATTGTAACGAGAATTATAAAATAAAAATTCATTATTTCATTTTTTTAGACATCATCTCCTACAGGAGAAAGGTTAACAAGGTAATGTTATCTGAATTGATTTTCGATGGCCTTTCTGACACATGCAGATAACTTGTTCTTTACAGAAAACACGGTCACATTGTTCAGGACAAACGCCAAAGCAATCCTCATTCGTAATACAAGCGAAGTCTGGTATGAAATTCCTTTTCAATGAAACTTCTTGTTTCGCCGCCGTCGTCGCCGCCTCTCTTGGTTCAGTCCCATCAACAAAACCTGTTAACCAGTTATTGTTATATCAGAAGAAAGAAAATACAACTTAATAAGAAAAGGTATTTGCTTACAACAGATGATGCCTATTAATGTCACCAAGAATGCCAAGTTGAATAGAACTCTTCCCATTTTCTTTCCCGATGAGAACTACAATTTCTGTTGAGGTAATTTGGCATGAATTTACATTTATATATAGAGAAGTGATATTAAGGATAATAAATGTTAATTATATTTATGGTATCTGAACTGTTAATTTTTTTATTTTAATCTTTGAATTAAGTGTATGAATTAATAATTTTATCTTCTTTTTTATTATTTTGAAATTGAAAGAAAATTAGAAGAAATTTTTTGTTATTTTATTTTTTAGAGAAAAGAGATATTAAATTATAAAAAAATTTTAACGAAATAAAAAAGAAAAATAAAATGAATTGATGTTTATGTTGGATATAATTTATGGAGCAAAATCATTCACTTTAAATTTTTTTCCGACGAAATAATGGTGTAATCTTATCATATCATACGTGCATGTGTATGGATTTATTCCTTAATTTGAAAATTTTATCAACTTTGGTAGGTAATAAATATTGTAAATTTATGATATATTTAGAAAAGTTTTTATTGATGCCCTACCACAAAGTTCCATTTGTCATTATTTTATTAATTATGAATTTATTTCCTTTTTTGATAATATTTGGACTAGAATTGTAAATGTTTAAATTTATTTCCTAATAAAAAACTTCATAATTTTTCTGATTTCCTTCCTTTTTTTTTTTTTTTTTTTTATGATATATTTAGAAAAGTTTTTATTGATGCCCTACCCACAAAGTCTCCCATTTTGCATTATTGTTATTAATTGATGAAATTTATTCTCCTTTTTTGGATAATATTTGACTTAGAATTGTATAATGTTAAAATTTTATTGCCTAATAAAAAACTTAACATTAATTTTTCTGATTTCCTTCCTTTTTTTTTTTTTTTTTTTGTTAATCATGGATATATTCCCGCTATTAGATATGAGAAGTTTTTTTTTTTTTTTTTTGTTAATCATGGATATATTTCCCCTATTAGATATGAAGTTTCATGTAATTTTATATATTATAGTTTTCTCAAATGCGTCTTGCACATTGTTTGTACTAGGTTATTTTTACTCGTTTCAAGTAAATCTAATTTAATACATATATTACTTGTTATTATAAATAATAATACTATAATAATTTTTTTTAATTTTTTGCCAAAGTCTATGAACATATAATTAATTTTATGGTTACCCTTTTTAAGAAAAAAAATTATTTGACTAAGCTTACAACTCACTTACGTCTATTTTATGACTGACCTTAAAGAGTGGATACTATCCCTCTTAGTTTCATTATTCACATTGTTTTTTATGACTTAGTAATATTTATAAATATCATTTTATCATATATTATCTATTTTTTATATATTATAAATATATTTCTATGTAATTGTAAAAAAAAGAAAAGAAAAGAAAAGAAAAGAAGCTGATAGAAAAAAAGAATTGCAACAGGAAATAAAATTCCATTATTTCATTATTTCATTACTTGATTTTAGATATGAAGTCCTATAGGCAGTGCACAGGGTAATGTTATGTCAACTGATTTTCGACTGCCTTTCTGACAATAGCAATTATAATCTTTACAGAAAATACGATCACAGGTGTTAGGACAAGCGCCTTTGCAATTGTTATCCGAAACACAAACTATTACTTTGTCCTTCTCATTATTACTTGTCAATGGAATTTCCTGTTTCACCATCTTCGTCTCTTCTTCTACTTCAGTCCCATCAACAAAACCTGTTAAGAGTGCAAAAGAATGATTCAACAGAAAATAAAACTTAATAAGAAAATGTATTTGCAAAAAAGAAACTAACAACGCATGGTGACAATCAGCATCATCAAGAATGCCAAGTTGAACAGAGCTCTGCCCATCTTCTCTGTCAAGGAGACTTGCAATTTTTGTTGTGTGAATTTGGCATGAATTTACACCTATATATATAGAGAAAGAGAGAGAGAGGTGACATTAAGAATAGTAAATCGTTGATTATAAGTGCATGTATACGTTTGGTATTTCAAAATTTTTATCAATTTAATAGGTAAGAAATATCATAAATTTCTGATATCTATTTATGATTTATAATATATATAAAAATAAAATGGATAGGGAATATTGAAATTACTAAATTTATGGATTGACAAGAATATTATTAGAAGATTTTAATTCGATTGGTGGAAAAAGTAAATGTAATTTATAATTAATTTTCTATTTAAATATAAATTCTATTGGATTAAAAAATAAATTATATTATATACTATATAATGTATATATTAAATATGACAATACTATTCGGTTCCACATTTTTTATAATTTGAATAGTGGTTTAAAAACTAATATTATCGGCAGTTCTGGAACTATGATTATGCCTAACACGTACCCAGTATAAAGTTTTAAAAAAAATTTTGGCATGAATTTACATTTATATGTAGAGAAGTGATATTAAGGATAATAAATGTTAATTATATTTATGGTATCTGAACTGTTAATTTTTTTTATTTTAATATTTAAATTAAGTATATGAATTAATAATTTTTATACAATTAAGTACGCATTTAATTGGAATTCTCATTAAAAAATTAAAATGAACTAATTTGCTCAATTATTTTATTTTATTTTATTTTCTAGATTATTATCTTTCTTTTTTTATCTTCTTTTTTATTATTTTGAAATCGAAAGAAAATTAGAAGAAATTTTTTATTATTTTATTTTTTAGAGAAAAGAGATATTAAATTATAAAAAAAATTTAACGAAATAAAAAAGAAAAATAAGATGAATTGATGTTTATGTTTGATATAATTTATTGCGCAAAATCATTCACTTTAATTTTTTTTTCCAACGAAATAATGGTATGATCTTATCATATCATACGTGCATGTGTATGGATTTATTCCATAATTTGAAATTTTTATCAACTTTAATGATATATAGTAATAAATATATTACTATATATCATATTACCATGTAATATTTATATATTATATTACCATATTTAATATATACATTATACATTTTATATGGTTTCTGTCAAAATTGTTGGTTTCAATTATAACAAATGATAGTATTACCATATTAGTGTTACCATAATTTATGTATATCTTATATAATATGATTTCTTACTTTACCGAATAGGATTTAAATTTAAATAAAAAATTAATATAACTAATCAAAATTAAATTTTTTAATGATATTTTTATCGATCTATAAACAAATAAAAATTAAATAACAATCAAAATTAAATATTTATAATGAAATTTTACGAATCTATAAACTTAGAAAAAGACGTTTTTTTTGGCGATTCCCCTATGTTCTCATTTCATTCTCCAACTTTTAATTTATACTTCTTTACTTTAAATATCTATTGTACGTTATTTTATATCGTTTCAAGTAAAATGTAATTAAAATTTTATATATATTTTTTATTTATTATATAAATTAATATTATAAATTATAATATTATCAACAATTTATATTACTAAAAATTTAAGAGCATTTAAAAAATATAAAAAGAGCGTTCTATGAAATAATTAAATAACTTGTTAAAAAAATAATATATTTATACGCATTAATGTAATTTGACAACCAATACCGTTTGTTAGTTCATTCCTTAGCTAGAGTCTCTTGTAATTATGCTTGGTTTAAGGTATGTATGAAATTTATTCTTTGGTTAGTACTTAATACAACGGTATTCCCCTTTCATCGCAAATCTTCAATCCAATTATTATTATCTCACACTAATAGATTTTAAATTCCTTTCAAAAAAAAAAAAAAAAAAATGCATAAAAATTAAGAAATTTCAAGAAAGTTCGGTAGAATGAACAAATATAAATATTTAAGAAGCCCACAGAAATTCTGACAATCTTGCCTTTGCTGATGAAATATCGAACAAAGGAATTGCCTTTAAAAAAAAAAAAAAAAAAAAATCAAATTAACAGCATAAAATTAGAAATTTCAAGAAAGTTCGTAGAATGAACAAAAATAAATATTTAAGAAGCCCACAGAAATCTGAAATCTTGCCTTTGCTGATGAAATATCGAACAAAGGAATTTGCCTTCTCCTCTTTCTTTCTTAAGCTCCCTTTAAGCTCTTCCCTCTGCTATTTTAAGTTCTTTGAGGTTATCACCTGCCATCATTTTTTTTTTTTTGACCTTTTCCTTCTGTTGCCTACCATTTTCTTTATATAGCATTTTTCTTCAGGGCTTTTAAGCCTTTAAAATTTACCTCTCTAAATCCAATTCAAACAGGGAGTCTGATTTGGCGTATCCGAACATTAAATTATAATAATCTTATCGTTTTTTGAGTTATAAAGTGATTATGAAAGAAACTAACCACTCTCCAATTAATCTCCTTGGACGGAGCAAGCTCATCTTGAGGTTCTAACTGCCTCCATACTCAGACCTTAATATTTACCCATAGCTGAAATCCCAAAGAGAAAATTTGAATCAAACAAAAAGAGAGCCAATCGAACTATGCGGAAAGAGTTTACATCAACAGGCAAACAAAGCATACAACATCTTAAATCATGCAACCAAAACCAGCCAAAAGTACAATAACAGAGTTTAGTCTTTTATTCAATAAGCATTCCTGTCTATGATCATCTTCTAAAGCTGTCTGGCAAATATATGTTTCAGCTGCCTTGTTTTTATTATGGTTGTCTTGAGCAGCAGTTTAACCTTGCAAGCCAATAACTCCTGCAAAAGAAGTAAATTTATGAAAATCACATGCCTATTTTTCCAGTTATGATGAATAACTTAAAATCATTTCATGTCTCACAGTAAATGGAACAATTTTGTTTTAATGTGACCTAGAAAGTTTATTACTTACCACATGCTACTCTGCCACCAGCATTTCCAGTTGATTTGCTAAGTTCATGTCCTCCTGCATATAAAAATGCAATGAGTCAAAGACTGTTTCTTCTTGTGATCCAGTGACAAATTCTAAAACAATACAAGAGAAAATGTGGTGCGTCGTCTGTCAATTTTGGTAATATACAGTCATGGTAAAGCAACAATGATACAAGTCAAAGTACACTCTGGGGTATAGGTGAATGGACCAGCAAAGATAGTCAACTTCAATGCATCACGAAACACAAAGTTCACTGCAAGCATTCTGCTTGTTCACCAATAATACTATAATAACCATAAAGAAATGTTGACTAAATCTGATCACAAAAACCTCTACTGCTAAACGAGCAACAAAAAACAAGTGTCTTCACAAATGGGGGAAACAGCCTAACGCGCACTGTAATTAGCATATAGGCAACTCAAAATTCAACTCTGATCACCAGGCAACATTAAAGCTTTACTCATCAGTGATATATAAATCAGCAATTATGTAAGACCTGAAAATAATTTTTTAAAGCTGAGAACAAAAGATTACCCTTGCCAAGATCATCAGGATCAGCATGTACAACGACTGCCCTTCCTACAATGGAATGTGGACCAGTAAGAGGAATCTGCTTGTCAACAATTGTGAAGTTAACAGTGCCTGGACCGCACAAGAAACACAAATGTTAGTGAACCGGGAAATATCACCGTCAACTAAAAAGAATTAGTAAAGCAGGAAAGAAATAAGCAGAAAAAGATAAAAATGAAATCAATTCTAACACCAACTTCTCGACTAACAGGAGAAATGTTGGTACATTAGAAATGAATTTAACAGTGAAATCACACAATCATGCATACCATCATCACCGACATTGACATTTCCCAAATCACCAGCATGACGATTCCCATCCTCAGGGGCACCATGCTCTTTGCCAGCAGGATTAAAATGTGGTCCTGAAAACAGAGCATCATAAAATTGAGCATGGATAATCTCAATAAACATTAGCAGATATTTTGGTTCTGCAAAATAAGCCAACTGCTTCAATATGTAAAGAAGAAAATTTGTCAGCCAATTAACAATACCAGTTGACATGCAACCATTTGTTGTGTCTCCAAGGGCATGAACATGGAAACCATGAAGTCCTGGCTTAAGGCCAGATATGCTTCCAGTTACAGTGGTTGGACCTGAGGAAAAATTAATTGAAGATGATTACCCATACATGTAATTAACAACGTGAATTCCAGTCAAAATTGACGAGAGCATTGAAATACCATCTGCTTCTTGGGTAAAGAAGATAGTCCCTTTAACACCCTCACTGCTGTTAAGGACTGCGACAGCCTTCACCATTGTTCTGTGTGATCTAGAACAAATAGAAGTTAAATGCTGCACATAAATTATTGCCTAAGTAAAAAGAATTGAAAAAGATATCTAGATGCGTGGCAACTAACAAAAACAAGGGAGAAAGGACAAAAAGAAAAAGTTAATATGTTTGCCTGAACTTCAAGGAAGTCCAACATCAATCACCAATTATTATCTAGCTCCATTATTATTATGCTAGCAAGTCAGAAAGCACAACTATATTTCATAATCATGAAGCTGATATAGAATCTAGACATCAGAATTGAACACATGAAAATAGCAACTACTGCCATAAAAAACACTAAAAAAGCTTGACACTGGAACCAAACATTTGGAAACAATTTACACAATTCAGAAGAGCATAAATATTACAGTCCCAGAGAAAGTGGACTGTAAAACACGGACCATAGGTTTAAGTAGCTCCAACTTCCACAGAAGGATTATCAAAGAGGAAGCACATTACAACACAGAATCACAAGCAGAAAAATGATAGTTGATCTATTTGCTACAGACAACAAACAAACTCGTTTAGAATCCATCTCCATTGGTTTCTGAGACTCTGGCAAATTTGCAACTGAGACCAAGAGCATATCTACCAGAAAACGAGGAAATATTTAAGTCACTAACACCTAGCTCCGCCATGGAGCAAAAACTTTACAGATCTGTCAACAAAACATACAATCCCCAAGCAACTACAACAAAAAGATAAAATCCAATTGCAGATTTAAGACCCAAGCAAATGAAATACACATATAAACCAATATCACACTTCTGTTCTTACATAACAAGCAAAAAAGAAACCATAATACATAAAATCCAGTCTCCTTGAGTGCGAACAACATGAAAGCAACTATACAAATGAAACAAAAGAAAAATCATACAAATGACCCAAAAAGAGGATGATCTTTGAGAAAATTCAAACAAAGATGAAATCAAACACATAACTCAACCAGAAGGACAGAAATTAGAATGATCGAAACTATAAATGCCGATCAAATAACAAAACTTAGAATAATCTAGATCAGAAATGATAAAACCCTAGGAAGAAAGTGAGAATTCAAGCTTTTACCTCAGAGCACCCCTTTGACAGAGAAAGTAGAGAGAGAGAGAGTGTGTGTTAGTGAGAGTGTGTGATGGCTGAATATTGTTGACGACGTGGGATTTTGTATGTTATATAGAAAATTGTGATTTATAAATGGGGAGGGAAAAAAGAAAAAAGAAAATAAGAAATTTTTTTATTAGTTTCTAGACTTCTCGTTTTTATCCTCACCTACCCCACTGCAAATTGGTAATTTCAAAAAATCACACAAATGAGATGCAACACCTGAAGCTGGAGATTACCGAAAGCTTGATCCAATTTTATACCCATTTTCCTTTTTTTTTAAATTATTTATTATTTAATTTCTCAATGTACACTAATTTAAAACAAATTTATATTTTCAATGGTATATTGTAAATGCTATTTTAGGAAAAATTAAATAAAAAAATATAATTCAATTATATTAATTAATTTTTTTAATATTGAATTCAAAAACTAGGGTATATATATATGAGAGTAAATTTATTTTTATTATTTTTAATTTTTTCTGTTTTCCAATTTTTAAATGAATTATTAGACGGCAGATGTAGTTTTTAATTTTTAAGACAGAGGTAGTCAAGGGCTTGTGCCATTCCGTGAAATAATAAATAGGGGTTGGCTGGTGCTACCAAACGAGGCACGCCGATGGTGTTTTTTTCTCTTTAGATCCAAATAAATTAGTATTCTATCATGCTTATCCCATTTGATAATTGGATTTATCATATACAAATATTTTTAAAAATTGTAATTTCATCTGTGCAATATTTATTATAAAACACCAAATTTTTTAAATTTTTATTACAATTGCACCTTAAAATTGAATTGGATTAAGAAAATAACAAAAGCTAAAAATCCTTTGGTTCGTAATTTTGACTCAAAACTTTAAAATATTAAAAATTTATAAATTCATCTATATATGTTATATATAAATATTTTTGACATTTTTAATTTTTAATTTGATATATTGAATATTTTAATTTTGTACCACAATATATCTTCTGTAAACATGCCCATAAAATTCATCTCTCCCGTCGATAAACTGAATTACTGCCTTCCGAGGGATGAGCACTGGTAGTGGTCAAGATCTGCCTCTGACGATGATTTTCTAAATGGAGGAGAAAAGAATGAGTAAACAGAATCTGGTCTGCTTTTGCTTTTCTTCATCTTTAGCTGTACATATTACTGATATGGATGCCAAAGATGATAAGAAATTGTTCTCCCTTTCACTTTATTTCTTATTCTCTGAACCTTTTCCTCCCTTGCACTCCTCCTTATCCTCTGATATTATCCTCCTCCTTATCCTCCATGTTAATGGGAATGTAATTCTGTTTTCTGAACACTATACGAAACTGATTCCAAAGCAGCAAGATAGTTTTATATGAACGTCTAAACCTTTTAAATTTGTGGTTATTTAAAATGTTAATCTTGATCAAAACCATTTAAAAATTGAGTTTTTTTTTTTTTTTAAATGTTAACAGACTCATACTTAAAAATTAACAGAAGCTCTCTCAACAAACTAAATGACCATGAAGATGAAATTCGCAAAAATTTTCTTGGTGAGCAATCAAAAGTTAGACTCAGCAGGTGTTCTGGAATCAGTCTCCAGCCCTCTTCGAGACGCTTGCCAGAGCTGGTTCTCCATACCTAACTTCTTAAGCTCCAATAGCCCTCTTTCAACTGTTCAAAGAATGAAGCATTAACAAACAAATTATAACTCAAAACTCAACTATAGCTAACCCTTCAAACATTTAAAAACAAAGGTTTATGGTTATTTAATTATCATATTAATTTATTACAAAATAAGGAAAATCCATCACATTGTTTCTTCATTTAGCAGCTAATGGATGTAGGAAAGGAAAATGATAGTATACATGTGAGGGTGCATCGTGCTCATGTGCATTTATGTTAGATAGAGATGATTACCATCAACTGCATCAAGTGATGAGGAAAACCGATTGCTGTGATTGATCCAGAACTGCAAACGCTCATCTGCTATGTCCTCTTCAAGTCCATGGGTTTTCGCTCGTTTCCAAAAATATGTAAGCCAAGCCTGCATTGGCATTTTAAAAAAGAATGAAAGAAAGAAAATAATTTAACAAAGTTCTCCTTTGTTAGCTGTTAACCAGCTCAAACGAGTGGAAGGCTCATTAGGCCAATGCCCAATGGTATTACTAATATCTCGTACCTGCTTAAAACGCACGTCTTCAGACTCCTCTGGACTTAGTTCTGAAACAAACAATTTCTCATAAATCATTTATCCAACATCGTCTAACCACTACTGCATTATAAGAAATGCAGTCCGTAAAAGCAAAAAGTACAAATAAAAAATACAAAACATAAGCATAGAAACAGCATCCTTGATATCTGGCCTGACTGAAGTTTTTCTCACATGTCATTTCTGTTTTGGTTAACTCACATCATCACTAGATGCAAGGAGCTATCCACTTTGCGAGTGACGTACTAAATAGAAAAAACTTTTTAGTTAACTGTCAGCTGAATGATGAACTTACCGAATGCTTCAAACTGTCCTTCAGCAGGTAGCTTCACTTCGTCTTCAATCATAGCCATTAGAAATTGAAATAACAGAAAAACTATCAGAGTCTGCCTCTTGTCAGTGATCATACGAACAACTATGTAAATTGAATTTAAATCAGAAACTGAAATAAACATTTTCTTGGAATGAATTAGTTTTTTACATAAATTTAAAATGAAATGCTGCATAGCAAGTTGAAAAGAAATTCAACAAAAGAAACTCCTTGCATTTGGTGAGCTATTGTAGAGGAGAATGAACTAAACAGAATCATTAATTACTTATGAATAAAAAAAGTGCATTCTGGTAACTGGGTCTACATATTCAGTGCTTTATTAGTTGTTATCATTGGATATAAGGGGGAAACAGCAACATTCAAAGTGAAAATCTTATAAAAAGTGGAAAATAAGTCAGAGCCCCTGCATCCTTAATTCAATGGTTTATCGAAAAGAATTAGTCTTTCGATTACGTATATTGGTTTGGATAGATAACCAAAATTTCATATAAGATAGAAAAAAAGTAGAAAATAGTAATAGTTCAAGACAAGGTTTACCACCGAGGGATTACATTAACATTCAACAAGCTCTAGGACACGCTAGTTGATTATCTTGTGGATGCAATGTAACTGATGATTCAGTACTAAGAAATACTACAAAAATATTTTAACTCACACCTGTTTTCTGCAAATTTTGTCGCCGTACCTGAGCCATGGCCAGTGCTACAGCATCTTCTATCTTCAAATTAAAAGCGAAAAGATTTTAAGAAGTATAAATAGCTGCTCATTAAAACTAACAAGGAACAACTCCTCCAAATAATCACACAATTGGACATGCAAAAATTTATTTCTTTGATTAACTACATATTGTAATATAAATGATGGTAATTTCACAATCACATGAATGCACAACCCAGTTTTCCAAACTTGTTTTCAAGTTGAATAAAAGAAATATGCAAATAATTTAGAATGCAAATTGTTTTTCCAAGTTATCGGCTCTCTTCTATGAAAATTTAAAATCCTCCTTTTCCATCGAAGCTCTATATTTTATAAGCATAAGTCCAAAAATAAACTGGAACATGCTTTTGTAATTAAATATATTCCTAAAACTTAAAAGGAAGCATAATAGAATCTGATAGGTATATTTTGATTTTAATTTCGGACGGTGATGAAGAATTAGAAGTATGTGGTCAAGGCTAAACAACTAACCTGAGGAGATTTTTACATATAAACATGTAAGTCCATACATCCAAAACAGTCCCAAATTGAAAGTGAGGTGTGTGTTTCAGTGAGTGGCATTGAACTACACCAGATCTGTTTTTTATTAAGGAGACAAAAAATCTGATGACATAGACATGAAAGTGAAAAGCAGTCATCTGAAAATGGTTTAGATTACTCTGCATCTGGCAGAGGCACAGAGAGGAAAAATTTCAGAGAAGGCATAAATTATATATATATGCACTTATCAGTACAAAGGAATTCTATGAAAAACCAGTTAATATCACAACGGTCAGTTAAGAAAACAGCTAATATTTCAAAAGGTATGACAAAAACCTTCAACGAAGCCAGTTCTCGCAGACCTTTCTCAACTGCAAGCATGCTCTCAATGTTTCCGTCCCCAGAAAGATCATTCATGTCTTGTAAAACTCTCTCTCTTTCATTTGTATCATTGTTTTCTGCTCCAAATGCAGTAAACAAAAGATAATGAGCAAATTGAGGCATTTCCAGCAGTTTTTGAACAATAAAATCAATACAGAGATACAAGGAATAGAATAAATTCAAAACCCAAGGTAGGACATCTGAAAACAATTCAATAGTCAGATGCATTATCAGGAAGAAAAGCAAACAACAAGGCGTAGACCTAATGAGTCCTCTTCTTGAGCTGTCTGTCCAGCAGCTAATACAACTTCAACAGGAAGAGGTGCAAAGGATGACCAGTATTCATATTTTGCTCCAGCAATTTCTGCATGTATACCTGAAAAAAGAATTGTAATGACACATTGGTTTCTAATAAGTTTCTTCATTGATCACAGTTTGTCCAGTTGTTACAAAATGCAACTTCCTAGTGTTCTGATATAGTAATGAATTGAAATTCAGCATGAAAATTAGTAGGGGAAAAACAACATAGAATCCTCCTATCATGTATGGATAAGATCCATCATCCAGAATCAGGTTAGAGTACTATGGCAGCTTGAAAGCTTATATACTATAATATGCAGAACTACAGGTAAACAAACTCTGAGTTAGGAAATGAAAATGAGCTTTTCTTAACCCAGATTTGACAATTCTCAGATGATAATAAAGAGAGAAGTCTGCAGTATGGCCTTGCTACCCTTAGGCTTATTCGTGTACCATTAACCTCCACTAGAACAGTTAAACTAAGAAGCAGCATTTTCATCACATTTCAATGAATGGAGCACAGATTTTGCAGATTTTAGTTAACTGTATGTGTGTATGTATATATGAAAGTGCGGATATAAGCAACTAAATGAAAAAAGAAAGCAATTAAAATTCATGTTTGCATTAAAATGACTAACCATGTTGAACACATAAGCTCCAATATCGTGCAAGCCAACACCTCTTTAGAACAACTTCTTCCTAAGATGAAAACTGCAAATCATATCATTATGACATAAAGGATACCAAAAGAAAACACTAAGTAAATAATAAGTAAAAAATGCTAAGATCGAAGACAAACCATCTCTTCTTGAGTCAGAACCATTCTCTGTGTCATATTCCTGAGTGATTTAACTTCACACTCAGCTTCATGAAGCAGTTCCAAAGCAGATGTTGCCTCATCCTTAGCAGTCTAAATTGTAATCCAGAAATACAATCAGTGCAAGTTAAATGGGGCACTCCTTATCTTGACATATTAAAGAGTAATAAAAGAACTAAAAGGAGAAAGATAGAAAAGTACCTCAGCTTCAGTCCTAAGAGCAGTAACTGCTACAGGTTTCCTACCTTGTTCTGCAACTCTTAAAGCAGCCTGAACAAAAGTCATGTCCATATTCCATATTTCATGTATAACTACATATAAAGTGATAAGAAACCTCAAACAAGCTAAAGGAGAATGCCATTAGCTATTGTGTTCATCCTTTTTTTTGGGTATGTAAAAAAAATTGTTGGGAGGAAATTTGAAGCATAATCTTCTACAATACAAGAAAAGCACTTGACCAGACAGAAGAAGCAAGCCATAAGAGACAAAGTAACACTTTAATGCCATCAATCTAAGAATCAGTATAAGCATGTCCATCACCAAACTCCTGGAAGTCAATCAGATACTCCAAGAACCAAAAGCTGCTAGATTTTCAATAATGTGATGGTTCCAAATTTACACAGACATCCAATTTTTGTTTCCAAATATAAATTGATTAAAACGGTGATAGAGTAATAGCATACCCCTCTGTATGTTCCAAATAACAGATGCATGTGAACATGCATATATAAAATTATAAACATGTGCTGAGGGAATCTCAGCATATACCTCACCCTTTGTAAAACATATATATCATTCAAACATGACATAATGTATGTGCAGCAACTCCTTAATACTATACACAGGTATGCATATAGAAAAAGAGAGCAAAACGCTTAGTGGTACTAACCTCCCTTTCCTGCAGAGCTGCCTCCTTTCTGAAGATTCAAAAAAATAAAATAAATTAGCTATTTATATCTAATATGACAATGTAATAGAAAGCATCTAAATTATGAGGCTTGCCTGCTTAAAAGGCGAGCTTCTAATGTTACACCTTCTCCAAGTGTAGCAACCTAAATGGAAAACATGTCATCAGACACAAAATAGCAAAATTGAAGTTGGAGTGGAATGTACAAATACTCACTTCAATGTCAATACTGGGATTTCAATAATCAAGAATCTGGGTGGAAAAAGAAAAAGAAAAGAAGAAACAAATAAAGCAAAGTTGATGCTGGAATATAAACTAAGATGGAATAGAAAGAAATCATATTACAAGAGAGAACTTATAAGGCATTAATGAATAAACTATGATGGTATAAACCCTGAGCTTTAAAGCTACGCACTGGTGTAGGAACTAGAACGGGTACAATGAAGCCATTTTCTTTTATCTGCTAATGTATTTAGTTATTGCTGAAATGAAAATAAATGGGTCTTCCTTCTCTTGGAAAATAACTAGAAAATTAAACTAGTTAATGATAGAAAAATGGATTTCATTAATAATAAATTTGCATCATTTTAATGTACTAACATGCAGCTGACATGTTTTAGCTTATTTGAACAACCAAGATAATGTGACTCGGAGCTACAAGCCTACATGTGTATGTGTGTGTATATATATATATATAAACCCTGAGCTTTTAAAGCTACGCACTGGATGTAGGAACTAGAACGGGTACAATGAAAGCACATTTTCTTTTATCTGCTAAGTGTATTTAGTTTAATTGCTTGAAATGAAAATAAAGGCGTTCTTACCTTCTCTTGGAAAATAACTAGAAAATTTAAAACTAGTTAATGATAGAAAAAAAGGATTCATTAATAATAATATTTGATCATTTTAATTACTAAACATTGCAGCTGACATGTTTTAGCATATATTTGTTAACATACCAAGATAATGTGACCGGAGCTAACAAGCCTACATGTGTAATGTGTTTGTATATATATATATATTATATATATATTTATTTATTTATTTATATTTGTTTAACTTTAAAAAAAGTACCTGCTTTTCAAGCAGCCTAGCTCTTGCCTCTGCTTCCTCAAACCTCTCCTCTGCAAGTCGAAGCTGAATGCGCACATATCACAATATAGAACCAAAAGAAGTATATGATAACACTAACAATATTAAACCATTTATTATTACGTTTTCGTGCAATTCCATTGACATCATTTTTTGTTGAGTGAATATGTTGTAAGAGTGTACTCAATTTTATATTTAAGATAGAAATTGAATATGGGCTATTGCAGCACCTTGCACAAATGAAAATTATTTGTTAGCCGGGAAAACCAAATTGATGTGCATAAGTAACATATATAATGTTCTTAAATTGGAAAATTCATGAACTGATCCTGTGTTGAATAATCACAATGCTATACAAAAATAAGAAAAGATGAAATGTTATCCCACCTTTTCAATTAAACTATCATTTTCTTCCTGTAGCATATCAACCTGCACCAAAATTCAGAAAATCTTATAAATATCATAACGCTACTCAAGGAAATTGAAAAAAGTTGAACGTGATTTCCAGAAAGAAGCAAAGGCTGATAAAAAATATGCTAACAACTATTAGGCGCTCCAACCATATTTTTATCAGTTGGCAAAGTAGTCATACCTCATCCTGTAAAGCAGAAGTTGACTGATGGCTGCCAGCATCTCTTGCATTCGCACTCCCAAAATCTACTGACAACCTACAATAGAAAGTTGAATGTACAATTGTATCAATTGAAAGGAGTACAGCAATCAACTTGGATAGCATACCAACTGCTCGGAGGACTAAAAAACCAACCGCTGTGCCATCATGTAGCCTTATAATCAACAGCAAAGGTCTTAAAACTTCAACCAATAAAACAAAATGGTAATGACTGCTAATTTATGGCCATAGAATAACAATAATAATTTTCTATGTGAAAATGTCAGCAACATCCGTTATCTATGCACTCCTGTGCGAATGAACATCATATTGTTGAGTTGAAGTTGGATTTAGTTCCTCCATTGTACAGTATAGCACATAGAAGAAGAAAATGATATCTACCCAATTTTTTGAAGTGAAAATTCAGGTTTGGATTCTCAAAGTACCTTTTCTCTCTCCGATTATTCACTGAACACTTTGGCGACATTAAAGGGGAGGCTGGCCTTAGTGATATAGGTACACTAGAGGGCATTGTAGCTGTCTTCATGCTTGGACGGTTAACTGATAAAGTACGAGCTGATGGAGACTGTTCAACGGAGTTGACAGAAGATCGAACAGACAGTGAAGGACGAAGAGAAAGAGGCTGTTCTGTGGAATTGGTAGATGATCGACCAACCACCAACGGACGACCAGATATGGGCTCTTCAAAGTTGTTTGTGGACAGAGGAGATGGTTGTTCCCCAGAACTAACAAACGGTATCGGTCGACTGCCTGTTGTTGAAAGTGCAGATATAGGTTGTTCTTGTTTGGTACGAACCGTCTAATAGAGACAACATGGCAAATATAGCTCATAGGGTCAATAAAATATTTCACAAACTTGAACCAGTCATTAAATGAACTTTCCAATTTTCACCACAAGAACCAATTTAACACAATTTCAAGCAGAAACAAATAATTTTACCGTCCATGGAACTATAAAACGTGACCAAATGTCATTAACTTTAAATCAATGAAATTTCATATCACATAATAACTTGTCTACTTAACCTTATACGTGACCTGCAACACTATATAAAAAAAAATGCAATAATCGCTACATGCTTAGAATAGTTAAAAGGTCAATCACCATAGGAGAACGAGATCTCAAGGAGTTTCCACCGGCACGTCCAATGGTCGCCGGACCAGTCATTAAGCCATAATCGCCATCCTTGTCCTCGTAAGATGTTTGTGTTTTTGATTGTGTTTGCAGTTGCGGTTTCTTCACAGCTGCAGCACTAACTATAGGTCTGGTCTGCACTTTATAATGCAAGCAAGTCTATATCAGAACATGTACGTCTTATACTGGAAATTGTAAAATCTTATGTCCATCAGACCTAAGATCCGCCACCAAATAATAGTTAAACAGCCGATCAAAATCCACATAGAAGATGAAGAAAAAATAGCATTACCACTGGAGAACTTTGGCGCGGCATTCTTCTTCCACCAGCAAGGCCAATGCTGCCGAAGCCGGTCGCTTTATAATCAAAAGAAAGTTCATCGTCTTCATCATCATCATCATCTGTTTTAGTTGACATCACCTGTGCAAGCCTCTGCGCCGCAGCTTTTGTCTGTGCTTTCCTCGCGCTAGGCATTCCAGTGGATCCTGCTCGGACATGGCGTGAGTGCACCGGAGACATCATTGGTGATGGCGGAGTCCCTGGTGACTCCGTTGAGCTCCTCTGCCTTCTGTACACCGGATTTCTCCGATCCATACCTAAAAAAATGAAGCAATTTGGTCAGATTTTTACTCAATCGCAGAATATAAATGTAAAAAAAATAACTCCATTCAAAAATTAAATTAATTAACCTGATATTAATATGACATAACATCAATTGAAATCAACCAATTAAAACCAGTCAATTCTAAAATTCAAATCAATCAAGAACGGGAACAAGTAAATTTTATGATTTTTTTTTTCCTTTGGATTTGGGGCATGAATGGAAATGAAATGGATCAATTTTAGCGAGTGGAACGATATGATCCGATTGTCAAGGCAAAAAGGAGGGAAAATGAACCAGAAAGTGGAGGTTTTAACGGTCAGTTTTTGGAAAGGACTTCTTTGCTGATATCTGACACTGACAACAGTTCTAATTACAAATTTGCCCCAAGAATGAGTAGCCAAATGTTTTCACCTAGATTAGACACTATCATACTATGAAAATAATAATTGCATTTATATCATTTAATCCGTCTACGAATATAAGAAGTTTAATAAGTAATTAATTCTTTAAAATTATAATAGAATGTCCATTAATTTAATTAAATTATATTTTAAAAAATTTATAATTACTACGTATAACATAAATAAGAATAAAAGCGAACAAAAAATAAATATAAAAAACACAATTTATATTAATAGAAAGGGAAGTATATAGCATTTTTAAAATATAAATTTTATTTGAGAATAAAATACAAATTGTATAGAATTTAATTTTTTATGAAATTATTTTTATAATTCTCAACAAAAGAAATTATTTTTACCATACAAGTTATTGAATTTAGTGTTGTGCTCTTTAACCTTTAAATCTAATCACTAAATTAAATTTATTTTCGAAAAAAAATCACTAAACTAAATGCAAATACACTTTATCATATTTCTTATAAGAAAAAAAAAAAAACTCATGCAAAATATGATTGAAAAGTATATGAAAGATGAGCTAGAAATAAAATTAATTTATGATTAATTAAACTATATTTATTGTAATGAATGAAATTAAAAGCTTATAAAATAAATTTGTGGGTCAACGAAATATACATATATTTACTTTTAGTTTTAATGACTTTTAAATTTAATTATACTAAAAAAATGACTTTTAAATTTAATTAAGAGATTATATTTATATTCTACCACCAGAAGATTACAAGATGTTCAATTTGACAGTCAAACAAACAGCCCTTCTAAAGTCTTATCCTAAAAGATTGTAACCGGTAACTCTGTTCCCCGATCGATCACCGAACAATCAAGCATCTACTTCTGTACTTGACCTGCCAGAAAGCAACCATTACAGATCATCTCAAGGATCGCAAAAATACCAACATTTCAAAAGCCTAGGGTTAGGGTTTTCCCCTCTCATATCTTTCTTTAACCCACGGACAATGCGAAATCTCCATCAACAATCTGCAGGGTCTCCATTATTTTCGATCCCTGTATTACAAAATCCTGATTCTAACCTTAAAGAAGGGGGCTTTCTTGGCTCAGGATTGTATATTTGGCTCTTTGAGTGCCATGGGTTCTTGCACAATGTGACTCTGATTTTGGCTTCGCTTGCTTTTGTACTGTACTTGGCATTTCAGGCTAAAAAGAGCGTAACGAAGTTGTCCCATGGGAGATCGTATATCATGATCGCTTATTATGGGTGTCTTTGGCTCGTTAGCTTGCTCAATCTTGCTTGGTGTTGCTTTCAGGTTTTTTACTTTCAGTTTGAAGCCCGAATAGTTTCTTGAATGAATATTGCAAATTTTATTAGTTTTTTCTTAATTTATTTCTTTCGACAAGTTTGGTTATTGATTTAGCTTTTAGTTTGGATGTTGGAGATTTTGAATGTGTGTTGCAACTCTGGCTGTAAATAAGCGGTTAAGTTCTTTGTCTCCTAGTTCTGTGGTTTATTGTTTTTTTTTTTTTTTTTTTTTTTTTGGCTGTAAATAAGCGGTTAAGTTCTTTGTCTCCTAGTTCTGTGGTTATTGTTTTTTTTTTTTTTTTTTTTTTTGGAGTCTTTTGTGTTATTGAGTGATTCCCTAATTTTTTTTTTTTTTTTTTTTTTTTTGGAGTCTTTGTGTTATTGAGTGATTCCCTAAGAATTCTTTAAAAAGACTGCTTCTGGATTCTTCATAGACAATCCAAATTAATATAGTTGTTGCTTACAATTTGGTCGCGGAGGTGGTACTACTATTTTCAGGATTGTTGTCCTCTCTACTCATCTTGGTCTTATTACATGTAGATCTTTTGGGAGCAACAATATAATTGCCCAGTAATCTTGCTGGTGAATGGAAATAATTCCTTGTTATACAGCGGTTTTTCTGATTTTTTTCTCAATACAGGTTACCATTTATAGTATATAAATATCTAAACGGATGCGTTAGAGAAGAGGCCCTGCTAGTTTTAGCTATTCAGTAGGCATTTAGCTTTTCCCTCTTAATGTAGACCTTTGTACATGCTGTGGGAGTGAGTGCATTACATATACTTGGTCTTTTTGATAGAAAAATGCCAAAGCTTGATGTGCAAAGTTATAATAACATAGATGGAAGGATGTTGGTGTTATTGAGTGAACTGTGCTTGCAACATAGAAGTTGTTTACTGTCAGTGGCTCACATGACAGGTCTGTTGATGGACAAAATAGTGCATTTACTACTATATATGAAACTATCATAGTAGATCACCAACCTTTCAATACAGAATATGTTCCAGTGTGCCATATATCATTGATGGCTGTGATAATTGATTTTGATTACTCTGATTAAAATATGTGCCAAGGAACTAGTAGGTTATGTGTCTCTGTTTTTGGCATAACTTATCCAATGAAGGGCACTAATTGCAGTCATCTTGGTTTTTTGTGGTGCTATTGCTCATGAATTCCCTCTTCCACCAAACTCCGTCGGTCTCACTCTTGAACTGGAAATTTTGTCCTAGTTAGTTTCTTTGTTGATAAAAACTACGAATTGACATCTGCTAAGGTAGTTATTATTCCTGGTTATTATATGCTAAATTTTGCTTGCTTCACGTACGAGATGCTGAATTTTAAATGTTAGCAACACAGTTTCACTTCTTATATTCATTGAAAATTGTCTTCCATGCTTTGTATCACATAGGTCAATTATGCTAGTTTTTTGAGGTTATTCTTGCTGCGTCTCTTTCTTGGGCCTTTTCCTACAATCAAGTGAAATTATCTTTTCTATGGTACAGGCATGGGAGTGCACTTCTGGGAAAGAATTGTCATGGAATATCTTATCTTTGTTTACAACATCTGGAATGTTGTTTCTTGAAGTAAGCTTGATCGCCTTTTTACTACAAGGAAATTATTCTAGCGGGTTGGAAGCTCTAACACGAACCTTTGCTGTCTCAGCACTCATTGTTGGTTTGGACATACTCCTCAAGGTAGTTCTTTTTGTTTTTTTCATCAAAACCTTTTAACTATTCTTCTAACCAGCTCTCTCTGATATTGACAGTGGGCACTAATATCATATAGGGAAGAGACACAATTTCCTGTTTCATGTTGAACTAACAGCATTATGTGTTGTATATTTTGCATACTATTTTTGGAATTTTTATGATTGGAAAATGAAAGCTCCAATATTTTAAGTGTTATGACGCATGCCTGGGTCATACTTTGGGTGTGATGATGACCTCTCTTCTCTTGCAGGCAATCTATATGTTTGGCCTTGGGATCCCCTTGTTCATTGATGACCATGAGCAGTCACATCATATGAAGTGGAACTTGTGGGTTGTCCACAGGCTAGTGCTAACTGCAGTTTATGGCTTTATATTGTTCATGTATCATTCCACGTGGAGGGAAAGGTTACCTGGTAAGTTTGTCAAATACATATGCTTTGACACAATTGGGTTTGATGAGTTCAACAGCTGTTTTATGACTTTGATCTTTTCCTCCCATTTATTTTGCAGCAAGGCCTGCATTCTACAAGTACATTGTGATCATGTTCACCTTGAATGCACTAGAGTTATTTGCCTGTGGGCTTACAGGGAATGGTGCTGGTTTTGGTTTCTGGTAATTTCGGATCACATTCTCACAAAATTGCATTTAAAATACTCAGGAACCATGTAGAATATTTTCTTATTTTTTCTTCTTAATCTTCTTTTGCAGGTTGTACGGCACCACAATTGTTTGCTACCATGCCTTTTACTTGCCTCTGCTGTACATAACATTTTTAGCAGACTTTTTTCAGGTTATTATCATCACCTGATCTGTTTCTTTGATTCCTCCAAACTTTATTTTACCATTTCCATCTGCTGCTAATATATCATATACCGTAATAATTCTTACATACTAGTCAGGTTCTTGATTAGCGGTTGCATTTGTTATGACTGTAGGAGGAAGATTTGCATCTAGAGAATGTATACTATTCAGAGATGAAAGATGCTGGTTTCTTTGATGCTGACTGGGAGTGATGCAGTGAGAGTTTCTGAATCTGCTCAATGGTGTGTACATAGAAGTGCATGCACTTTCAGTTGGCCAAAAAAAAAAATTGCTGCACTTAAAAGGATACCCGTTCAATGCCCGTATGAATTGGTACCTGCAGTTGTATGGAGAACTTAGCTGTAGTAAATGGGATGGTTTGTCGAGCACCAATTGGGACTGCTAGTTAAGCCTGTATTCAATCTTTTCTGTATGATACAGAATAAGTGAATCCTGAAAAATGTTTAGTGGACCAATTTGGGTAACACAAGAACTAGTATATCGTTCTATAACATCTAAACATCTAATTAAATTCCCATATCATTTGCAGTGTCAACCGAGCAAACCCTTTATGTAGACTGCATAATTTGGTATATTTTGTCACAACTACTGATTAATCATGTGGGCAATGCTTTGGCAAGTTGAGCTGTCTCTGTGACTTGCTTTAACTCATCTTGTGCTTTAAAAAATAACTTTTTTGAGGGAGGTGGGAAAGATGACCGAATTACGTGTGGCTTTATTAATGTGCTGCTGTCGAAGGTTTTTTTTACATCAGTTAGTTTTGTTGAGATTTTAAGTGCACCGCATAGATGGGTCATTGATTTGGACAGAAGGTGAAAATAAATAGACAAAGATCACGCGGGCCTCTGGGGTGGGGTTACATAAATGGCTCCTTACCAACGTTAGCATAAAAAGAACCCATTCACAGAGAAAAAGAAAATACACGTCATAATTGCATAAATTAGGAAATTTTAGAGTGTTTTTCTAGATGAAATCAACAAAAACATAGTTCACAACAAGATTGCCTGGCACAATCATATGGCGGGCTAACACAAAGCATAACTGCAATTATGTTGAGGGGGGGGGGGGGGGTCAACATAAAAAATAGTTCACCAACAAGATGCCTGGCTCAATCATACTGGCGGGCTAATCAAAAGATAACTGCAATTATGTTGAGGGGGGGGCTGGGGTGCGCCAGGGAGAAAGGAAGGAAGGATTTCTTAGACTGACTTCTAAGCGTCCTTCTTCTCAACAAGTTTTTCAATTAAAGATCAACAAGCTTCCTGAACGGTTGTGAAATGCTCTGGGCACTCTCCTCTTCCACACTGATATCGATATTCGGGGGGGGGGGGGGGGCGCCAGGGGGAAAGGAATTGAAGGATTTCCTAGACTGATCTTCTAAGCGTCCTTCTTCTCAACAAGTTTTTCAATAAGATCAGCAGCTTCCTGAACGGTTGTGATGCTCTGGGCACTCTCCTCTTCCACACTGATATCGAATTCCTCCTCCAGTCCCATCACAATCTCAACCTGAAAATAACATCCCAACAAGTCAGAAACGGCAGCTTATATTTCTGCTAAAGTAAATTTCTGTCAATGGAAGAGATATATGGAACCAAAAATAGCAAGGCATGAAAGATCCTTCCAATTAAAGAAGAGTCCACCTTAACACTTAACTACACACTGCTAATGTGAATGGCTCAAGTCCTACTTAATTATGACTTATTTCTATAGAACTTGAGAAATTCTTAGGATGTTAATAATAATTAAATCGATTAGTAGCAGGCAGTCCATCAACCATAATCAGCCAGAGTAAAACGGCATGAAATATTAAAAAAAAATGAATGCTACATACTGTATCAAGAGAATCTGCTCCTAGTGTTGTAAATTTTGACTCGCCGGTAACAACAGCTTCTGGGGCTAATGCCAGCTGCTTCTTCACTATTTGACACACCTTTTCTACTGTTTCTGGTTTGGCCTGATCAAAATCATTTAAAACATACATCACTTTCTGAATTCAAGGGAATAGAAGTGAATTGAAATATTTGCACTTTTAACACATTTGTATAGCTTTACACTCCGAATTCAACAGGAAAAAAAATCCTTAATCAAAAATGCAAACTGAAAGCTGCATTGCTAGTTCTTGAACATATTGGCAATAGCTAAATACTAGAATTCCAAATAACAAATATAAATTCAACAATGACAACGATCTGTGGAGCAAAGATAAGCTTTTTGCAAAAACACAAAACCTTATTCATTAACCGAGAAGACGACAAAAGTGCCAAGCCAAAACTGTGAAACAGAAGTCATAGAAAGAAGAAACATACAGCACAAGAAATCCGAAGGCGAGATGCTGGAACTGGCTGCACTCTGAAAGACAGGAAACTTCTCTGGCTTGGAAACGAAAAAGATTTGAGGCTAGAGATTCTGGTTGCAGCCTGTTCAACACATAGAAAGACACGGAATTTGACATTAGCCCAAAACCAATGACAAGAGGTAGATCATAAAATGAGAAAAAAAGAAAACGATAAACATTTTGAAACCTAAATCTCCCCTTGCATGCAAGTCAGGAGCATGGGGGCACAAAGGATTTTCGTTTAAGGCGTAAGCTTGTAAAAAGCAATTATAATAAGTTTCTATCAAGCCAATATAAAGATCATGACATTTCTTCAACTGAAATCCTTCTGTTATCCATAATTTCATTATAAATAAATTAAAGATTCAAACTTTGAAATTAAATTAATATTACTCGATTATAAATTTGCCTAACAAGTTTACCAAGCTTTTAGCCCGTTCGCCAAACAAATCTAGGCTCATGCAAGATCACAAATTTCTCAGATCCATTCAATCTTAAACAGTGCTTAAATTAATTACTACAAGCAAATTGCAACCTTCAAAGTAGAAGAAGAACTAGAAATAGACGAACAATATAATAAATCAGAGGTCAAAACAGAAGCATTAATAGATCTGTCACGGAATCGGTAAAACAAAAAGGCAGATTAAAGAAACTATAAGCTCAAAAATAAAATAGTAAGCATAAAACATACCAGTCTAGGACGAGACTGCATGGAGATTGATGAACCGGCAGCGGCTGCCATTGAAAGAGAGATGGAGTTGATCGTCGAGAAAGAGAGTAGCGAGAGTTCAATAAGAGAAGAAGACGGCGAAAACGAGGTGAGTAAAATGCAGAGCGTGTTGCTGAATTTATAGGTGGCCTGTTTTTGGTATTGACAATGGCAAGGGCAAAGGCGTCTTTCTACTCGACGCAAGAGTGTTTGGCTATTAATAAAAAACAAAATAAGATGCAAGGCAAAAAGGTTTTTAGCAAAAGACACTGTTTTACAAATTACTTTTTTTTTTCTTTCTTTCTTTCTTTTTATTTGTATACCGACAAGCCGTGGATCGTTAGATTCAAATCGAAGTGTCTAAACCGAACTGAACTTGTCTATTTAAAACCGAACTGCACAGCCAAATAATATCTTGGGTTCCAATTCACCAACCAAACTCTTCTTTGAGGGGCTGCCGAATTGAAATGTATTAATTCTGTTGAGAATCTGGACTCTACGAAATAAATTAATCGAATCAAATTTAATTATATATTTAATATTGAATTTAAAAAATAATATTAGTTGGTTCAATCTTTAGATTATATACTTTTTTAATTAATTGTATTTATTCGATATGCGATTACCCATATACTCCAACACTCCTAATCCTTGACAAGTATACAATGGTTCAACACGGATCCCCATATACTCCAACACTCTCCTACTTGACAACCATACGATGATCAACACAGATCCTCATATACTCCAATAAATTCAGTTTTCAATATGATTTGCATACCTCTAAATGATTGACTACTTTTGATTCAAATCTCTAATTTAAAGGTAAATTTTGCTTAAAATTGCAGTTTATTTCAATTGATTTAGCTATTTATTGTTTATATACTATAGTGTTGTATGATATACAATTTCAAGGATCCAAAAGAATACTTTTGTCTATAAAATAAGGTGAGTTACATAATTATTTCGTTTAAAAATATATTTATTAAATTTTTATTTATAAATTAATAATAATTAATATAGAAATTGACAATACAAATTAATTTTTTGAAATTAAAAATTCCACAATTATTAATTTTAAATTGTCTGATATTAATTAAAATTTGCAATTAAACTAAAATTTACTGAAAATTATAAATACAATGTCTTAACTTAAATAGACATTAGATATCATAAACTTGTTAGATTTTCAATAATTTTAGTAATTTAAAATAATTTCAATAAATTTTTTTATATAATTCAATATTTATACTATTGAACCTTTAAAATTTATACCTAATTTTTCATTTGGTCAAACACTACCTAAATTTAAAGTTGCTTAACTTAAGAACTATAAAGTTGTAATGCCATGTGCTGAGCTTGACAGATGGGATTGGGAGGGAGCAGCCGGCGCCCATGCCTATGCCTATGCCCGTTGCCCAGAGTTTCATTAATGCGACAATTGGTGTTCGATAGTTACGAGGAAAATATTTAGGACTCCTACATTTGTGTTCGACAAATGAATATTTTTATTTAAAATTTTAATTTTTGTTATTTAATTTATTTATTTCCATAAAATTAAACTAATAAAAGTAAAATTCAAGACCTCTCAACTATAAAAATTTACTCCAATTTAACAAGTAAATAAGAGGACTATCTTCTGCTACGTAACAGTAAATATTTTCATATCCGTTCAACCTCTTAATGCATAAAAAAAAAAAAGTAAAATAAAAATTTTGAATTTCATAAAATTTTATTAAATTTATTTATATATACCAACGGGTTAGATTAGATCCAATCCAACTCAAGTTGTTCGAACTCCCAACACAAGGCATTCTTAAAAAGCAAAACGACCCGCATAAGGCTGTAGATTGGACCTTAGAATATATAATTTAAGCCCGTTAAGAATTGGATAATTTAGGGCCCGAATATTTTGTAGCAGCCAGACCCATATGACTAATGGTTTTTTTTTATTTTTTTTATTTTTATTTTTTCTTGGGTTTTATTCTTTATCGATCAAACCAAACTTTGAAAAAGAAATGTTTTTATGGCTATGTTTGATGCAAATTAGTTTCCCAATTTTATGAAATTTGCGAAAATTTCAAATTTAGTGTAAGTAAAAATAGTTATATTACATTAATTTTATAACATTCAACATAGATAAATCAAATTTTACCATTTATAATATGAAAATTCTATATCTTTGTCACACCTTACCCTACTGTAAGACATGGCATGTCGCCCGTAATATAATTAATAAACACTTAATTCTTATAAATGCTTACTAAGTATACTACACATTATATATCTTTGTCCCACACCTTACCTACGTAAGAGCACTTCGGATGTCGGCCCGTTAATATAATTAATAACCACTTTTAATTCTTATAAATGCAGTTACTAAGAATTATCTACAAGGGACTTACAACCTTTTATTTCCTTCATTTTTTTTTTTTTTTTTAATCTTGTTAGCAATACTTTAGTTATTAACATGATACAACTTATTTTGGTTTCGTCACTGTTATAAAGAAATAAAGAAATGTCTATAATTTACTAACTAGTAATCTCAATATAATTTCTTAAACATATTATTAAAAACATAAAATGGTTCCATAACCCATAAGTCCATAGATGATTTAATTACATATTGGAGTTCTGTTCAAATCTTAGATACATAATAGAAATTAATTACTTAATAGACTATAAATTTTCAAATTCATACAATCATAATTCACATGAATCTGCTCAAATATACATAGATGATCTGTTAATGTTTAATACATCATACATATTCTAAAAGAAGTCAAATATACAATAGCTACATCAGTAGCATACTATCTACATCAAATAAAAATGATCCTCTCTTGGTTCTTTTTCCTTTTCTTTACCTGGTTCTTATTCCTTTTCTTTACCTGCTGATTAGTACAAAAAGCAACTATCGCCGTAAGTAGTATGGCCTTAGTGGCCCGTCGGATGTGTGTACTATAAAAATAATAAGATGACGCAATTCATAAATCTACCATGGTAGAAGTAAAAATAAGAAACCAAATACAATCAATACACCATTTTTTAAATCATCAATTCTTGAATAGTGTCCTTTACAGCTTTTAATAGAGTCAATTACGAGGCGTCGTATCAATCGTTCTAATGTGCACATCTTAGACCTGCTACTCTACAACCTCCAATCTGTGATATTGATTTACAACAAGAAGAGGGAGCAATCTACAACCTCAACATGGAGGAGAATCTATCATATCAATTCATATCACTCCTAGTGATGATTATCCATGTTCAGATCGATCGTTACTATCAACGTCAACAAATTGAAATGGATATTCGGGTAGGCTAATTAACCTATCGTATATCAGCTGTAAGACTTTTAAACATTCCATTTACTTGTACTACATATCAAAATCACATATGACCTAAATTCATTTCACAACCACTTGCTAAAAACAATTCAATCACGGCCACCCCTCATACTACAGATATCAATTGGCCAACATCCTCCTCTTTCACAGTATAAGAATCATAAAATTCATTTAAAATATCATTCGGTCATATGCTTTCAAAATAATCTTTTTCCTCTTTAAAAATTTATGAAAGCACTAATATATATATTTTTTATATATATAGTTATAATTCATAAAGCACATCCATAGAAAATTTTTTGCAAACTCAATCTCATTTTGTTTAAATAAAAGTAGGAAAGGAATAATAACACTAACCTGAACTAGATGGCTCCCCTAGCCCTTTTCCTCTAGTAATCTCTTTCTCTCAGCAGATGTCAGCTGAATTAATTATCACAATTAAGATCCTTACTACACAATGTACACACATTGCACTTTCTATAAGAATGTAATTAGCAGTAGAAATGTTAAGTTCCTCATGCTTTTTCTTTTATTTTACTATACTTGTCCAAGTGTTATACTGATCTGGATTCTTAAGCATGAAACACTTCATATCCACACTTAACCACATCCTAGACCACAGAATATAAAACAATGAAACAATAGACACGTGAATAGACATGCTAAATTCGTTAAGTTAATGACATGCAGAAATTTCAGCATATTGGAGTACGTGGGTATTGCGTTGACGTATATCTTGGGAATTCCCCATAATTCAATTGCCTGAAACTTTTTGACAGCATGTTCCCAAATTTTTACAGCATGTTCCCAACATCTTAGAGTACTTCCCTGTAAAATTTCATAATTTTTAAAGCTCATTTGCATTTTCAAATGACATAATTATGGAATCTGAATTTCAGTTTTTGTCATGCTGAGCTCAGTTTTTCTCATGCTGAGCAGCCTGCATGGATTTAATTATAACTCCATTTCCTTTGCTCCAATGACCTTTCCCTTTTACCATGATGTACCCAACATCTCCGCCTATATCCATATAAAATTTCATGAATTTTGAAGTTCATTTGCTTAGTCAAATAGGCCAATTACAGAAGCTGAATTGCAGGCAGCCCAACTGTAACAAGTCCGACAATGATATGTTTGCTTAAGCATTCTCACCTCACTTCCAGCACCAATTCAAGCAATCTTCTATTACTTACATAACATCATAATATAAGAATATCAGAATCCCTAGTTCATGGCATATCAAGAACAAACTCAAAATCATCCATCTTGGTGACTTAAGCAACTTAGACTTTGAATTCATGCATAACTACTTTCAATCATCTTAAATCACCTTAAAATCACTTCTCATCACTTCATCTTCAGCAAATCAGATTACACAAACAAGCACCTCACTTCAAAGTTCATGGAATTCAAAAAGTAGTCCATAGAAATGAAGGAGGAAGTGAAAATAACTAACCTTTTCTTAAGAAATACTTGAAAATTCTTTGCACCTTAGGCAAATCCCACATCGGTTAAGGACGGGGTAAAACAGATCTGAATACATACAGAGGGGTAGTCTTCCTAACTTGGTTAGCGCGGCTTTTGGGCGGGTTGCAAAAGCCGTGCCTTTGAGGACAAAGCGCGCTTTTGGGCGGGTTGCAAAGCCTGCCTGAGGGACAAATCCGTGAGGGTTGCAAAGCCTAAAGCGGACAATACTGACCAGGTTAAGACTATGACAATCTTAAACTTATCTAAAGTTTAATTTTTATATATTTTTTATTTTATAATAAAAATAAAATAATATTATTTTTCAAAATGAAATTAAGCATTCCAATTACAGTAAAATTATAAAATAAAAAAGTTTAAGATTTTCCTTTGTTTTTTTCATCATTAACGCTTGATATTGCAGGTAGGTAGTTGGGCTGCCATTGTCTAGTAGGCTTCATAATTAACTGACGACCCACGTAGACATATATGGTTGGAAGTTACTTGGTGAAGCAAAAAGCCTTACCATTTTCCACCACTTGTTTGGGCCTGAAAATCCACCACCATCAACTGTACAAATTGTATGGTTTCTTAATCAAATTGTACAAATTAAAAGCCTGCAATTTCAGGGATGAACAATTTGCCTAACCAGCAACCACCACCACCACCACCATCAACTGTAGTGGCGGCTGGTGGTAGTGGTGGTCCAAATTATGTGACTGGCAGTTGAAGGGGAGGAGGCTTTTCAAAAGTAGTTTTCAGTTTTTATTTCTATAAAGGAAAAAGAAAATTATTGACATAGTTGGCCCAGTTCTTTATTTCTTGATGTGCTTCTTTCTTTCAAGTTGTCAACTAATTAGTTGGTTATATTTCATTTTCATGATGCTAATTTCAAATAGTTAATCTGTGTTTGGACTTTGTTAACCGACTATATTTATTATTGTTTAGAAGAAAACTTCATGTTATTGAGAAAATGATAATACGTGGATTAAGAAGAAAGTAACAAATATTCACGGTTATTTAATTATCACATGTAAATTTTTTTAAAAAAATACTTTTGAAAACTAATATCTATTTAATATGTCAATTTGACTTTCAAAAAAATAAATGGATATTGTCTACCATACTTCTTATGTCTTTTTTAGACGATGTAAGCATATTAAATGATGGGCTCAAAGAAAACAAAAAAAAAAAAAAAAGAACAAAAAAAAAAAAAAAAAGAAAAAAAAAAAAAAAAAAAAAAAAAAGAACGGAGGAGGATTCAAAACTAATGTATTAGAGATAGATTGATTCAACGTCTGTAAATAGACATTCAACCATGTCACATTCACAAATTTTTATTATATATCACAATTGACGAGAATAATTTGAATGAAAATGACTTATATCCGTTAAGCATTATGATATCACTGGTAGCGCTTAGCAAGATTAAGTTTAGTCCCAAGATTATATTCTACTTCAACCATTATATGTTTCAAATTAAAATTTCAATAAAATAGTATTTTTTTTTTTTTTAGAAAGTTGACTTGTTTTGCCATTCTTTTAAAACTAAAAATGTTTTCTATCAAATCTTGTCATGGAAGCATTGCAATATTGAATATCTAAATATATATATATATGTTAGATTAGATGAAAAGGACTCGAGAACTAAACTCTCTCCAAGAACTAAAATTATTACTTAAGAATTAACAATGACATGTGAATGTGATACATTAAAAGACATTTTAAACATATAAAAGTTTGTTAATGGCGAGGGTTGACAAAGATAGCAATCATGCCTCTCTTGTGAATATATGTGTACTAAATCCAACCTCAAAAGATGATTCTTGGTGGAAGATTTACTCCTTATTAAATTTTTTTTTTTTCAAAAATAGGATCATAAATTTTTTAATCCTAAAAGAGAATGATTATAAATTTATTAAGACAAATTAAAAGATTGTTTATGAATAACTGAATCAAGTGGGACATACCTCCATTGAAAACTGAAAAGCTGACGTGTGGTGTGATGCATGGAGATGCAAAAGCAGTCAATTATTATAATCGACTTAAAAATATATATATATGGCCATTCCCTCAAAAGATGTGGCTAAAATTCATTTATTCTTTTTCACCCATGGCATCAGAGCTCTTCTCGCAGTGCCCTAACACAGCTAGCTCCTCAGGGAAGTCTCCCGAGTCAGGACCACAGACAATCCCTCTCAGAACTGATCAAACCAAACGGTCACCCCTTGCACCAACCTGGAAGAGGCAGCATGGGCAACTGCAATTTTTTTTTTTTTTTTTTTTTTTTTTTTTTTTTTTTTTTTTAATTTTTTTTTTTTTTTTTTTTTTTTAAATTGATATGTTTCGCTCAATTATTATTTTTATTTCGTCCCTATATAATGTATATCTTTATCAACAAATATATTATTGTTATTAATCTTGAAATATACAATTTATTTAAAACATGAAATTTTCATATTTTTAAATTAAAAAAGCGAAGGATACATTAAGAAAAAATAAATTTAATTATATTTTTTAAAATTATAATTAAGTGAGCATATAGATATTCGTACAACAACCTTCCTTTTCTAAATAATCTCTTTTTGGTAAGAACAATTAAAATGGAAATCTTATTCAATTAACATAATAAGAAAATACAATTAACAATATGCTGATTTTAGACTCGCCTGACATATAAATAATTAAATCTGTAGCACGTAACTCGCTCCCCCACGAGTGGATATCGCCATTATTGGCGTCAAAGCAACCAGATCGGTTAACGGCCGGTACAACCGCCTAGTCAGCGGACTCACCTCTCACTCTCACCAACCCTTCACTGCTCTCTCTCTCTCTCTCTCACACACACACACACACACACAAAAACTACAAACGTAGCTTTCACTTCCCTTTTCTCTCTTAGTCTCTGCATCAAACACTTTCGTACCGTTTTGGGTCACCAAACATTGTCAAGTGAAAATGTCCCTCTTTCGGTTTTAAAGCATTGCTCATGCTCATACCTGAGACCGCCACTTGTGCTTGGAATTTTTCGATTTCAATCACAACCAGAATCGATAACGAAACGTCACTTTTCAAAAACGGAACCTTCACGCAATTCTATATTCTCTATCCTTAAATTCAGCCCTCTCTCTTTCTATCTCTACCGTCCTCGTCAGATTCCAGTAAGCGCTCTCTCTCTCTCTCTCTCTCTCTCTCGTCTCTCTCTCTCTCTCTTCTCTCTCCTCTCTGTCCGTTCTCGCTCGCATGACTTGTTTCTGGAGATTCGACCGTACAAGCGATGTAAAATACAAAACGCTCGTCGTTTTGCTATGCTTGCTTTGCTATTCTTGTTTTGTTGTTACTTTTTTTTTTTGTGGTTTTTTGGGAAATCAAGTAGTCAGCCTCTCTCTCTCTCTCTCTCTCTCTCTGTCCGTCTCGCTCGCATACTTGTTTCTGGATGATTCGACTACAGCGATGTAAAGATACAAAACGTCGTCGTTTTTGCTAGTGCTTGCTTTGCTTTCTTGTTTTTTAGTACTTTTTTTTTTTGTTTGTTTTTTGGGAAATCAAGTAGTCAGCATTAGAGTTAGTGTAAAGTCTGTTTGAAATATTCGGGCGGAGGAGAGTTTGAAACGAATCTAACGTCGTCGTTTTATTGTCTTGATTTGCTTTGGTTTTGGTTGTTTCCTCTCAATAATTGCTTGACATTTGAGCTGAATTTGTTGCTTCGAGCTTCTTGTGATCAAAATCCAATTTTAATGTTCGTGTACTTCTAACGGTTGTAACGTTGACTGGCTTTGACTTTTCAAGTTTCGGTTTTAGATTGATTATGGTTTAAGTTTTTTACGTAGAGGATGACTGATTAATGTCATGTAATGTTCGATTTGAGTCGAGAGTAATTCGAATTGGATATAGCATACAAGTCCTTGTTCTTTTTAGCATTGATTCAAGCTTTCTTAAGCTCGGCTATTTGTTCTTTTTATGTTTGTGTTGTTTGCGAGTATACCGATTCCGATCTGGATTTTTTTTTTTTTAAACTTTTCCGAAAGAGTGAGTTTCAATTCGATTTCTCGCAGTTATTGGATTGTTCTTTCTGGGTTAAAAATTGGTATTTTGGAACACTTGTAGAATCATTGACTTTGTCTGTATTTGATCAAAACTGGGATGATCATGCAATGATGATGGCATTCTTATCGAATATTGATTCAGATTTTGATCAAGTTAAATAATTCAGGAACTGGATTTCAATATTATATTCATGCATTTGTATATGAATTATGGGGTAGCTGATTGGTGGGGTTTTGACGTGTGGGTCTCATTTTGGACCTTTTTTTTTTATTATGCAGAGAAAGCTTGCTTTAGATGCCGGAGAAGATTGGTTCTGAACAGTGGGAAAAAAGAGTCATGAGTACGCAACTTTTGGAAGTCCAGCCCAGGGAACTAAAATTTATTTGTGAGTTTGGACCCATATTAAATCATTTCCTTATTGTTGCTCATTGATTTAGCTTTTGGTAACTTTTTTTGTTGGTGTTGCTATTAAAGATAATTTGATGCTCTCCGATTAAAGATAAGAGCTGGAAAAGAGAACAGAAAGAATTGTGAAAAAAAAAACATTTTTGTCTTCCTTGCTGCTGTTTTCTTTTTAGAAGACGAAAAGAGAAGGAAAAAAAGTGGGTTAGTCTGTGATAGTTATGAAGGCTCGTTGCCTTTTATCTGTTTCACTGTTTAGAGTACTGAAATCAATGAAAAGCTCGTGTCTTTTCCCACAGTTATTTTGCCAAGAGTAGTTATTGAGACAAATACTGGATACTTTTAGTTTCTGTAAATGTTCAGTTCAATTGGTTTTTTGGATTTAATAGTCATGATACTTGTTTCTGTAGTTGAATTGAAGAAGCAGAGCTCCTGTGTGGTACGACTTACTAATAACAGCCACAACAATGTTGCTTTCAAGGTTTGAATTGCAGTTTGATTGATTTCATCTTTTTGGTGAGTCCAAATATTAAGATTTGTAGTGCCAGATAACTGAATGATTTGGACATGACATTTACAGGTTAAGACTACTTCACCAAAGAAATATTGTGTGCGTCCAAATGTTGGCGTTGTCTTAGCAAAATCAACTTGTGAATTTACTGGTAAGTATTTTTCATTTCCATCCAAGTAAATGTGACTGTAAATAAGCATCCAAGTGCATACACATATTGCTCCATATAATTGCTGATCATTTAATGTTGTGTTATGATATATGAAGTCTGAAACGAAATTATTATTTGATCGGAAGGGCTCTATTAGTTATCGTCTTGTTTTGCCTTTACACTTTATCGTCATTAGCTATAGTTTATCCTTGTTTTATAAACTTATTTTCACATTAAAAATGAAAGACAAAAGCTCCAGTTTCTTTCTTGTAAATTCACATCTTTACACAAAAGCAGTAGACTCTCTCAAGACAACCACACAAGTGCGCATACAATCCTCAACTTAGGACATGATGTAATTCAACTTGAAAAATGTAACAGAAATGGCATTGATTAAGCTATTCTGCTACTTGGATTACCAGATATGCAAATGGAGGCTAACAAAGCTATTTGCGTTGTTTTGACACGCTTAACTACTGCTCTTCCTTATTTTTCCTCCATTCAGCACTTTAACTACCCTTTACTCTGTTTTGTGCTGTAGTTTTAACTGCTAATTATTTCCTTAAGTTATTATATTGTTATTTTGATCCTATGGGCTTCACGTTGATATAGTTACAATGCAAGCTCCAAAAGTTGCTTCTGTTGATATGATCTGCAAAGACAAGTTCTTAATCCAAAGCACTGTTGTTCCTCTTGAGACGTCTGACGAGGACATAACGCCTGATATGGTAAGCATTCATGGTGTTAGAGGACCTTGTCTTTTTATTCATTTTGTTAGCATTGCCTATTGCTTCTCTTTTTCATGATTGGCAGTTTACCAAAAATGGTACCAAGTATATTGAAGAAATCAAGTTGAGAGTGACTCTCATCAGCCCACCTCAATCTCCAGTACTGTCACCAATTAATGGGGTGCTTAAGCAGGAACCTTTTTTTGAAGGTCCGCTGCTGAGAGATCGAGTATTGAGTACAGTGGACAATACTCCTCCACCACACAAGGTTAGAAAAGTTCTTGCTTGACAATGTTTAAATTACGTGGTTAGTAGGATAAACTTTCAAGTCAGGATTTCAATTTCCTGATTGCGACAGTTTTCTTCCAATTCTTCTTAAATTCCTCTTGCAATTCTCTGTCTTTGTTCCAGGTTTCCAAGAACGTGGAGTTTAAAATGACTTATGATCAGGAGTCCAAAACAGAAGAGGATGGGGAGTTGAAGCCTAAGAAGGATGTGATTGATGTTAAGGAGTCAAAGCCAGCAAACAATGCAGAGTTGATGCAAAATAATAATCTGGTTAAAGTTGTAGAGGTAAATCTGGCAAAGGATGAACAGTTGAAGCCAGAAAATGATGCCATTAATGACAAGACAGCAAAGAATGAAGAGTTGAAGCCAGAAAATGATGCCATCAATGATAAGAAAGGAATGGATGCGGAGTTCCATCCACCAAATAATGCACTGAAGGATGCAGAATTTGTAGCAGTGAAGGGCGAGAAGGAGCTGAAGTTAATAAATGATGTTGAGGAGATGAAGTCAAAGCTGAATGTACTTGAATTAAAGCTAAATGAGGTTAGTCTAAGTTTCTGTTCCAAATTCCTCAGGTTTTGGTTGATAAAAAAAGATTAATGTATATAATTGCATTTATAAGGCAGCATTTTCATTATGTTTTTATGGACCTTGTGCTTTTGCTAAATTTTACAGGGTTTTGGTCGTTAATGAACGAGGCTTTTCCAACCAAATAAATAATTATATCTTTGGGTTTACCTTGCAGGCAGAATCTACTATTTTTAAATTGACAGAAGAGAAGAGATTAAGCATCAAGGAGAGAAAAAATTTGCAGGAAGAACTAGTAAGTTCTCTGATCAGAACAAATTTAATTGGTTAGTTACGAACATGTATGGTCATGCAGATGAGAGGTGCTTGAAGTTGAGGTATTGAAAGAGACAGGAACAATGTTACATATGAGCAAAACACCATGAATGAGTAGATAGGACATGGAAGAGTCTGCCGTTTTCATGGGCATAAAGGTCATGTGGCTTGTGAAAACATACGGAGGAGAAGAATTTGACTAGAATTTATAATCTAGTGAGATGAGGTTCATATATCATTTGCTGACAAGCAAATGAATTATTTGGGTAAATTCGAAGGGGCCAAGTGACATGCATCTAAGAGGGCACTTAATTAAATCCACTAAGAAAGGTTAAAGAAAAAAAAAGATTTTCCGTAATGAGCCCTACTTGAGGCTTACCAAGCAAAACTCTCTAAACCATCCCATAAATATACAATTAGCCATGAAACTCGGCTGCTAATTTTAGAATTAACGCCACACATCCACAGCCCATAACTAGTTTCTTTATGTAAGGCAACACTAATTCCTTTAACCAATGAAACATAGATTCATTCTTTTTTTTGCTTCTTAAATGAGTTTTTTCATCAACGTGCAGGCTCTGCTGAGGAGCAGGACAAATGCCAAAAATGCACAAGTGGGGTTCCCTCTTCTTTTTGTTGTTATGGTTGGTCTCATCAGTATTTTACTTGGATACGTTTCACACCCTTGAATTTGCAGCCATCACAGGGTACACTAAAGTTTGTTAATAGTTAGAGCCTCAACATACTAATTATGCTTTCTCATTATAATTTCTCTAAGGAAGCAAGAGATTGTAAGTTTGAACATTTTCTTTTCGGGTTAATTCGCTCTAGGCTTGTTGGTATGTTGTTGCGTGTATACATATATAGTCTTAATGGAAATATCAAATGTAAAGTGCCTGATTGATTAGAGGAGAGAATGTTCCTTCAAGTAAATAGGTGAAGAGGGGTAGCTCTAATAACATATTTCTTCTGTTATTGAAGCTGAAACTGGTTGGCGTATACCTTATGTTTCAAAGTCATGTATGAATTGCAATTCTTATTTTGAATCTCTCATCTAGCTACGAGGAGACCATATGAATTTATCTTTTTTTTTTTTTTTGGTTTTTTGATTCGTTGAAAAACGAAATGGATTGAAATAAATTGCAGTAACATTATCACCTCAAAATTCAACCTCTCGGTTATTTTTTGCCTTTTCAATGTCTTTTATAGTAAATCTAATTTTCTATAATCAAAACCGAAACCTTTGAACTTTCCAATTTCGCTCCCCAATGGCAGTACCTCGAGGATCATTTCTCTTAATCAAAACCCAATTTCAACAGCTGGAGAAAACCGAATGCCCAACAATCTTTTCCATCCTTAAACGAAATCTCAAAAATGGTAAACAGAGATATCGCAAAAAGACTCGTCTTTTAACCTGAAATCTGAAAACAAAAATCCAGAAAGTAAAGTAGACGACAGCAAAACAAAATCCTCCTTTGACATACCAAAATGAGGGCCCAAAAAGCGAAGACTTCACTCGAGCCCACATATAAATTAAAATAGTAACTTCAAATGCGGAAAAAAAAAAAAAAAAAAAAAAAAAAAAAAAAAAAAAAAAAAAAAAAAAAAAAAGAAAAAAAAACCAAGATCACAACTATTATAAATACGAATGCAACATCACTTATTAAACATGTCCCATGTCTTACGATAAGGAAACAAAATTAAAGAAATTGAACAAGGGATTATACACGGTAATTAGAAATGACAAAAAAAAAAAAAAAAAAAAAAAAAAAAAAAAAAAAAACCAAGATAATCAACTATTATACAATAGAATGCAAACATCACTTAATTAAACATTCATGTCTTACGAGGAAACCAAAATTAAAGAAATTGACAAGGATTATACAGGTAATAGAATGACAAAGGAGGCAATAGCCGCTGTATGATACACAAACTAACTATAATGCTAAAATCTGGCCAAAATTTTTATCGGAAGGTTCAAAGATACTGTCTTCCTTCATTGTCTTCAATAAGCTAATCACTTTACATATTTTTACACCTTGTCTTTTTATTGCCATTGATTGTGGGTACTCTGATCTGTTGGGGAGCCGGGAACAAAGGGAACAAAACCCCGACCACCAAATACAGGACGCATGAATGCATCATCAAACTTGCGCCAGTAGTAATGCACAGTGTGTGCAGGGGTGGTCAGCAGTGCACGTATGCTGCTTGGACGAGGAATATCATGACCACCGAGATCATCCAAGGAGTCCTGAGTTTCTCCAAGAAGGGGCAGTGTAAACGATTTTGGAGTATTTGAATCTGATGATATTGCAGTGCTTGTTTGTTGGTGTTTTGGATGCGGCAGCAGAAATCTTATCAGTGGTTTAGTCATCATACCGAACACCTAAGCAGGACAAATTTGCAGAAACAGGTAAGAAATTGCAGATGACACCCAAACTGTGTGTGCGTCTGAATGCACATAAACATAAGAACTTGTGTAGTTGGTCAGTACCATTCAATTCACTTTTATTTATTATTTTTTAGAAAGAGGATGGAAAGTTGCCAATATGGCTGCCGGATTAACTTCAAAATTGGAAAACATCCAAATAGCACAATGATCCATGAATCTGAAAACTAGAATGTGCATGGCAATGTAACTTTGACCTATCCTTTCCTTTAAGCAGTAGTTTCTTCATGCGCAAAGATCACAGGAAAATATAAACATCAAGCAAATAAAGTTGCAAAAATAGACTACTTGATGTCATTGCAGAAATTATCAAGGTTGTGAGAATATAATACATACTCAACCTAGGAAAGAGATATCTTACCACAGTACTGAAAAGAACAACAGTTATGGTGCTGGTAATCATTATGGCATTCCCTCGCAAATGAGTATGGCCCAAGCTTGTAAACTGCACTTATTTAACATGAAGTTGACAAAATGATGATAAGTAAATAAACAATATTAATCAAAAAGGATTGAAACATAGCTCCATTGATACATTATGCATCTTGGCCTCACTGAACGATCATGGTTTCCTTGGGTGTTGAACCCTCATTTGCCCTCGTTTGTATAAAAAAATAAAAAAGAACAGCATATTTTACCTTATTATATGCAAGTGCCATTGAAACTGCACCTCTCATTAGACCAGCCCACCAGATCACAATCTAAAGGGAAATGATGTTAATAAGCTTCGATATAATTCAGAACAAAAATAAAAAAAGAAGCTGGCAAGGCAAAAGAAAACGAATCATTAACTTGCTGCTTGAAGCTGATCTTCTCAGTCTGTGATTTCCTAGATAAGTTGGATATGAAGGATAAGGGGAAAACAAAAGCTGCTCTTCCAATCATAACAAGTGCAAGTAATACTGAACTAACTGCAACTGAAGTTCCAGGGCTGTGACAAGTCAATCAAACACGGCACATAAATATCAATAAATGGTATTCCAACGAAGCTGTTACATTGGGGACTGTATTCTAATAGACTATAATCCCACACAGAGGATGAAGTTTTCATAAATATTATACACACCTGTCACTGACAAATCTCCACTTTTCAATATCCAAGGCATCCATACCAACATAAAGAAAGATAAAAATCTCAGCAACAAATGACATTGTTGCAAAAGCATGCCTGCAATGTTTGGGCGAGATGTAAAATATCAAGAAAATGAACCAGTTCCTGATTAAAGAAATAGTATCAACTATTGCAAATAGCATAAGTCAAAATTTTCGATAAGACATACTTGGTAGTGACTCTTGAACTCTCAGTCACATTGTGCCAGGTGTAATGGGACATCACAATCCCACAGAAAAATACTGTGAGAATGCCACTCAAATAGAACAGCTGCATGACAAATTGAAGTTATCATGTCAAAGTTATATAAACAACAAATTAATCATCAAAAAATGTAATGAACGAATTAGAAGGGAACAGGAGAAGAATCTTCAGAAAGTTAAGACAAATCTTACTTCAGCTAACATATATGAAAGGTATGCCATGAGCATCATGAGAGCAAACTCACGATCTGTTGAGTGCCTGAATCACATTAGACATCAAGTTACTGTATTATCATTTAGTACTTTCTTACTATAGTGCAAAGACAGAAATATGTGTTTCTATATCTATCTAGGAAGTAGGAACCAACAAGCATGTATACTCAAATTAAAATCATTGGACCCCTCCAGCAAGTGAAATATACCGATAGTCAAGTTCACAACATTATAAACCTCTACCAAATTACATAGGGCTTCATCAACCCAGCCACCAACCAACTGATAAAGTCGTGCCAATACATGTTTCTAATTTAAGGACTCATTGTGAGTATAACAAATGGAAGGTTACAATATGGAAAAGTACAAATTAGGGAGAAAAAGATCGAAACCACTACATACCTGCCAAAATATAACTTTTTGATGATGTAAGCACTAAGCAGCCCTGTCTGCATGAGGAAGAATCAAATGCATTTCTCACATTATTGCTTGCAAGTATACAAAAGTGTGTGTTCAAATATCTTTAAGTGTGGATGCGCAAGAGAGATAGGGTAAAGACTTACAAAAACTCCCAGCATAGTGCTTGTGACAAATAAATATAAGAAGTTGCAAAGAAACTGCCATGCAATTCTGGAATTGATATTAGTGAGATCAAAGCTCTGGATTGCATTGAAAAGCACTACTGATGTCGCATCATTTACAACACCCTCTCCAAATACTAAACTATATAGTAAGGGTGTCTCATCCTGATTAAGCACCTGCAACAACAGATGAAACAAATTTACATTTATGAATAGTATGTTATATGTCAAAATTCAAACCAATTCTATTCCTTAAATATGTTTAACCTGCAATGTGCAAACTGAATCTGTTGCTGCAAATATTGCGCCAATTGCTGAAATAGTAGAACAACTCAGTAAGCTCCCAAATGGAGAAAACCAAAAAGAAATGAATAAGGAAAACAAGGAGATCATAAATGTAATACCTAGATAATCCCCTATATCCAGCTGACCAATATCCATTCTCTTAAAGATTTGTGTAGCACCTGGGAGAACAAAGCTAATAATCAGTACCGAGTAATACTCTTGTCATTGAGCCAAATCAAATATACTGGTTGTTGACGTCAATAAAGATCAAACAACAAAGAAGTTTACTTCAAGGATTTCTAGATATTCTGTTTTTGTTCAAACAATAAACATTGGCAAGGAAATTTCCAGACCAAAAAGTGATCTAATCCTGATTTATGTTGAGATCCTAAGCCAAATCCTCTAGGCAGCAAATTTAATAGAATAAATGGAAGCTAAAATTATTAAACTTATTCCCCTTTCCATACCAAACCTTACCCCTTACTTTACTAAACCTTCCCTCACTCCATCCAAACAAAGTGAGGAAGGGGTGTGGTTCTGACAATTGGCAAGTTTGAGTTCATGCAAATATCTAACCATGTGTTTGCCTAAATGAAACTTCAGAAGCATGGCAAAGAATTAAAAAAACTGCAAGTTTGTTCTTCCATACCTAAAGATATGATGAAACAGGATATTAATGTGCCAATAGCACCAAATAGCATGATAGTGATGAAATTACGAAAGAATTGCTTCTTTTTCACCTGAAACCTGTGGATGCAGGGTGAAAAATCAAAGGTTAAATCCAGCAAGAAGAAGTTGGTAATTAAACATCCAAAAATTAAATTAGTAATATCACCATGACACCAACATAAAACAAATAACAGAATGTCAATGATTGACAAAGGACAGGTGAGCCTTGCTCATTACTAGGAAAACATTATATAAAAATAACATTTTCCAGATTTGAGAATTTTGAAGGACAAAAATCAAATCACAATCTTTATACATGCACATATTTGCTGAAAACAACCAGTTTCTGAGAGAATAACATGCGACTGACCAATGCTAAAAAAGCAAGAAATATACCCCGCATTAAATATAATAGGCGGCAGAAGATATATAAAGAAAAGATCCTCGCTGAAGACTAAAAGATGCGAGCTTCTTCCACCACTAATCAGCAGAATAACAACCCCAGTGCATAAACCCTGCCACCAACATATACAGCACCAAACATTTTAGTACAGACAAATAAAATCCTAAATCAAAGGGTATATATATATATATATATATATATAATTAAGGTAAAGTACGTTCAACAAGGTGCTTTTATTTTATTTCTAAAACGACTAAGAAATCAAGAACTTAATGAGAATAATAGTTTGAATAGAGTGATTCTCACAATGAGAAGGGCTGTAATGGACTCATTCATCCATCGATTCTCCTCTAGAAGATGACCAATCACAATACAAGCGCAGAGAAGCGTCACAAATAAGTTCATAGAGATCACAGAAGCGTGATCAGATGTGGATAGCGATTGATATTTTGACATAACTGAGCCTAGAAGGGTCTCCATGGTATCCGCTTCTTCTCCTTAATCGACGAAATTAAACAGCCAAATGGTGATAATTAAGCAATAATAAGAAATTTTGAAAGCTTAGATTGCTTTCCAAAAACCAAGAGTCCAAAAAATTCTGAAATTTTATGTCTCTGAACTATCCATTCCACGGAACTCTTAATATCTTCAACTTCTCGATCTCTGCATTAAAATAAACCAACACGAAAATCAAATTCTGATTAGCAAATAAAGCATCAGATAAGCTAGTCTTTTTTCTTTTTTTTTCCTATTATCAAAAGGGAAATATAAGAACAATAATGCATGTTGTGTAGTGCTTGAAATCCATAAAAAAGCAACTACCTTTAGGAGGGAAACGAGAAAATTAATACTAAAAATAAATTCCATTTTGGTGAATTTTCTCAGCAACCAAAAGGAAACAATTACCTTCACATTTCCAATCGCAGCCAACAAATAATGCATGAAACTGCAAATAGAAAATCAACAAAGGGAAGATAAGTCGAACAGAGTGGAGAAATCAATCTGCTTCGAATTTCCCTTTGAAAAGAAAAGATCTTTAGAGCTCCAGGAACCGATTAGTGAGAGAGAAAAGAAACACGTCTTCGAAGTAAATTTTGAAACGATTTTGAATCAGGTAGAAAAAGAGACAAGAGGTGAAAGTTCTGGAAAGAGAGAGAACGGAAAGACGAGAGAAAGGGGAAAAGAGAGCCGTGTTGTGCGGGATAACACAGAGAGTAGGAGAGAGAAAGGAGCAACTAACGGCAATGGAGGTTCGTGGATCCTGACCGTTGAATGTGTTGATTCGTTTTGTCAGTTGTGTTTGTAACGGGTTTAGTGTGAGATTGTCTATATGGTAATATATTAGTCTTGAGGAGGGAAAAGATATATTATGGTTGGATTTTACATGGTAAAAAAATAAATACGCAAGTTATTTTTTAAATTTAAAAATAGTTTATATACATCTTAGTTTCCCGACGACGTCGTTGTTTATGCTCGTTAATTTTTATATATTAAGAGTAAATATAATTAATGTATATTTTTTATTAATTTTATAATAAATAGTTTACATCACTAAAATTTTAAGAATATTCACAAAATATAAAAAAGTACATTTTATAAAATAATAAAAAAAAAATTCAATTCTTGTTAAGAAAATAACATATTTCTAATAATTATAATTTGACAACCAAACTCTCATAAAAAATTAATTTTAAAAGATGAGAAATCAGTTTTAGCTGTAATGATACTTAACATATTAATCATTATTTTAGAACATTATTTATAATTTTGATATTTTTTTTCTTTTTTTTTTATTTTTGCTAAAGTCTATGCACATGTAAGTAATTTTTTATTACAAAATAAAAAATTCTCTTAATGTATTATATGATTTGCTAATATAACGTGTTATATATAGTTTTATATTATATATATATATAGCTAATATAAAGTGTTATAATACGTTTTATATTAATATATAACTATATATATTTCTAGTGAGCTTTTATTATCTATTTCACATCAAACAATGGAATCTTATAATAATCATTTATAAATAATATAAATTATATTTACTTTTTATTAATAAGTTCCTTATACGGAAATAATTATATAAATCGAAATTCAAAATTTATTAAAATAAATAATTAAATATATTATATTGCTTTATATAATTTAAACTATATATAATATATTATATTAAGTAATATATATATATATATATATTTAAGTAATATAAACATTATTTAATATATAATATAATTTCTTATTTGACATAAATTTAAATACTGATATTATATAAATGCATGTATAATATTAATTGTATTTATCTCAATAAAAGTCTCTCATGAAACTATAAAAATTTCGGATTTATGCTTTTAACATAAAAATTGTCACACTGGAATAATTGCTCTATGCATAGGCCCTACAATACTCGAAATGTAATTAAAATTAAATGGACTTTTAAATACAAATTGTTAATTGGTTATAAATGCAAAAAAAAAAAAAATCTCTCATAAAAACTATTGAATGGAAGATAGGAGATAAAAAATACAAACATCCAAAGATAATATTTTCGAGAAAAAAATTTCTAAACTATTTTTTTATAAAATAAAATAAAAATCTTTTATAATAATACATAAAAAGAAAGCAAATGGAGGAACGTTCCTCATCGCATAAAATCCATTCATTCTAGAGAAAAATTTCTTCTATTTCATATATTTTTTTTAATTTATATTGTTGTTCTAAATCACTTAATAATTTCAATATTCAATGGATTGCGTTTGGTAAATTTGAAATGCATTGTTCAAGAAATTGAAGATGGTGGGATTCTCATGATCAAATAACTTTTTGAAGAGAAAGGCTTCACGGATTAAAAAACTAAGGTTGTTATGCATTAATTCATCTTTTCCATTTCTTTTATTTTTTGAGATTAATATAATTTTGATCTGACTGATTTTATCACTCATATAAAAATTGAGAGATCTCAAGTTCTAATCATAAAATAAAATTTTTAGATCTTTTGTATCAAAATTGTGTTTCTACTGCTATATGTCAGTTGTAATCGAAATTTTATTAATCAAAGATACACTTTTGCAAATCAAGATTTAAAATTTTCAGACCTTGAACTTGAAGTCTTTATTAGCATAATCATTCTTGTTTTAGAAAAATTAATGTGATTAGTATTTTTTTTAAAAACGTCAAACACATTCATTTAATAATTAACTATGTTTATGTGGAATTCATTCAATTAAGTAATTCACAAGTATCATTATAATATAATACATTCTATGATATATTAATTTGTTTTTTTTTTCTCTCTTTCATTTGAAAAAAAAAATGAAAAATATATTTTGTCCCCTCAATTGATCCATCATAATCTAATACCTCCAATGACTTTGCATATATTATTCATATTATTGCAAATAATTGTTGAATACTACTTATATTTTTTATATTTTTATTTATTGAAAACTCTAACGGACCGAAATTATATTACATATTATACAATAAGGGTAATCATCTTCTTAACTTACTAAATTAATGAAAATACTCGTGATTGAAAGAGCTCAAACTTGAGACATTTCAATTTTCACATAAGTAAAAAGACGATTCTACTACACCTGATTGACACTAATAATTGTAAACACTTGTAGTTGATAATCATCAGTTGATAAATTTTAATTATTTGATAAAATTTTAATAATTATTATTGTCAAAACGTAAAATAAATTTTATATTTACATTTCTAATTAACGGTTGATTGAAATTTATATTAGTTTATATCAGTTATTAATTGTTAATTGAAATTAAAAAAAAAAAAAGTTGAATCAAATCCTCTATAAAAGGCAGGCATTTGATGACTGTATTAGTAAAAAAATAGTAGAAAAATAAAATAACTTGATATGAGAATTTTATAAAATTTATTACTTATAAAAATTTAATATAATAAGTGTATTGACATGACATGGGATGCACTGGTGGATACAAATAAGCAGTTTCCTTATGTTCAGTGACAGCTGTGAAATGGGGAAAAGATTACAAACCTCTGTTTCCACATAAGACCTGATACTGATAGGCAACAGTGGCTATTACTTTAAACTTGATAAGTTTTCTACTCTACTAATACTGCCAAAACCTTTCAGTTCTGTTTCTGTTCATCCAGCATGAGCTTTGGCTGTATTCAAATTAATAATGCACTATCATGTGCTCTTATTAGGTGGGGCCATACTCTTCAAGAGCCAAACATTCTGAATTTTCCTATAATTTTTTAAATATCTTTTAGCGATTAAAAATTATTCTGTATATTCTCGTAACATAATATTATTTGAGAATACATTTTATAAAAAGTTAATTTATATAACCTTTAACTTTTAATATTTTATAAAAAATTACTCAAACAATTAAATAATACTACTATAACTAATTTTACGGAAAAAAACTCCCAAATTGAATTATTATCAATAGTGGCAATTTAATAAATTTTAAACATAATTACCGTTTTGAAAACTTATCTAAAATCAAATCATTATTTTGTTCTCATCAATCAAATCTCATTTCAAGGACAACTTCATCATGGCTTTTAGTGTTTATTCTAAAACATTATTTCGTTTAACATTATTAAAAAAACTAATTTAAATGATTATTAGGCAAAATTAGTTATTTAGCGGAGAATTGTCAATTTTATTTTTATAGTTATTTTTCATCATTGTATTGTAGAAAATAAAAGAAATTTACTTTTCTATTTTAAAAGGGGCAAAATTTTAGAAGAAATAAAATATTGTTATCCAAAATTGATAATTATGTCCTCACTTAAAATTATGAGGTATTTAAAAAGGGATAAAGTTTGTTAATTAATTTGAAGTATTCGAATAATTTAAAAAATGACTGAATTTTCCACTTTCTTTCACTATTTTAAAACACTTTAAGCTCTGATCGGCAATAAAACACAATTCTTTATTATTATTTATAGTGTTTATAGTATAACATTTGAACTGTTATTAAAATTTAAGGAGCCAATTATGAAACATTACTTATTTTATTAATGTTTAATAAAATATTAGTTATTCGTTTAAAAAAAAAAAATAAAAAAATAAAAACATTACATAATAGGTGGATGAAAACTATCTAAATCTAAACATCTGTGTGTGTGTGTATACTGAAAACTATCTAAATCTAAAACATCTGTGGGGGTGTGTGTGTATATATATATATATAATATAGTATATATATATATATTATATATAACATCGTGAGGTTTTATTTTTTTTTTCATATATAAATCGTGAGGTTTATTTTTTTTCGCGAGGTTTATATTTGCACTGCAGATTTACAAAATATAAAAAGATGATATATATTTTCTAATACAAAATAATAATAAAAGTTGAAATATTTTTATGTTGTTCCGAAAAAAGAATAAACAAATCTTATGTTAAAATTAAAACATAATAAATAAATAAATGATGAAAAAGGGACTACTACTCAGCACGTTGTAGATTTGATTCTTAAGATCATTTGGACTTCTTGTTGTTAACGTTATTACAAATTAAAAATATTAATAAATAAAGATTTATTTGGCAATCACTAATTTCCGTTTCGTTTCGGATCTCACTAAAAAGAATATATTCCTATTTTGAACTTTAAAAAAATATAATAATATTTTTTTTTTCAATAAAAATAATTAATAATATCTTAATCAATTAATAACTCTTAAACGCATAAAGAAAACAAAAAATAATTAAAATTAAAAAAAATAAAAAATTAAGTAGAGTAGTGGATCCATCTGAATAATTAATGTTCTGCCATTTTTGTCCTTTTTTATTTGTCCGTGGAATCGTATTCATATCATATATCCTAGTACAAAAGCACATGCCCTTTGTTTCATAGAGTAAATTAGGATACATATGGAAAAAAAAAAAAATTAGAAGGATAATCTTGAAAGGAAGAGCAATAGCAACATAATTAAAATAATTCAAATGATTAATTGCCCATCCACTCATTTTTATTAAAAAAAAAAAAATCAAACGACCCATTATTGAGTTGAAAAACTATCTTGGAGCATTTGGGTATTGTAAAAACTATCTGCAAATTTGAAAAAAAAAAAAAAAAATTGAACGAACAATTAAATTCACACAATGATCTAATGGATTGAGTTGAAAGAAATAATAAAAAAATACATGGAGAATCGAGACTCAACCAAAGGAAAATATATATAGGTAGGTAATTTTAGATAGATAAAGATAAATTTCAAAAGAATTGATTAATATAAAAAATATTAATTTTTAAAATTAAAAAATATTTTATTTTTAAATTTAAAAAATATTTAGTAGCCAGTAAAAAAGAACAAGTATTTTTAAATACATAAGATTAAATTTTTAAAAGTATTGATTAATATCATAAAATATTAATTTTTCAATTTAAAAAATATTTTAATGGCCAATCAAATTGTAAAAATGATAGTAAAAAAAAAAAGAAAAATAGGAATGCTTAAATAATGGAGTGACACATCAATATTTTTAAAATGGTTTTTTGCTATAGATGTCCGAGTAGGGGGAATAATGTGATTTCCGATAGCGCTTTTAGTGAAATTTAGGATATTATAAAATAACCTTAATCATAGCTAATTAAAAAATTATATTTTATTAGTTGATTGGACATATTTATAAAAATTATTTTTTAAACCAATCATATGTGATCTAATTGTCTTCTCACTTATTTGAGGAGTAAGAGATCCTGAGTTCAAAATAAATATGACTTTTTGGAACTTAATATTCGACTGAATGGTTAATTAACTCAACTAATAATGCCATTATTAAAAAAAAAAAAAAGGAAAATGAAAGGAGAAGAACAGAGTCAAAACTTGCTTACTTCAAGAACATGAACGTAGTGTTTTGTTTATTTATTCGCTTTTTGTGTATCTGACATAAAAGGAGAGCTGCGAGCACAAGAACAAAGGATCGCTCTATTTTCCACTTTCCCACCTTCTCTGTACTTTCAACGTGTCAATAACACTTTCTTGTGGTTTGATCTTTACCAGCGCGAACTTTAATCCCATCATTCTTGGCTGATCGTTTAACAGAAATATTCAGTATCTTAATCTGAACTGTTAATCTTTTGCACAGTTCTATGGGATCTGGGGTTGTTAGTATAATTTGCTTGCTGTCAGTAACGTCAAATAGTATAAGTGTTGAGGAATAAATGCACTTTACATGTACTCGAAGTCTTTACTCTAAGAAAGGCATGGATTTTGCAGGAGAAAGAAATGCGTTCGCATGGCTGCTGCTCTAGTTCTAGTTTTTTTTATACACAAGACCCAACGCTCCATCTCTTGTAGATTACGAGCGAGCGACAGCTCATTCGTCTGAACAGTCAAAACACTTTTATTGATGTAGTTTGGAGAAATGTCCTGTCCATAGATCTAACGGCTCGTCGTTTAATGCTTTTCGGGATACCAAATTAACAGCAACTAAAAAGCCCATATCATGGAAGCTCAAAGAACTTGCAAACCTTTTAGCCCAAGTTCAAAGCACAGTGGATTCAAAGATCATTTCAGCTTTGATTTTTAATTCATGGGGAGGCTTAATGAGCCCATAATGGATTATAAAATAGCTACTTAAGTTTAGGTGTCAACGTTTGAAAAATAAAAACCCCTAATATAATCACGCTTGTAGGCGATCCCGACCCCCGATTCTCCAATCCCTTGCTCTTTGATCAGCAGAAGCAGAGAGTAGGGTTTATACAATTCCAATTCTTCCTATTTATCAAAATCGATTCAATTCAATCATCTTATAATTCAATTTTCGGTTATCGATACTTAGTAGTAACAGAAATAAGCGTAACGAAGAAGAAAAGATGGGTGCGCAGAGAAAAGGCGGAACTAGGGTTGCAGAGGACCCAGAGGAGTTAGCTCGACATCCTTTGCAAGCCATTCTATTAGCAGATAGCTTCACCACCAAGTTCCGTCCCATCACTCTTGAACGCCCAAAAGTTTGTATCCTTTATCTTTATACGTATTAGAGAATGTGAACTTGATAACCAGACGAGTACTGCGCAAAAATATAATTAATTTATAATGTGTGCTTTTTTAGGTTTTATTGCCGCTGGTAAATGTGCCTATGATTGACTACACTTTAGCATGGCTGGAATCTGCTGGAGTTGAAGACGTTTTCGTTTTCTGTTGCGCTCATTCTCGGCAAGTGATTGATTATTTGAAGGTTTCCGAATGGTTTTCGCAGCCTAATTTCACTGTTACAACTATTGAGTCTCATAATTCTATTAGTGCTGGAGATGCTTTGCGTTTAATTTATGAACGCAATGTGGTATGTTTATTTATTTCTTGAAGTTTTCATTATTTTTCTTTTTTGCTTTTTCATGTATTCAAGTAATGTAAGTTTGGTTGTGTCATTTGAAAACCTGAGGACTTATTTAAGGTATCTGAGGGGAGTTGATTTTAGGAGTTTAAAGGATGGAATGTAAAGGGAGGTTATCTCTTAATCTTTTTTTCTTTAGTGATAAGTAAAATAAACTTAAAAAGCTAGAAAACTTTAATTTTTTATGTTGAATAATGTTGTCAACACTGCCTGATTGGCCATATAACTCGTGTAATAAAATTGGGAAGTTGTTATAATTTTTCTTTTGGTTCGTTTTGAGCTATATATTAACTATCAGGTTCTTTTTAAGTAAATTATTCTGTATTCTGTTTATATCAGTGTTTCTTTTTTTACTATGTGATATTCTGATTAATTTTATTTTGGCTTTTGAAGATACATGGAGATTTTATCCTTGTTAGTGGGGATACAGTAAGCAACATGTCACTCACACAGGCTATCCAAGAACATAAAGAGAGAAGGAAAAAAGACAGTAATGCAGTAATGACTATGGTTATTAAACAGTCAAAGCCTTCTCTAATTAGCCACCAGTCACGGCTTGGTACTGATGAACTATTTATGGCTATTGATCCTGAAACGAAGCAGCTTCTATACTATGAGGATAAGTCTGACCACTTGAAGGGGGTCATACCTATTGACAACATGTTGCTTGCTGACAATCCTTCTATTTCTCTACATAATGACAAGCAGGTTTGTTCCTCAAATTATTTCACATCTTTCAAAACTGTGTCTGACCTGAAAATTTTTCAGTTGATGGACCAAGCTTATATTTTGAGTCCTCCATTGTTTTTTTTTTACTACCTTCTCCAGCCTTAGTTTCAATGTCAATTATTTCTCTTTCTATTCAAACAAATTACACTGACACATTTCTTTTCCTTTTACAGGATTGCTATATTGATATATGTTCTCCAGAAGTTCTGAGTCTCTTCACTGACAATTTTGACTATCAACACCTGCGCCGTCATTTTGTAAAGGGATTGTTGGTTGATGATGTATGCTCTGTTCTTAACATGCTTTAGTAATCTTTTAAAGCATAATTTATGAGTGATGTGCTCAGTGCATGTGAGAACTTGCTTATGGACATGTATATGTTATGTTGGACTCTTCACTGACAATTTTGACTATCAACACCTGCGCCGTCATTTTGTAAAGGGATTGTTGGTTGATGATGTATGCTCTGTTCTTAACATGCTTTAGTAATCTTTTAAAGCATAATTTATGAGTGATGTGCTCAGTGCATGTGAGAACTTGCTTATGGACATGTATATGTTATGTTGGATCCTGATCATAGGAATGCGTGTGCACATATGTTGGCATGCATATGCGCATTATGTCTGCTGCCTGTTGACGTATGGCTTTGTGTTAAAGTCATAAAAAGAATGTAAAAATCTGTTAGCCTGTCACTTGAATAATTGTTTTTAGTTCTTTTGCATACCTATTTATGTTAATGTCCCCCTGAAGAGCAGTCAATGTTGCGTTGCATATGTCTGTTAGCTGCAAAAGAGACTTAACTATATATTACTAACTACCACTATCTCTAACCCTCCTGGGTAAACTTTGATGTCTTCACTTTCAATCTTTTTGCATTTATTGAGATATCCATGCACATTTGTTTTTGTTTATTTTGTCATATTTTTTCTCTCTTAATTTATTTGTCACATTAAAGTTAAATAACTTTTGAAGAAGTATCTTACTAATTTGTATTTAAAATTTCACTTGTCACTTGACATTCTTCTATTATCATCTGCTAGATATTTCTCATTACAGTTAAAATTGGCGATTCATTGAAAGTTCTTACATTCTACAGACAACATATTGATGCTTTGCAGATTATGGGTTACAAAATATTCACTTACGAGATTCACTCAAGCTATGCGGCTAGGATTGATAACTACCGAAGCTATGACACTGTCAGTAAGGACATCATTCAGAGGTGGACATACCCATTTGTGCCAGATGTGAACTTTTTTGGAAATTGTGCAACTAAGCTTGATAGACAAGGGATGTACCGCGCAACAGGTAAGAATTAGTAGTCTACTTTACTTTGAAACACATTAACTATATTTAATTGTATTTTCTAATAACTTTATTTCTCTCACCTCCTCTCTCACTCTCTCTCTATGTGTGTGTGTGTGTGTGTCTCTGTCTATTTATTTCATGTTTTGAATTTTGCCTGTTTTGCCATTAGCAGGAACTGGGAACTTAATAATGCCAGCTCAAACTGCATTTTACTGTTGTCTTGAGCTTTTTAATGTCTTTTTTTTTCTTGTTTCATTGTATGGAGATATATTATTGTAATTGTATGCAATTCTGATTTAGGATTGGAAATATTTAGCATATTTTTCTGATGCCAATAAATAATTTAGGAGATTTGTTTATCCCATTTGTTGGCTTAGAGTACACCATTGATGGTATAGTGAACCATTATATGGATATGATGAAATGGCATTTCTTCAATAATTCATTATTAGTTTAGTTATTATGTGGTAATTCTCACAATGTGAAATCCCTCATCTCCGTAGCATGGTATTTTTGCAAGGAGCTTCTGACGATATCCTTTTGGATAAGTTGTTCTTACCGGCACATTATTTTCATTTCTGTACAGAAATAGAACAATCACGTTCTGCACAAATTGGTCCTTTTACTGTTGTTGGAAAAGGAACCAGAATTGGGAACAACTCAAAAATTTCAAATTCTGTTATTGGAAAAGGCTGCAAAATCGGATCAAATATTTCAATAGTAGGTTCCTATATATGGAATGATGTCACTATTGAAGATGGCTGTCAACTAAGGCATGCAATTGTATGTGATGGGGTGGTAATTAAGTCAGGTGCAGTTTTGGAACCTGGTGTGGTATTGTCTTTCAAGGTATTTGCCTTCTCTTTCTAATGTATTTTCTTGTCGTGCTGCTTCTCATTGAATTTAACATGCTAGCAAGATAATCACTGATTGAAATATTGTTTAATGTTCTGGGCTGAAAACTTCAACTGAAAAGGCAAAATCCTTTTTCCGAAATATTTTGGGAACTATAAAAATATCTCGACATTGTTTAATGTTTTGCACTGATTTAGATTTATGTAGGAATTATCTCAATTCAATGAATGTTAATCAGTAGGAATTTACTAATGTATTCCCTTAGGGTGAAATAACTTTATCTGTCAATTTTCAGTGAGTTCTTTTTTTTTTTTTTAATCATGCCGGCCAATTTTCTTTTTTGGCTCACCTCTTTAAATTTTTTTACATATACTCCCGAAACAAAGGGGCAGGGGATATTATATTAGATACACTTTATTACAGACTATAAGAAATGGTATAAGAATGTGGATATTATCTAGGAAGGAAAATCAAGAACTCTACTATTATAGGCTACAATGGAGTTAAGTTAGATATTTAATTGGCAATGATCTCAACAATTTTAACAAAGATTTGGCATTGAAGTCGTTTGACCATCAGTATTAAGGACACCGTTGCCAAGGAAATCAAAGAGGTGGAAGAGGTCAGTTTTCTAGTAGAGGTGGTAGTAATAGTCTTGACCCTCAAGCATATGATGGATGTTGGCCGGGTCCTGTGGTGATCAGACAGCAGCTCAAAGACGAAGCCAGTTTCTACGAAAATTTGGTCATCATGTGCTATTAGGTTATTACTTTCAAGCTCAAAATGAATGGAGGTCGCATTTTTTAAGTTTGATATGTGTAATGAGTTCAAAATCTTGCCACGTTCTAATTGTCTGTTCTTGATTTATTGACTTCATCTGTTGCTTTTAATTTAAGTTGTGCTAATGTTTTCTTTACTTCAGGTTGTTATTGGACAGCAATTTGTTGTCCCTGCCTACTCAAAAGTGTCTTTGCTTCAACAGCCAACTATGCAAGACAGTGATGAAGAATTGGAGTATGCTGATAATAACAGTGGAACAATAGATTCATGTAAGTTCTTGATGTTTTATGTGCCTCTGCACGCTCGAGTGTGTATGTATGTGGGGGAGAGAGAGAGAGAGAGAGATGATGATGATGATGATTCATTGGCTCTATTCTGTTGTCTTATTAGAATTTTTTTGTTATACAACAGTTACAGGTACTGGGGATATTCTGAACAAGGAGATGACATCTGAATTATCTGGGACTCAACATTGGCCAGCATCAGAGGTTAGCTATTAATTTTGGTTTCTGCTTTGAATAGCTGTGACTGCTATTCCGTGGTTGTTATTTTATATGTCTAGTTTTATAATTTTCTTTTTGTTACTCTGCCATTTTCTTCAAAATTTTTATATGAAAGCCTGAATTATGGTGAGAAAGAAGTTCATGCCTAGGTGTAAGGACAAAAACAATGTTAATGTGGAATAACAATGACCAAGTACAGAGTATATATATTGGAAATGCAAAGGTGTAGCAACCAGATAGCTGGTTCATTTCTTCAGTTAATTGTCTCAATCCTTACTGCAGTATAGGCTTGTTATATATGCTGTCTACTTATTTTGTTTTTTTAATTTTTCTTCTTCTTGGTAACAAGAGAACTTAAATAGTCATTTATCGAGCAACTGTATATCATGCTTAACACTTTTTAAGTCTCATCAGCTTGGGCCTGGTGGTGCTGGTTATGTTTGGTCAATCTCTGAAGGAGTTCATGAGGATGAATGGAGGCATTCAGTTGCACCCATTCCTGCTGAGAAACTTGCTGAGGCCATGCAAGCTGTAGAAGATGATTGGGAATTGTTGAATCTAGATAGCAGTGCTCTATCACCTTCCGGAGAGTTGAAACCTGGCTCTCAGAGTGATGATTCTGAAGATGATGAAGGTTCTAGAGATGACACCTTTGAGAAAGAGGTAAAAAACTTCAACTAGAACGATGATGAGAATTTTTCGCACAATCTTGAACCTACAATAATGGTTTACAGGTTGAAGCAACATTTTTGAGGGCTGTTCATGAAAATATCAAAGTTGGAGACATAATCCTTGAGATGAACTCACTCCGGTATGCTTCATTCCATTTATTTAGGCACCTTGCTCCAATAATGTTGAAATATATATCATCGTCTGATGAATTTTTATTTAGTCTAAACAGTGCAACTCCTTTCATATTCCTTCAAAAGCTAGTGTATCTACTTGTTTGCATTTAAGCTACATGTGAAAGTGAGGAAAAATTAACAAAAGTTCTCTTCATGTTTTGCTGATTACTTGTCAATGGATAGGTGGGCTGATGATATAGGTGAATGTTTCCCTCTGCATACTTGTGCAGAATTTTTTTACTTGCAATTTATGTTGTTATCCCTGTCAAAGAAAAGAAGAAATGATCTGTGTTAGATTTGGATGAATGGTGTCTCAAATCCTTCTTGGCCATGAGACTTAACTGTTCAAGCTTTTAACAAACCTTTCTGAGGTCATATTTGTTCCTACCCATGTTGTGAGCTTTGTTTGTGATACTTATACTGCTTGAACTATCAAAGAAGACATATTTCTCAGCCATCGTTTTCCTCAACCAAGCTTTTCTGTCACTCTTTTTAGGTTGTCGTACAACATGACATCTGCAGACTGTGCTGGAGCGATATTTTATGCAATGATGAAATTGGCAGTAGAAACTTCATATACTTCAGCTGGTAATTTTAAAATCTTAAGCTGTTTTTTGTATTGTACATTCATGCCAGCATAGAGCATTTTCATATCTAGTGATTAATCCAGAGCTAAAAAATTTTTCTTGGAGAATGAAAATGCATATGAATTTTCGCAAACCAAGATAGGATGCAAAGCTGTGAATTTTTTGACTGGGTGTGATTCTCACTACAAGTTCCATCTTACTAGAAGCATATCTCATTTTAAACTTGTGATTACTTTCATTTTATTTTTTCGATGTATAGGATGGAACTCTAGCTTTATTAAAATTGTTAAGTTTATAGCCCTGGGAGCTGACTAATGCTTTATGTCGTTTAAATTTAAATTAACACTTCATTTTACCTCTCAGCTGAATTGTGCAAAAATGTTGTCGACATTCTAAATACATGGCAAAAGCTGCTAAAGTTCTATGCAAAAGAAATAGATGACCAGGTTTGCGTTTTTTATGTTCTCAATTAATTATTGTTTCTTTGGCCAATGCACATTTTCCCTGTCAATTTAGAAAGACTGCCTAAGCTCTCTGTTGAATCCCACTTTATTTTGGAACATTTTTCCTGCATAATCTGCTGCTATTAAATCCTGGTCGGAACCAGTTTATCTTTAACTAAACTCTCAGGGCAGAACCAGTTTTCACCGAATTGCTGATTCAATCCTGCCTTTATTTCTCACTTTAATTGGCATAACATTGCTCAAAGATGTTTTGTACTTCAAACTAAATTTCCATACATGCATCAGATTTTTCTTTTTAACTGGATGTATATCACCATTTGCACCTTATATTTCTGTCTTTTCTCTATTGATCATTAACCAATGGTGCTCTGTATACTTAGTCATACTTGTCCCTTTGAACTTTGATTATTGTATTGTTGTACTTAGTCATGCATGTACCTTCATACTTGTTGATCATCCAGTTTACTCTTTCTAATTGGGTATATCCTACCTGAAATATCATATCACTCTCTTTTTAGTATTTCCCTTTGAATGAGAATCTTCACATCATATGGAGAAAATAAAAAATTTCTTACTTTTTTCTATGTTTACTTGGATATGGTTGCATTACTATCAAACAGTTCTGTCAATTGATTGAGTAAAAATTTTATTGCTTGATCAAGTAAAAATTTTGAACACCCAACATATTTGCTCGTTCCATATCTTATATCCTTTACTTGAAATTGTCTATAAACTAAATCTCATCAATGATGGAATGGACAGATTGAAGTGATACTGAAATTTGAAGAAATGTGTCTAGAGTCTGCCAAGGAGTTTTCTCCCACTTTTTCCCAGGTATCTTTCTTGTCTTGGGTTTATGGGTGTGACTATTCAAGCATTAGTCTGGAACCTATTAACTAAAAGTTGCACATATTGAGTCAGTTTCATATTCTGCTTTGGTCAGCACATAATGCATTCCTGGTTTTACAGTTAGGTTTGCTTCAATTGGTAAGCCGATAAAAACTAATCTAATCCTAAAGGTGTGCCAAATTATCAGTCAGCTCCTGCTTAGAATGAAAGGATATTGCTTAAGTCCTGCAACTATGAGTGAAGGCCAAGTCCTATGTCATTATGAGGACTTAAAGGAAAATCTATATGAGGCGCCTTTTTATGATTTAAATTAATGACGTAGTGTTTAGATTGTGCAAGAAAAAAGGTGCTAGCTTGTAATTGGATATAGACGTGAGTTTGGGGAAAGATGCCTTGGTCTTTGCAAGTTAATTTGGCTGGGTGTACTTAATCAAATTTGGGGATATACTTGTAGCTTGCTTTACTTGTCTAGGCTGAGATTTCAAACCTTCCGAAGTCCATTAAATTCCTAATAGAATATTCAGGCTGAACGACTGATTCTTTTACCTTTATATTCTCTTAGATTTTGCCTATTTTATACGAGAAAGATATTCTTGAAGAGGATGCCATATTGAGATGGGCTGATGAGAAAAAAGATGCCGAGGAATCAGATAAAGTTTTTGTCAAGCAATCAGAAGCATTCATTCAGGTAAGGTTTCACACTTGCTATTTCCAGTTGTTATTCTTGTTATCGACTTTTAGACATGGGATATTCTGAATTTGGATCCATACAATATATGTCCTATACAGCGGAGGCAGACCCATATGCTATTTGCCGAACTAGCCTTTACCTTATTAATGACGATGAGCAAGGAAGGATTATTTTCCTTCTTCTTTTTAAACCCTAAATCTAATGTATACTTCGTTCTTTTAAAATCACACTTTGTTATCATTCTAATGGAGCTGTGATTGCGTCAATTAAGAGACAAAAGTTTGAGTGCGTCCAGACATGTATAATTCTATTCCATGGCTTACAACTTGGATATGCATTGGGTGCAGTGGTTGAAGGAGGCATCCGAAGAAGAAGACTAAGATGGAAAAGAAAGTGATTTAACTAACAGAGATTGTAAAGAACAATAACTACTCTGGCAGATTGATGCATCATGTTTTGTGTGGGTTGCTCGTTGAATTAAGGGCCCCTTTGAGTTGTGATGCTTAACTTCCCATTTTGTTAATTAAGCAATCTAGTTCTGTCCATTAGCCTGTTGTTTTCTCACCACCTGTTGGAAAAAGTTTTGCTATTGGTTCGCACCAATCTTCGCATTTCAAAAAGCTGGGGGCACACTCATTACTCAAGTTCCTCTGTATTTTAATCTCTTTGATGCCACTCTGTGCAAGCAAGAAGTGTTCTGTGCATCAGAGAGTCCCATTGTGAACTCGGTATTATTATAAAGGCTGACATTTTTGAATTGTATGCAAGTAATGTTCTTTTAATGGTTTTTGCTATTGCAGTAAGCATTCTTTTCCAACCATTTAGTCTCTGTTCTGTTCTCATATTCATCTTTAGCCGGTCATTGTACGAGGCCTTTTTACCTTTCAACTGTGTGCAATGCAAAAATTCATATAAAATTTGTTTCGTATGACAGAAAAGATTTATTTCATTATCACCGATTACAAGTTATTTAAAACAAATATTATAATTCTAGTATATGCATCATTTAACAACCAAATTTTAAACTAACTGACTAGGTGTTGGCTGTTAGTGGCTTGAATTGAAATATCCCTTATATAATTTTAGTGAATTGAAATACCCTTTATAACGGCTCAGTGGCTTGCTCATTAGTGAATGAAGGAAATTCTTATATAGCAGAAAGAGAAATACAAGATATGAGTGCTCATAGAAATGCACTTCTATCACACAAATAACAGGACAACCTGCTAACAATATCAACTTATATATACCATCTCTGAGTCTGAGGTAACGATGGCTGATCAGAATCGAGGTGGACCGGGAGGCCCAGGTGGACCGGGAGGCCCTGGTGGACCGCCAAACACTGGCCCACAGCAACTCTCTAGGATGCAACAGCAGCAAAGGAAATACAAACTGCAAGCAAAAATATAATAATAACAGTAAAATATACAAATACATCTTTGCTTCTTTTCTTTATAAAAATATAAACAAATATATGGCTTACCAAGAAGATGCAAGCCTGCATATCCCATTGCAGAGAAAATCACAGCATCCGAAACAGCCTGGTCCCGGAGGTCCTCCCGGCGGCGGTCCCCAACCCGGTGGTGGCATCTTTCTCTGAGTCTATATATCTCAAAGCGAGACTTAAAAAAAATATTCGACAACTAGTTGGTTGGTGGTGCGTCACAAGAAAATTCTATGAAGATGAAGATATTATATAGACAACTTAATATTTATCGCCATTGTTGAGTAGCGAGAAAGGGACAACTTAATGGCCAAGGATTATGACATGAAAACCTTGGAACAGTAGGTACAAATCACAATCACATGTACATGTAGTAGTTTGAATCTTAGGATAAGTGTGAGAGCATTTTATCCACTCTTCTATCAGACCTAATCTTCAAACCCTAAAAAGCTTTCTATGCATGTTTTTAACATTTTGTTCAACAACTTTAAATGAAACATTGGGCCATGTGTATAATATAATTTGTATTTGGCTCCTTGTTATTGGTGTTGGCATTGAAAATGACTAAAGAATAGACTAGATTTAGCACCAAATGTCAATAAGTTTGTGCATTCACTTTATGTGAATAGACTTCATTTTGTTGTTAGTCATACAAATTTATTATTAGACTTACCAAATCAATTCATAATCCGAATTTATATAAGTCAATCTCATGAACTCAAGACATACGTACCATCACAAAATTACAATATAAAAGAAGGAAGTTGAAAAAATGAACATGATTTGTGTAACACCTTAGGCGAATCCCATCCCACATCGATTAAGTGCAAAGTGCAAGTAATGTTAATAAGTATGGACAGATTTTAGACTGTCAAGAGGTCTTTTGGATGGTCTGGCCATGGTGTAAAGAGAATACGGGCAGATTTGAAGTATTTAGTCATATTCACAGACAAAAGGAGAGAAAATTTCACTATAATTGAAAAAAAAAAAAAAAATTATAATCACACAAAGTCTCTAACTCATATTCGAGTAGGTTCTTCCAAATTCTCATACAATCTATTGAAATAGACAGATTTGGAGTATTTAGTTGTCCCTTTAGCCTCACCAAAACATGTTCAAAATTTAAACAGTTTTGATAAATAATATAAATAATTGTATTTTTAATATAATTAATTTCTTGATTTTATTCGTCATTTGACTGCTTAATTTTTTGTTCATTGATTTTAAAAGAATTGAAAGAAAATTATTTATAATAATTAAATGTTGCACGTAATTGCGAGAGTGCACCACTAATAATCCGATTAATAAAGTCTGTTCATTAGATATTGTTATTAATTTAATTAATTTGGATATTTACATTTGTTAATTCCCATTTTGCTTGTAAAATCACTTTTATAACGTAATTAAAATTCATATATAAAGGTTAATATCGAAAAAAGAAAAGAAAATGAATCTAAATTGAATATGAATATTCATAAAATAAAGAAAATAGATCAGAAACTTGATATACATAGAATCAGCGAACCAATTATTATTACAAATATTAGGTAGGCAAATACATATTGCATACAAATTCCTACAGTATTACTGAAAACGTAAAATGCAGCAGATCATGGAGGAGGGGGACCGAATGGGCCAGGTGGGCCGGGAGGGCCGGGAGGGCCCATTGGACCACCAAAGCAATCTTGCAGTAACCAGCAACAGCACAAAAAGCTCATGCTGCACAATGTGAACACACAGTAATCAGGCAACAACAAGATCATGAGTTAACATAAACCGTCAAATTTTTTTATAAAATAAAGTAAAAATTGATTATATATATGAAAAAATTGTAAATACAAAGTCGGAAACAATTACATACCAAGCTCCAATAACGTCACAAAAGCCACCGAAAGGACCAGGCGGTCCTCCTGGTGGCGGACCGCCCCATCCCGGTGGCCCAGGTCCTCCTGGTCCCATATATATAAATAGAATATAATAAAGCTATAAAGGAAGTAACCAGAAGAGACTCCAAAAACCGTTGGAGACAGGAGTGAAGAAGGGGATAATGAGGTTTTTATAGCCCAGTTTTGCTTAAGCTAGAAGCCTCCATTGTCACAAGTACATTTATCACTACTTTGTATGACATGGTATCTTCCAATCCATTCTTAGTATCTAATGGTATTCATCTGCTATTCTTCTTCTTCTTCTCCTATGGCTACCAGTCAAAGCTATTAGACCGTTAAGAAAGCCCAGTGGATGTTGTGGGTGCTTCAATAATGTTCTGTTTTTGTTATAGCGGTGCCCTTATAATTGGTACCATCAAATTGAAATTCACATTACAGGCTTGCCATGTTCTAAAGGAGCCTCCTTTTTTCTTTTTTCTTTTTTCTTTCTACATGTGTTTTCATATTCCGATTCGATATAAAGTCTTCTTAATAATGTCAAATGGGATTATTTTCGAGTATGAAGAAGGAAAAATTTTTATACTGTTGAAATATGAGTAATATGTATTTTTCCATTAGAGTAAGGTATCAATTATAATGTAAAAAGTTAATATTCTTATGAAGTGCCTAATCACAATAGGGCAAGTTTTTGTTAGGCTACATGTCAAGATACTGTCTTATGAATTTACCATACTGCATCATGGCTATCTTGGCCTTAGATTGTATCACATAAAACCCCAGTTTAAAGGTTAAAATTGCCAAATCACGAGCTCGTTCCACTGTACTGAAAAAAATTACATATAATCCTGCAAGATAGTACTCGGATTGTGTTCCTATATAGAAAAGAACATGGTGCACTAAAACTTGGGAAAATAGAAAAGGGGATTTTCATAGGAGTTATCCAGAATTTAAGACAAGGGAGGATTTTTTTTTTTTTTTTTTTTTGGTTCAAATTATCTAATCTTGAAGGTTGAAACTTCACGTAATCCCCTAGAACCTGGCTCTAATCCCCAGTATTACATTTTCTGACCTAACCCTAATCGACAAGAAATAGGTAAACTCCACCCCATCTAAAGAAGGGGCAGATATGAAAAGATAAACTCAATCCAGCCGGTAACCTACCTCATGAATATATACATTTTAAATAACCTTATATTTTCTTATAGAACCCATCTCAAATCCGCCCCGCCCTGTCCTGCCTCGATGCAGGGCAAGTGGCAAGAATGATATTTAATCTCGCAGGGAGGCGAGTACAGGTATTGAAAAACCTGCCCCATAGCCATCCTTGCTAACAAGGTGCCAAATAACTAAGCAAACACGAGTTTGTTAAAAAAACAATAGTATAATATTGAAGCGACAAATTTGGAGGGTAAAATACAAGCGTGGCTTCAAAAGCCGCCATGGAAGCTAAGAAAAAAAAATTGCCAAAAAAAGGGCAAAAGCATAAGATAATGGTATATACCATGGGATGTTAGATATTCTACAGGCTCCTGTGTCAGCTGTGTGAAACAATTGGTTTTGCTAATCTACATGTAACTATAGAGGCAAATAAAACTGGCCTTCTAGTATAGTATGTTTGTCAAAACAGATCTTTTTTCTCTTCGACTTTTTATCTGTACATCAATTCTGCAACTATCTCACATAATGGCGGCCAAGCCCACATAATCCCCCTCGTCAATTCTGGTTTCTGAAGCAGTAACTGAGCCCCGAGGTCTCACTGAAAGGAGGGCAACAAGCTAATAAGGATAATTGACATTGAGTGTAATAGAGTTCAACACAGGTGATTGCTCTCTTATGATATTAAATTACTGATTCGCATTAGGGCGAGAAAATATGGGCAGAGACAAAATGATGCTCTGTCAAAGAAAAAATATCCAAGAGATCCTAATGATGTTGGAGAGATTACCTGTAACGTTTGTGATTACATTTACACTTTTTTGAGCAGCAAGTGCTTTTAACTTGTTTCCACTGGCTAATAAAAGCAAGCTTTTGAGGTGCTGCTTCTGTTCCTTAGGACTAGATGTCTTTGTCAAAGCTTCTTCAAACGCAACCAAATCTTGGGGTGTTATACAAGGGAGAGAGAGTAGGACCTAGGGAAACAAAGGCACTTCTCGATCAGATGGTGGGATTGCACCCATAAAGTTTTACCCAGCACATTAATATAGAAAACGATACGCACCTGTCTTGGGGCTGGATCTCTATCACGAAGATAGATGAATATTTCTCGACAGAGACCAACAAGTTCTGCACTGATAACTGCATATGACTCGAGCTCCAAGCCTTTGACTATTGCAAAGAACAAATCTTTTGAAACAAATTCTCGAAGTTCAACATTATTTGTTAATATAGCTAGATGAATTACGGTAGCACAAAATGAAGAAACTTTTGTCACTGTTTCACCATCCGTCCATGTGAAAGCTTCTAAACAAATCTGCAATGCAGGAAGCGCCAGGCTTTTGTGCTTCAAAAGGAAACTGTAAATGAATTAAATTTTAGACATGAAACGCCCTCAAGGATAAAATAAAATCACTTCAATAAATAAACAGAAAAAGCTACTCTTACAATGACGTACCCAACCATGGAGTTCGATGCAAATGCTTCCAGGTCCTTTAGTGAAGATGTATCACCACGGCTGATGTGCCCAGATTGTTCTAAAGAAGGAAGTCCCATATTTAATCCTGGTGAAGCTATAGCAGAGAGAAGTAAGCAAGTCTCACGAGTTAGATCTCGAAGCAGTTTCTCCTCCATCACTTCCACTTTCATGTCTGACCCTGGAAGCATGCCATGGACATCTGGAACCTTTGCTTTACCTTCGTGCAAAAGACTTGACCAAGAAAAGTTGAGAACTTGCTGAACATGGAGAAATAATGGGTATAGGAGCTTTTCCAGCCAGACTTCCCACATCTCTGAAGGACAAAATTTGACCAAATATATCAGAACTGAGTGGACAAGCTGTCTTATATGCCTGAACTCCATGGACTGTATGTTTTCCATTAGTGCTACCCCAACAGAATGAACATCCAAACATTTAAAAAATGGATCTCCAATGGTCATAGATAGGCCCAAGACATTGTACCTGGATTTGTGGAGGAAACATGAGCACTTCATTTGGAGGAAGCATACATCAAATGGTAAAATAATATATATGGTTCTATATAACTAACTCACCCCTCACCCCCCCTCTCTTCCCCCAAAAAATATTTTTTTTTTTTCCTTTTCACAGCAATATAACTTGTACATGCAGAAAACTCAGATGATGAGCTATTAGTGTAAGGGAATGATCATTTGCTTCTTATACAACTATTTATATACCTGAGTTAGAAGAATATGGGTTGAGGTAATAGGTCTATCTCATGGTATTCATTGTATATGTATAGCCTTCAGTTTTACTGGAATTTGTTCTTCAGAATTCCATGGCTGTTCATTCAATGAGTAAGACTACTACAACAAGTAAGCATTAATTGCCAACTAGTTTGAGATTGGCTATACGAATCGTTTGTTCCATTGTACTCTTTTGATAGCAAAGTCTGCACTAATGCCAAGAAGCAGTAGATATTCTGAGACAACTTCCCTCTATGTGGTCGTAAGTCTACACCTTCCCCATTTGCACCCTTCACAATCAATATATCACACTTACGCATTAGAGCACAGCGGGATCTACATTGAACATGATCAAACCATCTCAGACATCCTTATATCATTTTATTCCAACTGGTGCTACCTGGACTTCTTGTCGAATGTGGTCATTTCTCTAGTCTTGTCTAACCTTGTATGACCACAAGTCCATTTTAACATCTGCATTTCTGCAATATGTTAAGACATTAAGAGCTCAACCTTCACTCTCATATAACATCCCAGGTCCAACCGCTATTCTATAAGAACTTGCCTTTCACTGAGTAAGACTAGCTAAATGATATATATTTTTGGTTTGCAGAGGAAGAGGGGGGAGTCTATGTCAAGTTGGGATACACACCAACCACCTATGTTGCACGGAAACGGAAACAAGGAAATGTGAAAACAATACGGGGAAAAGACATTTAAAAAATAATTTTACACAGGAAAACAGTATTTTATACAGGAAAACGAATATGCGGAAATGTTTCTGAAATGCAGAAACACCCATAGCTAGAAGTTTCCGTGCATCATAGCCTACCACTAAGCTTGCAGATGTAAATGGTAAACTTTTATTACTATTGTTACTGTTTTTTTGCAATGAATTAATGAAAAAGTTGCACTCATTCTACCTATAAGAACAGTGGCATTTCAAATGTCACTGAGCACGAAGCATACTACAAGAGTTAAAAAATCAATAACCCTACATATGGGCTCTGAACGTGGAACCCTCACTATCCTCAACTGAATCCAAGTATTCTGACTTTCAGGACAACGACATAAATAAATACAGAACAAATTTCATAGGCAAAGTTAAAAACCACCTCCAAAAGCTCATACTTACCCACTATCTCTGATGCCTTTCAACCAATTTCGTATATCAGATTCATTAGTTTCTGCATAGCCTTCCTTACTCATGTCAATCTGAGATCCATCTGCAAAAGTTAAAGCACCCTTGGGCAATTTAAAATTCCCCTCCCCAAGAAGTGCATATCGCTCAAAATCGCTCATGGTCATAGCAGCTTTCAGTTCCCCAGGTAGTCCTTGAGATATGGATGGAGACCAAAGAGAATGTATTGCACGAAGCAACTGCAAATAAATACCATTTTTTTCAGTAGTAATGGACATGAAATACAAAAACATGAACAGCAAAAATAACATTGTTTGTTCTTAAGAGCAACACACATACTTTCAGGAGAGGAGGCAGCATCCAGGATAGATGTGAAGCCATTGGATGCAAAGGAGTACTTGCTGTTGAGCTGTTTTGTGAATTCAAAATCCCCTTTCTGGTTCCACTCCTTTTCAGTGCCTTCTCAAAGAATGTCACAGTGTGGAAAATTGACCACATAAATTGGGTCTCAGAACACAAACGAACCAGACCCAGTGGTTCAGACAAATAACTAGTTTGCCACTCCAGTTGCATCCATTGTTGGCTCAAAGGTTCAAGTAACCAGGCCAAAACTTCTTGCTGCTGTTGAATCCTGTATTCAATTAAGAAACTTGAAGCAATAAGCAAGATATCCCTCACATTAGTTTCAATACAGATTCTGCTTATTGTTAGCAAGAGATTACCCAGCAGCAGAAGCCATGACAAGAAATGCTTCGCCTAAAAGATTATGTTCGCTACGATGCAGACAACCTTCTCGTTGCATATATGCCATAGTATCAGCTATACCCTACAGTAAAACAGCCCGACAAAGTAAATACTATATCTTCCTGAAATGTTTTGGCTTTTTCAAAATATGCATGAATATCACATAAAAGTCTGTTAGCATATTTCTGAAGAACTTCATTTGTTTCCTTGGTAGATCATGCATGCAGCACTTAGGTTGCATAACATGGAGACTCGAGCATAAGCTACTAATAAAATCGAACTAGATTTTCTTTCCTTGATAAAGTCAGCTGGTTTAGCCAAACAAGCAGAAGACGTTATAGCTAAAAAGGAAAAGAAGAAAAATCCAGAAAAACCACCTTCATGTGAGGCAGAATGCTTCTGTCAGCAGCTTTGGCTATCCGAATGAATGATGTACAAATTTGCAGCCTTGCATGCCGTGCAGTACTTGTAGCAGGATCCTAGCAACCAAATAAAAAGCACTAGTTAAATTTGGAACCCTTGACAACTGATGATATTTTAAAATTCATATTAATTAATCCCACAAGAAAACCTTAACAACAAATGGAAGTGAATTCAGAAGCTCGAACAGTTTATTGACAACGCTGCCCGCAGCATCTGGGAAATATTTCAAAAAGGGACCCAATGCATCTAAATAGTGCCCAAGGACTTGTACAAGAGCTGGCTCCGTCCATTTCAAAGGAAGAAGTCGTTGAAGTAAACCTTCAATTCACAATAACCAGAATTTTTCAGCAAGCTTTAAGCTTGAAAACAATCCAGAAAAATAAATAGAAGTTGCTAAAAACCTTCAAATATTCTACACAAGGCAAGGTGAACTTCAGAACTCCCGCCTGCAAATTCATGTGATCCATCAAAAATTGCATTTACAACATTTTCAAGAGCCACTTGCGTGCTTTCCATCACAGCTAATTCCTGAATTTTAAAAAGATGCAAATAGACGATAGAGAAAAATAAACGTCAGATCAAAGTGAAGCTGGCCCAGCAAAAATCCATAGATTGAAAAATCTAACAAGCAAACATCCATCAATAAGTGTACTTAAAAGAGTTCATTAATACACCTGAATAGGCGCTGGTGAAATCAAGATGCTGTTGATGATTGAAAAAATTCTTTCAGAAATTTTAGTACCAGCTATTAGGGGCTTAAATGAAGCAACAAACTTCATCAACTCAGACTGCATTAGGAGGGAATGGTCATCAGTAACTAATCCAGATACATTAAAACAAGCAACAACAATCAGTAATCAGAGAAAATGGAGAAGAATTGAAACCTATAGAACAAAGAGACTTACGAATAAAATAACTAATGTGAGTACAGCGAATTATATAATGATGTTTACAATACAATATAAAATTTGACTCCCATAACAAGAAGCTACACCGAAGATGTTAAAGAACAAGAAGAAAAAAAGCATCCAAGTAAAATTTACCAGCTTGAAACGGTATTGGCTAAAATCACCCTTGCCTTCAAAATCATCACTCCATAACTCCAACACCCCAAGAGAAAGGGACGTCCCAGGAAACACTTTTTCTCTTTTAAGCATGCGGAGGAAAGTGATATCCAAGATTTCACTATAAATCTCATCACCCATTAGACCTAAAATCTTTGCTTTTTCATTATCAACCTGCCCAGTACCAGGTCCCAAGCTATTAACAGCAGAACCATCTCCAGATGAAAGTGCAACAACTTTTGGCTTGGACATTAATGAATCTCTCATTAGTGCCTATAAGGAAAAAATTAAATGTATTAAGAATAGCAAAGGTGCCAGTTAGGCTTTGTTATTGAATGCAGTGTAACAATAAATTCACAAAAAAAAAAAAAAAATTCACATACCAACCAAAAGGGCAGGGATTGATAATGAAGAGCTAGCTTATAGTGTCGGAAAAATCCCAGCATCTGAAACAATATCAAAGAGTTAGATCATAAATGGTTCTTCAAAAACACAGATAATTCACAATCCTTGCATGAAAATCCCATACAAGTATCAACCAATCATCATAATATAGGTTATACTAAAGTGTATCTACCTGTTGCAAATAAAGACAGAGCATATTGCTATCACCAGAAATGCATTGCAAGTTGGAAGAACCCAAAGACACCATACTCTCACATACATATTCGGCGAACTCAAACTCATTCTCATCTATAGCCCCAGCACTGGACCCAGATTTGTACAAAAATTCTCTGGAGACATTCATCAAGATCTGAAAGATATTATTCATTGCAGAATCAAATTCAGAAGCAGAGGCATCAACAGGTCTCCTCCTGGAAATCTCAATTCATAGAACACCAGTAATCATGAGAATGTGAATTGTGAATGCAAAGTTACTTTTACTACTTAAAACATTAAATAAGCTAAAAGGCACACCTTGGAGAGACAAGTCTGAAAAACTCACAAGCATGAAGACGAAAATCAGCAGAAGAAAGTAAAAAACCACACCTGGGAAAGAGATAGTAGTCAGAAAAAGTTAGACTTTGATCCATACTCATGATGTAGAAACTCGGAAGTAAGAAACCAACCCAGCAGTTATGGGTTAACATACCCATGAATAATTCCATATTTCGCTAGATCAGGCAAAGGAGCCCATTCAGCATATGCATTGACAGCATTAAGAGTAGCTGTTACTGTGGCAGCATGCTGTTTCGCAGCATCCAGTTGTTGCTTACCAGCTTCATGTAATGCAGCTCCAAAGTGTCTTTCCAGTAACTGTATATGGAACAAAGTCAGCACAATGAAGTGCACTATATGCTACAACACTATATGCATATACACTGTCTGTAATGAAGTTAAAGTTGGAGGCATACTGAGTATAGTAAAGGCAAAATATCAGGCAAGGATTGAGTAAGCGCCCGTAATAGAAGCCTGCGCCGATCACCTGAAAATACATTCAGAACAAATATAAGTGATGCAAGCAGCAGCATATGCACGATAGAAAATTAAAATCTTTGCATAGAAAAGAAGAGGAAATAGGAAAACTTATTTAAAGAAAAGAAACAAAGACATCATCAACCTAGGAAGTAAGCCATAAAACATTTTCAACATATAATTGAAATATCAATCAACTTTGAGGCTCTGAAAACGAATATTTTAGAATTTACAGAGTTGCTCAAGTTCAAAATATTCAATTTCCTTAATACAAACATTTCAATACCCAAAACAGATACAAACTAGAAAGTTTTACACTCCAGGCAAATCATTATAGACCTTCTAAATCCTCATTGTGAACTGTAATATCTTCAGGAAGCCATCTCAGCATCATTGAAACCAATTCAGCCTAATATAAGAAAAAAAAATGCATATATTAGAATAAAGCTAATCAAGCAACAGAAATACGACAAGAAAAACATGAGTTCTGCACAGGAAAATGCATACTTGAACAGCACCCTGGCCAGACAAGGAAACAAGAGATGGAAGTAGCTCCTGCCACAGTTCTACACCTTCTCTTCTAACAATCTATAGAGGAGCAAAATTGTCAGTACATGACACCAGGTAAGACAGCCTACTCAACAGTCAAAGAAATGTGCTTAGAACCTCAGCAACTAAGGCAGCAGTCTGACTTTTCAGAGCCCATTCCTCCGAAGAATTTGCAATCTCAGACATCAATGCGAAAGCAACATTTGCAAAATTCCTGCGCTCCATTGGGCTTAATTCCTCCCATCGCAACCGGACCAAATGCTGCAGAACATGCATACGCTTAGGCTTTAATTGTGATTGAACTACAAGCAACTTAAGACCTATTGATTAATTCAATAGATATGAAGACCTTTGGGAAGAATTAACATTAGTAACATCATTTGATGGTCCAATAGTGACCAGACAGCCATGAAATAATCATATATAGCTCACAAGTTTATGAACTTGTGAACCTTTTAATAAATTAATGTAATCCTGAATTTAGTTGATAAAGAAATATCAAAGGAATTACCATCCATCAAAGAAACATGTTGACCTAGAGAAAGTGAATCATGAATTTATAAATATTTCATTGTCCATCAGTGCAAGCATTCCAAGCCTGAAGTAAGTGATTGACTAATTATTTTTGTTAGTTGCTTAGGATCAAGGTTATGATCCAAAAAGTTCAAGACTCAAGACGCAAAAGAATATCCATATCCCATGAAATTCATTGACAAGTCATCCTCAGATCATCAGTAACAAAATCAAAAAAGAAAAAGTTCAATCTTATATTCAGATTCAGTTAGTGTAGTCCATGCCTCAATTCAGATTAAGTTGCTGTGAGGGTTTTCTTTTTCTTATTACAGAGAAATAAGAAGTCAAAAGTATTGCCTAAAATAACAGTTTGGCACAGTGAAGAACAAGCGATGACCACTTGTGTCCCACCAACAGCGAATAAATACAGAAGGGTCAGCTCCCTATAGTTTTGCCCCATGATTGATTTTTGCATTTGAAACAAGGAAATTAAAGACTTTGAAAGAAGCATTATTCGGTCATCTTGTGACGGTTCTTTCCAAGTATTTTTTTCCTCACAATCAATCTGAAAGTGTTTGTAGGATATTGTCATTAGACTATCAACAGGATATATCTCAAAATAGCATCAAGACTTCTCTACCAATAAGGAAAGAGAAGGGACATGTGAGAGTAAACCTGCAGCATTTTGAAAGCATGCAACCGTATTTCGGAAGACCAATCCTTTTTGACAAGAAGGAACGAGATATTTGCCAAAACTTGTACTTCTCCAGTTTTGATCTGCAGATATTGAAAAGTAGATTAATTACCTGGTTCTCTAGTACAGTTGCATGCAAACAAACTCAGAAAATAAATAATTCTTGTTATACAGTAATGCCAACATGTTTCTGAAGGCTAGTTGATATATTTCTCCTACGGATTGAAAAAAAGAGAGAGAAAAAAAGAGAATAACTTTATCACAATCTTAAACAAACAGGAGCAATAATTCGATAATCAATCACAAAACTCTACTTCCAAAAGTAAAACACACATTTGCCTCTCAACTTCATATTTATTTAACCAAACCGTACCCTCACAATTCAAACAACCGCTAAGATCATGAAACTTGATCAACTTGCCAATCACCCCCAATATTAATATTCATTGAAACCAGACTCCAGTAGAGTTGGATAGCATTGAAGCAAACATAACAGCAACAAACAACCAAACCATTAATTACTACCCGTTTGCTAAAAACTCGGAACTCAATCGGAGTACTAAAGATTGCTTATACAAGTCGTCAAATTTATGACTTTTAATCAATTCGCAACAGTGTACACAATCAAAATTCAAGAAGTTCTGGTGGAGATAGTGATAGAGAAAAGGGCAAAGAGCAAAATTAAATAAACATAAACACATTAGCAAGTATGCTTCTATATGTATACGTAAAGGAGAAAGAGAGAGTGTGCGTACGGAATCAAGAAAAGAGACGGCGGCTTTGCGAGCATCAGGAGAAGAGTTCCAATCAAGAGCTGCAACAATGGCCCGAGCCACATTATTTGCTATGTTATTGCTATTTGTGTCCTCCATTACCAACAATAACGAGTCTTTACTAGGTTTTGGAGAAAGGAAAACAAATAAGTGGAGCGATTGAAAGAGTTGGGTTGTGTATGCAACTGATTGGCTTTGAGAAGAAAAAGAGAAGGAGAAAAAGAAAAGAAGAAGAGAAAAAATTAAACTGGTTTAGTTAAGTTTAAAGTAGGATTTTTTATTTGAAGAGCTGAGGTTTATAGACGTGTGGAGTTACATCCCATCACATATGCACCCCACCGTCTCTCAGATTCTCTCTTATTTTATCAAATGTCTTTTAACTAATTTAATTTAATTTAATTAGTTGTATTGATTTTTAATTTTAAATTTTTAATTCTATTAGCTAAAAAAAAAAAATTTTTGACTATAAAATCAAGTAAAAATTTATATTATATTATCAAATCAGTGTATTGGACTAGAAGTCTACGTATATTATTTTTTATTTTATATTATACGATAAATCTTATAATATATTTCTTCATAAATAATAATACATTACATTTATTATTTTGTAGAATAAATTATTTATAGATAATAATTATAACTATCAAATTAAAAATAATAATTAAATATATTATGTTGTTATCATATTTAATATATACTTTCTATAATATAATATAACCAATCAAATTTAAGTTATTTTTATTTTTTAATCAATAAAATTAAAATCTTTATTTACAATATGCCTTGTCCTTTTTTTTCATTTTTTTTCTTTTATCTAACTTAATAAATAAAGCTAGAAAAAGAGGGAAAAAGAAAGAAAAGGGTTTTTATGAAGTTCATTAGAAATTAATTGTAAGTCATGGTTAACAGGTGAGATGGGATAACAAAAGTCTAGTTATCCTTGACCGGAGGTTTCAAATTAGAGCTACGAGTATGCATCACGGCCTTGGATACCGGATGGTTTCTTCCAAAGAGATAATCTAATACACCAACTTATGCCATGGAACCATTTCCAAGTTCGAAGCCCCTCTCCTGCAACTCCATACATAGCTTGTAATGTCCATAGCTGGATCGAGTATAATCTGACTAAATTGCAGCAATATAGATATTCCTTATAGTTTGATATCTCTTAGCAAAGAAAAAAGAAATACAAGTGCCTCTTTGCAGAAGAAAAATACTGATGAAGGTAGTCAACTTGGCTAAGCAAGCTAGTTAGACAAGCATGGGCCCTTCCAAGTAGCTGGAGTAAATTCCATCGTTACAATATATATATTGTCAAGGTATCTGTTGAAAAAATTGAAGTTGCCACTTAAAAGAAACACTGAAAGAAAGAAAACATAAGAATGGAGATTTCTTTTTTCCACTAATTTATGAAGTAGTTGGTTGGTTCTCAACACAATAAACTTTAAAGAAAAGAATCATCAAAATATACACATCAATTTTCTCGCCGTCCCAATAGAAAGAACTGAAAATTTTCTATAATAAAAATGGACACAGAAGTATAGAAAATGAATTCATTCCCAGGTACATTTTTAAGTAAAACAATAACATCTTTTGCACTCGTGAAGAAGCCAAGCATGTGTATGAAATACCAGTGTCTCTTTTTGCAGTGTACAGGAGATTTCCAGTTTGGCCAGTATGTATGCACTGAAAGTTTAAGCTACACTTCTCTTTCCCTTAAACCTAGCATTACCAGTTCTATCACCTGCAGCGTTCTTCTTTCGCCTTGGAGCATTAACACCAGCAGAGTCGACCAATGGGCCTGACCAAGTTTGTACTGGCTCCTTTGAACAAGTGAATGAAGTGGAGCTATATGGGATATCAGGGGGAATGACTGCTGGATCAAAATGTTGAGATGATCCTAAAGGATAGCCAAGTGTCCCATCCTGGTGAGGTGGAGGAAACTTCTCACTCTTGCTCTTTGCATTCGCATAGGTAATTAGTCGTCTCCTCTGTGTTAGGAAGAAAAAAAAAATGTTGTCAATAATTCAAGCAAGTCATCAAGTGTAAATAAAACTCAAATTGAGTGTCCGATTCAATGAAATGTCTCTAGAATTGGCATTGTCATTAACACTAATGCAGATTATTAGATACTCGATATCGGATGATAGTACCTTACAACTAGCACACATGGAATATATGTTGCTTCAGCTTATATGATGAAATAGCAATTCCATAAACTAAAGCTCGTTCGTAAGTGAAATGATAACTTATGACTTCCCAACTGGCATTGGTGCATGGATTCTTTTCAAATCCAATGGCAACGGGGAGGAGCCAGAAAGCACAAATAATATAGTACTGCTGCTCTCTGCTTAATGCTAACTTGATTTATTTGGTTATTTCTTGAATGATAAAACTAAAACCACGGTGCATAATCATCCAAGAATTTGCAAGTGAAAGCAACTGCACAAAAATGAAAACAATGGTGCACAGACATACATCAATATTAGATTGAAGCTCGGCATTGGATTCTGGAGCAGGCATTGCCCTAACAGCACGATCGCGTGTCCGTGTTTTCTTTACATTTTCACCCTGGGCCTTTGCAGCAGCTCTTTGTCTGCAAAACATGAATAAAGTTTACATATTAACAAGAGAGAGACACTAAGTAGACATGTTATACAAACACAAGAGGTACAAAATCCAGGTGTGTATATATATATATATATATATATATAAGAATGAATAAAATCTTATTTTTCTTTGCTGTTCAATACAGAATGAAATAAACATCTTATTTTTTTCTTTGCTGTTCAAAAGACAATATATATCATATATACAAGAATGTCCTGGGAACAAAAATGAATAATTTTTATATATATATATATATATATATATAAGAATGAATAAAATCTTATTTTTCTTTGCTGTTCAAAAGAATATATACATATATAAGAATGTCTGGAGAACAAAAATGAATAATTTTTTCCCTCCTTAATCAGCAAAGAAATGAAAATATGGTGAAAATGTCCCTATGATCATCATCGTACCAAATCCAATCCTAGGGAATGACCAAGCATAGAATGGCGAGAACACTGAACAGAATGATACTACAAACTAAAAAATCTAGGCCATTCTTATCGCATTGCCTAGAACCTAAAATAGTTAGTTATAGCAAATTCAACTACCACACTGACCCCCACCCCCCTTTTGTTCCTTTTGAATGGGTAGTAAGTCTGACTAATTCTGAATTACAGATTTTGTTAGTCCTTGTAATTTCGCTCACATATTTTCTCACATGGAATGGTGTCTAGCTTGGCACATTCTGGAGAAATATTTTTCCCTTTCTTTTTTTGGATAATAGAATGTTTTCTATAAATATCATTTTATCAAAGACTTGGTCAAAAATATAACCTCCTAAGCGCCTAAGTGGATATCAGCAATGAGTGTAGCGCACGCCCGTTTCATGCACCCAACAAACATGTACATGGTGGTTATACTGAAATGTTGCAGAAGGAAATAATAACAAAAGGAGGTCTAAAGAGGCACCTTCGAGCTTCATCATCTCGTCTTTTAGCATCCATCTCCTTACTTGGGGGATATTTTGGGAGGCTAGAAGGTTCACAGGCATAAGGTTCTGTTGTGAAGAACTGCATAAGACAATGTGAAGAAAATAATAAGAGGTTGACATATGTTGTCTTTTATCCAACATCAAATTGTCCAAAATGCATATCCCACCCCTACTTAAAGTTGGAAGGGCAAAAGGGAAACAGACTTTCAAACAATATGCTCATAAATGAAGTGAAAATTGTGGGATTTCAAGATATAGTCACATAATTGGATCTCATAAAATGAGCCTCTGACTTGGGCCAAAGCTTGTTTAGAATCTCAATGGAAATAAACTAGAGCTATTAAATTTCCATCACGAACCCAAACACCCCTAAGCTTGATGTCAGATTAAATCAGGAAATTCAAATCCATGCATACTAGTGAATCTCAACATCCAGAACTCTGGTATAAAAAGGAACCATTGTACTTCAGAAGCACCACACAGAAGGCATTCAGTTGATAAGACTCAACAGAATAAGAACCGTGGCAAAATTTGAAGACAAGAACCATAATAATTGAAAAGGAGATAACTTACTTCACTTCTTAGGGCAGCTGTGGCTGTCTGACGCTCTGCTGGATCGATTGCAAGAAGGGTTTCAATAAGAGGAAGTGAAGATGGTGGAAAATCTCTAAACGTTTCTCTTATGCATCTTTTATAAGGCTCTCGAGGTCTAAATAAAGTTGCATTTGGCAACTTTGATTTCTTCCAGTACTCATCTGAAGGTGACCCACATAGCTTATATATCTTGTGCAGTTGCTCTACCTATCTCATTGAAGAAATAATTCTCATTAGAATTGAAAAAATGACATGTGTACAAGTGTTCTCTAACAACTAAATTTCCACCAATCACAAAACTTAAGTATATCCATGCTAAACAAAATGCTAATGAAGTTGGATCACAGAGATGAATGTGCTGTTGGAAACTATGAGACAACAATAATAAAGAGCGACTTACCTCGGTACGACCTGGCATAATGGGCTTTCCAGCCAACAATTCAGCTAGTATACAACCTGCACTCCAGAGGTCCACCCCCACACCATAATCAGTAGCCCCAAGGAGAAGCTCAGGAGGTCGATACCACAGCGTAACCACCCGACTAGTCATTGGATGCTTGTGATTGGGATCAAAGAAGGACGCCAATCCAAAATCAGCAATCCGGAGTATTCCTTCATTGTCAATAAGAAGATTTGATCCTTTGATATCACGATGAAGCACACCACGGTTATGGCAGTGCTCCAGACCAGATAATAGTTGGTGCATGTAGCATTTAACCTGAAATGTGGGCAAATGGTAGATACTAAATGAGAACTGCCTCCATTATTGCTGTAACACGAAGAGTTAGCATACGCATAAGTATTAATTCTCAAGACAAATTTGGACTGACCTGTGGCTCTGTGAACTTTACTCCTGGACTTGCAGCAAGTCCAGCTAAATCATGCTCCATGTACTCAAATACCAAATACAAACTACATGACATCCTGGATGTAACTAAACCCTCCAACTTTACAACATTCAGATGATCCAATCTTCGTAGAATAAGGATCTCTCTAGCCATAAATTTCACACTTTCAGGTTCCAAATTATCAAACCGGACCTTCTTCAGTGCAACAATTTTACCTGTTAACACATCTCTAGCTTTATACACATTGCTATATGTTCCTGATCCAATCTATCATCAGAGGAGAAAGAAACATGAATAAGAATACTAAATCCAACAACATAAATAAATTAGAGAAAAAAAAAATTCAATGACAGCAATAATAATCAGCTCAAATGCCTTCAACCATCACAGTCTCCTGTCATTTGAAGTAAACTCCAGATCACTATGACCAAGTCCTGAACTATCTCAGTGATAAATCAACGCACCTTATCTATCTTCTCAAATGTGTCTGCCCGCCGTGGAATCCATCCACTGAGCGCCTCCCCACACACTGCTGATAGCCAGGGTGGCCATCCAGCTGCCACCTGCTCGCCACGCAAATGCTTGGGTGGGTTACTCAACCTAGGATTTGGCCTTGACCTCCTCCTCTCCCCCCTAGGTTTTCTATCTTCCTCCGCTTTCTCTTCCTTCTGGGTGTCCTCATTTTGAATCTCAACAACACTACTAGTATCAGTCTTTTTCACTGGAACACTTTCTAATTTTCTTCTGGATTCAACACGCAGGTCCTTGACCTCTTTAGACTCTGAAACTATGCCAGAGGATACCTCTCTTCCAAGAACACACCCCATTTTTTAAATCTAAGAATCATTTCTCAACATGGTCTACGTGGGTTTCTTCACAATCAGCAATTGATCACTGCAAATCAAGAAACTAATCACTAAGCATAAAGCAACTTCAAGAAAGTAAAAAGTTTACACAATATTTTATCTGCCTGATCTAAAAAGTACAAAATTCAAAATAAAACCAAACTCAAAAAATCAAATTGGCATTCATACATATGAACAAAAGCAAATCAAAACTCCCTAGTTTACAGATTCACAGGCCTCATAAGAACAACGTAAAAAATTATCAAAAGGAAAGTAGAAGTAACAGCTCACATCATCACCGCTGACACCTCTATAAATTAATGAATACATGCAAATCATAACCCCAAAGGTTTAAGATTTAGAGCTTTAAAGATTCATTAACAACAAGGAAAAATAAGATATGATCTAACATGGGATAGCGCGGTAAGATTAAAGAAAACAAGAGATACAAGTTCTGAGAACAGAATTGGAAAAAAAATGATCTAATAAGAACAGAAAGAGTTTTAGAAAGAGATGGAGATAACTAAAGAAAGTGATGGGCAGAGACAAAGATACTTACTTTGATTGAATCTGAGTGAAAAGAAAGAGAAAGAGAGAGTAATAACATTTGTACTATATAGTTTAACAATCTCCTCTATTGGAAGTACTAGTTTTTGGTTTCTTTTGGGTCTTTGGATTTCTTTCTCGTTTTGTTGGGTCCTTTCTCAGACAAAAAAGAGTGAGAGAGAATTAAAGAAACATAAGCAGATCAATTTGGCTTTGCCTTTGGTTCCTGTTTTCTTCCAAGTCAAAGCCCCCAGGCTCATCGTCTGTGTCTATCTCTCTCATTATGGATTTTCATTCCTACATTAATGAGCATGTTTTTCCTTCATTCTTTTTGTTTTTTGTTTTTCTTTTTTTTGACAGTTCATGTACTTTTTTTTTCTTTTTTCTATATAAATATAATTTTATTTATGTTATTTCCATGATTACCTTAGGTATGTCAATCCCGTATTTGTTAACAACTTTACACTTTAATCCGTATATTCTTTTTGACATATGTATTTTAATTTTAATTCCTATCAAAAATAATTTTTATTTTTTAAAACATTTGAATCATTTCAAACTGATAATATACAAATTAAAAACTCTGAATTATTAAGTTAGATTAGTAATACAATCTAATAAATAACATACAAAGCTTAACCTAACTTAAATATATTAATGGCTTAAATTATCTGTCTAAAGATATTGTTTAATTAAATTTAATTATATAACCCTTTTTCTTAACAAACATATCCTTTAAATCTCAATTCAATTATGAGGTCAACTTGCCTTTTCTTTCTTTAATTTTTTTTTTATTAAGAAAGATATTGCATATAATAAGGAATAATTATTTTATTTATCTGATGTATATTCCAGATATAAAAATAGGCTCACCCATGTAACAATTATTCATAGTTCAAATTAAATTGTTTAGTGTTGCTTTTCTTTTTCATTGATGCATCTAAACATTTGCTTTTTTAAACTTTTTCCCTTTTAAAGCAGCAGCATGTTTGAAAACTGAAAGTTCTTTGACCAGAGGGGGTAGAGAAAAAAGAAACTGTGGCAAAATTACTTTATTTAAATCATTAATTTCTTTTTTCATTAGCATGAGAAAATAAAACACTTAAAATGATAAAATTATATTACATAATAAGTTATTTATGAACAGATTCAGTTGATTTGTTGAAGAGTGAAGAGTTAATATATATGTTGTTGAGATTTGAGAAATGTTACTCTCCTGAATTGTAAGAGTTATGCATCTTACTCTCCTAGTTTTCAACCAAAAAAAAAAAAAAAAAAAGTTGAGAGTTAATATATATGTTGTTGAGATTTTTGAGAATGTTACTCCTCCTGAATTGTAAGATGTTATGCATCTTACTCTCCTAGTTTTCACCAAAAAAAAAAAGGAGAATGAAAATTTGATAAGGGTAAATTTACATTTACTTACAGATTCTAATTAAAAAATTTAACAATTTCGCTACCTCCGACTGGTAAAATTAGAATTCAAAAATTATATCAAGAATCAAAAAAAAAAAAAAAAAATGAAAATTTGATAAGGGTAAAATTTACATTTTACTACAATTTAATTAAAAAATTTAACAAATGACTCGATGGTAAAATAGAAAAATTATAAGAATTAAATCCGTAAATTGATTTCAATTTCAAGTAATCAAATCACATAGTCAAAGACAAGATAGAGAATAATAAAATTTCAAAGATATTTCAACCCGTATCTATATATATAGCATATTAGTTAAGTGAATGCACCAATAAGACTTGAGTCTAATGATAAGACCAAAGTTAAAACCTTCCCAGATTCAAACATAACCTTATTGCATGTAAGAGATTTTCCAACATTTATATAATTGGCAGTTGATTATTATTGTGAGCTTTATTAAGTTTGTCACTATTGCAATGTTATTTTATAATTAATAGTGTATAACATATATAATGTATTTTGGGGAAAAAAGAAAAAGAAAAAACAAATTTAAGCTTATACAGTTTTTTTTTTCTCATTCAAAATTAACCCCATTTCAATTTGAAGTCTTGAATATGCAAATAATTTGCCAAATATAATTTTCATAATATGTCCACTTCTGACAGAACAACTCATCAAGCCCATAATAAATTTGAAAAATACATTGGAAATAAGTTAAGAAGCCACATGGATGAACCTAAGAAAAGGATAAAAAAAAAAGTTGTACAGTAGAGAGAAGTCAGGAGTAGCTACTTAATTTCTCCAAAATTGCCAAGTAGCCTTTAACCTCAAATTTCCAAATTTTCTCAATTCTCACTTTTTCTTTTCTTTTTCTCTTTCTTCTTGCTTGGAATTTCAGACTCTTCGTCTTGTTCAGCATGCTTTCGCTTCTTTTTCTTCTTTTCTCCTGCATCAATATTCTCACTGCCATTTTGCACATCATCAATTTCAGCTTTATGCTGCTTCTTTTTCTTCTTTTCTTTCTTTGCCTCCCCTTCATTTTCTTGCTGGGAAGTGCCATTTGCATCATTTGGCACAGCTGTTTCCTCTTCATCAGTTTTTTTCTTTTTCTTCTTCTTTTCCTTCTTCTGCTCACAAGTTACTGGACCATCTTCTGTTGCTGCCCCCACAATAGAAGGTTCTGCCTCATTGTCTCTCTTTTTTGGAACAATTTCTTCTCCATTCCCATCAGTGGCATTTGGTGTTTGCCCAAGAACCGCATCTGCAGCAGGATTATAAGCCTGAAAAAAGGTGAAAAGGAGTTAATAATTACCAGCAGAATGTAGGAGTAAACAGAGAACCAATAAAAATAAAGATGGACCTTGGCAGGAGTTATCAATCCTCCAGCTCCCTTCTTACGGTCCTTGTCATAAGCTTCTATCTTTGGTTTGCCTTTTGCAGATCCAGCAGAACGACTCAATTCTCTACCTTCAAGATTTCTTAATCGTGCCTCGAGCTACAATATCACAGTTAAGAAATTCCATAATATATATACAGAGACACAAACACACATGTACTTATGCATGCATGTAAAGCTTTTCATAGGCAAAAAAATTTTTAGGTACCTTGGCTCGGTTTTCCAGTCCCATAGAGTTATCTTGGCCATCTCCAAAAGCATCATACCGAATTGCCAGTGCTGCTTTAGCAGCTAGGGATCTGGAAATTTTCCCCTTCGTCTTAGCAGCTGCCTGACCAACCAAGGATGCATGGAAAATAAGCCCATATTTGGGAGTTGAATGCTTTGTCTTTAAAGCTCTGAAAAGAGCCTTTTCTGCCCCAAGAATCTGAACTGTGCTACCAGGCTGCTTCGCCAGATTCAATAAGCTACCCCCATGCGCAATGAGGCGGGCTCCAACAAGCTCCCCTACAAGGGCAGTCAAATTTGGTGCGATGGTGTTCATCCTGCTTTTAAGATAATCGTACAGTTGAGCTCTGTATTCAGCCAAAGATAAAACCTGGTCACACAGCTCTCTAATGTTCATCAAATCAACTTCACTGACTTCAGTTCCCATAGATATTAAAGATGCTTCCTTCAGTTCTGCCTCAACGTCTTCTGGTAATATCTGTGAAATTTCAAGAGGGAAAAAAGGTATAAAATTTATGAACATGGCTTTAATCCTCTGAGATGATGTTTGTCCATATTATTAGCAATAATGTGCTCAAAGGCAACAACAAGGCAACAATACTGTTCAGGTGGAGACACTTGCCATCATATGGCATAACCACATAAGCCCAAATAACACAAAAAGAACCATGCAAATGGTTAAGATTCATGATCTCAGTAGCACACAAGACATAGATGCAGAGAACACCATGTGACTGCAATAAACAAAATCAGATTTTTCTTTTTTTTACCTCAGAGAAATCAAGCTTGACAGCATTCTCACGGCTACCCATCAGTTTCACTGCTTTGGCATAGAGGATGTTGTCTTGTACAATCTTAGCAAGTTCAGGAAAATGCCAACCATACCATTCTCTAACTCTCATTGCAAATGTGTTGAGCTCCTTATCAAGATCATCAAGCAAACCAATAGCTTGAATGATCATTGTATCAACCTAAAACAGAAAGTTAGCAAGAGAACTCCAATGGCCCAAAGAAATTTAAATATTCTTTATGAGACTTGGAAACAACTCCTAAACAACATAGCCATAATTTGTCAACATAATGGATAAAAATATTATTCAGAAACTTTCTGTCACGCTAATAGTCTTTTCTCTACCGGAATAAAACCTCCCATTAAGAAGAAACCTGGACAAATCCATGGGAGGTCAGAAGAGATAAGAACCTATGGAGTATTTTATAGAAAAACATATTAAAGAACCTGACTTCACATATTTCACCAAGCTGACTTCCAAATAAGTGACAAATAAGTAATTTTAATTGATAGAGTCAATAGCAAACACTTTTGCATCAGTATCACCAGGCTCAGGATAAACTACTATTAAGTCCACCACAGAACTGGCTTGTGCTTTGAACAGAAAATAGGCACAGACAAGTCACTTCAACTATAGAAACTAAAAACCACCCATTCAAGAAAAGTACCTTGTCAGGACTGAACTTCAGTTTGTACCTAGACAGACTATGCGATAAACCCAAGCTCATTGGTGCCAAATCTTGAGCACCTAGACCAGTTATGAGTTCAGTCAACTGACTCCTAACACCCCTCATCAGTTCCATGATGGCATTGTTGTGAACACATTCTATTTTCTGCAACACAATAATTGCTCAAACTTAGAAAAAAAAAGAACCAATTAAAAATTGAGAATATCTGGCATAAAGAAATAACTTGTATAGAAATAATCACCAGTTTTTCTTTGATTGCGTTTCCAAGCTTTGAATCAGCCACGGCTAGGATTTCACCCTCACAATGAGCACGTAAAAACTTGCGCAAACCTTTGCTAGCAGTGCCTTCAATTATTTTTGTTGCTGCTTCTAACGCTTCTGATGTATTCTCAAACTTGGAAAAAGCTTTCAGCTTGACAACCTGATGATTATACCAACAAAGAGTCAGGTTCCAACTGAAAACAAAAAGGTATTACATAAAGAATATAATCACATAACAATTTAAAAAGTTTCATGGTGAAAAACAAAGCCAGACAAAATAACAACATCTGAACGGATTGAAAAATAAAATTGAATATTCTGATGATTCAACAAAGAAAGAAAGGACGTTCCACAACATACTTCTTATCTACCAATTACACAATTATGGCTCTTTGACAATTGTCAAGTGACAGCCAAAACAGTAAATTTTGCAACAGCAGCACAATGGGATGTATGCAAACTAATTTTTCAAAGGGAAAAAAAAAAAACAAATATTGGCTCTCCATTCAGTTCAACAAATGCACACAGAAAATGAAACAGAGACAGAGAGAAAGAAATAACCTTTCTTGCTGAGTCTGCCGTGGAAAATTCTTTCCATAAGTCCTGTAACAAAAACCCAAATTAGAGAGAAGTTAACTGAAAATTTTTCCATTTTCCTCCATTATGAAAACCAGTAAAACTTGAATTATCTAATCTTCAAACAATTGCTAACCAAAAAACAAATTGTGATTCACAGTGCAATCCATGAGAACAGAAAATAATCTCATTCTCATGTTTCTTCACTCCCCGCCCCCAATGCCCAGACAGGGCAGAATATATAAAAAAGCAAAAGGCAATCTTTACCTCGACTTTAGATAGCTTCCCTTCATCCAAAACTTTGAAGAGGGCAAAGCCCGCCGGCGTCTCAAACAACACAAGCATCCTTCAATAGCTCAATCACCAACCTCTAACTTAAAAAGGATTAAAGGAAAAACAGTTAATCCTACGAACCCACATAGGCAAAGATCACAGAAAATATAAACGACGATAGGAGCAATACAAGAACAGAAGAAGTCAGATTGCTCACCTCTTTGCTATCGTGTTCTAGATTGAGAAAAAAAGAGGAATTAAGAAGTCTACTAGGGTTTTAAAAGGCCATAGAAGCGATCCTCTTCAATTGGTAAACTGTTTTACTCGCCGTTTTATTACACGACAACGAGTTTCTGTACTTCTTGTTGTTTGCTGGACACCTGTCATCTTTGGGGTTATTTCAGGGATTAAAATCTAAGAAGGTGCTTGAAACTCTAGCCTTTGGATTATGTGTAAAGAGAAAAGGAGAGAGTGTATGTTATTATCTATAGTATTGGGTATAGACTAGTTTTACTTACTAGGGTTTTAATTTTAAGGGTTTTTCAGTTTGGGAATGCTGTGCATGTGATGCAGACAAGTCAGGACGATGCATTGCATTAGACAGCTAAATTTAAGCGTTGGGTACAAATTGGACAGGTATCCTTCTGTTGTTAAACGACAGGACGTTGAGCGCGCGAACGTATGAAAGGGGCGTGTGAGTTGGAACTCGTCTTCTCAAAGCCTTTTAAGTCGAGTTTGGTCCAATGGCTTTCAGGCCCTTCTAATTCTAGACTCTTTAAGTCCAACTTAAATTATGGCAGTGTAAATAGGGCTACGTTGTTGCTGCCTTTAGCTAATTGGACACCGATTGCTTTCGTTGGTTTTTTAAGTATAGTTAATATAAAATATTTCATTTTTTTCCAAAAAAAAAGAGAATGTAAAAGAAAATTGAAGGCTGCAGCTAGTTTATTTGAAATCAGAAAAATTGTTCTGTTAAAAACTTTCCTTCTATGAACATTAACATTAAAAAAAATTGAATGCTTTTCAAAAATCATTTCTCTCGTTAGTTTGATACATGAACCCATACATCAGGTCTAGCAAATCAATTGATCTTGGGATGACCTAACCATGAAATTTCTGCTACGCATCACAGAAGTTCCAATCAATTGGAAGATACCTTAGAAGTAAGAAATGGAAATGTAATTAATTTCACGGTACCCTCTCTGGAATAACCTGATCAAATCTCTTTCAGTATAAACATATTATAATTAATTGGGGAGAATCAATCCTGATTAAGCTTAAAGAATATGACTTGCAAATATAAATTTATACATATATATAACAGCTCCCCCTTATATTGATTACAAATCATTGGGTGCCCAAACACCACCATAAATTCAATTGCCAAAAAGAAGAAAAGCTAAGATGATTTATCTAGTGTCTATACTGTTGCTCATATTCTAAGCTTGCCAAGCTCTGAACTTGCTGTTGAGACATCTTTAGGTACTGTATCTTTCTTCTCTTTATTATGTGATGCTCCCTCTTGCGCAGCAGTTGTCATTTTCCTTACTGGTGGAGCAGAACAGACTGGCACAACTGATCTTATTCGGACTGCTGGTGCCATGAAACGTGGATGCATTCCTCCAAAGTCCATTCTTTGTGGCTGGGGTCTGGTTGAATTTAAAGGAGCTCCACTTCTCATTCTTGGTGGCACCGGAATTTGTGCTGCCAAATCTTGTGGTCTGGGTACTGAACAAACAGGCCCCATATTTCTGATCCGTACAGGAGGAGCTGCAGATGAAGGTCTAAGCTCCACATTTCTGATCGATGCAGGAGGGGATCTACAGCTTGTCGAACTTGGTCTTCGGATATATTGTGAAGTAGAATGGGAAGAGACAAAACCATGTGGGTTTTGAACTTGAAAGTCCATGTGTGTGTATCCTGAATCCATGTTCCTATGGGAAGCCTGCTCAAATTGCTCGTTTCGGTTCTCTCCTAGTTGAAAACCTTTAACTTTTTCTAGTGCACCATTTTTATCTTTGTCATCCTCATGATTGGGCTCCTGAAATCTTGCATCAGTCTTGAAGTTGCAGAGAACAGAGGGATCTGGAACCATTGATGGAGAGCACTCAGATAATTCTTCTGTTTTCTCCTCATGTATCTCCCGGATGGTAACTGTGGACTTCCCCCTGATTGGATCAGAGGCCACATTATCTGAGTAGCACAATAACGGTCCTGAGGTCGCCATTGTAATTCTGGGCCCTACAGGTACTGGTTCTTGCTCCCTTACAGGAACAAACAGATGAGAATCTTGGGGAAGTATAGACTGCATATATGGAAGAATTTGAGGACTGGGAGGAGGAGCTGGTGGAACCTGAAGTGCCAGTAAATGGTGGTGCAGCTGCAGCAATTGTTCTTGCTGCCACATGTGGTATATGGCCATTTCAGGAGAAAAGCTAGGATAAGCCCAGTTTTGGCACTGCATAGGATATAAGCTTAGTATTGGAGTGGTCAAGTCCTTGCATATAGGGGCAAATCTCTCCGGCCCACGTTTAAAATCACTTTGCTTGTGGTTATTCCAGTCTGATGGTTGTAGAGATGCAAGAAAACGAGCAATTACGACTTGTTCTTGTTCTTCAGTGCCCTTTTTATTCTCCACAGAAGAAGAAGATGATGAACCAGAGGACGAGCCATGTTGAACCACTACAGAAAGATATTATAATATTTAGATTAAGCAACTGATAAAATTTTAAGAAGCCTGCAAGTGTGAGTGCATAAACCAAGCATTTCCAAAGAAAATTAAAAGTGATAAGAGTAAACAGTTCAAGGTATCTGATTGATAATTTATCAATGAAAGTAAACTTAATAACAGTTCCTTCAGACATTCACTCATAGCAAAGAGCGAATGAAAATGATAGCATATGGGAAATTCCACAAAGCTAGTGAAAAGTTAGAAGCTATATAACTTGAACAATAAAAAAAGCTGGGTCATCTGCAAGAGTATAAAGGCTTCATCCCTTAAACCACTTGTATGGTCCCCTTTATCTTTTTTAACTCTACAAACAAATGAAAAAGGAGAGAACCAGGAACACTGGTACCCAGCTTCCACACAACCACATGCCTGTTCAAAGTCCGGTTCGAACTCAACATCCAATTTTGAAGAACTGGACCAATTTTCATTCTTCACCAACTTATTCAACCATTTAGAGAAACAAAGAAATTTTGAAGGAGAAGTCAGTATTACCAAGAACCAATTCAAAGCAATGGCTGGAGAACCTAACATTCAGAGGAATCCATTTTAGACAGTGGGCAGAGTATGTAATTATACCCACCCACCAAAAAAATCAGCATGCTTGGATTACCACTTGATGACATCTCCTCCTCTCTCTTGATAGCCCCACCCACCTTAGACATACACAAACAACTTTATGTTGCACAAATATTATAGTTGCTTCCACCTTCTACCAAATCTAACTGCCATATTAATCATCTATTAAAGGTTTTCACTGATCAGGAAAAAAGCAATGAAGCTAGGAGCTGATACCCTTGCCTAAAACCAGTTATATGTATCAGCTCTAAAGAAAAGTCATGCTAAATCAAGGAGTTGGGTCATTATGCTGATGTGTTTATCAGCTTAAGGCAGAGGAAGTTGTGATAACCTGCTTCTAACCATACTAGAGCACTGCAAATATAGAATAATACAAAAAGATGAGATCCATACATCTTTTTAGGGCAGACCAAGCAGCCATTGCTGCATTCCAGCTTAAGGCAGAGGAAGTTGTGATAACCTGCTTCTAACCATACTAGAGCACTGCAAATATAGAATAATACAAAAAGATGAGATCCATACATCTTTTTAGGGCAGACCAAGCAGCCATTGCTGCATTCTTCTGAGCTTGTTTCTTGGTCCTAGCTGGCTCCCCGGTAAAGCTCATTCCCGCAAGTTCAACTGTGCATGAGAAAATAGGAACATGGCCAGGCCCTGAACGAACGGTGGTATACACTGGAAGCTTTAAACCAGCTCTGTGAGCAGTCTCTTGAAGCAAATTCTTGTAAACTCCAGTTTCATCCTGTGCAGCAAAACAGCACCAAAAACAAATTACATGGAATGGAGCCTTTCTCAGCCACTGTAAGTAAATTGAAATAAAATGAAAACATAACAGAGAATGCTTTATCATGAACTTTAAAAGAGTTTCAAGTCAATTAAAACAAATGAGACCTGAAAAAGCATCAATGTGTTGTGTTACATTTTATACTTTTTTTTTTTTTTCAGTTTTCAAAAATATATTAGAATTCATGTCTACAGATTAGGTTGTATTGGGGACAAAAAGAGAAGGGACACCAAAGAATTAACCATAATAATGCCAATCTCAGAATAGTCATGTTTCAGGAAACATATATATGCTCATTGCATGGAAAATAAAATAGATATGCAACAGAATATTGGGAGTTCACTTTGGTAATATAATCATTGTCCAGGGTTCCAAAATAGCCAATTTTTGAATGAAACCAAACCTCATCTCAGACCTTTCCATAGCAAGCAATTCATACAAAACCGACTACCAGAAATGAAGCTAAAAAAAGGTTCCCCTTAAATAAAGAAGCTTTTTAGTGTTGGACTTGGTGCATCATTTACAGATTTGAAAATGAAATCCCTCTGGTGGGAAAACTGCCCTCGATTTTTTACTCCGGGATGGATGGATCTTGATGTATGTTACATGCGGTACATAGATACTGGACATTACCAGTAGACATTAGCATCTGGTCTATAAGATATTAGAATTTTTCTCACTTTTCAAGTGGCACAGTGGTCTACTATGTTCTAACACTGCAATCATAGAGAGCTGAGTTTTTAGCTCCACGTTGAGCAACAATAGCTTTAGAATTAAACTTTAGTAGATATTATTTCTTCCAAAGTCATTACTGAATCCAACAAGGATCTTCACTTAAGGGCTTTTCTTTACCAGCTTCCAACACATAACTTCAAATGCTTCTAGTAATAACGTTTTAAAAATGGCATTGCAGTTGCCTCCCTTTCCATGATTGAAAACACCTACCTTTCTTCACAATGTTGACATTGTTTTCTCACAAAGCTTTTTATGATTGAGTTGACCATGTTTTCACTTTTACAAACTCATGAATAAAATTAAAGCCTTCAATCAAGACAAAATGATTACAAATAGAACTACAAACATATGGAAAAGGCATTCTTATTCTGAAACAAGAATATATATATAGATATATATATTATAATCTTGCAAAGAGAAATGAATACATTTTGACCAAATGCTCACCAGGACTCTAGCAGCCAGTGCTCTGGAAGGACCTCTACTTGCAAGTGTGTTAAGAGCTACCTCGGCAGCCGCATGTTCTGCCTGCCTCAAAGTAGAGCAAAAACTAGGGCTTTCAAAAGTCTCCCCATTGAAATTGACAGTAGCTTTGAATCGAGGGGCATGATCTGGTCCTTCCCTTATACATGAATAAGATGGCAAATTGAAGCAGCTTCTTTGAGCCAACTCTTGCAGTTGGTTCTTGTACATGCCTATATGCATGACAATGACAGTCAATTTATAGTAAGGGAGGCAAAAAAAAAAAAAAAAAAAAAAAAAAAAAAAAAAAAAAAAAAAAACAAAAAAAAAAAAAACAGAGAGATACTTTGCCTAGTTTTTTGAGTCTGAGGTAGAGTTAGCATCTGGATGCTCGTTAAATAAGATGAACATGGAACATCATATGAGCAATTAAAAAAAAAAAAAAAAAAAAAAAAAAAAAAAAAAAACAGAGAGATACTTTGCCTAGTTTTTGAGTCTGAGGGTAAAAGAGTTAGCATCTATGCTCGTTAAGTGAACATGGAAAATCATATGAGCAATTTTGTCACTAACATCAAAACAAAAAGCAAATCTTTATTGTTCCCTCAAATCCTAACTCAAGTTCCACACAACGAATGAAAAGTAATATGTGAAACATTTTTCACAATAGTAAGCAAAAACTCGGGTTCTAAAAATTGGATATTTGAGTTCCATGTCCTTGTGTAAGTGGTGTAAAGAAGAAACTGTTATCATACCTTCTACTGTGTAGTAATATAAAAGAAAAGAAAATAGACATAATCGACAATAGGTTGTCAAATATTAAAACTGTAACCTCCTGTGCCTTTTTGCATACAAAGTCCATAAAATAGGTGACCTATCCCTGGTATAGCAGGTTAAACATTACTCCAAATTAGTATTCCAGGATGATAAGGAAGCAACCATTCTGCGGAACAATATTGTAGGTTATGATATCATTATCATAAGGAAATACGTAAGTTTCTCTATACTCTATAGTGATGTTATTTTTTGTCTATACTCTAAAATGATAAATCTTAATTCTGGATTTGCCAACATTTGTACTCAAATCGTATTACTATTACAACAGCATCAAATAGACCATTCTTAATTTGTTGATATATTATGATGGCTTGCTTAAATGCTAAGTCTTTGGAAACTAAAAATTAGGACGAATATCATCCATGAAAACACAATGATAATTAAAGATTGTCAATATAGAAATGAAAATGTTAACATAAGCAAACGGTATAAAACATAAACATCCGCTTCTCTCAGACTTAACACGGAAATTATCAATTTCTGATAAGAAAACCTAAGCCTTCAAAGCAATGAAAACTTACTCATTAACTGAATTCAAATCCAAAAAGAACCAAAATACACGGAACCCAAATAGTATATCCAAAACCCACTTCGATTAAACCATTTAAAGACCCTACGCAGTGATTTGCATAGCTAAGCAGTAAGCAAGTTTACTGTATTCCAAAAATGAAATCACACAAACCCAAAAACAATAAAGATCGAATCAACCTATCAAGAAAAAAAATGCGAAATGATCTCATTTAAAACCCACTAGGAAAATGATTCTCACCTATATTGTTACTACTGCCCTTTGCTAGATTTTCTCGAGAAAGTGAAGGAAACGCGTGATGAGAATGTTACAAATAGTGAAAGTAGTAATAGTTAGGAACTGGAATTCATGCCATTTCCTAGAGAGAGAGAGAGAGAGAGAGAGAGCCAAGTGAAAGTGATGACAAAGTGACAATTGCGAAATTTACAAGGAGCGAAGGTGCTCTTTACTGGAAGCCAAAGTTTCCGCTGTTATAATGTACTTTTGCCCTTCATGAAAACGGGAACGTTTTCATTACAGAATACTGCGCCTTCCATCTCTGGCATTCTACTTCAGTTCAAAGTCAACTTAACGCATTTGCTGTTAACAATAGCCAATAGCAATACACCGCGTGTCCAACTAATAAGTTGATACATCACAATAACGACCGGTTTCCGATTTCATTCCCTTATTTATATACCAATCCAGAAAATTGAAACAATGATATTTTTAAATATATATTAAAAAAAATAAAATCAAGATGCTTTTTAAAAAATTTTACTGTCATTGATTCATAAGCGGAGCTATGGATTTAGACAAGTAATTTCCTTACAATTTCAAGCCCGATCAAAAAGGAACTCCAACCTGAACAGACCTTTTCAATGAAAAATTCAGTCCTACTCCCACAGTCCCATTTGTTAAACAAAAATATGAAAAAATTAAAGAAATTAAAAATATTATAAAAAAATTTGCATTGTACTGATGAAGCCAAGGTTATTAATGGATTCTGAAATATATTAACAAAATATATGAACAAAAAGATATGAAATAAATGGATTGTTTCTCATTTTATTGACTTGTTGCATTTTTTTTTTATTTCTTGAGAAATATAATATAGTACATTATAATTAATCTAAGGATTAATTACACTTATTATTAAAATTGGAAAAAATTTTCCAAAGAAAAAGGAAAAAAAAAAAGGTAAAATTACAACTGCATGCAAAGTTCAGGGTAAATTTGCTCCCTGAAATAATAATAATTATTATATTTAAAAGCTCCAATAATATGAAAAGAGTCGCATAATTGAAATAATTATCGCGACAACTCTCCGAAACAAACGATAATCTTTAAGCCTTAAGATCAAACAAGAACCGAAAAGTTGCCTGCTGAAATGCACCTAATAGGTTTGGTGCATTAGCATGAGTCGGCATGAAAACCAAGCAGAACATATTCCCAGTTCTTTGGAACACATTGTTAGAAATACATTAGGGCTCCTTGAAAGTGAATTATCATGGTAGGTAAAGTAGTAGCCCTTCCAATAGAAGTGATTCTATAGCAAACATCATATGGTGTATGCTCTCCTTTTATGGGTTCCCAATTATACTGCCTAGAATAACTAATTACCTGACCCTTCAAAATGTCATATGCTTCTGGAACAAGAAAGCTAGGTCCAACACCAGAATCAATAGCAAACCCTTCAGTACCATCATCTTTCAGCTGAAAAACTTATGGATCGATTTTCAGAAATGTTCTGGCAAATGTAATGCCTTTGACAATGTCAAAGTATCTTAATATCCCTCGAACCAAATTTGTTGATTGTACTTTTCCTAGTAGTTGTGCTTCAGGACCAGCTCTCAACCATGTGTAGGTTCCATAGTTTCCAGTCCAGGAAGGTAAGCAATAAGAAAAGCATAGTTGGGTAGTGGTTTCAAGTTGCATCAGGATCGATCTTCTTCCTGCGCCTAGACCGAAAACTCCTGCTATCTCATTTTCAGGACTAATAAAACCTCCAAAAGTAATGTCTCTGTTCTCAAATCCACAACCAAACACTACATTTGGAAATGTTTTTATCCTATTACTTGATGTAGGAAATGTAAAGCTATCTACAGAAAGCACACCTTCAGTGACAGAGCCTCCAGTATACATCCAATATAGTTGCAAATGTTTTTGTGACAGAGCTTGGGGATGCAGAGTGCATGATGACAAGTACAGACGCGAAAAGTCTTGTCGCATTGAACCCATGTATCATCCATGAATGTATCTAGCAAAAGGTATGGTGAATACGGTTTTGAACCAATTGGAGCTTGCCATGCATCAAGGCTGTAGTTTGATGGAGATGCATCATTTTTATGAGCACAGCGAATTACAGATGTTAGATGAAGAGCATGAATTCTGGAAAGTTGGACGATTCTATAATGTGTTTCTTCTGCAGAGAGATTTTTAGGAAGAGAGATGAATCTATGGAGTTTCTTGGGATGAGTTTGATGCTGAAGCCATTGGTTTTACAAGGCACTGAGGCAAGAAAGAGGATGCAAATGGTAAGGCATAGTGTAACTCCATGGAAAAGTTTTATTTCAGAGGAGTTGAGAGTCATTTTCAATTTCTTTGGTATAGACAGAAGAAAATTTTTCTAGCATATGTATATAGACACACACACTTCTTTTTCCAAAGAAAATAAGGAGGAGGAAAAAGTTCTCTTGAAATGAGATTCTCAATTACTCATCAAAAGAAAATGCAGTTTTCTATCTAGAAATTGAACGTGCATTAAATATGAAGCATTAAGAGTGACTTTCCTTTCAACTGCTAATAAAAATGGCATGGATCATTTGGCTGCTATTCACCCATAGATTTTTCAACCTACTTCAAAACATGAAGCAAAGCAGAGGATCTTGAAAATCTAAGTTGACATTGAAATTTCTCTGGTAACTTACACAATTTTGCTGCAAAAGTTTGCTTATAATGCTGTACAATTCTTCTCTTTTTCATTAACATTGGGTAATTACATAATTTTGTAGTGATCTAATGTTTAGCCCCTCAATTATAATAAAACAGTCCTCAGGATCCATAGCTAAATTATATAATCTGTCTATTAGAATTGAAAACAATTTAACGACCAATTATAAAAACAAAATAATGAATGCAACATCACGATTAGCCTAATTAAGTTTTTACAGTAGAATGTCACTGATATATATTAATACTCCTAATTAACAAACTATAGATACTGCAACTATATTTATAGATTTGATATCCAGTTTCATGCATATCAAATTATCCATGGATATAGAAATCCAAATAATCAACTAACGACAGCCTTCGGCAAGTAGAGAAGTACAAACTGACTAATAGAAAGTCGTCAAAAACTCAAAGAAATCAACCACTAAAAATTTGAATATAGGACTTCAAGCCATTTATTTACAACAATAACATCAAGTATAAAAATCCAACTGATCAACTGCTATCAACCATAAACATTGAAACACAACCTGGAAAATAGAAATTTTTCAAAGCAATCAACTACTAACAACCTTAAAATAGAAACACAAACTGAAAATAGAAATTCAAGTAATCAATTATGAAGTACTAACAATCAAAATTCAAGTCCTGCCATGCCTGCTACATCTCTTCAGTTGATAAGCTTTTATTGAAATTTCACCTTCTTGGCGTAGGAACTTGATCATGTCTTCCTTTTGCTCCATTGTTAGTATCACCAAGCTTACCTGCAACAATTGTACTCCCATTCAACTTGTACAATCCTACATCGGACATCTCTCCTGTCATTACCATAGAACCACCTTCAAATACTTCCATAAGTCCTCCTTTTACAGAGATTCCGCAACCTAAAGAAGCTAAATGCCTTGTAGAAATTACATTCCCAAGAAATATGGGTACATATCTCACATAGCCCAAAGTCCTCACTTTACCATCATGCATTTTCACTTTCCACTGCCAATTCCCCCAATTTCTAATTTATTACCAGTAGCGAGTGTTACATATCCTTTATGACTTGCATCGAATGTATCAAACCAATCTCTTTTAGAACTAACATGAAAGTCACAAGTAACAAAAAACCAAGAATGCTTCAACAAAGCATCAACTTCTTTGGCCATTTGCTCATTATCAACAGTCACAGCTAGATTTATTATACAATGATCTTCTTTTCTTGTCCGATTTCTATGCAGCAATTGCTCCCCTTTCAGTACTCTGCAGTGCTTTTCCACATGCCCTTGCGAGCCAAAGTGATAACAAACTATTTCCTCTCTTGATCTTGGTCCTCCACTTTTCTTGTCATGGTTATTTGAATTTGGGAAATTTCTAGTTTTGACTCCACCCCAATTTCTCTTGCTCCTTTCTTCTAATATCTTCAATAAACAACTTTTCTTTTATCATACTCAATGACAACTTGGCATCTGAATCAACACAATTGCCTAAAAACTCCCAACCATTAGGCAAAGTACTCAAAAAGATATATGCTTGCGTCTCATCAGGCAGCACCATCTCCAAATTAAATAATTGATTAACAATGTCTTGAAAATCAGCCATGTGCTTATTCATTCTATCTCCTTCCTTATACCGCAAATTGGTTAGTTTCTCATGAGAGAAAGTTTGCTTAGTGCTTTCCTTTCACAAAGATTTTCCAATTCCTTCCATAAAGACTCTGCATTTGTCTCTTGAGCCACAAGATGGAAAAGACTATCATCGATCCATTGTCGAATAAAAGCAATACTTATTCTATTCAGCAACTCCCACTCGCATCTGACATATTAGTGGTTTTTGCTTTATCCCCCACAATGGGATCATGTAAACCTTCACAATACAAAACATCTTCCATACTTGCTTTCCAATGAGAGAAATTTGATGATGGGGTTATTATAAACATATTTCCATAAGAATTCTCCATTAGTAACACACGAACAACTTTACAACCAAAAGCTCTTAACTTTGCTCTAGTCAGAAACCAGGAAATCTTTTTCCCTTTTTTTTAGTTTAAAGGAGAAACAGTAACACAGATATTTCAAAACTCAAAAGCCAAAAAGATCAACCGCAATAATCCAAAGAAACAGACTACGCCGCAAATCTTCCACAAAATCAGCAAGTTAAAGCTTAAAAGAGATGGATGGTTCGCACCCAAATGGTATACCGGAATAACAATGCTTGTCGACAATCAACGCTGGTAAACCTAAACGTCATGGATCCGTTTATATGTGTTACTTCGCTCTCCTTCTTTTTAGTAGCCGTGTTTCCCGCCGACAAACGTATGAACCGACTTTTACAGTTACAGTTTTCGTTCTTTTATTTTTTTTTTATTTTTTTTTTTATTTTTTAACTTTGTAACGACGTATAACATTGAACCCGTATTTTTTAAAATATATAATTTTATCATATTGCATATTACTGTGGAAAGAAAGGAAATGATAAAATTAAACTTATGTATTTCTAAAAATGTAAAAGCAAAGCCATGAATTTTAATAACATATTAAGATAAAATCGTAATTTTACCTTTTGTATATCGCAGATATTGAATAAACGGTAAATCGACTTTAAGCCATCACCCAAACACTGGATGTTTTATGGGCTTAGATCCGTTTTGCCCATGAAAATAGATAGAGTTGGAGAGATTTCGCTTTAGGCCCAATCTTACCAAGGTCCACTTTTATATGCCTATCACGTGAGCCCAATACACTAATTTCATTGGCCCAATGCAGTGTCTTCTACCCTCTTAAGATGGCGTAGTCCATATGCCGAAGCAATGCTTTTGCTTCCTCTCCCCGCCCCCTCCCTCTCTACTACTCGCACATCCTGGGAAACGGGTCGCACGAGTTTCAATCCTTAAACCCTACTTGCTATGTAACTCATAGCATTCGGAATATTGCTTGTCCGGCGTGGAAATTTCCGAGGTTTTAATTGCAGCGGCTTGGGATCAATGGTTTTGAATTCAACCCAAAACCTGCAAAATCTACGCGTCCCAGTAAAATATGTGGGCTTCTTCAATAACGACTTGTTGCTTTAGAGTTAAGTGATGGCGTGGGGTTGCCGATGACCCTCTTATTATTCAAGATCCGACCTTTCAGGGTTCGAGCCTCCAGGATTGCCATTGCCCATTTTCACATTCAATCTCAAGGAGGATTTCGCTTATTTCCTGATAGAGCGGCAATAACAAATCAAGAGGCTTGGTTTGTTAAAGTTGTAGCTACACTTTTTGTCCGTTCGCATTGTTTAGATGCTTGTTTGGGTTATTTGTGTGGAAAATTGACACCTTTGATAGCATTTGAGGTAATTAAACGGTTTAATAATCCAAAAGTCGGTTTAAATTTCTTGGAGTTCAGTAGATTGAATTTGAGTGTCACTCATTCTTTTTCAACTTATAGTCTGCTTATGAGATCCTTATGCCAAATGGGTTTCCATGATTTGGTGAAAGTTGTGTTTGATCATATGAAGAGTGATGGGTATTTGCCTGATAGTACACTTTTAAGATTTTTGTTAACTTCATTTGTGCAAGCAGGTAAGTTTAATCTTGCTAAGAAACTGCTTGCTGAAATTCAGTCTCAGGAGGTTAGGATTAGTTCATTTGTGTATAATAATTTGTTGAATGAGTTGGTTAGACGGAATCAGGTACATGAAGCTCTTTGCTTGTTTGAAGAACACTTGGCATCGCATTCTCCTGCAGATACTTGGACCTTCAATATTCTTATTCGAGGTCTCTGCAGGGTAGGTGAAGTTGATAGAGCTTTTGAATTTTTTAATGATATGGAGAGTTTTGGTTGTTTACCTGATATTGTTACTTATAACACACTCATAAATGGATTGTGTAGGGTTAATGAGTTAGATAGAGGGCACAAATTATTGAAGGAAGTTCAGTCTAGAAATGATTGCTCACCAGATGTAGTGACATATACGTCTGTTATATCTGGGTTTTGCAAGCCGGGTAAGATGGAGGAAGCCTCTGTTCTTTTTGATGAGATGATTAGGTCTGGGATTAAGCCCAATGTATTCACTTTTAATGTTCTTATTGATGGGTTTGGCAAGATTGGTGACATGGATGCAGCAGAAGCCGTGCGTGAAAAGATGGTTTCTTTTGGTTGTCTACCAGATGTAGTTACCTTCACTTCCTTGATTGATGGGTACTGTCGAAGTGGGCAGGTTTACCTGGGTTTGAAGATTTGGGATGCAATGAAAGCAATGGGTGTACCTCCAAATGTTTATACTTACGCCATTCTTATTAATGCTCTGTGCAAGGAGAACAGACTTCATGAAGCTCGTGATTTTTTGAGGCAGTTGAAGTTTAGCAATGTTGTTCCAAAACCGTTTGTTTACAACCCTGTGATTGATGGATTTTGCAAGGCTGGGAATGTGGATGAGGCAAATTTAATTGTTATGGAAATGGAGGAAAAGAGATGCAATCCTGATAAAATAACATTCAATATTCTCATTATTGGGCATTGTATGAAAGGAAGAATGAATGAAGCTATTGATATTTTCAGTAAGATGGTAGCAATTGGTTGTGCTCCAGATAGCATTACTATTAATTCATTGGTATCTTGCCTTCTGAAGGCTGGGATGCCCAGCGTAGCCTTTCGTATTATGCAAACATCATCAGAGGATATCTCCAGTTTGTCATCTTTTAGAAATGCTATTCCTTTAAGATTGAAGACAGACATCCCGGTTGCTGCTTGAAAGAAGGGTTGCCGTACGATTTGAATAGTCATTGGACCCATCAATCAGATAAACTCCAGCCTCTTATGCACCTCCAAGTTTTATCCCAACTACCAAACAGTTTCAGTCTGTAAGTAGCTTGTTCTTCTTGAATTTAAGTGAGATCAACAATGTCAATTTTGCGCTTTAGCTTAGCATACTTCATAAACAGACCGGTGCTGGTGCTGTTGATTTGTATGTATTTATCATTCCTTCTGCAAGTTACTTCAAGTATTCAGTGCTCAATTCTGAATCAAGTCTGTGTGGTCTTGGATATTTTTTCTTGCTCTTCACAAAGTTCACCAAATAAGTATCTCCAATTGTGCTGGTAAATTTCTTACTATATCTGCATTCCTGAGGTCAAATAACATGTTGATGTCTCATGGGGCCTACTGTTTGAATCAGCTGGTTGTTGTAAGGGTATTGTTTTAGTACATCAATAATCCTAATGGAAAATGACCCTAATATCTTACACATTGTGATCTTGATGCATAAGATACTAGAAATGAGAATCAGCGAAAAGGGGGTGAAGAAATAGATATATTAGAGTCTTATAGGAAAAGGAAAGGAAAAACAAAAGAAAAAGGAGCACGGCCAGGAAAATCACATTCTTTCTAGGGTGCATGTGGTGCAAATATCTCTCAAAATATCCAAAAATCTTCACTCCTGTACTGCAAATGAACAGAGTTGAAGGAGCACACCTTCTACAGTGTCCAATCCATTATTATTGTTGGAACATTGACCTTGCAGGACTTAATGGAAGTTTAGAACCTGCTACTGTCAGCATCAAGACTTGCTCATTGCAGAACTAACATTAGAATTAGGCTTTTGATGGCAGCAGCTAGTCCAAGTTGAGCCATAAGAAGAAGCAGCAGTGGCAACTTATTCTCACCTTGGACAGGATGCTAAAGTGTCCAAAAATTTTCATGTTGACCATACCATGACTTTTTGCTTTTTGGTGCTACAAGCAGGTACTGGACTTCTTAAACATTGTGACAATTTAATTTTTGTAGGGTTATGAAATATTTTGATGAAGTAGAAAGCTACCATTTTGCACTTTTTAGGTTTTGTTTGTTGATTTAGTGAATGCTTTAAGTTGCTTATGTTTCTAAGAAATTGTACAAAGAGCAAATGAACACCAAGAGTTTCATTGATGTATCGACTTAACGATTTAGTATCAGTATGTGTATGTCTAGAAATTGAATTTAATTAGTGGCTTTATAGAAATCGGTTCCGTAGTCTGTTTGTGTTTGTTGTCGATACCTCTAAGTGGAGCGGAGCTTTTAATACTCTGATTCATATTTGCTATAGCAAATTCTTGGTTTGATGCCATGTTATGGTCTAAGCTTGTTAGTGCGTACTGAAATTTTGCAAAATTTTACAGCTGCAAGAGTGCAGGGGTCGGCTCTGGGGACCACTTCTTTCATCATTTGTCGCTAGTTCCTGATAATGAAGGAAACGATGGGATGTGAGTTTCAGAAGACAGTAATTCCAAATTAAATGCCATGGAAAGAGAAAGATAATGGTATCTTCTGGTGGTTGCGATGATTGGGGGACCCTGATGGGTTTGAGAGCTTGACATTGACATGGACATGTAATTTAATTTTTCTGTTGTTCACGTGAAGTTAGATCCATCATATTTCAGAATCTTGGAAAAAAAAAAAAAAAAAGAGAACCAATTCTCTGATTTAAAGATGTGAGGTGGCAGATTCTGCTCTAGTTTTTTCTTCTAATCTTGCACTTGAATATTTCATCTGTTGCAAAAAGCTCAATACTTGTCTTCCATTTCATTTTAAGACCATTTTCCTAGAAACAAGCTTGAGAACTCTGGAACAGTACTAATATCAAATTAAAAAAAAAAAAAAAAAAAGAAAAGTACTAATATCAAATTAAAAATAAGAAAAAGAAAAAAGAAAAGAAAAATCCCAGGAAGCTCTAGCGGAGCTTGAGTAATATCCCAGGTTCTCAGAATCTGGCGTGTTTGAACTGTCCTATTATAAGAAGGGAAACCATCCCAAAATAAAGCCTCAAAGACGAAACGACTGCGCTTAGGGCATTGAAAACTATTAAAAATCATTCAGGTTATACACTGCGTTGATTAGTAAAATAAGGATAAGAAATAGGCGTTGAGCATTGCAACAATATAAAGACTTTCGTTTTCAACCAAACGACAATCGTTTTCCATTTTTTATAAAATTAATTCTCAATAAAGAAGAGGAAAAAAAGAAAAATCCAAATAATCCAAGTGGCAATTGTTTGCATATCGTCAAAAAAAAAAAAAAAAAAAAAGAAAAGAAAATCCCAGGAAGCTCTAGCGGAGCTGAGTAATTATCCAGTTCTCAGAATCTGGCGTGTTGAACTGTCTATTATAAAAGGGAAACCACCCAAAATAAAGCCTCAAGACGAAACGACTGCGCTAGGGCATTGAAACTATTAAAATTATCAGGTAACACGCGTTGATTGTAAATAAGATAACAGGCGTTGACAATTGACAATTAAAACTTTCGTTTTCAACCATACGACATCGTTTTTCCATTTTTTAAAATTAATTTCTCAAATAAAAGGGAAAAAGAAATCCAAATCCAATGGCATTTTTGCATATCTTCATTTTCTACAGATAACTGTTTAGAATTCACTGGCGCGTTTGATTGAAGCTCTTTACCGACCCATCACTGATCACTCATTTTCAAAGTCAAGCCTGGTTTGCTTTGGTTTCGCTCTTTTTCTTTTATGGTTTAAGAGTTTGTGTGCTCTGTATTCTTCTACAATTTCTCTATTACTTCTTGGTTTCCAGTTTTAACCAAGAACATTGAAACTTTCATTTCTTTCTGGTCTTAAACAATCTTGTTGTAGTGAAATTAGATGCTTAAAGCAATCAACTTGAATTTAATTTGCATTGTTTTTTAAATTTTGATTATTATATCCCTTTTTGTTTTTTTTGCCTAAAAGCATTTGGGTTGTATCAAGCTTTCGTGCCTCCTCATCATTTCCATCTCTTAAGACTATCTGTAAGTAATTTGTTGAATGGCCTATACAAGAGGGTACCAATACTCTTATCATGTCATCTTAAGCTTTAAAGGTGATGACACTGGCAAGAATTTTAGTGATCATCTTTATGCAGCATTGGAGCAAGCTGGAATTCACACTTTCAGAGATGAAGATGGAATTGAGAGAGGAGATGATGTTGATGTGGAGACTGAAAAAGCGATGCAAGGCTCGAAAATGTGCCTAATAGTGTTCTCCAAAGACTATGCCTCTTCAATATGGTGTCTTAATCAACTTGTGAAGATAATGGAACAAAGGGAAATTAGTGGTTTTGTTGTTATGCCGGTTTTCTATGATGCAGATCCAACACAAGTCTGGGAACAGAGTGGGAGTTATGCAGAAGCATTTGCTAGACATGAACAGCAATTTAAGGATGAGATTGATAAGGTGGAGAAATGGAGGGCAGTGCTTAGAGAAATTACAGATTTGAGTGGGATGGACTTACAAGGAAGGTAATTTCTGAAAAAAATTTCCTTGGTACCAAATCTAACATGTTCAATGGCGTGGTTTCTAAAATAGATGGGATTTTGAAGTTTGATAAATGATATGAACTGGAATATGAAAGATTTGGATCAAAACTCCTTCTTTTCATGTTTCATCCTTGAAAATTTGAGATTAATAGCTAAAAGATTGCCAAAAGAGCAGGTAAAATTAGAAGAACATAAAACTGATAGTGAGAGAGCCTTCAGCCTTATGTCATTCTAATAGATGATTGTGAAGCTTAATTTAACTTTCTATATAAATATTCAGACTATAAAGAGTTAAATTATTTTTGCCATTTTTTTTTAAATTTTTATTTATCATAGAACCAAAAAATTAGCTATGGTACTATCTGTAAAGGGCACATTCAACATATCAATTGCTAATCCAGGTGATTGAAATTCTAAAATTCAGAGAATTGATGCAATCTTTCTGTGCGTTGTACTGCTTTGATCTTGATTTGTAGGCATGAGGCAGAATTTATTCAGGACATTGTCAAAAAGGTTGGAAAAAGACTGAATCGTTCAGTATTACTGCATGCTCCCTCATATTTAGTTGGAATAGATTCTCGTGTAAAAGATATTAACATATGGCTGCAAGATGGGTCAAATGGGTCTTGCATAGCAATAATCTATGGGATTGGAGGTATTGGAAAGACAACCATTGCTAAGACAGTTTATAATCTAAATTTAGATAGATTTGAAGGCAGTTGCTTTCTGGCTAATGTCAGAGAAACCTCGAAAGATCCTGATGGTTTGATTCTCTTGCAGAAGCAACTTATTGAAAAGTTTCTAAATGGAAAGACATACAAAATAAAAAGTGTAGATGAAGGAAGTGTTAGGATCAAAGATGCAATAAGCTGCAAAAGAGTTCTTATTGTTCTTGATGATGTGGATCAATTGGAACAATTAAATGCAATTTTTGGAACATGGGATTGGCTTTATGAAGGAAGTAAAGTGATCATAACAACTAGACATGAGCGTCTACTTGGTGCTTATGAAACATACAAAAAATTTAGAGTTAAGGAGTTGGATGACAATGAGTCACTTCAGCTCTTCAGTTGGCATGCCTTCGGACAAGATTATCCTATTGAAGGTTACAAAGAGCACTCAGAGAAAGTAATAAGCCACTGTTTTGGAATCCCATTAGCTCTTCAAATTTTTGGTTCTTCTCTATCTGTAAATATTGCAGATGAATGGGAAAGTGCATTAGAAAAGTTGAGAGCAATTCCTGATAGTAAACTTCACAAGATTCTCCGAATAAGCTATGATTCTCTACAAGATGATCATGACAAAAATTTATTTCTTCACATTGCCTGTTTCTTCATTGGAAGAAATGGAGATTATGTAATTAAAATATTAGATGGTTGTGAGTTCTACACAAAAGTGGGACTTCAAAATCTCATTGATCGAAATCTTGTCACTATCAATGAAGACAATAAACTGATGATGCATCCTTTGCTTAGAGACATGGGAAGGGAAATTATTCGCCAAGAAGCACCTGAGAACCCGGGGAAACGTAGCCTGCTATGGTATCATGAGGATGCATTTACTGTCTTGAGAGAAAATATTGTATGAACATACTTCTTGTTCTTGTGCATGTTTTTATGTATTTTGCAGGTGCACCAAGATGATCATAATTTTTTTTTTCTTCATTTCTTTTGATTTTCATTTTCGAAGCAGGGTACGGAAGCAATTAAAGGCCTCACCATCAATCTGCGTGCTATAATGGCAGACCAGCAGCATACAATTTCTTGTATAAATTGTGCAAAACGACAATATTATGAAGATCTGATCTCCAAATCCAGGCCAAAACGACTTCGTCTTGGCTTCTTATCCTGGCAATCTGCAGAGATTGGCACTTCAACCTCATTTCCTGTGTCAAATGAAGTAGTTTTTGACACAAAGCCATTTGCAAAGATGCACAAATTAAAACTGCTCCAACTTAGTTATGTAAAACTCATTGGAGGATATGAACATTTTCCTAAAAGTTTAATATGGTTGTGTTGGCATGGGTTCCCTTTGAAATCTTTACCATCCAATTTATACCTGGGGAAGCTTGTTGTTCTTGACATGCGATATAGTGGTATAAAACATGTTTGGAGTGGAAATAGGGTATGATTTTCCCCTCTCGCTCTCTCACTCTCTCCCTCTCTTTTCTCTTATATATAGATCTTCATTAAAAACTTATTTTGTCTTTCTGAACAGGTTCTTGTACAATTGAAAATCCTTAATCTTAGCCATTCCCATGACCTTGTCAGCACTCCTGATTTCTCAGGGCTACCTAATCTTGAAATATTGAAGCTGAAAGATTGCATAAATTTGGTGGAAGTTCATGAATCTATTGCAGACCTCAAGAGACTTGTTCTCTTAAACTTGAAAGATTGCAAAAGGCTCAGGAAGCTTTCAAGAAAATTTGTGATGTTGAGAACACTTGACAAACTTATTCTTTCTGGGTGCTCAAAACTTGACCAGCTGCCCAGCGAACTGTGGAAATTGGAATCACTAAAGGTGCTTCATGCTGATGGTATGGTCAATTCTACTACTACATCACGACAGTCGACCTTCTGGTCCTGGTCATCACGAAGGCAAGGCAGGGAGTCCTCTTTGTCATTGACCTTTCTACCTCATTCTTTAGAATGCCTAAGTCTTGGATATTGCAATCTATCGGATGATGCCATTGACTTCACTAGCCTTCCCTCCTTGAAATATTTAAATTTAAGTGGAAACTCAATTTATTGCCTACCTGAAACCATAAACAGCCTTACTAAGCTTGAGATCCTTATATTAGATCACTGCAAGAATCTCCAATCACTCTCTAAACTTCCATCAAGTTTAAAGGAATTGAGCGCAGAAAACTGTGAAGCATTGGAAAGAATTACAAATCTGCCAAACTTGATGCGATCATTGATGCTAAACCTCACCGACTGCAAACAATTAATTGAGGTTCAGGGCTTGTTCAAGTTAGAGCCAATAAGCAATCTTGATAGGGAAATGGCCAATGAATTGGGCTTCTGCATCTTGAAGTCTGCAGAAAGCATTAAAGTTGAAATGTGCAGCGTTATGATGATGACATCAAGGATTATCCCTCCCCAGGTAGTCTTTAATGTCCTCATCTAATTTCAATCATCTATTCTTTCAAACATCTGTGCATGGTTGGTTTGTCCTTATTTATTTTGTTCATCATGATTTCAATGGCACAGGTTTTACATGAATGTGGCATAAGTAGCATATTTCTTCCAGGAGATGAAGTTCCAGGCTGGTACAACCCGCAAAATGAAGGGTCATCCATATCTTTTAGCATTGCCCAATCTCATGGTTGCAATGTCCTTGGTTTAAACATATGCACCGTGTATACATGCAATAATATACGAAATGGACCAGGTGATCATCTTTACACAAAGGTTTGGAATAAAACCAAGGATCTGAGGTGGACCTATAGCCCAACATTTCATGGAATTCCTGAAACAGATGAGATTATGCTATGGTTAAGCCACTGGAAGTTAGGGGATCAGCTGGAAGTTGGAGATGAATTGAATGTTTCAGTGGTTATGTCAACTGGTTATCAGGTGAAAAAGTTTGGCATCCATGTTGTGTATGAGCAGGAAAAAGAGAATACCCAGCTGAACAGCAAAGAAACAAAGGAAAATATCTCGTCCTGGTACCAAACTTCTGACAATTTGGATATGGAGTTGTACAGGGTAAGAAGGGATGCTTTTTACCTCAGCAATCATGATTATTTAATTCACCAAGAAATATCAGAAAGTGGTTGGGATAACTCGAGGTGGTACAGCCATTTATTTGAGCAATAAACAGAAATTAGAGACGTAAGTTTTTTGCCCAGTTCAGTTCACTGAGATGTTTAGCAAGTTGTTTACTTATGAACCCAGTCATACTTTCATGGTATCTCCTCATCCCCCCGTCATTGTTAATTTTAAGAGTAAAAGTTCTTTGCTTGCGTTTTCCCTGATATGCGTTGAAATTCTCCAATTTATAGAAAGTATTACGTATTTTATAATTCTTTCTTCCATTCCCCTCTAAACGCGAAAACTAGAAAGGTACACGATAAAAGAAAGCCCAAAATATATATTTTTTTTCCAAAAAAAAAAAAAAAAAAAAAAAAAAAAAAAAAAAATGAACCCCAGTCCACTACTTTTTCATGGTATCTCCTCAATCCTCCCCGCCCGTCATTGGGTTAATTTTAAGAGTAAAAGTTCTTTGCTTGGGCGTTTTCCCTGATATGCGTTGAAATTCTCCAATTTATAGGAAAGTATTATAAACGTCGTATTTTATAATTTTTCTTCCATTCCCCTCTAAACGCGAAAAAACTAGAAAAAGGTACACGATAAAAAAGAAGCCCCCCAAAATATATATTTTTTTTTTTTCCAAAAAAAAAAAAAAAAAAAAAAAAAAAAAGAAAAAAACGAAAGAAGACCCCCAAAATTAACATAAAAAAAAGCGAAGAAAATAATTTTGCCTCACTTGAAATTCAAATCGAACAAATTACACTAAAATGTTATCTCTGCTTACAAAACTAAACTAAGTATTTTTATAAGTTAAGAACCCTTCATTCAAATTTATTAAAAAAAAAAAAAAAAAAGTTAAGAAACCCCTAAACCAATAAAAATATTATTCAAAAATTTAAAAAAAAAAAAAAAAAAAAAAAAAAAAAAAAAAGAAAAACGAAGAAGAAACCCCAAATTACATAAAAAGCGAAGATAATTTGCCTCACTTGAATTCAATCGAACAAATTACATAAAATGTTATCTCTGCTTACAAACTAAAAACTAAGTATTTATAAGTTAAAGAACCCTTCATTCAAATTTAAAAAAAAAAAAAAAAAGTTAAGAAACCCTAAAAACCAAATAAAATATATTCAATTCAAACATGGCTAATTCTGCTAATTAAAATATAAAACTAAGTAAAAAATATAAAATTAAGTAAATGGCTCAAGACTCACTTTTCTGGCAGATCTGAATTTTTTTTTTATTAATTATGCATTACATGATAGCAAGTAAGGTCAACTCAATTGTACATCATTGATGATCCCGGACGGTTCCCTTCTTTTCTTCTTCTTGGGGAAAGAACCCGTGTCGGACCATACATTAAGCAGTTAAAAATGATCTAACTTGAGAAACCTGTGAATATCTTGAACTTGAAATGCAAATCATGGCCAGAAGAAGATGCATAAGAAGAGAAGAATAAGATAAAAAAAAAACCATTAATTAGGAATTCTCCTTTAATTTAATATAATTGCTTTGAAGGATAGCTTATTTGTGTTAAAGGTTAGAGCTACAGCTCCGTTGAAGTAACATTGATGTAAGTGTTGCTGACGGATTTTGGATGTATTTTGCTGATGAAAATAGTGTAGCTGATTGGAGATTATTTTGCGAAGTCATATAGATTTTATTGTATTTTGTTTTCTTGTAATCTCCATCTCTTCTATTAGATGAAGTCAAATAGCAGAGGTTGAAAAATCTGTGATGTACCTTGCTTTAAGCTTTAGTTTGGAAGACAAACTTCCTTGATTTACGGAGGTTTGATGAATAAACTTTAGAATAGCTCTTGTATAAATATTTTCACTGTGCTGTAATGGAGATTAGATCACATAATTCTTTGCAGAATTTTCCTTCTCTTTCTTAATTCTCTGTTCTTCTAAACCGACAATTTGAGCAGCTATATCAGGAAGCTTATTTAATTAGTTGGATGCAAGTAGTTATCATATTACATTCACTTATGAGCAGCATATAAGAGACAAGCATTGTTAAAATCATCTGAGGAAGCATGTGCTGGTTTAACTAAATAGATAATTTCATTCCCTCTCGATACTGATTTCACATTGTTGTTCCATGATACTTCCTTGCAGCCTCCCTACTGTCAATTGTTGTTGTATACTTATCTTCTGTTGCGTATGGCTGGGATGACAAGTTGAATTTGCCATATCTCTTTGCAGCTTCCTTGTTGTCAATGGTTTCTGTATAGCACGGTTCAGTATATCTGGAGTTTGGAGAAGTATAGACAGAAGGCTTTGCAGCTTCTTTTAGAACCCCTATGGCTGTGTTAATATCACTTGTTGGTCTGGAGAGGTTAGAGTCAGGTGCTGAGGCCCATGTTGACGCACTTGGCCTTTCCCACCCACCATGGGTGATCATGGGCGGCTCAGTGCTTCCTGTATAAGCTGGTCCTGTGTGACGGAAAGGTGGAGCAGCGGTGCCAGAAGGTTTCCCATTTCCGTTGAAGTATCTTGTGTCTGTGTTGGTACCATTCGTTGGTTTTGAGAGGATGGAATTGGGTGTTGCACCCCATGTTGTTTGACTTGGCTTAGCCCATGGCTCCGTGTTGCTATTATACTTGCCAAAGTAATCATAGTTGTTTTCGTATGCATTACCACTGGGCTTTTCCCATTCTTTTTTGCTGTGGTCATTGAACTCACTGCCATAGCTAACAGTATTGTCTTGAAACCCAGTGGGTTTAGCAGTCTGGCGCCGTGTTGATGCATTCATAGGGCTAAACCTGGGTCTGCTAGCCTCAGTTTGCACTTTGGTGAAGAATTCATCAACCTTTGGCGAGCGATCCTTAACTGGGCTTGGAGGGAGATGCCACCTTTCTTCAACAACTTCATAACCCTCCGGTGAATCAGGTGACCTGTAAGGAATATGCTTGTGTTCCAGTGAGTAAGGCGAAATAACATTCTCTTGAACAATTGTTTCAGTTCTTGTAGAAACATAGTAGTCTGAGTTCTGTGTTGGACGAAAGAAAACAATTGGACTCTTCCTCCCCTCAGCATCAACGATGACTGGCCGGCACACATGATCAGAGGCATAGCTTGGCTTGCTGCAATCATCGATTCTTGCTGAATTGGAGGCAGAAGAGCTTCTGTATGGGTAACTATACCCAGCCATAACTTGACCTTTCTCCTGTAAAGCACTATATTACTTCCTCTCCTGCTTTATGAAAAATGCTTCTGTTACTTTCTCTTATATAGACCCTCACATGAACTGACGTAAGATTCGACTTACCGGTAATAGGACCATATACTGCTCTTTTCTCTGCAATGTGAAATTCCCTCTAATTTACATTCAGAATCATATTCTATATATTCATGAATATGGCAAAATCATTTTGGTGTAGCTTCAGCATGCAGAATTTATGATGCTAACCTGATGGGCATAAAGGAGCGAAAGAAAAGGCAACAGAATCAACTTTAACTATCTAAGAGATAACTTAAAGGTAAGCTTTTTTATTCATTAGGCACGTGTCAGATATTGAAGAATTTTCACCTCTTCCATTAAATAAAAAGTTGACAGAACCACGTTCTGCTTATTCTAGATTATGACCTTCATTTCTTGGAAGACAGTTACTTTATTTTTTTATTTATTATTTTTTTTTAGATGAAAAGAAAATATGTTGAACTGAGAGGAACGTTATTACACCATGAGTCAGAAAACAGAACGTCCAACAAAACTGAACATCACTGTCTTCCCATTTTCTCCAACTTGTAGAAATTTGATTCTATGCAATTAAGAAGTTGGGAGAATCACATTCCATTCCATTTGAAAAGTATAATGATTTCCTCATCTTGCTATCAGCAAGGCAAAGTAACTTAAATTTTGAAAAAAAAAAAAAAGAATACAATAACAATAACAAAATAATAATAATAATAATAACATTACAAGCTGTAGGCTGTACAAATTGTTGTTAGTGAGAAGGATTGGTGGTGGCACTGCAGTCAAGATGTGGAACAGGACGGTCAGGTGGCATCTGATCAGGCAGTGTACGACAGAGACCTATATTTCAGTGGTTATGAGAGCAAATGGCTCGTGAGAACCCGTGTTGGATTGGATTTTTTCCGGCTGAATGAAGACTTTTTCACGACAAGGAAAGTTTACTTTGTCGGTTGAAATTCCTCTAATTCATTTCAAGGAATATGTTCCATAGAGACAAGATTATTGTTACAGATGATATCAAGAAAGTGAAATTTAAGCAAGAGAGCTAGTAAAGCATGATTTCTTTCTACGCAATTGCCTTGCTCAAGTTTTTCTCAACTATCAGAGTAATACAGTATTCATTACATATATTTTCTTTTGTACGCTATTCACTTTCAGCAAATGAATAGTTTTGCAGAAGGTTTAAGACTAGGTAGTTTCTTGTCTATATATTTTTCAAGGATCAAATGCTGGAACTTCATGCAAAGGGGAATGTAATGCACGATATAATGTTCTGTTAATGATATTCCTGTAAGGATCTTCTTTTCGCTTCTTCAACAAATAGTCTATATTGCTTTTAACTTGAGATTTTACCTGCAAGTACAACTCATTTGCAGAACCTTTGTCTTTAAGCAGCTCTTCTTTTCCATTTGTTTCTATGGGCTTCCCAAACAGGAAATAAAAGCGACCAGGTAGTTTGGGCAAAAGCGCCGGGATAAATAATTCTAGATTTGCAACCTCTCCTAGACTCTCGTCCCTATAATCAGATTATGATCTTTCTCAACAACAGAATCCATATAGAAGTTCTAGCTAGTATCTTTTAAGCTGACATGGTTTTCCATTTCTAGGAAGCAAGTAAATGTCATTGTATATAGAGATTAATCACCTGATTTTTGGAGCAGCGAGAGTAGCCTCTCTAATATAGTGATTAACCACAGGTATCTTCATTAGATCATGGTAATCGAGGACAAACTGCCACATCCAGACAATAGCATAGAATTGTTATAATAAACATAAAATAACTGCTAACTGAAGTTTGGAAGTGAAGGAAACAAAAACACCTCTACCATCAGTACTAAGCGCTAGTATTGAAATGAGATATTGCAGTCAAAACGGAAAAACAAGAGAGCCAAACTCACTTCTGCTATATCATCTTCTCCTACAGAACCAAATGGCACAATTGTAGCCCCATGCCTTGCAGCCACTCTCACAAACTCTTGCTGATCAGGCCAAAATAACTTATACTCTTCACCCTGGAAATCACACTAACTGTTATAAGTGGAAGGAAGCTTTGAAAATAAGCAATAAATAATAGTAATGGTGGTGCAGTATCATACAAGCAACTCTGCTTCAGGCTGGGAAAAACTGAAACTACTAGTATGGTACCTATGGCTAAACAATAACCTGTGAATATATAAAGCAACCTTACTATTTTTTATCCTCCACCAGCCTGTTAATAATTTGTTTGATGAAATCAGACCAATATTGTTGATTCAATTAGGAAAAACGACAGAAAATTATATCTATGATTTAGCTTCCAAAAAAAAAAAAAAAATGTTGAAGTGAACGCAAGAAAGTTGGTGGACCTTGTAATGCAAAGCCTCCCGTATACCTCCCGGATAAAGAAGCACATGTGCTTCTGTTGCAAGCAATCTGAAAATATTGCTTGCTGAGACAGGTACTGCACTCGCCACTTTAACCCAATCAGCTAAAGAAAATTCACTGGATGACTCCTCAAACCTCCTACTAAAAAGTACTGGATGAGCTAGACCACGCACTTGAATGTTCTTCTCTCTCCAGAATTCTCCAATAAGGGAAAAAACTTCAAGTCCCATCAGCATATGGGAGCCAACTAATAAGACAGGACCTTTATTTGGAACTCCAGCAAGACCTCTCACTATCCTTCCATTGTCCAGAGTTGAGAACATAGCAGAACCAGCAGCAAAGTTCAAAAGCCTGAAATATATGTGAATATGGTTATTAGCTAGACCAACTGACCAACGAGTCTGATCAAGGATAAGCATGCTAGCAACTTAAAGGAGTTTTTTGCCTTTTCATCTCCATCACTTTAGTTGTCTTTTTAACTCATAAAAGAAAAAGACAAGTGTAGCCACAAACAGAAAAAAAAGAAGCGCCCATGATTGAAATTGAAGTTCTAAAAATTTACTTCAAGTACATAGAAAAGAAAAGGTTGATTAACCTTGCATAAAAATTATAGGAATTTTAAGAAATTTGGTTTGATTTCAGTTTTAATGGAAAAAGAACTGAACTTTTTTTTGTTCAGTGCAGTTTTTATTACTTAAAACTGAAAAAAACTAAAAATCCTAAAAACCAAATTAATTTAACTGAAAAATTAAGTCAACTGAAAAACCAAACAAATCAAATTGATTCAGTTTGATTCTACAAATAATTCAGTTCAGTTTTTTGTAGGCACTCATCAAACCAAATCAACCCAACGCCCACCCCTAGATTTCAGTGAGCTAGATCAAATTGCATCCCAAAAGTGTTCATTAAGAGACAACATATGACAAATCTGCTGAATTACCCTGGTACTTCATTACTGACACATTTGAAGTCTGACATGCTAGGAGGTAGAAAGTCTGAGACAAAATCAAGCCTTCTTGAACGGCGGTATTTGCCAGTACCTTTAATAATAGTGAGCAAATTAATGCCCTCTTCCTGTGATCAAAAGAGGAGACTATTAATGCAGGAATAAAGAAGATAAAACAAGATTCAAGTTTGTCCTCCAGTGAAAGTGTTAAAGAATTGAAGCTTAGGGGCAGTAAAGAATCAAGCTTCTGTTCAGAAAAATAACTGTACAAGCTATATGCACAACTAATGAAGTTGTCTTTCTCATAACGTGAAGTTGTTCAGTGTAAGTCATTATATGTTCAAAAGCTTATTGTATACTGTTATAAATGAAAACTTGCATGAAATGCTTTCAGTTCACAGCCTATGTGCGGAAAACAAAAATGCTAAGTGCAATTATCTAGACATCTACATTAATTTCATGTCTGCAATCAATTAATTTCCAACTGTTATCGATTCAGATGTGGGGCTTATGGATCAAAAATGCATTGAGAACATGTCGAAACAAAAGCACAAAAAGAAAATATACACAGCACATAGCCTTGAAGTAACTGTGGCACCACTTTCTCTGATCGAGAGAGGCATTGTAAACAACAGCTAGAGCAGTTAATCCCCGAAACTATGCTTCCCAGATGAACCCCCACTCATGAGAAATTGGAATTTAAAGAGAAAGAAATGGGATTCCATCCGAGGACCATTTTATCAAGAGATAAACAGAATACACGCAAGACGGTCAACATAGAGCTGACCCCGATAAGTTCTTATTCAATGATCAGTGATACAAGGCATTGATTCAACTTTAACAGCTCGTGCAAAATTTTGATATAACCAAAAGGTCTAATGATTTATAACTTAAAAGTGCATAAAAGAAGTCTCCAAATTTGAATTCATTCATCCAAGGCCCTGCATGAACACATATACACACATAAAGGCATTTATTTCAGATGTATAACATGCTTCTTCTCACATACCAGTAGAAGTGTGTGCCCGTTGTCTTTGAAGTTACGAACTATGCAATTCTGTAGTGAACTGCTAAGACGCTTGGCTTCGTCGCGACTAGGGAGCATATAATCCTTGCCACTATAATGAATACACCAACAAACTTCAGTATTCCATTGATCTTTACCAATTCTAAAATGAGAAGCACGCAATATCAGAAAGAAAATCAAGCATGTAAAAATTTGGGCTAAGCATTAGTTTCTGATAAGGGAAAAATATTTGGTCCCAATTTAAATAACCAAACACTTATTGCTATCAGATGTATACAGACGTGCCAAGCAATAACTAACAATTACATTTGTCTAAACCTGGCTACTAAATGCCTTAGTCTAGGAAACTTTCAGCTGTTCCCATTATTTGAAAAAAGAATACAGGAAACAGAAAAAGAAGAAAAAAAGGCATGCATCTTGATGTTTGGAAGAAACAACTGCTGTGAAGAACCTTTAGGACTCATCAGAGCAAGTGAAAGGTGGTTTCATTTAAGCATATCTACTTTGACTTATTACTTTAAACTAGAGTAATCTTATTGGATAAGGAAACTTGGAGATGAGGCTTTGAATTATAGGGAAATCAGCATTCTAACCTCTGGGCATGTTCTTCTGATGCTAAAGAAACATTAGCTTTCAGGGTATTTTATGGTGTCTTTTACAAATTTTTATGAAAGCTGATAAAGCACGCTAGACTCTCTTTAACCTATGAAAATGTCGGTCTTAAGATTCTATTGTTACAAAAGTGAATTAAGGCTTAAAATTTTACACTTCCTTCAGCAACATTAATGAAATTGTATAATTCAGCATAGTAGTTAGATATGCATCATGATTAGTGAGTAAATAATTATATAAAATAACGATCAAGATGCCAATTTTGAAATTACTTTTAGGAAACATCTGATATGCAAACCAGAGGAGAAAGATATAATATATGAAGAAAGAATAAAAGAACCACATTAAGTCAAGGGAAAATGAAGACCTAACAAGCACCAGCACTTCAGCTTTTACAGCATGAAGACGTGCATTGACATAAGCAGCAGCTGATTTAAGCAGTTTCAACTTCCAAAGAAGAGTATCCTTCGGAATGATATCGGCCAAAACCTGAAAATAAAGATATTAACATATATGCATATTCCTAAGAATAATATTTAAACAGATGAAAATAGTGAAAATGACCTGAATGCACATTAAGCATTTTATTTTACCTCAGAACCAAGTCAGTCTTTCAATCACACAACATGTAAATCACCTATTTTATTTTTATGTACAGCCATTTCCACTTATTCAACGAAATAAAAATAAAATAAATTTTTTATTAGATGGTTGAACTGTATCTAAAATTCTAAGAAAATAGAAAGGTTAATTATTCTTTTTTTTTTATTATTATTTTTGCTTACAAAACTGAGAGCGTGAGAGAGCCGTTAAGGATTTCACAAGAAAATTTTCAAATTTCAGAACAAAAGATTGGTATTTTCCAACAGCTGTAGTATAATTCTAAAATCTTGTTGCTGATAGCCTTATTCAGCCCATGGCTAACGTCATATTCCTTTCAATTACTTTGCTAGTCGACTGTAACAAGCATTTAGAAACACCTGCTAGGATCTCTAATGTATTACCGTGTTTACACAACAGTGCAAATCATGCCTAGTATGAAGCATAGTTTATTCAGAAACACGGAAAATTAGCAACATGGTGGGAATTCAGAATCAATTTTATCTACTATTCTGACCATTTTGTGCCCAGGAGACAAATATTCCAAACAGAAACTCCAGTTGTGAGAAATTAAACACATCACGAGAGACCAGAAGCAATTAAAAGGAAAGAAATAAAAAGAAGTCTAGGCAGCACTATTATTAATTTCTTACAGAAAGTAGTGGTATCAAATCAACAAGATTGCCAGAGAGTTTTTCAATTTTTGATCTAGGAGGAAGCGCATAGTCGATATCAACCATTGCCATCTTCAATGGGTCTCCTGGTCATTAAAGGAAAATTAGAAAAAAAAAAAATAGAGCAATTTTCTCTTTTGGATGAGGAGAATAAATTATTTGCATTATTTTTATTGGAGACCAAAGCAATGTCAAACTGTAAAAAATTCTTCCTAATATTGACAGTTAAAGCCTTATAAGATATCTGATTTAGATGTTCTGAATGTTACCAAGTGCAATACGAATCAAAGGGTTATTCAAGTAGATTCATGCTACATGTCCCCAGATCTAAATTTTAAGCAGTAAAAACTAGAAGAACAAAAAATAGAAATATAGAGAAAGAGATCATGTATGGTGTACCCATAATGAAGCTAAGAAGATAGGAGACTGCATTATTAAACCCATCAGGTAAAGCCTCTAAGACAGTAAGCAAGGGTTGTAGTTGTGACCTGCCAAATGATGTAGCTAAAACAAAAGGCAATAAATGTCAGACTAAGATGGAGAGTAGCAACAAGGTCTTGCCAAAGATAAGTGTGAAAAAGGTTCCCGTTTAGCTTGGAACAGACCTGGATTAACCAGTATCAACACAAGGTCAATTTTAGGATTACGGGCAGCAACAGCAAGTGCTAGACATCCCCCCAAAGAATCACCCACTAGATAAATGGGCTTAGCTGGTGACGAAGCTTGCTCAATTCTCACAGTTTCTTCAACAAATTTCACCAACACTTCATGAAATAAAATTCGTCGTGGTGAATTATCAATACAGAGGCATTAAATAACTCGAAAAGGTTAATACCAATAAGTTTCCAGGATCAAAGACTAATACTTTCGAATTGTGTTCTGTCATACACTGGAATATGAAGACACTGAACTTCAAACACCCTGCACTCATGAAAATTATAATAGTAGAAATTACGTTTTCAACTGAGCCAAAAATAACAGAGTCAAACATGAATTAACCATTTGGCATTACAATTTACACTGGTTACAACATGAAATTGAAAGAGGATAGATTGTTAACTAGCTCTTTGAAATAGGGTAATTCATGCATCTTGTATGAAAGCACACAGCACACACCACCATGCACAACAAAAAGGGCCAAAGGCATTGAATTCAGACATCGATAGATCATGCACTATTACATGGTCACATTTATGTATTGAAACATATGTTCACAGCTTCCTTTGCTGAAAAGCATCAATGCAATAAATTTGGATCTGTTCAAACAGTTTTTAAAGAGGATGCTCATGCAGAATTTCACCCTAATGTGAATTTTCAATCGGCAAACAGATCACAATATAATATTAGCAATCTGTGTTCTGGGAACAGTCATCTGAGAGCAGATACAGATTGTTCCAAGACAGTGCCTATTTCATTTCCCATACAACATGATTTTAACATGCTTTCACTGTCGTTTTTGTTTTTGTTTTGTTTTGTTTTTTTTTTTTTTTTTTTTTAGACAGTGGCCTATTCATTTTCCCATACAACATGATTAACATGCTTCACTGTCGTTTTTTGTTTTTGGTTTGGTTTTGTTTTTTTTTTTTTTTTTTTTTTTTTTTTTTTTTTTTTTTCAGATGGATAACCAAAAACATATTTGAGTTATAGTAAAGGCAGAAACAAAAGAACTTACCTCCCAAGAGCTTTATGGTGCAAAGTAAGTCCCAAGCCAACACCATCGATCCCTGTATGCATCAAAGCCAAATGAAAAATTCAAAATTTTAAAATCCTAAAAGATTTCACAGCTAAAAGTTGAATTCACGAAAAACTGATCAAGCACCAAATGTTCTCTCTCTATAGAACTTGTAGCACAGTCAAATCTCAACTTAGAGTCTCCACGAGGGGGCAACGATTACCTGGTAAAAACAGAAGAATTGGAGAATTTTTTAGAGGTTTCCCGCATTCAACAGGGCAAAACCAACGAGGTGGCCCTCCATCAGGCCTAATCATATCCTTGGCGACATCTAGATAATCCTTTACTGTGTTAGTTCCATATCCATCATCCCACAACACTTTCAAACCTTGTGAAACATCTTTCACCCACTTTTTCTCAACTCTAGACTTCGATCTACCATCTCCTTCATCAATTAAAGGCCCAGTTTCCCCTTTCTCCCTAACGCATCCATCAATAAGAGCTCCATTCTTCTCTTTCTGTCCAATGAAAGAAGTTCCATTCGCTGAAACTGAATCAGATGACAGCGCTGTCGAATCATGACTACCCAAACACTTAACCCTCACTTGAAACTGAGGCTTCATTTCTGAATTTTTCAAAATATAAGGTGATTGATGACTGAAATTAAAAAACTGGATGCCATTGGCTTGAACAAGAAATGGCAGACAAGCGTTAATCTTTTATTAAGTTTCTAAAAGAAACAACTTAGAACTTCCTAAAATCAATTATCCAGCAACTACAAACAAAAAATTTGGAGGAACGTTCTCAAGTGCTTGCACTTGAAAAGGCTCAATTAACGCAGATGCTTTTAGAGAACCACAAGGCCTTCGTATATATAATGATAACCATTTTCCATGGATTTAACCACTGAACAACTGGGGAATTCTTCAAGAACAAGTAAGCAGTAAGTTAGGACACTTAGGCTTTTAAGTTTCTGCTTAGCAACCACTCCAACTTTGGAACAATCACAGCGTCCTGTTATCGGTGTTTTAATCTGTGTTTTATAGACCCTTTTCCAGATTCGCCTACCAAAAGAATATGAACTGCTTTCACGTGCCAAATTAGGGAATTCAACTTGAAGTAGCAGCAAATGAACCAAGCATGCTGAGAATGTCTCCCTAAATTACTCTAACTGAAACACTCATACCTTTCATGCCCTTCTTGCTAATATTAAAAAACTAAAAAAGAACCAAACACGGGGAAAAAAACTTGAAGGGGAACCAGAAAACAAAATGAAGTGGACAACTTCTAGAACAGGTATTTGAAGTTCTTATGTGTGACATATCTCAAGGAATGTAGTTCATTGGAATGAAAATGATGAAGTGACGTATCTCAAGGGAAGTGAGCCAATGCAAAAAAAAAAAAAAAAAAAAAAAAAAAGGGCCAAGAAGACGTGGAAAACATTTACCTGTAAAAAAAAAAAAAAAAAAAAAAGGGCCAAGAGACTTGAAAACATTTTACCTGTATTTATTCTTTTGAGCCTGTGATGTTCCTTTTTTAAGTAACTGAATGCAGTTAATTTTCAATATTTCAGCTTTTCTTTCTCGACGGTTAGTAGTTAGCACATACTGGAAAGTTCAGTTGGTCTTATTGCAGAATTGCCACTGGGCTGTAATCTCATTGCTTTAAAGAGTTTTACATAGCAATAATGGAACTCCTTGCCGCAGCTACACTGCTGACGGGTACGTCTTCGTTATATGCAAGTGAACCAACCTCTAAAATTAAAGGGAAAAGTGAATTTTCCTCGATAAAGATTAAAATATTTAATCTCTCTTTTGTTTCCGGAAGATAGTAAAGTATTTTAGAATTTTATTATTATATATGAAAAAAAAGATATATTATGACAGTCGTCGCCTGGCTAGTTTGTGAGTAAAGACTAGTGGTGGTGGCCTGGCTAGTGAGTAATCACTGGTGGTGGTAGCTGGTGAGTAACGACTAGTGGTGGTGGTCGACAGTGGTGGTAGCCATTAGTAATTAATAAATTGAAAATTGTATATTTATAAATTTATGATGAATTTATTAATGTCTAGGAAATGTTTTCCATGAGAAGTCATTTTCCTTTATAATAGCTTAATTTTCCTTTAATGAGAAAAATATTTTTCGTTGGACTGATATTCGTGAGCACTGCAAACATAGAAAAACAAGTTATTTTTCAGAAACAAATGTAGCTTTTGTTGCAAACAACAGCATAAGCCAAGCAGGGGCGTTTCAAGTAATCTTTAAAGCAAAGGTTCGGTCCTCAGCATTTTAGTCATGCTCTCTTCCTGCATAGAAAAGCTAATTCTAACTGTCTTCTAATATCACAAACAGTTTCCTGGGAAACAACCAATCACTGTCTTCTAATGCAAACTACAATATTTTCTCATATGTTCCAAGTTACCATTTTTCATGCCTGCAAAATAAGTTTAAATTGCTAGTTAAAAACGCGAAACCTTCTTTTCATATATAGCTGGTTCCAGAGGCCCCATAGTTTTCATTACATGTGCTTTCTCTTGTACACTATTGACTTTCAGTGAATCAATAATTGTATAGAGGTTTTAAAACTAACTACTGCCTTGTCTATAAATCTCTTAGGGATCAAATGCCGGTACTTTATCCAAAGGAGAATATAATGCACGATGTAGAGTTCTATTAATGACATTTCTATAAGGATCTTCCTCTCGCTTCTTCAATAGGTAGTCTATATTGCGTCTAACTTCGGATTTTACCTGCAAGTACATCTCATTCGCATAATTTTTGTCTTTCAACAGTTCTTCCTTTCCCTTTGTTTCAATGGGCTTGCCGAAAAGAAAATAAAAGCGACCGGGTAGTTTAGGCAAAAGGCCCGGAGGAAATAGTTCTTGGCTGGCAACCTCTCCTTGACTCTCATCCCTATAATCAGAAACATAATATCTGTCAAAACAAGATTCTATATAAAGTTAGCTGGTATCTTAACTTGATCGTTTTCCATTTATAGGAAGCAAGAAAATGCCATCTCATGGAGATGATTCACCTGATTCTTGGAGCAGTTCGAGTAATCTCTCTAATGTAGTCGTTCACCACAGGGATTTTCATCAGATCACAGTAATCAAGGACCAACTGCCACATCAGACAATACCATAACATTGTTATAGTAAGCATAAGAATAACAGCAAACTGAAATTTGGCGGAAAAAATATTATAGAACTCTTATTTTTTTCAAACTGCTTTTTTCTTTAAACTGCAAACATTACAGAATTCTTCTGAGCAGGAGGGAAGATGGTAAGTTAACAGAATAAAGGGATGTCTATCCAAGTGCCTAAATCATTCCAATTTTGGGTGTATATACCGCACAATTTACCTAGTATGACATAAGAAAGTAGTAATCAGTAACTCACTTCAGCTATGTCATCTGCTCCAACAACACCAAATGGTACAATTGTAGCCCCAAACCTCGCAGCCATTCTCACAAATTCTTGTTCAACTGGCCAAAATAACTGATACTCTTCACCCTGGAAATCATAACTGTTATGGATGATTCACAATCTTGAAAAGTAAATAACTTATTTAGAGAAAAAAGTAGCAGCAGAGAGGTAACAGCTAATGGAGATTGTGGATAAAATACAATGCCATTTTGCATGTATGGAGAAACTGCAATACTAATATGGTATCACCTATGGATAGATAATGAAGCTGTGAATGCCAACAACTTCAAAAAAATTTAATCCTCCATCTTCTTGCTAACATTTTCGATGATACCATTATGAAAAATGGCAGAACAAAAACTTGGATTCCAAATAAAACTTGTTGAATTCGGTTCAAGAAAGTTAGTCTACTTTGTAGTGCAGAGCCTCCCGTGTACCTCCTGGATAAAGAAGTACATGTGATTTTGCTGAAAGCAATTTGAAAAGATTGCTTGCTGTGACAGGTACTGCACCCATTACTTCTATCCAATCAGATAAAGAAAATTCATTAGATGAATTCTCAAGCGCCCCGTTAAAATGTGTTGGATGCGCTAAACCACGCACTACAATATTCTTCTCTCTCAAGAATTGCTCAACAAGGGAATAAACTTCAAATCCCATCAGCATGTGGTAACCAACTAATAAGACAGGACCTTTATCCGGAACTCCAGAAAGACCTCTTACTATCCTTCCGTCATCCAGAGTTGAGAACATAGCAGAACCGGTAGCAAAGCGCAAATTCCTGAAATGGATGTGATTTTATTGTTAGATTAACACTGAGATAGACGAATTTATGTAGTGGGATGCAACTTAAAAAAGCTGATCATCCTGGCACAAAACAAAGACAACTTAAACAAGCTGGTTTACACAAAGGTGCTCGGGTAACCTAAACCATAATTGATCAATAAGTTGAGAAAAAGATAGAGGAAGTGAAGGGTGAATGGACCATGAAAAAAGATAGAGGAAGGAGGTAAGGAGTCAATTGAGGCCAACTTGAAATTTCAGTTGACTTTCTTCTGCTAGCTTTAAGATTGGTGGTAGTGCTAAGGTTTAGACAATCAGAGAGGGAAGATTAACAAAATGGGAGACTACGAAAAGACTGAGCTAAGTAAACTTAAAACAAATGGATGTTGCAAGAATAAAACTGAAAGAAGATAAATCCCCTTTAATAAGTTGAGAAAAGTCATATGTAAAGTGTTTCTAATAAGATGAGAAATCCTCAGGCTTGACAATGATTCAGTTCTCGTGAACAAATTCTAACACAAATGACAAATCTATGATCAATCATAGTTTCAGTTTCTAGATAAAACTGAGTCCCCAGACTGTTTAAGAGACTAAATATGAAAAATCTGGGTAATTACCCAACTACTTCGTTAAAGAAGGATTTGAATTCTGACATGCTAGGTGGTAGAAAGTCAGAGACAAAATCAAGCCTCCTTGAACGACGGTATTTGCCAGTGCCTTTAATAATAGTGAGCAAACTAATCCCATCTTCCTGTGCCATCAAACAGAAGGTTCTATTAGAGAGGATAACAAAGACTAAAGCAGCCAATTCAGCTTGTCTTTCCACAGTGAAACAGTGCTCAAGAATGGAAGCTAGTGAGGAGTGAAAAATGAAACATCTGCACAGAATTACCATACAATTTATGAGTACAATTAATACAACTGGCCATGCATGAGCACATATACACACATAAAGACATTTATTTCAGATGTATAACATGCTTCTTCTCACATACCAGTAGAAGTGTGTGCTCGTTGTCTCTGAAGTTACGAACTATGCAATTCTGTAGTAAACTGTTAAGACGCTTGGCTTCTTCACAACTAGGGAGCATATAATCCTTGCCACTATAATGAATACACCAACAAACTTCAATATTCCATTGATCTTTACCAATTCTAAAATGAGTAGCACGCAATATCAGAAAGAAAATCAAGCATGTAAAAATTTGGGCTAAGCATTATTTTCTGATAAGGGAAAATTATGTGGTCCTAATTTAAATAATCAAACACTTATTGCTATCAGATGTATACAGACGTGCCAAGCAATAACTAACAATTACATAGACAAATACATTTGTCTAAACCTGGCTGCTAAATGCCTAAGTCTAGGAAACTTTCAGCTGTTCCCATTATTTAAAAAAAGAGTACAGGAAACAGGAAAAAAAAAAAAAAAAAAAAAAAAAAAAGAGTACAGGAAACAGGAAAAAAAAAAAAAAAAAAAAAAAGGCATGCAGCTTGATGTTTGGAAAAAAAAAAAAAAAAAAAAAAAAAAAAGGCATGCATCTTGATGTTTGGAAGAACCTTTAGGACTCATTGAAGCAAGTGAAAGGTGGTTTCTTCTAAGCATAGCTACTTTGTCTCATTACTTTAAACTAGAGTACTCTTATTGGATAAGGATACCTGGAGATGGGGATGATAATTCAAAAACTTCACATTATAGAGAAATCTGCATTCTAACCTCTAGGCATGTATCTTCCGATGCTAAAGAAACATGGAGCTTTCAAGGTCTTTTATGGTGTCTTTTACAAATTTTTATGAAAGCTGATAAAGCACGCTAGAGTCTCTTTAACCTATGAAAAGGTTGGTCCTAAGATTCTATGTTAGAAAAGTGAATTAAGGCTTAAAATTTTACAATCTGCCACATTTTCCTTCAGCAACATTAATCAAATTGTATAATTCAGCATAGTAGTTAGAGATGCATCATGATTAGTGAGTAAATCATTATATAAATTAAAGATCAAGATGTCAATTTCCAAATTACTTTCAGAAAACATCTGATACGCAAACCAGATGAGAATGATATAATTAATTATGCAGAAAGAATAAAAGAACCACATTAAGTCAAGGGAGAATGAAGACCTGACAAGCAACAGCACTTCAGCTTTTACAGCATGAAGACGTGAATTGACATAAGCAGCAGCTGATTTAAGCAGTTTCAACTTCCAAAGAAGAGTATCCTTTGGAATGATATCGGCCAAAACCTGAAAATAAAGATATTAACATATATGCATAGTCCTAAGAATAATATTTAAACAGATAAAACACTAAAAATGACCTGAATGCACATTAATCATTTTATTTTACTTCAGAACAAAGTTAGCCTTTCAATCACACATGTAAATCACCTATTTTATTTTTATGGGCAGCCATTTCCACTTATTCAAAAAAAATAAAAATAAAATAAATTTTTTATTAGATGGTTGAACTGTACCTAAAATTCTAAGCAAATAGAATGGTTAATTATTGTTTTTTTTATTATTATTTTTGCTTACAAAACTGAGACAGTGAGACAGCTGTTAAGGATTTCACAAGAAAATTTTCAAATTTCAGAACAAAAGATTGGTATTTTCCAACAGCTGTAGTAGAATTCTAAAATCTTGTTGCTGATAGCCTTATTCAGCCCATGGCTAACATCATATTCCTTTCAATTACTTTGCCAGTCGACTGTAACAAGCATTTAGAAACAGCTGCCAGGATCTCTAATGTATTACCGTGTTTACACAATAGTGCTAATCATGCCTAGTATGAAGCATAGTTTATTCAGAAAAACAGAAAATTAGCAACAAGGTGGGAATTCAGAATCAATTTCATCTACTATTCGGACCAGTTTGTGCCCAGGAGACAAATATTCCAAATAGAAATCCAGTTGTGAGAAATTAAACACAGCACAAGAGACCAAAAACAATTAAAAGGAAAGAAATAAAAAGAAGTCTAGGCAGCACTATTCTTAATTTCTTACAGAAAGTAGTGGTATCAAACCAACAAGATTGCCAGAGAGTTTTTCAATTTTTGATCTAGAAGGAAGCGCATAGTCGATATCAACCATTGCCATCTTCAATGGATCTCCTGGTCATTAAAGGAAAATTAGAAAAAAAAAAAAATAGAGCAATTTTCTCTTTTGGATGAGGAGAATAAATTATTTGCATTATTTTTATTGGAGACCAAAGCAATGTCAAACTGTAAAAAGTTCCTCCTAATATTGACAGTTAAAGCCTTATACGATATCTGATTGAGATGTTCTGAATGTTGGCTAAGTGTAATACGAATCAAAGTGTTATTCAAGTAGATTCATGCTACATGTCCCCAGATTTAAACTGTTAAAGAAAGTGCATAAATTTTCAAGGAGTCCAGGTTCAGGATTTTAGGAATGATACAAGCCATGCAATGGCCCGGAAAGAAAAACTTTTTGTTTTTATGTTCATCTTTTACCCAAAAATCAGTGCATAAGTAGGTACTGGAAATACTACAACTAGGAGATCAACAGAGGCTTTAACAAGATTAACTTAAATTATTCTCCCAATTTCAGCTGTGATCAATTCTTTAAGTTACAATTTATGAATTCATACTTCATATTAAATCAATCAAACACATTAGTTTTCAATTTCAGGCATCAAAAAGATCCAGATTCAGGATTTCAGTTATGGTACATTTACTGACATATTTTATAAGCAGTAAAAACTAGATGAATAAAAAAATAGAAAGATAGAGAAAGAGATCATGTATGGTGTACCCATAATGAAGCTAAGGAGATAGGAGACTGCATTATTAAACCCATCAGGTAAAGCCTCTAAGACAGGAAGCAAGGGTTGTAGCTGTGACCTGCCAAATGATGTAGCTAAAACAAAAGGCAATAAATGTCAGACTAAGATGGAGGGTAGCAACAAGGTCTTGCCAAATATAAGTGCGAAAAAGGTTCCTGTTTAGCTTGGAACAGACCTGGATTTACCAGTATCAATACAAGGTCAATTTTAGGATTACGGGCAGCAACAGCAAGTGCTAGACATCCCCCCAAAGAATCACCCACTAGATAAATGGGCTTAGCTGGTGACGAAACTTGCTCAATTCTCACAGTTTCTTCAACAAATTTCACCAATACTTCATGAAATAAAATTCGTCTTAGTGAATTATCAATACAGAGGCATTAAATAACTCGAAAAGGTTAATTCCAATAAGTTTGCAGGATCAAAGACTAATACTTTCGAATTGTGTTCTGTCATACACTGGAATATGAAGACACTGAACTTCAAACACCCTGCGCTCATGAAAATTATAATAGTAGAAATTACGTTTTCAACTGAGCCAAAAATAACAGAGTCGAACATGGATTAACCATTTAGCATTACAATTTACACTGGTTACAACATGAAATTGAAAGAGGAGAGATTGTTAACTAGCTCTTTGAAACAGGGTAATTCATGCAACTTGTATGAAATCACACAGCACACACCACCATGCACAACAAAATGGGCCAAAGGCATTGAATTCAGACGTCGATAGATCACGAACTACTACATGGTTACATTTATGTATTGAAACATATGTTCACAGCTTCCTTTGCTGAAAAGCATCAATGCAATAAATTTAGTTCTGTTCAAACAGTTTTTAAAGAGGATGTTCATGCAGAATTTCCTCCTAATGTGAATTTTCAATCGGCAAACAGATCACATTATAATATTAGCAATCTGTGTTCTGGGAACAGTCATCTGAGAGCAGATAGATTGTTCCAAGACAGTGCCTATTTCATTTCCCATACAACATGATTTTAACATGCTTTCACTGTCCTTTTTTTTTTTTTTTTCATGCTTCACTGTCCTTTTTTTTTTTTTTTTTTTTTTCTCATGGATAAACAAAAACATATTTGAGTTATAGTAAGGGCAGAAACAAAAGAACTTACCTCCCAAGAGCTTTATGGTGCAAAGTAAGTCCCAAGCCAACACCATCGATCCCTTTATGCATCAATGCCAAAAGAAAAATTCAAAATTTTAAAAGCCTAAAAGATTACACGGCTAAAAGTTGAATCCACGAAAAACTGATCAAGCACCAAATGTTCTCTCTCTATAGAACTTGTAGCACAGTCAAATCTCAACTTAGAGTCTCCACGAGGGGGCAACGATTACCTGGTAAAAACAGAAGAATTGGAGAATTTTTTAGAGGTTTCCCGCATTCAACAGGGCAAAACCAACGAGGTGGCGAGGTGGCCCTCCATCAGGCCTAATCATATCCTTGGCGACATCTAGATAATCCTTTACTGTGTTAGTTCCATATCCATCATCCCACAACACTTTCAAACCTTGTGAAACATCTTTCACCCACTTTTTCTCAACTCTAGACTTCGATCTACCATCTCCTTCATCAATTAAAGGCCCAGTTTCCCCTTTCTCCCTAACGCATCCATCAATAAGAGCTCCATTCTTCTCTTTCTGTCCAATGAAAGAAGTTCCATTCGCTGAAACTGAATCAGATGACAGCGCTGTCGAATCATGACTACCCAAACACTTAACCCTCACTTGAAACTGAGGCTTCATTTCTGAATTTTTCAAAATATAAGGTGATGGTGACTGGCTGGAAATTAAAAATATGCCATGGCTTTGAACAAGGAAATGGGCAGACAGCTTTTAATCTTTATAAGTTTCAAAGGAACAAACTTAGAACTCCTCTCAATTAATCCAGCAACTCAACAAAATATTGGAGAACTTCTCAAGTGCTTGCACGTGAAAAGGGGCTTCAAATTAAACGCAGATGCTTGGAGAAACCACATGCCTCTTATTATAACTTGATAACCATTTCCATGATTTAACACTCTGAACAACCTTGGGAATTTCTTCAAGAAACAGTAAGCAAGGCCTCTTATTATAATTGATAACCATTTTCCATGATTTAACACTGAACAACTTGGGAATTTCTTCAAGAACAAGTAAGCAGTAAAGTTAGACACTTAGGCTTTTCAAGTTCTGCTAGCAACACTCTAACTTGAACAATCACAGCGTCCTGTTATCTGTGTTTTATAGACCCTTTTCCAGATTCGCCTACCAAAAGAATATGAGCTGCTTTCACGTGCCAAATTAGCGAATTCAACTTGAAGTAGCAGCAAATGAACCAAGCATGCTTAGAATGTCTGCCTAAATTACTCTAACTGAAACACTCATACGTTTCATGCCCTTCTTGCTAATGTTAAAAAACTAAAAAAGAACCAAAAACAGGGAAAAAAACTTGAAGGGGAACCAGAAAACAAAATGAAGTGGACAACTTCCAGAACAGGTATTTGAAGTTCTTATGTGTGACATATCTCAAGTGAAGTGAGCCAACGGATAAAAGAAAAAAAAAAAAGAGCCAAGAAACTTGAAAACATTTTTTCCTGTATTTATTCTTTTGAGCCGGTAATGGATGGTCCTTTTTTACGTGACTGAATGCAGGCAATTTCTACAATTTCAGCTTTTCTCTCTCGACGGTTAGTAGTTAGCACATACTGGAAAGTTGCGTTGGTCTTATTGCAGAATTGCCACTTGGCTGTACTCTCATTGCTTTAAAGAGTTTTACACAGCAATAATGATGGAACTCCTCGCCGCAACTACGAACTGCTGACGGGTACGTCTTCATTATATTCAAGTGACCCATCCTTTAAAATTAAAGTGAAAAGTGAAATTTTTTTTATTAAAGAGTAAAATAATTAAATTTCTGGAAAATAACTCAAATTGTTTTCTTGTAATTTTTAAAAATATTAAAATACTTAATTTTATAGGACAAATAAATACTTATAATTATGAAAATTTTATATTTTAGAAAAATTTGTTGTTATATATGAAAACAATGTAAAAATTTGATAAATTATGATAGTTGCTACCTCGTTGGTGACCGATGACTAGTTGCAGTAGTAAATCAGTAACAGATAGGAGTAGCCATAAGTAATTAACAAATTACAAAATATATATTTATAAAGTTATCTAGACTTAAATAACCTAGTTTTAAATTTCTAGTTTTAGATAATACTATCTTATATTTTATAATAATATAATTTTCATTTAAATAATTATTTTATCTTTTCATCATATTTCCTTTAATGGATATAAATTTTTTTTATTGGATACAAAGATTTTTTTATGTGAAATAAATATAAAATTTTTTATATTTTTTATTTTATAAAGTAAAACTAAGAAAATTTCTATTATTAATTTTTCTCATAAAATCACCAACTAAGTGAAATAAAAATTAAGTAAAACACTTTAAACATGAAAATGATATAAAATTTCAACGTCATATTTCATTAAAAAAATTACTTCGTTCATTGGATAGAAGATTTTATACCTAGTGAATAAAAAATAATATTTAATCAAATACTGGTATTTTTTTCTATGAAGAAGGGAACAAAATAAAAATAAATAAATTGTGATAAATATTGAGAACAAGACTTTAGAATTCCATTTGTAATCCGTTTCTACTCTATTGCGACAATCAGCAGGAACAATTTGAATGAACGCGTAGCAATGGATAAAAATTCCGTTTCTAAAAGAAGTTTCTAATCATTTTACACGTTACGCATCCCATTTACCGCCAACTTTAGCAACGAATATTCCATTTCTAAAATATCAGTTTCTAATTCGCTTCTGTTCCGTTTCCAATCCGTCTCTAATCCAGGAAAAAGTTTCTAATCTCTAATTCTGTCTTTAATCGGCGCAGGTTGGAAACTATTTCCGTTTCTAAAAATCCGTTGCTAATTCGCAATTTCTTCGGGTATTGTAATTGATTTGTAAATGCCCAAAAAATGTTTTCTTTTTTAAAGAATAGGAAGTCGTTTTCTTTTAAAATAGCTTAATTTTTCTTTTAATCAGAAAAATATTTCCCATTACACTGATTTTTCTAACCACCCCAAACATAAAAGAAACAAGTTATTTTTCAAAAATAAATGGAGCCTATAGTTGCAAACAGCAGCAGCATATGCCAAGCAGGGGAGTTTCAAGTAATCTTTAAAGAAAAGTGCAAGTGCTCATCATTTTAGTGATGCTCTCTCCCTGCATAGAAAAGTTAATTCTGTCTTCTAACATCACAAACAGTTCCCTGACAAACAACCAATCACTAAAGCAAACTACAATGTTTTCTCATATGTTTACCACTGTTCCAAGTTACCATCTTTCATGCCTGCAAAAAATGTTTAAAGTGCTTGTTAAAAGCTCGAAAACTTCTTTTCATATATAGCTGATTCCAGAGGCACCACGGTTTTCATTACATGTGCTTTCTCTGGTACACTGACTTTCAGTGAATCAATAACTGTATAGAAGTTTTAAAATTAACTACTGCATTGTCTATACATCTTTTAGGGATCAAATGCCGGTACTTTATCCAAAGGAGAGTATACTGCACGATGTAGAGTTCTATCAATGATATTTCTATAAGGATCTTCCTCTCGCTTCTTCAATAGGTAGTCTATATTGCGTCTAACTTCGGATTTTACCTGCAAGTACATCTCATTTGCATAACTTTTGTTTTTCAACTGCTCTTCCTTTCCCTTTGTTTCAATGGGCTTGCCGAAAAGAAAATAAAAGCGACCAGGTAGTTTAGGCAAAAGCCCCGGAAGAAATAGTTCTTGGTTGGCAACCTCTCCTTGAATCTCATCCCTGTAATCAGAAACATAATATTAGTCAAAACAAGATTCTATATTAAGTTAGCTGCTATCGTAACCTGATGGTTTTCCATTTATAGGAAGCAAGCAAATGCCATTTGATGGATCACCTGATTCTTGGAGCAGTTCGGGTAATCTCTCTAATGTAGTCATTTACCACAGGGATTTTCATTAGATCACGGTAATCAAGGACCAACTGCCACATCAGACAATACCATAACATTGTTATAATAAGCATAAGAATAACAGCAAACAAAATTTGGTAGAAAAAATAAATTTTTTTTTTTTTTCAAACTGCCTTTTTCTTTAAACTGCAAAACACATACAGAATTCTTCTGAGCAGGAGGGAAGATGGTAAGTTAACAGAATAAAGGGATGTCATATCTAAATGCATTTTGGGTCTATATACTGCACAATTTACCTAATATGACATAAGAAAGTAGTAATCAATAACTCACTTCTGCTATGTCATCTTCTCCAACAGAACCAAATGGTACAATTGTAGCCCCAAACCTTGCAGCCATTCTCACAAATTCTTGCTGAACAGGCCAAAATAACTGATACTCTTCACCCTGCAAATCACAACTGTTATGGAGGAATTACAATCTTGAAAAGTAAATAACTTATTTAGAGAAAAAAGTAGCAGCAGAGTGGTAACAGCCAATCGAGATTGTGGTATAACATACAAGCAATTCTGCACATATGGAGACACTGCACTGCTAATATGGTATCACCTATGGATAGATAATGAAGCTGTGAATGCGAGCAACTTCAAAAATTTTAATCCTCCATCTTTTTGCAAACATTTTCATTAGATGAAATCAGATAGATATTTGATGATACCATTATGAAAAATTGACAGAACAAAAACTTGGATTCCAAATAAAACTTGTTGAATTGGGTTCAAGAAAGTTAGTCTACTTTGTAGTGCAGAGCCTCCCGCGCACCTCCTGGATAAAGAAGCACATGCGATTGTGCTGAAAGCAATTTGAAAAGATTGCTTGCTGTGACAGGTACTGCACCCATTACTCTCATCCAATCAGATAAAGAAAATTCATTAGATGAATTCTCAAGCCCCCCGTTAAAAAGTGTTGGATGTGCTAGACCACGCACTAAAATATTCTTCTCTCTCAAAAATTCTTCAGCAAGGGAATAAAGTTCAAATCCCATCAGCATGTGGTAACCAACTAATAAGACAGGACCTTTATCCGGAACTCCAGAAAGACCTCTCACTATCCTTCCGTCATCCAGAGTTGAGAACATAGCAGAACCAGTAGCAAAGCGCAAATTCCTGAAATGCATGTGATTTTATTGTTAGTTTAATACTGAGATAGACGAATTTATGTAGTGGGATGCAACTTAAACAAGCTGATCATCCTGGCACAAAGACAGACGAACTTAAGCTGGTTTACACAAAGGTGCTTAGGACCTAAACCATAATTGATCAATAATGACTAATCATGGATATGCATGCTAGCAACCCTTTGTTCCTTGTCCAGTTTAATGACTTTGTTTACTCATAAGGAAAAATATGATAAACAGAAAAGAATAAAGAAAAAAAGATTCTTATAGTTGATCCTAAGATTGAAATTGAAGTTGGCTTGAGTTTAGTCCTTATACAGGAGGATGAATCAGCTTTATAAAATCAAAATTTTAATCTTGAGGTAAACCCAAGATTTTAACTTTCTTTCTATCTGAAGTGTTTCTAATAAGATGAGACTATATATAAAATTCAGTTCCCATGAACAAATTCTAACACAAATGACAAATCTATGGTCAATTACAGTTTCAGTTTGCTAGATAAAATTAAGTCCCAGACTGTTTAAGAGACTATATATAAAAAATCTGGGGAATTACCCAACTACTTCATCAAAGCCAGATTTGAATTCTGACATGCTAGGTGGTAGAAAGTCGGAGACAAAATCAAGCCTCCTTGAACGACGGTATTTGCCAGTGCCTTTAATAATAGTAAGCAAACTAATCCCATCTTCCTGTGCCATCAAACAGAAGGTTCTATTAGAGAGAATAACAAAGACTAAAGCAGCCAATTCAGCTTGTCTTCCCACAGCGAAACAGTGGTAAAGAATGGAAGCTAGTAAGGAGTAAAAATGAAGCTTCTGCAGAGAATTACCATACAATTTATGGGTACAATTAATGCAACTGGCCTAACAATACCTTATTAGCAAGAAAGACAGGTGCATATTGCATTTTTCATAAGCAAAATATTGGTCAATGAAAATCATTAGATATTTTGCACTTACAAATGACAATGTACTTGTGCGAAACAAAACAATCACAAAAGGCGCTACATAAGTAACTATTGCATAAACATGTAATAATATCTATCTTACTCGTGTTAATGTGTAATCAATGTCAAATTTTAAATTTTTGATTCTGAACTTAGCCCTTATCAGAATTAGATCATCACAAAAATGACCAAAAGCAACCATTATCAGTCAGAGGATATGCATTGCCATGCTTCTATGCAAGAGAACCCAATGCCTCAAATTCTTAAAGAACACAAATACTGGGAGGAAATGTGTGAAATTTGAGACCTTGATCCTTTAGCTTGCTTCAGCAGTCTCAATTACTTCAGTTTTAGGCTTATAGCCTTGAAATGACTGTGGCACCAGTTATCCTGATCAAGTGAGGCATCGTAAAAAAATTGCCACAGAAGTTAATCGTGTTTCTGGCTCTACAATTGCTTCATAAAAGTGAACCACCCCCTATTTTTAGAGAGCCTGAAGTTTAAGGAGAAGGGAATGGAATTCCATTCCCAGAACCATCTCCTCAAGAAAAAGAATGAATACATGACAGATGGTTGACATAGAACTGCCTCTGCTAAGTTGAAAAGGTCGCTTATTTATTCAATTACCATGCTGTAAGGTGTTGATTCAAACTTGAAAAATAGCTCTGATTATTCAAGAATGCTTAAAAAGAGCCTACAAAAACTTCAATGTGTCATGTAAGGCACATGCTCACATGCATATACAGCACTTATTTCAGATGCAGACATGAATATGATGATTCCTCTCACATACCAGTAGAAGTGTATGCCCATTGTCTTTGAAGTGACGAACTGTGCAATTCTGTAATGAACTCTTAAGACGCTTAGCTTCATCACCACTGGGTAGCATATAATCCTTGCCACTAAAGTGATACACGAGTATCAAACTTTAACATTTCATAGATTTTTACCAATTAAAAGGTGAGTTGCGTACATTATCAAAAGGGAAATCAAGCATGTATACACTATTTTCCTCCAAAGAATAAATAATCGATCCTCATTTAGTAACCACAGACTACATTGCTATCTGCTGTATACAGATGTGTCATAGCAATAACAATTAGAAAGATAAGTACATTTTTCTTGCAGCTAAATCTCAGAATGTGTACAGCTCCCTGTTTACTTAAAAAGACAATATGAAACAAACATGCTGTATCTCTTTTTTAAGTAACCAAAGGCATGCATCAGTTTTAGTTCGCAAAAATAGATGAGAAGAATCTCTTTGACTCATTAAGGCAAGGGAAAGGAAGTTTCTCTTGAGCACAGTTACTTTGATCATTCTTCACTGGAAAGAAAACTGAGAGATGGATATGACACTTTGAGTATTTCAATTAGAAAGGAATCTGCATTCTAGTCTCTGGGCATGTACAATACTTTCTTGTAACAGTTTTGATTGTCTCCTAAAATTTTTGTGAAGCCTGATAAAGCTCACTAGTGGATTCTCTATAAATTGTGAGAAGTCATGAACTTTTTACAATTTATTAGATTTCTTTCAGCATCAGAGATCACAAATCATGTTCTTCGCAATTATAATTACAGATGCAAGAACAAGCTGCCAATTTCCACATAACTTTTAGGAAACACTAGATATGCAAACCAAAATAGAAGCAATAAATTATGCAGAGAGAATTAAGAAAGAACCACAAAGTCAAGGGAGAACAAAGACCTAGAAAGCACTAGTACTTCAGCTTTTACAGCATGAAGACGTGAATTGGCATAAGAAGAAGCTGATTTGAGCAGTTTCAACTTCCAAAGAAGAGTATCTTTCGGGATGATGTCAGCCAAACCCTGAAAAAGAACAGACTAATACTTGTGCAGAGCCCAAAGGATAATATTAAACAGATAAAAAGAATTATAATTATCTGAATGCACATTGAAAACCAATTTATTTTACATCAGACACAAAGAAGTCAGTCAATGAATAACAGGACCTGGAAATTATTGTCGTATTAATGCAGTGCATGTTTCCACTCGATTTAATGATTGTAAAGATAACATGGTATTGGAATTAACAGAACTAACTACGTGATATCAATCCTTTGCAGGTTTAATAAGGATTTTTCAGTAAAGAATTTTGGCATTTTTGAGTATGCAAACAGCCACATGGGATATGTTGCAGCACCCAGACCAGGATTGACGATTTGACTTGTGCTTGAGTAAAAGTCATTTCATATAGTCTAATCTTGAACCATAAGAATAAAGTTTCTTGCACCCCCCAAAAAAAATGCAACGAAAATAAAATAAATGTTTATTAGTTCAGACAAACTATGCCTAAAATTACAAGAAAGCATACAAAAATTAAAACTTCTTCTTTTTTTTTTTTTTTTTTATCTTGGAACCATAAGAATAAAAGTTCTTGCACCCCCCAAACAAAAAATGCAACGAAAAATAAAATAAATGTTTATTAGTTCAAACAACTATGCCTAAAAATTACAAGGAAACATTTACAAAAATTAAAACTTCTTCTTTTTTTTTTTTTTTTTTTGGCTTACAAAAATTACTAAATGAGAGACTCATTAATGATTTTCACATGAAAATTTTTTGGGATTTCACAACAAAGCTTAGTATTTACAACTGCTTAGTACAAGCACAATCAATATGTAGTGTTATGAGTTTTTTTTTTTTTTTTTTTTGGCTTACAAAAATTACTAAATGAGAGCTCATAATGATTTCACATGAAAATTTTTGGGTTTCACAACAAAGCTTAGTATTTTACAACTGCTTAGGTACAAGCACAATCAATATGTAGTGCTTATGTAGTGAAACATAGCAGAGTATCTAGTTATTGGCAATTAAGAAGTTTACAAAGAGACCAAAAACATCAAAAACAAAACAGAAAAGGAAGTACAAAGGATAGGCGGTGCAATCTTAATTTCTTACAGAAAGAAGTGGCAGCAAAGCAGTAAGATTGCCAGATAGTCGTTCAATTTTTGATCTGGCAGGAAGTTTATATTCAACATCAACCATCGCCATCTTCATTGGATCACCTGGTGTCATGAAAAGAAATAATAACAACACTATAGCATTTCTTTTCTTAATAGGGTGACACAACCTTTAGCTTTCTTTCCCTTTTTATCTCTTGGTGACCGAAGTAATTAAAACCTTAGTAAGTAAAAAGTTGAACTTAATAGTGACTGTTAAGCTTGATAGGATAAACAGCTAAATTAGGATGTTCTAAATGTTGACAAAGCTTACTAGGAATCAAATGCCAATTCAAACATATTTATCTGATGTATCAAAACTGTATTGAATCACATAGGAAGATGATGAAAGTTAGAAATGTAAACTTGCACCAAAATAGATCATATGTACAAGTTTCAAAGTGTCCAAGTTCAAGATTTTAGGCATACTATGAGCAATGCAATGGACCAGAAAAAAAAAAAAAAATCTCTTTTATGTTTATTTCTTACCAAGAAATCATGGTGCAGAACTAGGAAATGGTAATCCTAAAATCAAGAGGTCAAGGAAGGCTTCAAAAAGTTTCACTTTATTTACTTCCCTGATTTTTGTTGTGATCAATTACACCAGTAACATAATGAATTCATGTTTCAAAAGTAAATCAACAAGACGTATCAGTTCCAGGTATCAAATAGCCAGATTCAGGATTTCAGTTATGGTACATTTACTGGAAATATGTTAAAAGTAGTATAAAAAGATAGAATTTAAAAGGAAAAAAGAAACTGGGTAATGTTACAGAGCAACAGATCAAGTACCCATAACCACGCTAAGAAGATAGGGGACTACATCATGTAATCCATCAGGCAAAGCCTCCAAGAGGGGAAACAACGGTTGTAGCTGTGACCGGCCAAATGATGTAGCTAAAACAAAAGGCTACAAATATCAGACTAACTTGAGGAATTATTAGCCTGGAAATCATCAAATATATGGTGAAGAAAATTGCTGGTTAGCTGGGAAGTGGGAACTAACCTGGATTGGAAAGTATCAACACAAGGTCAATTTTAGGATTACGGGCAGCAAGAGCAAGTGCTAGACATCCACCAAAAGAATCCCCCACTAGATAAATTGGCTTTGTTGGTGATGAAGTATGCTCAATCCTCACAGTTTCTTCAACAAATTTCACCAATCCTTCAAGAAATAAATTCCATCAAGTTATAGATAAATAGCAATTTTCTCGTTAAAAAGAAAATGCAAACACTTAAAGTCACATGAGCACATTTCTGAGGGGACTAGAAGCTCCAATCAAGAAACTCACGTACAATAATCTCAAAGACCAAAGGCAAAACATAATGGTATTTACTTTGTAGCCAAAGTATTAGCACTAATTATAGCAGAAAAGCAAGCCAATTCAATTTAGCATCAACAAGCTCGCAAAGTGTGCAGAAGTTAAGAGACAGCATATCTAATTTGCCAACTATCTCATCTCATGCCTCATTCTCTCTGACAAATAACTAATGAGAAACTTCAGAAGATAAAATACAATTTTTGTTTTGCTACTTTTGCTTAATCAATTATTTTATTCTACAATAGGTTTTGCTCAGTTGTCAATGTTTTTATTTTTACCACTTCTATTTGAAGGAAATGATTTCAGATCACATGAATTTTGGAGGACGAATAGCAAAAAGTGTTGCAACTAGAATGGCTTTAAATGGTTTCTTGAAATCAGCATATGCGAACTAGAACATGCACGATCCAGCATGCCTTTTGCATTACAGTAGAGGTAAACCGTTCTTATTTCACTAGCTAGCTGCTAATATACATACGATGGATTATCATATAATCATGATCAATTTCATCTTAGTGAATTACCAATGCAGTGGATTACTAAATAATTCAAGTAAGTAAATTCCAATAAGTTTGCAGGCTTTCAAGCTGTGATACCTTCAAATGGTGTTCTGTCATATACTGGAATATGAAGGCATCTAACCTCGAACGCCCTGTGTTGTGAAAATTATATTATTATAAAATCAGAAACCATTTTTTCAGCTGAGCCAAAAATAACAGAATCAAACATGGATATCAATATCAGTCATTACAATTGCACACAGTGCAACATGAAATTGAAAGAACGCAAATTATTAACTATTTTTTGAACATGAGGAAATTCATGCAAATAGTATCTAAAGTATGACCTGTGTTGCAACATTACACACCATCGTCAACAAAAGCCAAAATGAGGGCAAAAAAAAAAATGCAAACGTAATTGAATTGAATATGGGAAGAGGTCATGCACCCTTGCTAATACATGGTTATATTTATGAATTTAAGCATACGCTTATAACTTTGTTTGCCATAAATCAAACAGATTTATAGGAGGATGGTCATTCAGAATTGCCTTTTAATCTGAATTTTAAATTGGTAAACAGATTATACTAACAAATTAACAATCAAAGGGTGTTTTGCAAGCAGAACAGAGCCAAAGGTACCACCAGACAATCCACTTATTCAGTTTCTCATACAGCATGATTTTGACATACTTTTGCTGTCACCTTTCGAGATAGACAATCCAGAACTAGATTGTACAAAACTGAAAATAAGTCCTTCTAGTTATAATTAAGATGAAAATACAAGAACTTACTTCCCAAGAGCTTTATGGTGCAAAGTAAGTCCCAAGCCAACACCATCCATCCCTGCATGCACCAATACCGAAGGAAAATTTCAACATTCTAAAATCCTATGAAGTTACACAAGTAAAAGTTTCGGTCCAGCGAAAACTAATCAAACATTAAATATCCAAATGAAGCCAAAATCTCATGAATCAGAAATTCTGTTCTTTTATGAATATGTTCCTTTTCTGTAGAACTTGTAGGTTCTCCACAAAGAGACAACCAGTACCTGGTAAAAACAGAAGAGTTGGAGAATCTTCTAAAGGTTGCCCACATTCAACAGGGCAAAACCAACGAGGTGGCCCTCCATCAGGCCTAATCATCTCCTTGGCTACACCAAGATAATCCTTCACTGTGTTGGTCCCATATCCATCATCCCACAACACTTCCAAATCTTTTGTAACATCTTTGACCCATTTTTTCTCAACTCTAGTCTTCAGTCTCCCATTTCCTCCATCAATCAAAGCCCTACCTTCCTCTTTCTCTGTGCCTCCGCCAATAAGAGATCCATTCTTCTCTTTCTGTTCAATAAAAGAACTTCCATTCACTACCACTGAATCAGATGACAGCATTGTTGAATCACTACTATCCAAACTCTGAACTCTCACTCGAACCTGGGGCTTAATATCTGAATTTATCAGAAAATAAGGTGATGTCCGGAAAGAAAAAACTGATGCCATGGTTTGCATAATGGCAGGCAGTTATCACCGTTTATAAGTTCCTAAACGAACAGCTTAGAACTACTTTCAAGGATAAAGCGATTATTAAGTACTTGCACTTGAAACGGCTTCAGATTAACCAAAACGCAAAGAGAACACAAGCACCTAACTGATAACCATTTTCCTAGATTCAGTATTGAACAAATGAGGACTTTTTTCAAGCACCAGGCAAGCTGCAAGTCAGAAACTCAGGACCTTTCCAAGTTCTATTAGCACTTGAAAGAGTTGTATGGCCTAATACACCAGGCAACTCACTGCATTCTTAAACACTATAACTTGAACATTCCCACCACCCTTTTATCTGTAACTTTTGGACCCTTCTTGAACATTCACCAACTAAACAAATTAGAACCTCTTCCAAGTACCAAACAACAGTAGAAAACACTTAGAATGACTCAATGATCCAAGACCCTTTTTATCCTCTTGCTTATATTTTAAGAAGGAGTAACAACCAAAAAAAGCAAAACTTGAAACAGACCCAGAAAGCAGAACGAAGAGAATTCCTTCTAGAACAGTTATTTCTAGTCCTTATGCGTCACAATGAAATAGAAGCTAATTATGATTATGATAGTGATAAATAGCAGAAAAGTTTAAGAAACTTGAATTTTGGATTCTTGTAATTAAAGGTCTGATTTTTACCTGTTCTTTTGAGCACTGAGTGGTTCTTTTTGTGCTTGTACATGGGCCATTTTCACTTTTCACTGGTCCTTGTGTAGCCACACATCCAGCATATTCTCTCTCTGCATCTGTCCATCCTCAGCAGTTATGTTTTTATCACACGCTAGGAGAGCACGTTGGGCGTTCGATTTTGCTGCTTTGTCATTGCTTTAAAAGATTATTTTACAGAGCAATAGTGGAATGGAACTCCGTTGGCACTTCGACAGCAACTAACAGTAGCTTTTTTTTTTTTTTAATCAAAAAATTAATTTGTAAGATTCTTTTATTAATTAAATTAATCATCTTAAAGCTAATCTGATACGTAAGTAATCAATCATCGGAATTATAAATTCTTAACAATAAGACCATTGTCGTTGTTTACCGTTAATACTGAGAATGAAAAAGACGGTTAATAGTTGTAACTGTGCACTGTGAGCAAATAATTGTACAAATCGCGAACTCTCCATCCAACGATGGAACTAGAATTATTATTATTTTTTTTTCAAGAAAGACCAAAATAAATTTCTCTCAAGAGAAATACGCAGTTTTTTTTATTATTTTTAAATAGACGTTTTAGAAAGTGATTGAACAAATATCTATAACAATGACATAGGTGATTTTGACAATATTATTATTGGCAATAAGATCTGTTGATTCGAAAACTTAAAAAAAATGCTGGCCAATGAATAATAAATCATTTTAATTTAATTTTTTTTTAAAAAAATTAGTTTTAGACTCATAAAATATTAAATTGCAAAACTTTATATACTGTACTACCAATAATAACAAATGAACTCTATATATAAAAGAGTAGTTTTTTTATTCAATTCAATCAAATATAATTGATTATTATATAATTTTAAAAAATTAATATATATTTTTCAAAATACAAATAAAATTTTTTATAAAATGGGTTTTGTTTGAACCAATTGCTGGTACCTACCTACCAACCAAATTGCCATTATTGGGGTGGCCTTTCTAAGTGACAATGATTTGTCAGGGTATACTGTACTACACTGTACTATACTATACTATAGAGGCAGACCAAAGATAACCCCATCAAAACGACTGGACGACGTAGCATTTGCCACGGAAAGCCAAACCCGGCCGAGGAAAATAAAAAGGAAAAAATCTATTTTCTTCATTGAGCTTTTCCACTTTTGTCTACTTAAAATTTTTTTTTTTTTCTTTTAATTTTCTGCTATTAATTTAATATATTTTGAGGATTACTGATGTAGCTCCAAAACAAAGTTAAGTAATAATTAATTAATGCACTATGAATTAAGTATTTAGATGACATGTAGGCCTACTTATTGGGTTTTAGATTATACTGTACCATGAAAAAAAGAAAACATTATAGGAAATCATTGGCTGAACATAATTAAAACGGCATCATATGATCCATTTGTAACTAAGTACTCACTAATATTTTAATATTTTTCTCCATGTAATTACAAGTTCACATCTTCCTCCATCTATTGCTCGTTTAATACCCTCCACCATCACTCTATCACACTTCCAACCTCCAGCTAGAGCACATTATCGAAATAAAATTTTTTATTTCAAACAAATATAAATTCGAAATCCCTATTTTTTCAATTATTTTCCAATACCCTTAAATCAAAAGGAAAAAAAATATGTTTCATAAAAAAAATAATAGTATAATAGTGCCTAGCTGAACGTAATTTCTGTTCCACCAGCATAAACATGTTTATGTTAAAAACAAATTTGATAAGAAGCCTTAAGAAAAGGATGCCACAGAAAGTATAACTACCATTCAAAGGAGAATCATGAACCAAGTGATTGCTTCAAAAATGGGCCACAAGTAGTCACTTACTGATCATATTCTAACTTTGAAAATAAAAGAAAAAAAGATTGAAAAATAAATTATTTCACTGATAATCCAATAGGAATGACATAACAAGACTCATTTGGAGTTGTATACAGCAACCTGAGAATCTTTAAACTAGTCTCATTGAATGATTATGCAGTTTGAGCGCAAGGAAACAAAATTGTAGGCAGAAAAATATAATGACTAGATCAAAATGAATGGGGAATAGTATTATTTCCACAAAAAGAAAACGAACAAATTAAAAAAAGAAGAAGAAAAAGAAAACCTTAGTAACAGTTTCTATGGCTATGTATTGTAATTGGTACCCAACAATACAAATCTACAAAGCTTTCGGCATCATAACTCTAATTTGGAACCCCTCCTAGGAACACTTGCCATACTTCTTCAGCAGTCACAAACCCTTGTACTGCCGCATTGTATGCCCTAGGGCTGTGCAATGTCCATCAAAAAAAGTCTAGATGATGTCTAGACAAAGTTATATACCATCTGTCCAACAAGGAAAAGGCTAACCAGGATCTTCTCAGCTAGTTCAGATATCGATTGGTTTTCCAAATATACAAGGATCCTTATGATAAGACTGATCGCACCGAGCATCCATGAAGAATCAATGTATTCCTCAATATTTTACACAAGCACCAGATTTCCATCATCACAAGTGAAATCCACCTGTGCCCAATACAAGTCTGAAAACTGAGCAACTGTTTGTTCTACAAACAACCAAATGAGCACAACTTAGCATGTTCAACAATAAGGCCACTCTCAGTAAATCAAATATCATCATTGTCTAGACAAATTGTAAACAAATTCCCCCTATACTTCAGTATATTTTCAACTAACCTAATGCTTTTATATTCCCCCTATACTCAGTATATTTTCACATAACCTATAAATGCTTTTATATATATACCTAATATATACGTATAATATATATATAGAAGAGATATAGAGAGAGAGAGAGAGAGAGAGCACATACATTTTGATTGAAGGAGAAAAGGTCCAATCAAATATTAAGATGCTCATTGAATAAAATCAGGAGAAGATAATGTCAATTTAATACTCACCTTCTCCCAAAAGTCACATGAAATCACCTTCCCTGAACTACCCTGTAGTTAAGTACTAGATCCTCAGATTTCTTCCATATGTAAGCTTTCACAGTGGCTAAGCTCATGTCCGGAGATAAGACCTGGAAAATGCAGAATAATATCATTAAGCACAAGTACCAAGTATCTACAAGAATGAACGGTTCAACTCCACAGGACGAATAAAACAACTTTAGTATAATTCACATGAATGAAATAAATTATAGTTGACATGTCCAGTTATGATCTATATTGTAATTTCTCATTAGCAGTTTATTTGACAAAATGGAAAGCACAAACAAGAGAGAACAGTTTTGAAAGAAGGACGGATGCCAGATAGGCAGAAGTGCTAACATACTTGCCAAAATAAATAACATTTTCAAAGGCACTTACATGAAAAAAAAAAAAAAAATGCATTCCCATTACCTGATTGTTGCACAAAATCTCTATGGAAGGCCTAAGCTTTTGCCAAGGCTTCAATCCAGTTCTATAGGATCCATCTCCAACTGCTGAATGCTGCAACGGTCCACCAATTCCAGGAGCAAATGCTCCATCAGGATTAACGTTATCCAGCGGTTTGTCAAGGAGCATCTTTTCTACAACGTAATTGACAACCTACATAAACACAGCACCAGAGCATGGTAGGCCATAAACCACTCAAACAGGCAGCAAGAATAGAACCTAACAAAAACTTTAATGTCTATGACATCTTATGTTCAATGTCTTTCAAATGCATGGCTGATGCTATTTTCGTAACCACCAGTGACAATTTCTCTCATCAAAGGTAAAAAATCTTCTCATGTACATCAACTTCCCCTCGTTCTAATTCCAATGACAATTTGGTACAATTTTGTAAGTCAGCTAGTGAATGATAGTCACACCAAAAGCACAACCATGCACATAAAATGGAGATGCGACCCTATCAGTGATCAAATGCTTTGTGACTTGAGATATATTACATGGCTAAGTTGTACTGACCACCCAATACATAAATTGAATAATTTAACACAGTTATTTTAGTTATGTGGGTGCTTCTGCGGCTGATTATTTATTTCAACTTGCATTAATGTTTTATGGTTAAATTTTCCATTTTATCATTAGAAGTTACTTCTATTACAGTACACGAATTATCAGTGAGGCATTATTGGTAAAGGAATTATAATAATCATTTCAGTGAGGTATTAATTGTAAACCCTCAAGATCCCAGTTCTACAATCAACGAATAGTGATCACAGAAAGTAATTTCTATAGTTAAAGGGAGAAATTCTCTTTAGTTTGACACCAATATTTTGACTCTATAGTTCTAGAAGGAAATTAAGTGTCATTGTCTCCTTATATACCAACCCAAACAAACTTGTCAACAGACTACAAAAACATCGTCTTTTTAGATCATTAGTTCTTACATTATAATACATGATAAAATTTTAAAATCATTAACTTAATTATTTCAACAAAGCTAAAACATTAAGATGTTATAATACTAAAAACTTACAAGTTGCTTATTTTAGTCGCATAAGGATATTAGAAGACGAGACTAGTCCATAGTGCACCATCATTTCCCACAATGAAGCAATGTGGGATTTTATCATGATGGAGAGTATTGATGCTGTCTCCTCAAACTGATTTTTAAATAACATTATGTTCTGGAACTATACGATTGTCACAGCAGCTTGCCACTTAACATATACTACGAGGATAATACTATCAAGTTATGTTTAAATTATAAAGGCATATATATCATCACAATTGCCCTTATTTGAAATGAATTAGCGATAATAAGTGTGCAGTCACAGGTTAAGCCAAGAGATATATAACTTGGGCATACACTCAAGTTCAACTCCCCCTCCCACATTCCCAATACTCAAAAAAAAAAAAAAAAAAAAAAAAAACAAGAATAAATTTGATTTGTCACTCTGGGTTCTTTCTTTAAATTAAATTTCTTGTAGTGTACTAAGTGGTACTTAAATTGATTATCCAGAAATTATACAATGCAGATGCGTTAATCCATGGATGATAGTTGGAAAACATATGTATTAAAAGGACTCGATAGTTTCCTTTGTATGACCTTCAACCCAAACACAAATGTATTTCCTTATATCTTTATGAGTCTATAATTTCTAATATTTTACTTGTAGCAGCAGATATTTAAAAAAATAATTAAAAACATGTCTTAAATTTTTTAAAATTAAATCAGTCAAAATTACTTTCAAACTTGCCAACTAGTTTCAGTGCATCACAAACATCAAAAAGCAAATAGGCGTTTAATCAAAATACTGTTTTAAGCTCCCAAGGTAACTAGTGGAGGCATCCAAATTTGTTTGGTCAAGATTGTCCTGCTGCTGTTTATAGTGAGTTGAGTATTAGCCCTTTTTTTTTTGCGGGTTGTGTGTGTGTGTTATATCTTTTTTTGCGGGTGTGTGTGTGTGTGTGAAATGTGGAGGGGGGGCGGGGGGGGTGGGGTGGGGTGGGGGTGTGCTAGCGATTGGGGGGTTGTGGAGTGGCAATCACAAATGGTGGTGTGAGATAATGGGTTTATATATTGGAATAGGGGTGGGGTGTGCTGGTTGGGGGTTGGGTGAGCATAAATGGGTGTGTGAGATATGGGTTTAAATATATATGGATATCCATATAAATGCTAATGGGTTATTACAAACCCAAACCAAACCTGCTCATTTTGCCAACCCATTCATATCATAAATTTTCTTTTATGACTGAACTAAACTCACTCACTTTATGTATCCTCAGTATGCGGGGTGCACTCAATTTGCCTTGGGTGAGGATCTGGACGCCTGAACCTTCACATGGATGCAGATAAAAGCTGCACCTGCAGAAATTCAATAATTTAATTATTTTACCCGGCAAAGAAACATACTCAATCAACTTGGAACATAAACAAGAATGTATTCATTGTTAAAAGCAAATATAAGTCCAAAAGGAAGTATATTCACATAAACATTCCAAGTCATGCAAAATAAATTCAAAGAACAAGAACTCTAATGGCGTACAACAGATACATAGTTTCACACAAACATGCTTCACTATGACTCACAAGAAAAATGTTAATTCAGTGAAACAGACACATTCTAACACACATAGAAGAAGAAAGCAATAAGGTGAAAACATTACTTGGTATTTTCCCTTGGAGGGAGGCGATTATGCAATACACATTCTAGGCACCACCAAGGGAAGTCCTTTTCATCCTCTGTTCCATCTAAATCAGTAACTTTCTTTCTCCAAGGACCTCCTTGAGAACCTTCGGTGATAATCGAAGGAGGGGAAACTGTTGAAAATTCAAATGGAGGATACACCATGGAGTCATTTTCAGCACTACCATCTACCTCAATTCTGGAATGCCCAAGACTTCTCGGAGTAATATCTTTCCCAGATAAAACATCCCCATTAGCTGAAGCTTGAGATCCAAGTCTATGCCTTCTTTTGGCCAACCAATGAGCCAATAGGCCTTTTAGGGTTTCACGAGCCAGATTAACCTGCAATCATGAGTAAATGTAATTATAAATCTGACAACATTAACAAGCCTAATGGTAAGCAATTGGTTCCAGAAATAAATATAAAACTTAGAAGATCATTTACAACATTAGAAGGCCTTCCACCATAACAGAATCACCAATTTGACATTCAGTTATCATTTACCTTATCATCCTCAGGTTTTCCAGCTATGTTAAGGTCTGCAGAATACATCTCTGCAGAAAAGCATTGCGGTGTGTCCAAATGGACAGACAAGCTTCCAAGCCTCGTATCCACAGTGAACCATGCCGGAATGCTTACCTAGATAAGTAAACGAAACACCAGTAAGATCCAGCAAAAGTCCCACTCTATAACTTCAATGCATTCAGGAAAAATTCATCTTAGATACCATTTCAAATAATTGTTCCTTTTTCTCCTCAAAAGACACCTGGAAAAAAAAAATTAATACATTGCACCAAACATGAGCGCACTTATATATGAACAAATAATGATGAAGCATATCCCTGCAGCACCGTAATTACCACTGCTAGAAATTAAGAAAACCATAATGCCAAAAATAAAAACACATATTCACATATTTGTGGAAAGAAAGAGATTTAACCTTTCCATAGTCCTCAACTACAATACCCCTTGTGATCTCCCATAGCTTCACTGAACCAGCAGTATCCTATCAACCAGTTATGATCAATAAGTTTCACAAACTCAAGTTCCACAAAAATTAACACATTTATGTCAAAGCAGGTTTTACCTTAGTCAGGACATGCCTTCTATTATTTAAAATCTCATGTTGCACTATTGCTGGAGTTCCAGGAATGCTCAATGTTGGTTCTTTGTAGACTGGAACCTACAAAATGTCAAGTATTTTACAAAAAAGGTGAAAAAAGTCTGTGTCCAACATCTAGAGAAAGAAAGATTCTATTCAAACAGATCACATATACTCAAGTCAAAACAAAACATCAATATAAGATAAATGTTGGAAAAAGTCGGTACTTTTTTTTTTTTTTTGGGGGGGGGGATATACTCAAGAGTCAAAAACAAACATACAATTAAGATAAATGTGAGAAAAAGTCGGTACTATTTTTTTTTTGGGGGGGGGGGGATAGGGAAAATAGAACCCGACATGCACTACAGAATTGATATTTTTTTTTTTTTTGGGGGGGGGGGGGATAGGGGAACATAGACCGACATGCACTACAAAGAAATTGATACAATCATTGCATGCATGTATTCTTTGGACGGCAAGGCAATTAATAAATATAAGAAACCAAGCATAAGAAACACAAAGAACTATACAAAAATTTAATTGCCCAAAAGATTACTCTATCCAACTTAGGTGTTAGGATTTTTAAGTGAAATTTATGCATTAAGGACACTTACTGGGGTAGATCCTTCTAAAGAAACCCTTGCCCTTGAAAAAGACAAGTTTCCAGCTAAAAATGAACCTCCCCTTTGAAAGACCTTTTGAGGATTGCATCCTTCAGCAGGCCATCTATCAACTGATGAATCTGTTGTTGCAACCCATATGCTATCGTCATGCAATGCCAATTGCAAAATGGGATGCTCCTTGGTGCAAAGCAAAAGGCTCTCTCTTGTTGCCAGGTCCGTCAAGTACAACTAAAGGTATAAACAGAATTGGGCATCAAAAATTTGAGTGTCAAAACTAAAAAATAAAGGGAAATACATGAGAAAATGGGTAGATTTCATCAGTTTGGCTTGCAAGAAAATCTACTTACAGAAAGATCCCTCCCACCGCTGTAAACATGACTAAATGTTGGGGTGCTGGCAAGTGCCCAAACAGAATCTGTATGCACAGCATATGAATGCAAACAACGCTGCTGACCAAGGTCCCATAACCTATAAGACAATCCATAAATAATAAAAGACAAGTTTTAAACATTTAAATGTTCAAGTGGAGCATATAAAATAAAGAGAAGTAAGAAGGCAGGAAGTTTGCAAAATCTACCTGATCATAGAATCAGAAGATCCCGATAAGCAATACCTGAAAGAATGATATTTGGAAACTGTCACTAAATTAACTAAAAAATATAATTACATGAATGAAATATCAATAAGCCATCCAATTGAACCAGCTAAAATGAAGAGCAATTGGTCAAGAAAAGATCAAGCAAACCCAATTGAAAGTCAAAAGCTGTCTAAGCACAATATGATTGACATAAATTTTCAGCTAAAAGATCTAGCTGCAGATCCATTCAACAAACCTGCCAGTAGAATCCAGAAGCAGAGCCCTGATATTATCAGTGTGCCCTCTTAGCTTCATAGTCTTTGAACCAGTTCTTGGATCCCAAACACGCACAACCTATAGGAATAAAGTCAATCCACAAATGATTGTTGCTTGTAATACTCTAGAAAACTTTTCAAACTATTAAATGATTAAATATAAATGTTCCTCAGAAGCTTCATAAATATATATTATTCATATTGCATGCATAAAGTGCATTGGAATAACAAAACAACACATTAATTACCATAATGAAAGAGTATACCTTTTCAGTTCCACCAGAGACAAGAATAGTTCCACTATCATTCATTGCCAATGCGTAAACTGACTCCTTATGGCCTTTGGCAGCAATTGGCACATATCCATGAGGCTGAGTTGTATGCATAGTTATGTTGCTGTTTGAGCTAATAGTGCGCAAACTTGTCATGGGCAATGAATTACCAGAGCCACTGACTCCATTAGAACAATCATCTTCCATTGCGTCATTTGACTTTGAGACTGGAGCAAGTGCAGCTTCAAGATCCCATACGAAAACCTCCCCGCCAAGGCCACCAGAGGCAACAATATTGCCCTAAAATGCATGACACTAGAAGAGGATCAGAAGACGACTTTGATAACAAACATGATTCAAGCATGAAAATAAAATAGCAAGTTGTTGTTCCTTTGATCCAAGCACATAACAAGATCCACAAAAAGGGAAAAAGCTGGCACAGAAATTACATTTTTTTCTGCTCCAGCGAGACAAGTAACATAGTCAGAGTGCTGACGGAGAGTCCTGGTACAATTTCCATCAGACAAGCAATTCCATGTCTGGTATATCACAAAAACAAATAACAAACCAAGTCAACCAACAAGAAAACAACCAATCACTAACCTAAAACTAAATATGGAGATTGACAGACCTTGAGGGTGGTGTCTGAGGAGCAGGAGACAAGTGTACTATCACCAACAAGGACAGCATCATTTACCTACATAATCAGAAATATGCCATTAAACACCCATTTTTATAGTTGCACCTTATGTGTGTAATAAGAATAAATGTAGCACTAATCTTCTGCAAAAAGATAAGGAGCAGTAAAGCATCATATTAGATACTTGTTCAATTAAAGACAAATGGGAGAGAGCAGGTTTTCACATACAACTCTTCTACAAAAAGACCCACGGCTACATAATAATGAAGACATTGCCATAGGGCAAAAGAAGGTACCCAATCGACATGGGACTCAAATGTAGCTAAGCATGTAGCTGAATCTTCATCCACTGCCCATCTCTTCAATGTGCCATCACGACTCCCAGTGAAGAGGTAATCACCCTTATCAGATACAGATGACTTTAACACAGCCAAGCAATTTATGCCAGCACAATGCTGCAAAATAGATATCCAAAAAGAGCAACATTAGTGTTTGTAACTCCATTAACAGTCAAAAATGCTACCTAAACACACAAGTTCTTTAGAAAAAACATTAGTATCTATAATCATTCAAAATTTGCTTCCCAAACACACAAGTTCTTGAGAAAACAAGAAGGATGAAATTGGAGAGAGGAGGTTGCCCTCATTATACATTTGAAATGTCAGTTGCAAATCAAATGGAAGAATATCAGCCTTTGCAAATACATCAAGTTTATGTTGCAGCAAGTATTGATTTAAATTCCTATAAATTTGCAACAGAAGGGAGCACAGTTCCCATCCCTAAATTGATTACAGAAAGATAAAATGGCAAACAACGATGGAGGCCTCAGCATAATTTATTGCTATTATTTAGTAATCAGAACAAATTTACCATAATGAACTTAAAAACATGAGCATACAAGATTTTATATCTAATGTCGGCAGCATAATAGGCAATATTATTATGCTACTGAATATTTTATAGAACACACAGGAGAAGGTATGTAAGGAATATATGTTTAGCAGTATTAACGAGCTAGCAAGAGAAGCACTGAACTATAAATAAATTTTAGATAAGAAATTCAAACTGGAGAGAAGACACAGGCATGGATTTGACACTGCATATACCAATTAGTAAGTGAAACATTTTTGTACCACATCACCAAGAAAAGTGCCGACCACAAAATACACTCCAGCTCCCCTCATTTCCACTCATAACAAATTAATTAATTAATTAACATAAAGCGCACTTACAGTAATAAAAGCAACTTCCTAAATTCAAAAGCTTTGCAGTTCACCAAAATGGACAACATATATAAAAACAAGTACAAGATTGCTTCACCTTTGTATCATCAGCATCACTCAGAACATAAGTAAGCCTCTTCTCTTTACGCGGGCGAACAGAATTGGAATTGTTCCCTGCACTACCCACGCGGTGCATTGCAACAACCCCTAATTTAATACAAATTTGCAATCAGTTAACATAAAACTAAGTAGCAACCATATTTCAATTCCTTCGATATGGTGCTAACAAAATGCACCAATCAAAACTATTTACATCTATTTTCTTGAAGAACTGATCACCTACTCCTTAACAATCAGTACCAATGCTATAATCTGTTCAGAGCTATCCCAATAGGGAGGAAACTACTGGTGTTTAATATTTTCATTTAAAGTGAATAATAACAGAAGCTCTAAAACAAATTCTAAGTGCTTCGCTATGTAAAAATGCTTCTAAAGCTAGATTCCTTGTACAAAGTAACTCTGTACAAATATCACTAACTAAAACTAGAAAATGTAAATCCCAAATAAAAACATATGCAAAATGGGTAGAAGAACATGAAAAGGTGACAATCAAGATCAACCAGGACCAACAATAGCATCACTACCTTACAAAGACAGGAGCAAAACAAAGAGTGAAACTGGTCAATACAAATTTGAATTCATCAGAATGGAACAGTGAAGCCAGTATCATAAAGCATATTATTCCTGATACAGCTTCCATTTCTATTTTATAGCAATAGAGTTGCCATGCTACAATTGTAAGATCATCTATACCAAAATTGCAAGTTACCCCACTTCACGTACCCATATATATCTACGCGTTTTCAGCACAAATGTCAGCTCAATACATACTAAAGCCACAACGCCATAACCAGGGCAGAAGAATATTCTCCAAAACCAAACATTAAAAAAACATAAATATGAAATATGCATATGAAATCGCAAATAAAAATATATAATCACTCGTTAGATAATTTTGAACAAGGTCGTAATCACCTTCTTAATATCCCAGCTGGTCTGTATTGCTTAATTTAAAAACCACTTAAACAAATAATTCATCGAGAAATAAATTTAGGACTCAAGACTAATATTTAGTATTATAAAATCGCCGATAAAAAATAGGATCCAAACCCTAAAAAGGAAAAGATTAAGTGAATGGATAGTTGATTCCGCACACCAATAAGTCAAAACAGAACAAGAGAAGACTGATAATGCAAATAAATTAAAAGGGAGCAATCAGAGTTTCAATGATCGTACAGAGGAAACAAAAATAAGGGGGAGAATTGTGCAGTAACTTACGGGAAAGAGATGGAATTCAAGAGAGAGTAGGAATCTTAATAGTGTTTGATTCAATAGATTCGAGAGTTTAAAACCCTAGAAATTGTTGTGATTTTGTCTGTGCTTTGTTTTTATTATCTTCGTCAAATTTCACATAGCGAAGGAAGAGGGAGAAGAAGAGGAGAGATTTGGGAACAGAAAATCATAAACAGACTTTTCTCTCATAAACTGAACGGGAAAGTGTAAGTCAAAGGTAAGCCTAAGCCTGTGAAATCCTTATCTGTCAATTTTTTCGCTCGACGACGTCGTGCATTTCTATGTTTGAGATCTAAACATTCACCGTAGCATTTGATAATTTTTTAAGATTTTAGGTGTTGTTCCTGTCCATAAATATTTTTTTTCAGCAATAAAATTTAAGGGTGTCTTGTCCTTAAACTATTATTATTATAATTAATTATTTTAATTCATGATACTGACCTTAATATCGTTTTTTTAAATATATATGATATAATTCTATTGCATTATTATTTTTAATATAAATTACTCGCCAATCAAATGCAATCACTTATAGTTCGAGCCTTCTGCACTATAAAAATCTTATAATCTCATTTCGGTTCATTGGGTCTCCCATATATATTAAAATTATTATTTTTATCTTTCTATGTATGTTATAATATTTATAAGATCATATGTTATGTAATATATACCCCAAATCACAAAATAATTGGTTATAAAAAGACACAAACTGTTCAAAAAAAAAAAGGAAGAAGAAGACACACATTCCAAAATAATTTTCCTAAATTTCTCTCATTTTCATTGGGTTTGATAATTATAATTTGTATATCACTGTCACGATAAAACAAAATGACAATTACAAGCAATGATGACATATGCATGCTTGATACTTCATTTTCTGTCTGCTCTTTTTTTCTATGGAGATCATTTGCGAATTGGATGAATTACTATCAATTTTTATAATATAGACAACAGACAAATGCGTTAATCAAAATTTTTTATTTTTCAAAAATTAATTAAATAGTTCTTACATTTTTAATTTTTTACTAATTTTCTATTAGTCATCTACATAAAAAAAATCAATCAAAATAATGAAAAGAGTAATTTATTCCTAACTTGCTCTTAATTTTAATCACAGTAAAATTAATGCGATGGTGATAAAATGTCAGAAGTTACCATAGTTACTAGAAGTAAATAGTGAACCCTATAAATTATTACTGCAACAACAACTTTAATAAAAAAGGGGGGGAGGGGGTAAAACTAAAATGCCATGCCAAATGGCAGGTGGCACGTGGAAGCAGTCAGTCGAAGAGGCAGTGTGCCGGCTAGTTTGAGTAACTCAGACCACCATCAAATGGGTGCAGAGCCCGCACCCATTTAGCTGCAAAAACCAGTAGATGTGGGCTTTGGATTGTCTGTGTGTAGGATGGTGAGAGATGGAAATTACATAATTTGTAATTCGGTTTTTAAATTCATACTATATTCAAGGGGTTGGTAAGGAAATTTTGATATCTAAAAAGTAATATTGTAATGGCCAATAGGATTTGACTAATTGCCACATAGCGATGTCTACGTGTTGAAGCACATTGAGTGTTGGGTTCACGTAGTTTTTGCACTGTCTATTAAATTTTATTTATTGGGTCTTTGACTTTGCTTTACAAACTAGGAATTTTTCTTTGCACCTCTAATTTGAGATATGCACAGTACCCTTCTTCTGACATTCTCCTGTTTTGACAGAGAAAAAAGAATGGATGGGCAATACTGTAATAACATAATCAATCGGAGAGTTAGATCTACCCAGAAAATTAATTAATTACTACTAATAAATATGAAAATAAATAAAGGAAAGGGTTTGCTTTAAGAAGATTCTAAGTTCCAAGTCCCAACAAGTAGTTATCCAGTGAGAAGGAAACCCATGACTTCAAATAAACGAACAACTTCCAATTTTAAAATCCAACGGCCCAAAACGTACTCTGACCCCCTCAATATTACAGCTTTACCGTTAACGCCAAGTCTCAGTCTGTAAAACAAAATCCTCAGAATCACGAGTATCCCAACGCCAAAGCTCCGACAAATCTAATCCTGCCGCGTCAGCAAATGTATGTGGAAATCCCCACTTTTTTTAATCAAAATTAGTAAATCAACGCCCCCACGCCAGTTCAGCAACCTTAAATTTCTTCCATTTTAGGCAGGTTTAAGTTGTTCTCAAGATATATTAATCCAGTTAATATTACTTTCTTTTTAATTAGCAGCCAAGATATATTAATCCATTGCCTATGAATATTACTTTCTTTTTCCATAATTCTTTTTCTACCATATTATTTTTCAAAAATATATATTTATATAGGTTCAAAACTTAAATTCAGTGGTTATTAAGAGAGTTTTTTTTAAATATCACTGTTAGTTTTTTTTGTATAATCAAGAGATTTAATTCCGTTTGATTTAAAGATTTTTTATCCTTGTTAATATCAGAAATTGAATTCGGATTCTCACCTTTGAGGTCGTTTACTATCTTAATAAACACTTCTTAAACCAAGACGATAACATCCAGCTTTTTTAAAATAGTAGCTTTTGTATATCACTCTATTTGGAAACAACAGCTTTTTAAAATGTCATTTTACATAGAATTTGATATTATAATGTTTGAATTAATTACTAAAATAACTAATAATTTTTAAAATAATTAATTTTGCATAACAGAATTAATTAATGAATCAGTCCTTTTATATGCTAAAACTCCTACCAAGTTTTGGGTGGTGACCACCGGCGTTAAGTACTATATTGTCTACAAATACAATCACATCAATTAGGACTTTGAAACAAGTTCCTCAATTTCAACGTTAGGTTCTATAATAAAGCTTAAAAAGCTTCACATTTCCACATTGATTCCCCTCTTGCCCCTACCCTCCATACGCTCCTCCATGAAAAATCAATACTCTACAGTTCATTTTTTTTATATATAGATCTGAATGAAGTGAACTGGACCAACCATAGAATAATATATCTCACTGCATTTTCACTTTTTTATTGGCCAATTCATTTTGGACTTGAATAAAGACTGTACAAAAAACACTTTCACGCCTCTTAATCAGACTCCAAATATTGTTCAATCATTGCAAATAAGTTCTTGGGCTTCTCAAATTTCTGGGGTTTTTGAGAAATTTATGCTCAGCTTTTGACTTCTTTTTGTTTTTCTTGCTTCAAGTCCTAGGGTTTCCTTATTTCTTGGGGTTCTTTTGAAAATTAAGTTCACTGTCTTTCTGTCTTTATGATAAATGGGATTTTATTAAATTTCAGGTTTTTTATTGTTTTTGAGCTCAGTTCTTGTATAAAGGGTTGAGTGTATTTGATTCAGCTCCATTTATGCTTCTTCAATCTTGATTTGTTAGATATTCTTGAAGTTGCTTTTGGTGTTCTGTCAATGTTGAAGTTTCTTCAAATAGATTAGTTGTTTTAAATGAAAAACAATTCCTCTTATATCAGTTGTTGTAAGTTCTAGTCGTGTGACTTGTGTCTAACTTCCCCTCTTCATTTTCAACTTTGTTTCTGCTGGGGTGTTTTCTAAGGAAAAGGAGTGTACTTGTTCTATGAATATTGTTGCTTCTGTAAAAGGGTCTGCTTTTTCCAGTTTCGTTAGTTGAGAAATGTTCATTTCCACTGAGGAGGAGAAGCAGATCTCATTGCCTCTGGACAATGAGAAAGGGTCAATAAAATCATCCCCAATGGGATCAAACCTGGATTATCTTGATGGAATGCCACTGGAAACTGACTTGCTGGATTTACCACCACCACTTACAATATACACTGATGTTAATGTTGTTCCTGAGCAGGAAAAGAATGAGCTTGAGCAATCTATATCAAATCTAGAAGGTATATTTTTCTTAATTTCTCTGGATATTTATTTAAGCCAAGTAACAGCAGATTGCTGTTTCAGCCTTCAGTTTGTAGGCAAATAACAATGATTTTCTTAATTCGAGTACTCGAAGGTCTTTTACATTTAAAAGTTTCCTTTGTTTAATTGATTTTGCATGACAAAATGCAGAATTGAGACAAAAGGAAAGTTCATTGGACAAGAAGCGAAAAGAAGCATTAAATAAGATATTAGATATCAAAGGTAGTTATTTATTGTTTGCTTCAAACTTTTTTTTTTTTTTTAAATCATCTTTTTGCTTACTGAGAAATTTTCAGGCTGTATTAGAGTATTTTGTCGGATTAGACCATTTCTGCAAACAGAGATAAGAAGAATTCATGAACCAGTGACAATTGGGTTACAGAAGGTTGTGGTTAAATCTGTTGGAAGTAGGAAGGAATTCAGATTTGACAAGGTTTTCCATCAATCAACCACTCAAGGTTAGTGACTAGTATTCAATTTCACATTTTCTTTTGGGTTCCATTTTTTTTTTTTTTTTTTTTTTTTTTTTTGGGTTCATTTTTTTTTTTTTTTTTTTTTTTTGTTTAGAATGGTATAAGTCTTAATGCTTGCTCCGAAAACATTAAGAGGAATGTTTTTGCTGAACGGTGAACCAATCTAAGATCTGCACTTGACGGGCACAACGTTTGCAATATTGGCTTATGGTCTTTTTTTTTTTTTTTTTTTTTTTTGTTTAGAATTGTAGTAAGTCTTTATGCTGCTCGAAAACTATTAGAGGATGTTTTTGCTGAGGTTGAACCAATTCTAAGATCTGCACTTGACGGGCACAACGTTTGCATATTGGCTTATGGTCAAACTGGGACTGGCAAGACATTTACAATGGTCAGTGACAGATTTGAAACCTGTTACCCTTGCATTGATGATGTTGATCTTTTTTGTTGAACCATTGAGTGTTAAAATATTTCACTAGGATGGTACAAAAGACCAGCCTGGGATCATTCCTCGGGTACTGGAGGAGCTGTATTGTCAAGCTTCTATGGACAATTCATCTTCTACAACATTTTCCATGAGCATGTTGGAAGTTTACATGGGAAATCTGAGAGATTTACTGGCTCCAAAAACAACACATAGAACATATGACACTGCAGCAAGATGGTAACTATTAAGTCTCTCGGTGTCTTTGACGAATCGTTTACTTATGTATCATATTAAAGGCTTTTTTATAATTTGTTGCTTCGTTGGTTTGGCTAACATCACCGCAGCAATCTCAACATCCAAACAGACAAAAAAGGATTAGTTGAAATTGAGGGTTTGACAGAGGTCAAAATCCCAGATTTAGCAAAAGCAAAATGGTGGTACGCCAAGGGGAGACGGTCTAGATCTACTTCATGGACTAATGTGAATGAGGCATCAAGCAGATCACACTGGTGGGTTGGGAGCCTTTTCAAATTTCTGAACTTATTGGTTTAATTAATCTGGTTTGATAATTACATTATCTGTTTAGTTCTATATGTCTAGCTTAACCAGAATCAACATTTCTCATCACGGAGATGATTGGAAAGCCAAAGCAGAAATAAGCAAATTCTGGATGGTGGATCTTGGAGGTAGTGAAAGATTGCTGAAAACAGGGGCCACAGGACAGACACTTGATGAGGGAAGGGCCATAAATCTCTCTCTTTCTGCTTTAGGTGATGTTATTGCTGCTCTTAGAAGAAAGAGAGGCCATGTGCCCTACAGGCAAGTCCTCAGTTGGTTTTACCGTTCATTTTTAATTATCTCTTCCTTTTTCTTTGATAAGCTGGTAGTGGGTCCCTAGTTACTTTTGTTGTGATACACAGGCTGTAAGTTTTTACTTGCAGCTAAGATACCAGTTTTGGGATTTCTCTTTCATACTTCCATCAGGCAATTTGTAAATTTCACATCTTTTGTTGCAGAAATAGCAAGCTAACTCAGATCCTCAAAGATTCATTAGGTAAGCCACTACGCTCATCTAATATAGTTGCGATGCATTTCCTTGTTTTAACGGCCATGGGAATAACAAAATTGCTGTAGTTCATTGACTTTTCTTTTTTACAGTAACTAACTACCTTAAATGAATAGCCTCACTTATTGGAGGTTTGGGACCCAGTGAATACAGGCAATGACATAATCAAACTTGAGGTGCATTAGTCATGCATCCTGTAAAAGCCTGCAATAAAAAGGAGCTATTTCTTTGTGACTAAAATGTGCCTAATATTTCCTGTTTAAGTAGCTTTTTCACATAGCTTAGAAAATTCTTGACATTTCCAAGTTCCAATCACTTTAGGTGACAGTTCAAAAGTTCTAATGCTAGTGCACGTGAGCCCTTGCCAAGAAGATGTTGGAGAGACAATCTGTTCTTTAAGCTTTGCAAATAGAGCAAGAGCAATCGAAACTAATGGAGAACTGCCAGAGGTGCCTTCTCAAAAATATAATTCTAAAATATCGGTTTTCTTGAAAAACAATGTTTATAACTATCATTTGTATATGTGCCTATAATTAGGATATACTCAACCTAAGGCAAAAAAAGATCTTGGAACTTGAAGAGGAAATGAGAGAAGCTGAAGAGGAATGTCAGGTTATCAGAAATCAAATACAGAAGGCTGAGTTCCTATTAAGTGAAAACAAAAATCTTATCTTAAGCACTTATCAAGTTCCTGAAGAGAAGGAAAAGACACCTAGAAATCTGAAAGAAGATAATGTGGTTGTCAATGAAACTCCTGCAGTTACCGACAATAGAGTAAGAAGAACCATGCGGTGTTCTCTCCCTAGATTCATGAATCCTACTGTGGCTAGTCGTCAAAGGCAAAGTGCTTCTGAAAAGGAGATTGTCAGAAGAGCCAGAAGTTTCATCTCAGGGACAAGAACTTCAGTGCAATTTTCTGGTTCTCAGTCCCTCAGTTATTCAGACATTCCTATCAAATCAATTTTACAGGATTCAAACAGAAAGTCACGGTTTGGTGAAGCGAAAACCATCCTTAAAGAGAGTCTAAAATGCAATGGCTCAGATTTGAAGACAGCTTCTTTACCTAGAAGCAACATGGTTACTGCATCAGATCCAAACTTGAGAATTACACTTTGTCGTCATAGAAGAAGAATGTCTGATCTGATCTGATCTGAGGGGAAAGAAAACTGTTATTTTTTTTTTCCTTTTCTGGTGTGCTAACTTGTGTAGGTCTATTGTAAGGTTTCATAATTTGATCAGAGAAAAGTTTTTTAGGGTGACTTGTGTGTCAAATATGTGTTGTATTTTAGTGCTGGTTTTCTTAGGCTTGTTGGGATCTGTTAATTTTATATACATGATCCCTGTCATCACATGGTTTGGGGTGTTTTAGGCTTGATGGGAATTGTTAATTACTCATTAACGTGATCATTGTAGCTTGATGGGAACTGTTAATTACTCATTAATGTGATCATTGTAGCACTGTTATGATTTATTTAGAATATGTTTGCTGCAAGTTTTACTGTCTCATTGTGGGGTCAGCATTTGCTGATCTAGATGTGAGCTGTTCCATACTTCTTTGTTGGCCAGATTTTGTATTGCAAAATACAATGCATCTACCGAGTGCATTTTCTTGCAGCTAAATCTCAAAATGTCTACAGCTGTTCCTGTTTATTTAAAAAGAGAATATGAAACAGCATGCTGTATCTCTTATTTAAGTAACCAAGGCATGCATGTAAATGTTTAGTTCGCAAGAATAGATGTGAAGAATCTTTAGGACTCATTAAGGCAAAGGAAATGATGTTTCTCTTGACATAGTTACTCTAATCGTTCTTTATTGGAAAGGATACTGACAGATGGATGTGACACTTTGACCCTTTAAATTAGAAAGGAATATGCATTCTAGCCTCTGGGCACGTACGCACTGATGCCCAAAATTGAGTTAGAGAAAGCTGTCAAGGTATTTACCAAGGTTTCCCCTAAAAATTTTATGGAATCTGATAAAGCTCTCTAATGGATTCTCTATAAATTATAAGAAGTCATGAACTTTTTACAATCTACTAAATTTCCTTCTGCAGATGAAATCACAAATCATGTACTCGAGCACAGTAATTAAAGAGGCAAGAACAAGCTGCCAATTTCCAAGTAACTTTCATGAAACACCAGATAGGCAAACTAAAATAGAAGCAATAAAATTATGCAGATAGAATTAAGAAAGAAGTACATAAAATAAAGGGAGAATAAGGACCTAGCAAGTACTACCACTTCAGCTTTTATAGTATAAAGACGGGAATTTGAATAAGAAGCTGCTGATTTGAGCAGTTTCAACTTCCAAAGGAGACTAGCCTTTGAAATGATGTTAGCCAAACCTGAAAATAAACATACTAAGACTCGTGCAGAGCCCTAAGGATGATACTAAACAGAATAAAAGAGCAATAATTATCTGAATGCACATTAACAACCTATTTATTTTACATCAGACCCAAAAAAGTCATCAATGAATAACAGAGCCTGCTAATTACGATCTATCTGTGCAGTGCATATTTCCACCTTGTTTTAATGTTGTAAAGATAATGCAGTACTGAAATTAACTTAAATCCCCGAACTAACTGCATGACATCAATCATTTGCTGGTTTGGGTTTTCTCTATAAAGGATTCTGGGGGCATTTTTTAGTATAAAACTCTGCTGCGTCTTGAAATGCAAGACTGATAATCAGATCATCCCTTCATTCTTTGTCTTTCTCTTTCTCTTTTTATTCTCGACTATTGGGGGAGGAGGACTTGAAGTCTTGAACCTGGATTCATGCACCAATCATAGATGCACTAATGGCTAGGCGCGCCTACAAGTGCAAATTACATGGGAAATCCTCTCCACTTTGCTTGTAACGTACAGCAACATTTAGAATAACAATATAGGTTAGTTCTAAACAAGCTGACCAAATTACTTACCATACCCAGATTTTAAAGAGGAAACACAACGTCAGCACATTGTTCAGTGAATAAGAGAAATTCAGGCTTGTGAAGTACAGGAAGACATTTGCATTTCACATCACAATTTCAAGCAATGACAAGATAAAAAAATTTCTTATAAAAAGAATTTTTATGTTCCATTGATATGTTTTAAATTACTAATACATAATTGGGCGAAAGAATCCCTCAACTCTATCATCAGTGCATCCTAAAATCAACGTTGTATACAAATTTCATCCCTGGAGGATACAAGGTCTCAAATTCTGTCCACAGACAGATAACCTGACCGGATAAAAATCTGCAAGATCATTGACTCTCCATTGTACTTTCAACTATCAACAGCATAAAGATGAGCAAACCTCTGAAAAATGTTGAGGTAAGTAATCAGAAACAGCAAATCATGCATAAAACAGCCAGGGCGGCTTCAATCTTGCATCATCATTACCCAAAGACAAGACCAAGAAATCTATATTATGCCCTTCTTAAGCTTTGAACCTTTTAAATTCAAACCAAATCTCATAGTGATTAAAAAGCAAGCTATCATGGGTATGCTTCCCCAGATATTCAAGCCCCAAACTTGTCAGCCTCTTAGTACATTCCTCACCTCCTAATCTTGAACAGAACTTTATATTATGTGACACGAAGATTCGCCCATCATAAGGTTTCAACTTGCTCGCTAAACGTTCTAATCCAGCCCAGACAAGATTATCGGGCATGTGAAGAAACACAGCACTAGCATATATCAAATCATATTCAATTCCAGAACCAAAATTTGAGAAATTCATATCTTCTCCTCGCACAATCAGAGGTCGCTTGTGTAAAAGACCCTGAGAAGGAAGCTCATACCTAAACGCAGCCATTAGAGAAAGCTCATCCCTTTCAAGACAATGGTAGTGTTCAGGGCTAAGATACCGAATAAAATGCAAGCCAACGCGTAGTGTCCCGCACCCAATCTCAAGCACTTTTGAGTTGGGAGAAAGGCGGGCGGATTCAGCTAAGAATTCGAACACATCTCGCCCACCTGCCCAGGGCTCTCCGTAGTTGCTATGGTGCTCCTCCACAAGGAGCTCACCAGGGCAAGGAAGTGCAGTATGATTACCGGATTCTGGCTCCTCATAATGCGATATCCCCTTGTATCTGAAAAATATCAGTCAATCAGTTAAAAAAAAAAAAAAATTGCTGAAATTATGGAGCACATATGGATATAAACCTGCTCTTAAGTTCTTTCTAGAGCACATCAAACATGCGCAGAACAAATATCATAAATCACTATTTTAATCACTGACAAAATGATGAAAAATATAAAGGCTAATCCTAAAAATACATAAAAAAAAGCAGAAATACACGGATTACCTCGACTGAACATAAAAATACAATTCTTTATAGTCAACATTAATCAATAAAAATCCCATCTTTTTTCACACCCAAACGAAACCCAATAACCTAAAACATCAAATACATAAAAAGAGCTCTTACTGAATAAGATCTTGTAGTTGTTGAGCCCTAGTGCGCGGGTTAATGCCCTTACGAAGAACATTATCTTGCATATGCAATCCATTCTCACGGATCTGATCCTTAACCCACTCAATATCTTCCTTTGTCGGCGATATTCTCTCTTTAACCACTCCAAATTCTCCACCGTCAGAACCGACGCCACTAACGCGTTGCAAAGTAGGAGCAGAAGCCGGACAGTCACAGTATGATAGAGAAGACAAAAGAAAGAACAACATAATAGTTGCCACCGAAACCGAAAGAACCAGAACTGGCACTGTTATCACTATCCCCTTTTGTGTCGGTGCTGTAGATGCAAAGATAGCCATCAGTTTTTCACTTCTTCTTCTTGTTCTTTATCTCCCTCTTTCACTGGCTCCGTTTTTGCGGGACTGTCGTTTTTATTCTGTTTATTCTTTGTTTCCCAATTATCTAAGCTCCATTGGTGTAGTAAATGCGGTTCATTTGCTTAGATTTGATTGGTATGGGTGCCTTTTTGTTTATTATTGTTATTGCCAACATTGGTCTTGAATTGTTCAACTTGCAATTATTAAAAAATTGCAAATGTCTATTAATAATTACACCTTAACCAAAATATATGGATAAATTTTATTTAACACCATAATTTTTGATTTATTGCAAATTAGACCACTTATTAGCCTAATTTTTAAATCTAAAATCACATGAAAAAGTTAGTAATTTTCTTATAAATTGAAGTTTAATGATGGCATTGAAAATGGCAATGTAGTTTCTTTCTTAAGGAGGAGAACTATATACTGCAAAATATCTAAATTAAATATATTTAGCAACATATATTTAACTTATATATGAAAAAGTTTAGTAATTTTTCTTATTAAATTGAAGGTTTAAATGATGGCATTGAAAATGGCAATGTGTTTTCTTTTCTTAAGGAGGAGAACTATATACTGCAATATCTAAATTAAAATATATTAGCAACATATATTTATTATATATATATATAATATATATAATATATATTTCATCTTTTTTTAAGGGCAAAAATTTCTATTTTATATTTTTAATTACTTAACTGAAAAATAAGTTTTTTGGTAATACATCATGAGCTAGCCAAGCAGAGCATATTACATTTACGAGCGAGGCTGTTGTAAGACATGGAAAATAAGTAAATTATTTAAATAAGAAATAAAAAATAAATTTAATTCTAAGTCCTAACTCATAAATTTCACTAAATTATAGTAGATGCTAAATTATCCTAAAACCCTAACGTCGACGATAACCAACAGTGCAACTACCAGCTTCTTATTCTGAATCGCTATGCATTGTCCAAGGTTTCTGACCACCATTTCCAAGCAAAGCCCTAAATCCCTCTTCTTCTTCTCCTCCACCGGCTACTGTCAGCGTGAAACTTACGTATCTCCGTCACAGTACCGGTTGATTTCCTCCACCACATCTGTGGGCTCATGGATGGACTCTATCAAAGGAGTCTTCACTGGCAAAAAGGCGGATTCTAAAGAGTCTGTGGAATCATTCACTCTTCTCTGTAAGTATTACTATTGGGTCCAAAGTTTTATTCTTTTTCATTGTAATTACTGATTTTATTTGTTAGCGTCCCAAATCTGATTTTTGTTTTAGATTTCGCTGATTCGTTGAAGAATGCAAGAAGAGTCGGGTCATTCAAGCAATTTATAGTGGGTCGAAGCAGTGAAGCTACCTTTTCTGATGCTTTTGAAAAAATGGAGGGGATTATTAGATATCTTAATGCTTTTGATCCTACCGGAGAGGTTGGTTTCTCTCAAATCTCATTGCTTTATCGGTCTTTATTTGCCTATTTGTTTTGAAAATTTTTGTAAGTTTCTTGTTGGTAGTTTTCCTGATAATGTTTTTAGGTTTCTTGATTTGTAGAACCTTCAAACTAGTCAAAAGCAAGAAGCAGCAAAGCACTGTAATTGCACAATAGCTGATGTTGAGAAGGCACTTGCACAGTTTACATGGGCCAAAGAAGCACAAAAGAAACTTCTGAAGTTAAAGGAAGAAGGAAAACCTGTACCAAATAGCATTGCTGAGGTACTAAAATATCAACTTTATTTTGGTTGTTATACTGCTTTAATAGGTCTGCTTCATGCTTATGAGCGATCAAGATATATGGATGATTGAACTAGGATTGCTAATTCGTCAATCTTCAGTGATAGAGTATTGTGGGTTAGAGTTACTGAAACTGCAGTGTTGTCCTCTATTGTTATCTGGTGAAACAAATGCATAATTTGGTTTAAATTATTTTTTGCCTAAAAATTTCATGCAAACCTTTTTCGCTATCATACTAGACTCTCTGGCTCGAGCAATTTTATACTTTTCACTGTAATATATTTTTTTATGAATTTGCAGCCTGTAGGGTTTCTTTAACCTATTTCTGTATTTGCCTGATATAATGATATATCTACAATTCATTAGGTTGTCTCATGGTGATCACTTCTTCTATGCATAGTTGTTGATCTTGGCCTCTAATTGTTCATGTAACAAGCCCAAAGCTAAACCCACCTTCCCCAGTAGAAGGAAGGTGCTGTTATCTGAAATTAGTTTGGCTCAGTCAGTCTTTCATAGATTCAAGTATTAGGAATTGGTTAGCTTGCTAGGATCTTCATCTATTTTGTATTCACTCGGGTTGAACCTGTTTGAAGCAGAAATATTGTGTTAACATGCATGCTCAGGCAATTAAGCTGAAATTATTTTTTATGTATCTTAGCCTTTTATTCTGGAAAAAAAAAGAAAAATTTTGACATCACAATTAGATACGTGATAGATTGGTTGATGGGTAGTTATTGTTTTCAAGCTAAATGGTCCGATTCCAGTTGCCAACTTTATATATTCAAGTTTCTTTAATGTGAAGTGGTCAATTTTCTGATGGTGAATTTTTGCACTCGTTTTTTAATTCAAATGAATTATCAATTGTGATTTATGTCTTGTAGATGCAAAAGATGATGGGGTCAACTCCTTTAGACCTTGCTAAGTCTAATTTGGCTAAGAGTGGGCAGTTAAGCAGAAATGCCCCCTGCCCATGTGGTTCCAAGAAGAGATACAAATGGTAACTTGATGCTCCCAATTCTTTGCAATGTGACTGTATTTGCTAGATTTTCTTTTTTCTGAAATATTTTTTGTGCCTGTTGTGTAGAAGATAGAGTAACGTTGATGGTGTGCACTCTGAAATATTAATCCTGGCACAATTACTTGCATCTGCATATGTTTGATGGCTCCACTTTCTTTTTAGCTTGACTACATTTCTGGGTTTCTTTTTCAGAGCTTTTAAACAAAAAAAAAAATATATATTTTTTCTGAAAAATAATGTCTTTCTACTGATGAGTTCTTCCAGACATACAAACAGAACTAGCCTATTTGTAGATGTAAATATTCGTCCTAAGAAAAGCTTTATTTAAAGATGTCTATACTTTTAAAAATCAAAGTACTCCCATAGTGTTGACTTCTAAGCATATGGAATCTTTATTTGCTTGAAAGCTACTTGCCCATTACGGGCAATAGTTGCAAGGTCTTACCAAAATTCTATGCGCATGTGGTATACATTACTCAGCTTGGAATTCTTTATGTCTTTTCCCACCAGAAACAGGTTGAAAACTGTGAAAATATCATTTCTTTCTCATTCAATAGTGTTGGTGTATGAAGATAGTTTAGCATGCACATGTTTAGATGCTCTTGTTTTGTCATTTAAATTGATTAGCTGATTTGTGCTCATGTACCTTATGATGAAGGTGCTGTGGAAAGGATTCGAAAGTTTAAAAGATGAAATGGAAGAAGCGAACTCAGGACTGTGTATTAGATATAATGAAGATCCTTGAAGGTGGGAGAAAATGTCTGCAGTTTCAATAGCACCCGTTTTTTTGATTAATTTTGCATAAATGAGTTTTCCTAGGAATTCCCAAGAACTTTCTCTACCCTCCCTCCCCGCATACCATGAGTCTCAAGTGCATTTTACTCGACTGTTCCAACATTTATTTTCACGTTCATGGTATGCTACCACTAGAGAATGTAAAACAGTGGCATTTACAGAATTTTGAACCTTATTGGGGGTTTTATTTTTCTTCGACATTAAACTGAAGTTTTAATAGACAGTCTACGAATTTTATGACTGCTTGTTAATTCATAAGAAGATACTGCTGCTTCGTAGATATCCTCTGGAAGTGCTAAGCCATGGATGGGGGCATATTCAATTTTTTTTCCATCACCATTTTTTTGAAATTTGAAGTAGTCATCTTATTCTAAGTGCTTCACACGGTGCCTGATGAATCAGACAGAATTTGGCAAGTGGAAACAAAGTTCAAGTGTCGTCTTAAATCTCTTCTAAGATTCCATGATATGGAATCCCACATGAAGCACAATCCAACCTGTGATCAGACCCACCCACTCTGAAATTTTTGTGTGAAGCACAAGGTTGGTTATTTTATTGGCAACTGTAGGAGCACAATGCTTCTAAGCTGCCTTTGTTCTTTAATGCTACATGTGGAAATTTATTCATCAAGTATCCCAACTTTCTGCCTTTTGGTCAGTGTTAAAAGGGTAATAAATTTCATGCCATTTAATCTATTTACTTGGGTGATATCCCTTCTTATATTGTTTCCTAAAATTGTACGAACAGTACTCTAGTTGTTTTGAATGTTTTATAATTAGAAAATGTAAAATACCTTAAAACAATTATCAAATAAGTTCTAATCTATATTTGTAATACAATATATTTCTTAACGGTAGATTAAACAATAATGTCAACAGTACCGTTAAGCGATTGTATTTCAATATTTTGATAACCAAAATTAAACTACTTGTAACTAAATGTGAGTTGGTCGGAGTGGAAGGGTTCTGGTCACTTTAAATAAGTGATCCTGAGTTTGAGTACCTTGGAGGAAATTAGTCTTCATGGTCACGGAGATACCCATAATGTACACAAAAAATAATTGAATTCAATTGCCTTTCTCTCCCATTACAATTCCACTATGAAAAGCAAATGTTAGCATTAATCACTACCCACTATTCTTACTCATCTGATGCAATGATGCTTGCCTAAGCATGTTGTAACCCAAATTTTAAGTGTGTTACAATTTGTTTATACTAAACTAAAATATAGTATTGACTAAAAATAAGATTAATGAAGATTAAATACATGGATTTCACTGTCTTGGAATAAAATTTAGTTAGGTGCATGTCATAATAATGCTTACTTTTGGATAATTTACTACTATAAAACTGGCCATAAATTCAACAGTTTGGAAAATTCACCATTCTCTTTTCTAAAAGATGCTGAAGTGGTTTGTCACTTTAATGATTCTAACTTAATTCTTGTTCTCTAACATTCTGATTCTTGAGAAATAGCATTATAAAATTACAGATTCATCATTCCACTATCGCTTGATCTTTGCATCCTTATCCATAATGAAACTGGAGCTTATAAATAGCACCCTCAGTTTTCCGAAATTAAGCCTTACTAAGAGAACATAAAAGAAACTCAAAATTCACTCTTAAGATGGTGAAGCTTTTTCCCTTCTACTTCTTGCTCGTCCTCCTCATCTTTGCCTATGGTAAAAATTCATGTTCAATTAAGGCAGTAATTTTTTTTTTTTTTTTTTTAAGTTTCAGCACATGTAGAACTCGTTTGAAACTGGCGAGTCTGACTTTCAAGTTAGTGAACTTGTAAATAAGTCACAACTTTTTTCAAAAACTATAAAATTGCATACTAGTTGTATTCAAGCTTAATTCTTTAAGTTTGAGCTAAACTAGAATATATTTAAATGAGCGAAATTCAAGTATAACAAAATTCAGATTGGTTGGACTCTTTTACAATCTTATATTCTCTATTTTTATGATGTTTGATAAAGTAATGTGAATTTGCAGATGGGAAAGTGGAGGTGAAGCTCAAGGCAGAAGCAAAGGACTGCCACAAAGTTTGGAACTGCAAAGGAGGCAATAGTTGCTGGGCAGACTGCAAAAACAAATACAATGGGATGGGTCTCTGTGATTTGTACACTGCACCCTCTGTTCCTAAGCAGTGCTTTTGTGCATACAAGTGCTGATTCTCGTCAATCAACCTCCAAATTTCAAACTATAACTTTAGTTTCTTCTTGTTATGTGGAAGCTAAGATGTAACTACATGTTAATGTTATCATGTACCTATATTGCCATCGTTTTGTGTACTCTGCGTCCATCACGTTTCTTGTTCAACTAATATAAATATAGTAGTAGTACTTTCTCTGTTCTGTTCTGTTAAATTTGATATATTTCCATTTAGATGATATGTTAGAAAATCAAATTAGCATTAACAGTTTCTTTTAAGCTGCCTATCAGGGAAAATTATTATTTCGTCCCTGAGGTTTTACATAATTATTTAAGTAGTTCTCGACATTTATACATATATTTATAACATCCCTGAGGTTTGCTACCGTCATATTAATTGGTCATTCCGTAAAAAAAATAGTCATATTAATTGGTCATTCCGTAAAAAAAATATACTTTTTCCGTTAATTTTGAGAAGAAAAGACGAAATTATCCTTTGGAAAAATAATTATTTCGTCCCTGAGACTTGCCATCGTTATTAGGTAGTCTCCTACATTTATATAAATATTTATAATGTCCTTGAGGTTTAATTTCGTCATATTAATTGGTCCTTCCATAAAAAAAAATTTTTTTTTCCATTAATTTTGCGTGGAAAAGACGAAATTATCCTTTATAAGTTTTCATTGACATTATTATTAATCACTTTCCTCTAAAATACCTAAAACTCACATTTTTACCATCTTTCTCAACCCAACGCGTTTCTCAACCCAACCGGTCTTTATTGCCAAGAAAAACCCCCCACACCGTGTCAATGAAAACTATCATCTCCATACCAGATCACCACCAAAACTAAAACACCCACATCCAAACTCAAATCAAGCCATCATCACCCTTCATTACCATTTATCTCTCTCCTCCCTTGATTAGAGGATTTAGGTTAGTTTTGTAAACATTCCTATTGAGTCGAAGTCTTTTCATAGAGTCGAGTTGAGTCGACCAAACCAAACCAAAGTTGGGGTAGAATGGGCTTATAATGGACTTACTAAACAAAAAGATTAAAGTATAAGGAGTAAGACTTACTTGCACTAAAATATAAAGTTTAGGTATTAAAATGTAACATATGGAAAATATAGGTACTATTTGATAATTTTAACATACAATCAAAGAGATATTTGGAGAGTACACGACCTTAATTTCATTTTCCCTTTCTTCATCTTCGTCTTCATCTTCCTCTTCATCTCCTTCATCTTTCTCTTCGTCTCCTTCCTTTCTCCATCAATTTTCATGTGATTCAAACACTAAATTCAACCTAGAACTCTATCCAAGTAAGTAGCTTTTCTTGAATTTCATAATTTAGTGATATTTTCTTTTACCATGGACTTTTATCAGAGGTTGAATTATGTTTAGGAGACGGGAAGCTCAAGTAGGAGAACAAGGAAAGCTAAGAGAGAAGTTAAAACTCTTTTTTGGTTGAAGGTTGATTATCTCTTTTATTTATCTTTTTTCTTTGCATGAGAATTTTGCTGTGGTGTGTGCTGTAATGATGGCAACATTTGCTTATGTTGAGTGGGAGGACTGGTTAATGGTGAGAAAACAGGGGAGGGAAGTGAAATAAAATGAAGTAAATAGTGAGTTTATGTTGAAACAGGTTTTTGCTGGAAATTTTACCAGTAACTTCATCTTGATTTTGACCCCATTTAATGATGGAATTAGGAAGTGTCATACAAGAGTTATTTGTTCTTCATTGTGTTAGCTTTACGTGGGTTTTTGAATCATCCAAATCGGAGTTGTATATTGAGAGATATAATCAAAAGAGTACAGACTGTGCAGGCTGGAAGACGCGACACGCGCGCGCGAATTGCATGACAAGTTCGCGATGCACTTCTCGCGCTCGCGAATTTGAACTACGCGCTGGCGACTTCCACCTGAAACTCTCTGTCTCTCATTTGACACATCTCGTGCTCGCGACTTTCAAGTGCACGCTCGCGACTTGTGCTCGCAACCTCTCTGACTCTCATTTGGCATTTCTCGCCTCGCGCTCGCGAATTGCCAAGTGCGCGCCTCGGCGTACTTGGCCCCTTGCCTGCAAGCCGCTCCGACCTCATCGCGCGCTCGCGTATTTGGCCTGGGAACTCACTGGTCTCTCATTTGCTCATTTTGCACACTACGCGCTCGCGACTTTCAAAGTACGCGCTCGCGACTTGTGTTTTCATGCACTTTGGACTTCTTTTTCAATGCAATTGTATTCCTTTGCTTCACTTACATGCCTCCAATCATCTTAATACAAAAATATAACATTAAATCATGCATCAAAACAACATTTAAGCATACAAATGATGTGATATCAAATGAACATTATGGATTATGAAATTATGAACTATGAATATGCTATTGTGTTATCTTATTGACATACCAACACTTTGCTCCATTGAGGTTAGGTAGAAACCATGTAGATAAGGCTATGTTGCGACATAGGATAGCAGATCGTTAGTAATAAGTGTCATATGGTTGCAGGACAATTGGTGTTTCATAGAAGAGATCTATTGTCAACCCAAGTGAAACTGTGTTGGTACTCCGGTATAGGCCTTGAGTTGGCATATGATTATACAGGGCCATAGCAGCCAAGCATTACAGTATTCATCGCTAGTTTCATATACCAAGTTTTCTGTATCACTTCGGTTTCACTATAACCTTTATGGGAGCCAATTTACACGAATATATCTATGTACATTAATATTCATGAATTATACAGTATTATAGAAACAGTACACATTAATCAAGGTATCATGAAAAGTATCATGATGTGTGTGCTTATATGTGCGCATTAGTGTTTAACATCGGTTTTTTCTATACATCGTATGTGTTAATTGTTTCTTATTTTGTTGAGATAGTCCATCTAGACTTTTAGTTGAGTCTCAAGACGATTAACCTGTATTATAACTCGCCAGGTTTTGAGATTTAGGATCATAATTAAGAGTCTAGTCAGCTATATCAACTGTGCTGTCATTTTCCATTCTGTAGAAAGACTTGGAGTGCTTTCTCATGAGTAGGCTTTACTCTTGTTTGTTCGCTTATTACTTTTACTTAATGCCAATACCTATTCTATCGGCATGTTACAGGGACACAGTTGGTGCCCATTTCATTTGCAAACTAGTATCATGTTTTAAACATTAAGTAATTATTTTTTTTGTAAACAACATCTCGGGTATTGAGTATCCTATATTTCAGTATTATTACATATGATAGGACAATTCAACTTGGAATCAGGACTCATACATATAATTAACCAGTTGGTAACTGAAATAGTGACAGATAACTTCTGAACACATAATTATACTAGCAGTTGCATAGAGGTTAAGACAGAGCATCATTGGGACCTACGGACCGAAGGGGTGTTACTAGATTATTTAGAATTGCATGTCTGTGAGTTCACATATGTCATGAGTCTCGAGCCCTTTGAAAGATATAGTCCGCTTGATGCGCTCCTCTCCTACTGGAGGATCAAACTCCTCATCGAGCGTTTTTGTCCCATTTATGGGCCGATTGGAAATACCTCCGCTCTGCCAACCCAAAAGTGCGCTCTTACCTGATATCTGAGACCACCCCTCTTTATGTATAGGACTCTCTCAACCATAGTGTCGTAAACCGATTGTGGGTATATCTTCGCACCTATAGTTCTGCTTTGAGTCTCTCTCCCCAAACCCTTGGAATATATTCAACTAACACTCTCAACACTCCGCGTTAGTAGACTCAGACGTATCTCTCTGATCTAAGTGATTTCAATAAAGCACCCACCACCGCCAGAGGGAACAAGCTTTGGCTCTTAATACCAAATGTTTCATTTCCAGCCCAGTATGATAATTAGTACCGGCTTTTGGCTCCTTTCCGTACGTATGGTCACTCCTCTACAGGGAAGTGACCTTTATCTAGGCCAGGTAAACTCGTCGTACACCCAACTTATATATCGTTAAATAAAAACATCTCTCTTACACAGACTAGCTTTTTCTATACTTCTTCTTTTATTAGGATACTTCTACACTAGTAGCTGTGTAGCTCCACGACTGCGGATCGTAAGGCTCTCATCAGTGTCTGTGATCGACCTCCAATCCCAATGATGGGCTGCCTATTTCCTTTCGATCATCTCATAAATTTGTGTGCATAAATCTATTAGATAACCTATACAGCATGAAGCGCGGATTAGTGTGTTTTTTAATTCGTTGGATATGGAAAAATCCTCAATCCAATATTTCCAGCCAATCAAGATTTGATTAAAATATTGAGTATACCCAATAGTTATATTCTCATAGAACCATCAGTATCTTTATTATAAATATTTTCCCTTTAGTTTTGTTGCGTTTGATTCTTGGTTATGGAAATTTGATACTTTGACAAAGGATTACGGTGTGCAATTGGAAGACCGCCTAGGTTTTGAGGAAGATGGAAAATGGAATGAACGCTTAATTGTTTAAAAAAACAACAATTTTCATATTTTAAAAAGTTGATATCGAAGTGTTACAGATATAGTGCATAAGAGAATAGTATAATTAAATTTCTAATTAAAAACTTTAAATTATTTAATTCCCTTTATTTATAATAAGGATAATTCGTCTTTTCACTTTCAAATATATTAATACTGAAGAGAAGGAGGTATTAGTATTTAATTAATTTATGTGGAAGTTGACCAATTAATATAGAACTGAAGTAAACCTCATGAGTAAAACGTTATCTTAAATATAGCTGTTATAAATGATTCGAGGGAGGACACTTTAGAATAGTTGTAAAATACAGCGACGATAATAAATTATTTTTCCAGATTTATTTCATATTTACTCTTCAAAAATTAATGTGCGAAAAAAAATGCGTAAATTATTTTTGACAGAGAGAGCGTACCAATTAATAATTACATCATAGGTGCCAAACTTAAGACGTTTTACCATAATATAAGAAATAGTGTCAAATGTCAGGAAATATAAAATAATTACGTAGTAAAACTTCCAGAGACTCAAATATAAAATTTTTCCTGCCTATTCCGCTATTCCCTATGCATGAAATATATGAACCGTTCTCGTTTGAAATGTGAGTGTGACTAAATAATAGGTGACTTTTTAAAGCACATCACTTTTTTATCTCTCTACGTCTACGTAAGCTGAGTTCGTTTCACATACCGGTTAGGAGATGGTATCGAATTACGTGATTATAAATATTTGTATAAATGTCGGGGACTACTTAATAATTATGGAAAATCTCAGGGACGAAATAATTATTTTTCCAAAGGATAATTTCGTCTTTTACTCTCAAAATTAATGGAAAAAATGTATTTTTTTGACGGAAGGACCAATTAATATGACGGTGGCAAACCTTAAAGACGTTATAAATATATGTATAAATGTCGAGGACTACTTAAATAATTACGTAAAACTTCAGGGACAAAATAATAATTTTCCCCTGCCTATCCGCATTCCCTAGCATGAAAATTGAACCGTTGTCGTTTTGAATGTGTAAATTAATAGGTGCCTTTTAAAGCTATCCTTTTTTTTATTCTCTCTCGCCACGTAAGCTGGTCGGTCAACATACGGTGGGGCCATCAATACGAAGAAGAGAAAAATACAGCACAACTTTGTGACTACGTTTATGTGCAGTTTTTGGCGTGCACAAGCAGCATAACTTCGTTGTGAAGTTGTTCGTTTAACATTAGCATTTCATTTCATGCACTTGAACAGTTGAACTCTCCTGCCAATAGAAAAGCAAAAGCCTTTCGCATGATTTGTGCATTTAATACAAGAAAAATAGGAACCAGTGAAGTGCACTGAAGAGTCTGCTTTTCATTTTATTTCATTTCTCAAGGAGATTAGAACAGGGAGGCATCTGGGTTCTGCTTCTTTTCCATTAAAGAGTCCAAATTTTGAATACCCGTTTCCCTTTTTTAGTTGTTCTGATCAAAGATTGGTACTCATCACCTCTTTTAAGTTTTGGATTATCAGATTTCTATTGTTTTTTATTTTGTTTAATCTTCTCTTATGTTGCCATTTTGACATGCATTTGCTGAAAGTTTTTTTTTTTTGAATATTTTGCTTAGTTCATATTTATCGTTATTTTTGGGGGACTTTTGCTCCATTTCTTAATAGCTAGAACTTGGAATGCAATCATGGATTATACCTATTGCAATAGAAATGTGTCCTTTATAATCAGCAGTCAGTTTTGAGTGAGTGAGTTTTCCAATTGGGTTATATATTTGATTGTGATCAGAATGCTTATAAACTAATCACTCTCTCAAGGAGAAAAAAAATAGTTAGGCAATGTGTTTTTTTTTTCAATGGCTGCATGTTAAACATTTGTTAAAGCAATAACTTCTGAATTTTCTGGTTTCTTATGAATTTGGTTGTTTGATGATATTGGATTACTTCCTGGCCAGTAAATTCATTTTTGTTATGTGTTTTATCTCTAATTCATGCAGCTTTGTTTAGAATTTTCAAAATATGTTGTTTGATTTTCTGTAATGGCATCAATTCACTGCTCTACACTCATTTGTTTGCAATATGGAATTTATCTTTTTTTTTTTTTTTTAATGAGCTCCTTGTATTTGTATAATTACCCCTTCAGCATCTAGTTTCCGAAATAGACTTTCTTCTTATGCCATGCATGACTTTTTACACATTTGATCAGAATCTCAGGTAGAGTGATATTGCTGTTGATATTGAGCTGATGATGGATACAGTTAAAAAGGATGATTGGGCTGATGAATACTCTGTGATTGGGGAGAAGGGTGAGATTGGGTTCATTGATTTTGAGGACGATAAATCTGTCTGTAACTATGATTCAGATGAGGGGGGGACAGTTGTTATATCTGTCCCATTTCCTTTTGTAAGAGGGAAGCCTCAATCTATTCTTGTTGCTGAAACTTCGAAATGCTCAATTACCATATCAAACACCATTAATGAACCTGTGGAGCTTTGGGGAGTTAGGATATTCTGCTCAAATCCTGCAGATTCATTCACTTTATCTCTTATAGAGCCTCCATCAGTCAATTCAAAGGTGGAAAACGTCTCTGGATTCTTAGAATCATATTCTCTTGAGGACAGAGTACTTCAGGCACACCAAACACTGACTATTTGGTTATCCTGCAAACCAAAAGAAATGGGGTTGCACACATCTGTACTGCATTTTGACGTGGGTGATGATAGGATTGAACGTGTTGTTTTTCTGTTGGCTGAAGATAAGGTCTCTCAGTCTCTGAGGCCTAACATGCCTTTTTCAAGAACTCCAAGAAGAAAACAGTCTGTCATGGACGAACATGCATTTTCCTCAAGCACTGTCAAGTCTCTTCCTTCCAAGGCAATGCCCCAAGGAAAGAAATTTAAGCTTCCTGAATTTCCAATCCCAAAGGAAACAAGGGAGTTATTGGAGAATAAGCAGGTCCCTGATGTTCTTGTGGAAGGTTTAAAGATGAAGAACTATGCTACTTTCTTCAGCACATTGCTCATAATGGAAGAGCTACATTTGGAGGTAACCATTCGTGTTTGATTAGTTAAAATATTTACCATGCTTTTGTTCAGAACTAGTTATTTTTGTTTCAGAAAGAGATGCGGTGTCATGACATGGAGTTTGTCAACTTGAGACAGAAAGGGCCTCAACTTCTGGCTCTTGAGGTCCCTGGGCTTGCTGAGAGAAGGCCTTCACTTGTACAAGGCGATTATGTTTTTGTGAAGCTTGCCTCTGACCAGACACCTGACAGGGATGTATATAAGGTTTGTTCATATTTTTGATGAAAAATGTCATCTTGGATAAGTGTTTGTACGTTACAAAATATATCAAACTCTAGAAACATTACTGTCTGATGTGTATTGTGAAAGGTGCTACTTGAACGAGCATTTGTGAGAAAATTAATATTTGTTGGGGGTCAGCATAAGTAACAGATGAGAGTATACATGAATTTAAGATAGGGAAAGATGCCTGGTTATGGTCCTTTTTTTCCTTTTCTATTTTCTAAAGAGTAGTATGAGTAAGAGGACTCTCTTTTAGGCTTTTTGCATGTCCATTTCAAAAATATAGCTGCTTTGTTATCACTCTGTTAAAAATAGTATAATCATTGTCTTTCAGGGTTATATTTATCGTGTTCAAGCTGATGAAGTGCTTCTGAAATTTGCGAAGGATCTTCATATGCATTACAGTAATAGGAATTTATTCAATGTCCGATTTACATATAATAGGGTGAATTTTAGGAGATTATATCAAGCAGTTGAAGCAGCTGAGAACTTGGAGGCTGATATTCTCTTTCCATCTCAATCAACCAAAAGGACATTGTTAGAGAAAGCAATATTCATGCCTTTCACGACCGGTCTCAATGCAGAGCAGATGCATTCTGTGGAAATGATCCTGAGTTGCAAAGGTGCTCCACCCTATGTAATTTATGGGCCTCCAGGGACTGGTAAAACAATGACACTAGTAGAAGCCATATTACAAATACATGCAACAAGAAAGGATGGAAGAATTCTGATATGCGCGGCTTCAAATAGTGCAGCAGACCACATATTGGAAAAACTCATTAGCCATGAGGTTGCTAAAGTTAAAGAGAATGATATTTTTAGGCTAAATGGCTCAAGTCGTCCATATGAGGATCTTCAACATGATCATATTCGCTTTTGCTATTTTGAAGAGTCAATTTTCAGATGCCCTCCACTTAAGGCCTTAATGAATTTTAGGATAATCATTTGTACATATACAAGTTCATCACTACTTTATGCAGAAGGTATAGGCCGTGGTCATTTCTCTCATATTTTCTTGGATGAGTCTGGCCAAGCTTCAGAGCCTGAAAGCATGGTTCCTATATCTAATCTATGCAAGAAGGAAACTGTTATTGTTCTGGCAGGTGATCCTAAGCAACTTGGTCCTGTTGTATATTCGAAAAATGCTGAGGCATCCGGATTAGGAAAGTCATATCTCCAGAGGCTTTTTGAATGTGAATTCTATCATAATGAAGAAAAAGGATTTGTCACAAAACTAGTAAGGAATTATAGATGCCACCCTGCAATTCTACACCTCCCTTCTAAGCTTTTCTACAAAGGAGAGTTGCTCGCATGTAAAGAAGATACTTGTCCCTCGATAGGTTTTGACGTGGATTTTCTCCCTAGAAAAGAATTTCCTGTTCTATTCATTGGTATTCAAGGCTGTGATGAGAGAGAAGGCAATAACCCTTCATGGTTTAACCGAATTGAGGCGAGCAAGGTTGTTGAGATTGTAAACAAGTTAATAGACAATACAGATCTAAATGAGACAGATATTGGGGTAATAACACCTTATAGGCAGCAGGTCCTCAAGATCAAAAAAGCACTTGAAAGTTGGGAAATGTCAGATGTTAAAGTTGGGAGTGTAGAACAATTTCAGGGACAAGAAAGAGAGGTCATTATTATATCTTCTGTGAGATCAACTGTTAAACACAATGACTTTGACAGAACCTACTCTCTGGGTTTCCTGAGCAACCCAAAGAGATTTAACGTTGCAATTACCCGTGCCAGATCCTTGCTTATCATTGTTGGGAATCCACACATTATCAGTAAGGTACTCGCATAATCTTCCTCAGTTATTACAAAATTAAATGTACGTGATTTTTTCCAAACAAGGCCTCAATTTCTTGTGTAATTCAGAGCTTGATAAATAATGAATGTGGTTTAGTTATTACTGAATTCCAGAAAAAGTTCTAGAAAAGTTTATTCAACTTATTTATACCAAACGGTAATGGTAATTGGATTCTTGGTTTTGCAGGATCCTTGCTGGGAGAAGCTTTTGTGGTATTGTGTAGATAATAATACCTATCAAGGCTGCTCTCTTCCTGAAAGGCAAAACCGAGAATGCACAGGGCATAATTAGAATTTGATTGCAATCTCCTCAAATGCAGATGAAAGAGAAGTAGCAGATGAATTTGAATAGGATATTTTGATAAGTAATATTAGCAATGATACTTTGTACTGGAGTAGCATTTGTAACTGTTGAAGCAAGTTGTTGAAATTAATTAGAATGTGACGGTTGAATTGCACTGATAAATTCCATTAGATGCATAAAAAATCATATCACACAAGTGAACTTAGAAGAAGGTGATGTTTGTTTCCGGGTAAGTGCATTTGAGAATTGTGACGAAAAGAGAATGAATGGATTTGATAGGAAGATGGAGAAGGTTAGGCGCTTGGCAGCAGATAAGTTGTTTTGCCTTTTAAGAATTGCTTTGTTTGTATCCCACATCGAAAAACATATGATGTCGGATGTACGGCTGAAGACGGGGTCGATGGGTGATCAAGAAGGCCCATGGCCTAGATCAGTGACCTCCATTGCACTTTGGAGGGGTGCTGGTCTAAGGTCTCCCCAAGAGGGAGAGCCTACGTCATAATTTGTGGCAGCGGGGGCCTGCGTACGCGCGGCCCCTTCCTAATTGATGTTTAAAGAGTTTTAGCGGCCTTAATATGAATTCATGGCCTTGCATTCTTGATCGGAAGTTAAAATATGTTCTGCTCAAATGTTATTTTCCTTTATGGTTCTAAGGCTTTATACACGAGACCACAAGTCTTTGTAAATAATTTTTAAGCTCGGTAAATGCATACAAATTATTGGTCGCTGATTCTAAATTAATGTAAATGATTATTTTTTTCATAATATTTATAATTGTTTGAAGGATTTTTATTAATGACTAGCGAAGGATAAAAAATGGTAAAATAATTTTTATTGACTAAATTTTCAAATAAAATAGGACAGAAAGAGTATATAAAATGATTTCTATAGTTAATTTAAATATGAAAATTTACTTTTCAATAAAATTTTATGTAGAAGTAGAATAAAAGTATTTTCTATTTTGTGTAGAAATAAAATAAAATCTGTATTATATTCCAAAAAACATTAAGTTGTTTTTTTAGAGAGATTTTTCTTTCTACCGGAAATTACTAAATTAGCATTATACAAAAGTACAGCGTGATTGATTAGAATATTCCACCCACAAAAACATTCATTATCTATCTAAGCTTTGCTTTTAGGATTATATCACCGTCTCAAGCCTTTGCGAGACATTATCATTATTAATGGAAAGTTAAATAGCAGTATAACAGAAAGAGATCCGTTAGCTTGTCCCACATCGGACAGAGGTAAAAGATATAGCAAGCGTAAATGCAGATAGCAAGTGCGAGTTAAGCTTGCACAGAGTTGGAAGAGCCTGTATTTTACTATCTTCGTTCCATAATATTTGTCATTTGAAATATTTCATAATATTTGTTACATTTAAAAATTTAAAATATTTCGTAATATTTGTCACATTTGAAATTTAACGTTCCTTAAAAAAATTATTAAAATTTGTTTAAATTATAATAAATTATTAAATAAATTGACTATATTACACTTAATTTAATACTAATTCTCTAAAAAAATCATTAAATTGAAATAATAATTATTGGTCATATATAAAGAGTAAATATTGAAAAAAACATTTATTACTCCTTAAAACCATAAATGTAACAAATATTTTGAAACAAGTTATTTTCTCGAATGTGACAAGTATTATGAAACGAAAGTAGTAATATTTAGTAATGGGAACATTAAAGGACTCTTATCCATTCAATACAGACATATTTTAGTACCTACTAATGCTCTTTGAACCATAACATTCCTGAAAAAGAAATGTAATATAAGAGTGAGTGTAGAGAATGTCACAACACAAATATACCTCTATAGACTGACATTTTTCCCTCCCTTCAGAAGGTGCTGCATATACACGTATATTACAGTTTCAAATCCCCTTTGACACCCAGCTATACAAAAAAGGAAAAAAAGAAAAAAAAAAAAGCTGCTATGGTCTTTGGGTTGCAGCAGCATGCATCCCTTACATACACAAACCTGCACCTATATGCTTTTGTTTTTTTCCTATTCTTTTCTCGTTTCCTTCTTAAAATTTCATACACTAGCCTTGACCCGAGGCAAAATTAACAAGAATGTCTCCTTATTCACAGTTGAGTCATTGAGACATTTCAAGGTGTAGAATTTACTGATATCTCCTGTTGCAGAGGTGAGCTTGGTTGATCCAGATGTGACGGGATGGCAAGCCGCTGCAAGGGTTTGAGAGCTACTGCGAGCTGTGCAAAGGAAGGCCGCAAGTTTGGATCACTGAGCGATAATATCCCAGTAACGCAATCAGTAACACGAATTCATACATTATGTATATTAGTAACAGAAGAGTATTATGAGTTTGTCTAAAATTTGCTTTTTAACTTACGTCTGCCAACATTCCCAAATTATCCTTGCAACCAAGGGATCAACATCCTTAGGGATTTCAAGGCGACGGTTCTGGAAACCAACAGCTCCAACAACTTGCATTGGGTTCATCCCACTCCATGGCAATCGTAGTGTTGCAAGCTCCCAGAGAATGACTCCAAAACTATATACATCACACCTGTTCATTCAAAAAAGCATGTTCAATTTGGTATAGTGATCCACAATGCTTATGAAATCAATCAAGGTTTCTCCTAGGCAATAGCCACAGAAAAACACATTTCGAATGCATCACTTTTAAACTCACAAGTCACTGTAATGCTAATTTCATTATGATTTTCATAAGCTTCTAAGAACATTAACATCAAAGGACCACTTAAATCCCTTGTCTCCATGAATTTGAAGAATAGAATTCATTTACAAAGGATTGAATTCAATTTAGTCGTAGTTTTTTAGAAGTGAAATAAAAATTTTCATTCATACTAAACATGAAGCATGAAATTTTATAAGATTTGTATAAAATTTTGTGGAATTCATTTATATACCAGTAAATGTTTTAGAGGCACTGTACACATTAAATTCTGGAACATTGGGCCTTACTGCTCAGCCAAGAATAGATTCTAAATAATTTGGTTTTGTGTAACCGACTCCTATAGAATAAACACATAAGATTCATACTCCATCTGGCTGCTTGCCAGGTAGAATTTCAAAGTGATTTGTACTTTTAACCCTGATCAAATATGCTTAAAGGAGTAATAAAAAATGTCAGTTTCAACTTCAAGAAGCTTGTGCAAGTGCAACAGCATAATAACTGAAAAGCAAAAATGTAACATCAGCAGCTCACTTCTCATTTGAGGGTTCATTGCGAAGAACTTCCGGTGCCATCCACTCAGGCTTAACCCAGCAAAGACAATTCAATCAGGGAAAAAGCATGACGGTAAGATCAAGACATGAACTGCAATCCAATTATAATTAAAGATAGGGCGAATTACTATTTATTCCTATAGTTTAGTAAAATCCACAAGTCAGGACCTTTTTTATTCCAAAAATCAATTAAATAGTCCCTCTCTTTTGTTGATATTCAACTACATATATTCTGTTAATTTTTCCATTAAACTGTGATGAAATATCAATTTTCCATAAAAAATGGTTTCTTTCTCTCATGGGCAACGTTGGAAAAAAATATTTTATTTGACTTCTTTGATTTGACCAACCAAAAAAACAACAAAATTTCAAACAAAGAACTATTTAGTTGAATAACAACAAAATAGAGGACTATTTAATTGATTTTTGGAAGCAGAGGTCCCAATTGTAAATTATACCCAACTACAGGGACTAAATAGTAATTTACCCTTCACAATATATGTAAAAGATAATAATGGATTCTCACTGTTCCTGCAGTTGATTTGGATGACAAAAAGGTGTTATGCTTCAAGCGCGACAACCCAAAATCACAAACCTGCAAAGTAAAACATTATAATCTGTTAAAAGAGGCCCATAACACAAACATCCCTGCTGGTGCTATTTCTCCGGTTCCAAACCAAACAAGCCAAGCCAGTGTCTCAGCTTGATTAACAAAAATTAGTAGGTCTAATACAGTTACAATAAACATCATAAAATTTGAAATAAAGAGCTTTGTACAGAATGTTGTCTGTTGCATTAAAGTGCAGACCATCCTTCAAACAAGTTTGGCATAACAAATGCAAAGATCTTACAGTTGCCATCTTAAAACATTATAATATCTAATCTAAAAGTCACAAGGACCTGGAACAAGCACTAGTTGTAAGCCTGAGACAAACAGTTCATATTGTTTCAGACATCAGTGAATCTCTCTCCAGATTAACATACACACACACACATACAATTTCTGCAACACCAATTTTGTGAGGATGCCTGAAAGCAACATAATTGAATAAAAAAAGATGATAATTTAGATTCCAATTAATTAACAAAGCAACAGCAACATGTACCTTGACAGTCCAGTTTTTATCAACCAAAAGATTTGGTGACTTCAAATCCCGGTGAACAATTGTTGGTATACTGGTATGCAAGCAGTTCATACCTCTTGCCTGCAACATGAAGAAAGATCTGTATCCAACTCAAAGGTATTGAATGCAGACAAGAAATAGGAAAAGAGTTTGAATATCTCATACCACGTCAAGAGCCATCTTTATCCTTCGCTTCTCATCAATTTGACAATGAGAACGATGAAGAATCCGGTATAAACTCCCTCTAGCAAGCCAAATATCATTCACACTTAATAGGATGAATAAATAAGTAACTATGGTATAAGCATGAAACACATGCTACCAAAACCATAAAGCTAATAGCAATTTCTGTTGATTTGGCATAAGATGTAACTTATTCGAAAGGCATGGTGACAAAATGAAAGCACAAAAAATTGTACCTTGGAAGAAACTCTGTAATGATAGAGAGGTTTGGAGGTCGTGTAACAGCACCCATGAAGAGCACAACATTTGGATGGCGCAATCTCCGCATTATTCGCACCTTACACCAAATGGTAAATATCAAAATTCCAGAGTCAGTAATTTTGAACTCGAAAAAAATTAAGAACCATGATATCTGAGACACATCCATTAAGCTATGTACACATGATGGAGGAAAACAATTACCCAGATCAAAGAACAGTTTGTTTATGAAATATAAAGGGAAAGGACATTCAGAAGTTCGACTCAACAAGCTTCTGCGTTTCAAATGTCATGCCCATGTTCTAGTCTAGTGTACTTATCCAACAAGAGTAGCATAAAGTAGATGAAGAGTTGAAGTAACCATTTGGTTTTGGATTAACATCATGGAAGGAAATTACGGGAAATGGTGGTGATATTACGTAAAACTTAGTGCACTTATCCAACAAAAGTAGCATGCAGTAGATGAAGAGTGCCTATGTTCTAGTCTAGTGTACTTATCCAACAAGAGTGGCAGAAAGTAGATGAAGAGTTGAAGTAATCATTTGGTTTTGGATTAACATCATGGAAATGATGGTGATATTACGTAAAACTTAGTGCATTTATCCAACAAAGTAGCATGCAGTAGATGAAGAGTTGAAGGAAAGGAACCATTTCTTTTGGATTAGCGTCATGAAAGGAAGGTATGGGAAATGAAGGTGATATTAAGTAAAACTAATATTTATATATTAAAAGATTATAAATGATAGAAATACCAAAAAAAAAAAAAAAAAAAAATGTCTACAGACATACATAAAACTACACAACTCCCTTACTCATGTCTGAATTTGCACATTATATGTGAGAGAATTCAGAGATAAGACAAATTCAATCTAACTGATTATTGACTAGATAGAATACCATCCTCTCATTCATTAGTGTGGACAGATAGTCCATATGATCTATTCCTCAACCTCTATTATCGTGCGATTTTTATGAGTCTATAATTTAAATGTCTCTATAAATTCATCAAGAGATTATTAACATTGTATATAATCTACATCGTCATCATCTCTCACACAATATTCACCATATAACTATTTTAATATAAGGTCAATATAGTTTTCGCATGATTGTCAATAATAGATTGTAATACTTATGTCGAAAGGCTTGTTGTAACATAATGATAGCTCTCATATAATATAAAAATATTTTATCAACCATTTGTATTATAACTCTGTTAATTGATAGAAGGTTTGGGAGGTCGTGTAACAGCACCATGAGAGCAACAACATTTGGGATGGCCGCAATCTCCGCATATTCGCACCTTACACCAAAATGCAAATATCAAAATTCCAGAGTCAGTAATTTTGAACTCGAAAAAATTTAAGAACCATGATATCTGTAGACATATCATTAAGCTATGCATACAACATGATGGAGAAAACAATTACCCTAGATCAAAAAGAACAGTTTGTTTATGAAAATATTAAAGGGAAAGGACATTCAGAAGTTCGATCAACAAGCTTCTGCGTTTTTCAAATGTCATGCCCAATGTTCTAGTCTAGTGACTATCCAACAGAGTAGCATAAAGTTAGATGGAAGAGTTGAAGTAAACCATTTGTTTTGGATTAACAATCCATGGAAGGTAAATTACGGGAAATTGGTAGTGATATTACGTAAACTTAGTGCACTATCAACAAAAGTAGCATTTGCAGCGTAGGACTGTAAGAGTGCCTATGTTCTAGTCTAGTGTTATACTTATCCAAACAAGAGTGGCAGAAAGTAGATGAAGAGTTGAAGTAATTCATTTGGTTTTGGAATTAAACATCATGGTAAAAGTGATGGTGATATACGTAAAACTGTTAGTGCAATATCACAATAGTAGCATGATAGATGAATGGAGGGTAAGGAAAGGAAACCATTTTCTTTTGGATTAGCGTCCATGAAAGTGAAGGTATGGGAAATTGAGGTTATTAAGTAAAAAAACTAATATTTATATATAAAAGATTATTAAATGATAGAAATACCAAAAAAAAAAAAAAAAAAAAAAAAAAAAAAAAAAAAAAAAAAAAAAAAAAAAAAATCCTTATGAGCCAAGTTTACTTCAGCTCAATTACCCAGCAATGTGAGGATTTTGGGGCTTCCATAGTACTTTAAGGCAATGAAAACTACCATCAACGTTTCCCACACTCCATTCACTCGTTGCCTAAACAAATCTTACGATCTTCATAACTTTTCATACCTTTCCTTATCTAAAATGAGTGCAAACCAAGTCCATATGTTGTATGTGCAGTATTCTTACGATAAGAAACAGGAAATGAAACAAAAATTAAGAATCATTTTCTTATGTTCCCTTTCATATCCTTTTGGTTTTGCAGTAGATTAAATTTAACCATCTAATATTTGTTTTCTGCTACAGTGAACCAAAAGAGAATTATTATGCACATTAGAAAGCTTAGTTATTGCTTACTTCTCTTTTGAATTCAGCTAAAGCCGCTCCAGAGAAATCCTGGTCTAAGAACTTCTTAACAGCAACCTCCTGTAAGTTCAACAACAATTGAATGGCCAGAAATCAGAAACCTGAAAATTTAGTTTTCCCCCACCAACAAAAAAAAAAGATCAATATAATGTGAAGCAAGAAATTTGAAGTGTGAAGCCTTTGTCCAACAATTCAATAAAAGAGTATCGCGTCCAGACAGAAAAGTAGCTATAATAGAAAAATGACGACAAAGAGTGCTTCCCAGGCCAATATAGGTTTCAGATTCAAATAAATGAGGTTTTTTCAAAATCAAAAGAACATTTCAGCTGCAAATTCACCAGTTATCCATTACTGTAAACTTGCATGTAGAAATCAAGTCAAGAAGAACAAGGAGAACTTAGAAAAAGTGAACAAACAAATCAGCGTGAAAAGATTAAGATAAAGCTAGAATGCCAAGATAAGAATAATTAGATAGGAGGGGCTTTCAAGGTCTCATTAACTAATTTGTGCTATACATATATTTCGCGGAAAGAAACAACTGAAATAAATGCAGGAAAATTCAAGCTTACTGTGCCATTCCAATCAGCATGGTAGACCTCTCCATATGAACCTGCTCACAAGAAAACATGAGATAGATTAATATTAGGGATGGGGACTAAAGAAACAAAACATGCTGAGACGCAATTCAAGGATTGAAATAATATCAATATTCCTCTTGCTATAACCATATGAAGTAAGTATCGCAGATAAGGTGGCGTTAGCATCATAAGATAAACAAGCCAATTATTGCCAACAGAACTACTATTTTACCATGCAAGTCTTGAGAACTACCATTTTACCATGCAATTCTACACCTAGCAAGAAATAAGAACCTATTTTTCTTTTTAAATCTCAAAAGATGTTCTCCAGGGAAGTGGGGAAACACATTTGTCATGGAAATAAGTGAAAAAAAAAATCTAGAAAACTTACTTCAAAACACATTTTTGCAGCATGAGAACTAAAAATTAAAACAAGAGGCAAACTGTAGATTCTCTCTATGGATGATCATGTTAAGAGAATACTTTGTTTAATATGCATAATTGAATTTAAATTAGTTAAAAAAAAATTTTTTTTATCGGAATCAAAGGAAAAAAAGAAAGGATTTTTTGTGTATCTACATGCATATACATACATTCACTCTAAAATTGAATTGGCCATTATGAGGCCGTGATTGGTATTGGTATGCATAAATGTCTCGTCCCAGAAAAATGCATTACCTAGTCCAATCCTATCACCAAGGACCAGATCTTCCCAAGGAATTTCACATTCACCCACATCTACATCATCAAATATTTGATCAGCCCTGGTCCAACTGGAATCAATTGAAGAACTAGGACTCTCCGGTTCCTTCAATTTCAGATTGGCACCCATAAATCTGTCGTGTGTGCACTTTCTACGAGCCTGGACACCAATTTCATTATTTTCATTATGTTGAACATTGACTTCCACATCATATGGGAAATTATGTGCATCCTTAAGATTTTCTTCTTTAAAACTTGAGTTTACTTCCTCAACTGAAGGTGGTTTATAGCATTGATTCATGCTAGATTCTGAAGCTGAAGAAGTACCGCTTGATGAATTCCTAGGATCACCGTCTCTACTGGATGAATTCAAATTACTGGATGATTTGAAGCCTTGAGAACAAATCTTCTTAGACATAGTAGAGCTGGTTGAAGCCAAGGATGGCTGATTATAATTATTGGGTTCACGATTGATTCTTGGAAGGAATCCTTCCATATAATCATATTCTTTTTTTCGAGGGACTTCATTGCATGCATATCGGTTCTTCCACATCAATGGTACAGGCGGACGACCAGGGAGGGGATTATTTTTTTGCCCTTGAAATTCTTCAACTTTATTCTCAACAGGTTTACTGTGTATGAAGCTTTTGCCAGTTCCTTTAATTTGAAATGGATTAAGATCTGAAAAGAGGTTCTTTGAATCCTCTGAGCTATTTTGGTTATATGGAATAACATTGACATTCTTCCGCACAGAATCAACTGCATGGGCTCCATGACTCCCCTTATACAAAGAAGACCCAATAGCCAAGGAGGAAATATTACCATGTTGATTAGAAGGAGCTGCTCTACTACATATCCCAGAAGAACCAACACCAGCATCACTACTAGCACCAGAGAATGTAGCTGATGACTCCAATCCTTCAGTGCTTAATCTTTTTTCTAAAGGCAAACGACCATCCATGGAAGAGTTCTGACTACTGCCTTCACCAGATAATGGCTTTGGTTTAGAATAGACAATGTCATTAGAAGAATGAAGACCAGGGAATTTACTGATGTTTGGATTACATGATATAAAATTAGTATCCTTTGCACTTAGAACATCAGCAGGTATGAGTGTCCCAGGATCTGCCATGAGATCAACCAAAAACTCCCTGAAAGGTAGAAATTCACATGTGAGAAGTGACAACAACTGGAAATATTTTCTTCTGCTAATCAAATTAACACACGTGTACAAACATACACAAACTCAAATTTGGTTCATTTGTATAAACTCTTGAACGACACGAGGCTTAATCAAATGGCCTAATGACGGATTTATGTTCCAAAAAGAGGGATCAATTGACCCCTCCTATAAATCCCTTTATATACATATAGATTCCTCTAAATTGACCCCTTCTAAAATTAATATTACACCTTGTTTATAATATTTTATTATATATTTAACCCTTGAAATTTTCTAGATCTGCCACCGAAACGGCCCCACAAAATCTTTCAGTAAGAGGTGCTACCTGGTTGTGAACAGTTTTAGGATCTTAATTCTTAAGTCACTTGAGACTATAAGCCAATCAAGCTATCAATGTCTAGCATGTGACCTAGTAAAATAATGAGATAAGTTTCACTGTCTTCCAAGCTTAATTTTCCTTTCCATGAGACCCGCAACTCAACTCTCTTTTCATAGATCTCCTCCATTGCATATCTATACAGACCTATTGCAGTTTTGCTAATGACTTTAGCAAGTCAGGAAAAGCTACAAGGAGGGAAGTGCAAATACATAAATGAGAGAAACATCCTTAATTTAAAACTTATAATCAGTTGGACAAACCAAATGATAAAGAAAATAATAAGTAAATAAAAACCTTCAACAATAACAAGCCATAACCTTTCATCTTCCAGCTTTATAATGTTGATAGCATCATCCTCAATGCCAGTGTAATGACTGCCCTTCACTAATCGACAAGGTAATCTTATATTGTCGGCCAATACCTACATTCAAGTTACAGAAGATGATGTACACAAAGTTTTTAGGTAGCCGACTAAGATAATAATTAGAGTTTGGCCAGGATAAACCTGCAGGAATTGGTCACTAATGGAAATATAGTGCTGACCTTAAAAAGTAAAGCTCGATGTCGAGACAAACCAATGTTTATGGACCCAATAGGCAACACACTTGTGTGAAGGGATGTCCTCAATTCTGTACTTCTTTCCATCCATCTTGCCAACATTATGTTAGCATCCTTTACTGGCCCACCCATATGTCCTGTAACAAGTTCAGCTAGCCGCTGTACCAGAACACCAACATCCGTAGCAGGGCAATCTAGAGAAACACAATGTGCAACTTGCAACAACTCTTCTAATGCAGGATCAATTACTCGTTTGACTATTACTGCTTCAAAACTAGAACTCCCAGGGTTTGTTTCCAGATCTGTGAGAGATGGCATTTTTCCTTGTACTGCTGGACTTGTGGAGAACACATCATAAAAACCATCAACCACTTTCTCCTCATAATCGAGTACATTATATTCCTGGTGAGTCAATCCAAGACGTCAAGCAAATAGAAGATATCATTACACAAAAGAATCATATGTAAGCAACAGAAGCTTGAGTACTATCAGCATTTAGAGGTGCCTTAAGTGACAATGAGGTAAATCACAGGCACATCACACATTTGTGAGATTGCCACATACACTCAGGAAACCATTCATATTTTCTCCTAACACAATACATTAAATTTCTGGTGAAACAATTTTAGACAAGGAAAGGTAAACAAACTGGAGCAAAATGTCATTATGCAATAACATAATATGAAAGCATCACAAAGTCCAGTCATATTGGCAGTTAGATGTGACTCCAACAAATTTGGGGTAAATTAGAGGTGTACATTTTTGTAATTACCAAACATGCTTCATGAACTGTACAATGTATAATGAGATAACAGTGCCACTACTTAATCTATGAAACTATAAGAACTTATTTCAAAATTTCTACCAATTGCAGACCTTTAAAGTTCATTAATCTTGTGGAAGTTTTTGTAAGATGTTATTTCCAATGTCTAACATAGAGTGAGTTCAAGAAGCATTAATAAACACACCACAAACAAAATAAGATCCCACAAGAAAGCTTTTAAACAATACAAAAATGCGCAGGTGGAACTCAATTGTACCTAAACTGAACAGGGTTTCCTTGAAATAACAGGGGGGAGAAAAAGAAAAATTCAAGAATTTAACCTCCAATTATAAAGTTTTTCAATTGAAATTCCATACAGGATTAGAACCATGCTCAGCAGCAGCTAAAACAAACCAAGCAAAGACTAAGACCCAAATTCCAGTTCATTCCTAATAATTCACCCCGCATGAGAATGAATATTACTTGAATCCTATCTCAAATAATTTAAGGAAATACCAATTAGTACCAAACATAATCAACAATGACGAAATACAGCTCTAGCCAAATTCAAGCTCATTAATAGCCACTGACATATCCAATATTCAAGAATAGTTAATCTACCATATCACGACAATGCACACTGTTCGCAGTCCTAATTGATAACAATCCTCGATCTAAAACCAGTTCAACATATACTTTGCATGGATTTGTTAAGCACCGCCGGAAACAGTGAAAAGAAAACCTTAGTTCCAAGCTCATTCACTACAATTCATTGCATTGAAAACCCAATTAATTGACCTCATTTGTACAATCAAGCAGCAAAAAGTCCCCTTCAAAAACATCTTGAGATCCTTTTTATAACTCGCTGCATTCAGAACTGAATAACAGTTGAATTGCTTTATTCCCTCCCAACTCAACAGTAAATTAAACAAATTTCAATTGGAAAAAAAATAATAACAGGGTATTGAGCATTGACTAACAAAAGACAAACTAAAGAACCCTAATTCCTGTTCATTCACTAAAATTCCATACAAATGGTAGTAAAAATTTCAAAATTGAACTTCAATAAGAGTCGATAATGCTCACCCAATACTGCCTCGACAAGGCCTCCGCGGCAGCCTCTTCTTTTTCCCTCCCCACATCGATCCGATGATGATGATTTCCACCTAAACTCAACAAAGTTGCCGCTCGGATCTGATCCTTTTCAGGGTCGTCTCTAAACTCTGAATTGGACGCGCTGATCGCCAACGCTAACTGCACTTGGAACTCCTCCTCTGACGAGAAGTAATCAGCACGATTATTAGAATTATTCGGCGCCGACGAAACAGTCGTGGCAGTCACGGTGGTCGTCGGTGGCGAAGAAGTCGACGGAGGACTAGGAGGACCATTTCCGGAGGCAGTACGGTGATCGGAATTGGACGATGGTGAGGGAGGAGTCTCGTTTGATCGGTGTGGCTCGTGGTTACTCCCTATGTGCAACTTCTTGAAAATGTGCTTCATTTCCTCTCTCTCTTATCTCTCCAATTTACCTCGCTTTGCCTTTCTTATAATCTACTCCTTTCACTGTCTAATTTCCTATGTATGTACGTTTGATCGTCTCTGAGTTTCTTTCACTTTCCCTCACTTTCTTTCCCTTTGAGGGTCAAGAGCCTCCAGAAAGGAAAGGGTGCTGTAATGGGAGGGAAAACTTAATGGGGTGGTATATATGGTGGCCGGTAGTAAAAGGGGCTTTACCTTCAACGAAATTACTAAAATTACCACTGAGGGTTGAATACTCTACGCTGCAGGGGCCCAATTTTAACGAGCCAATAAGAAGGCGACGTACTTGCTTGCGTTGTAGAGAGGCCCACATGATGGTTGCTCACTTGCCACTGTTTAAGGGCATGTTTGGGTTAATGTTTTACATTTGGCGACGTTAAAAGTTTGTGTGCTACTTGTGGTTTTTGCATAATGAAGTTGAACACGTGTAGTAAAAAAAAATTCAACCAAGACAAATGAGTTTCTACCAAGTGGTAAATTTAAACTTCATTAGAGTTTAATTACCGAGATAACAATCCAATTTTGTTGTTCAACTTTAATCGAGTAAGTTTTTATATTTATTCTTTAATATTAAAAAATTTCAAATAATAAATTATTCTTAAAATATAAAACTGTGAGTTGAATGGAATCCCAGTTGGTGATTATGATTGAAGATTCTAATTTTAAGCTAAAGAAATTAATTTTCCTAGACAGGAACTTGAAGGAAAATTAAGATTCCATCGAATTAAATGTGAAAGATTTTAAGATAAATGGAATTCTGATCACAAGACCAATGACGCGTTCCAATAACCTTTCCCATTCCTGTCGATCTCACACAACGAAGACCAAGGACGCGTTCCAATAACCTTTCCCATTCCTGTCGATCTCACACAACGAATCGATCTCACACAACGAAGACCAAGGACGCGTTCCAATAACCTTTCCCATTCCTGTCGATCTCACACAACGAACGAACCATATAACAAGTGAATTTTAAATTTGGGCCGAACCGGGCTTGAAGTTGGACCCAAAGTGGGTTTAGATAGGCCTAAACCCGCTCAAATAAGGATAATGATGTGATTGATTCAGTCTGTGGTCCCAAGTCAACAAGAGGGTGCTCCTAGCCATTCACATGGTCAAGTTATCAGAAAATGGTCAAACCTTGTTGTGAAAATATAAAAGAGGAATTGCTTGCTGCCATTCTCGGAGTAAATTAATTCCATAACGTTCTAATCTGATTATGGAGACCAAAGTTAAAGAATATAAGAAGAGATGACATGTTAAAATGAATTCAAAAATAAAATAAAACTGAAATGTAATAAATTTTTCTTTCCAAATTACCTCACACAGTAAATTTTTGGATTTCAGAATTTACTATTATTAAGCAATTGCAGGACAGTATTTCTATCGCCTTCAATGCGACAAATTAGCTCAAATAACATCATAATTTTGTTTCCAAGTAAAGTAGGATTGTTTTTCCTCATGCAAGCCAAATAGAAGACCTTTTGAACTAGAGTAGAACACAGCATTTGAGTAAACCACGACTTTGTTCAAACAAAAGCAAAATGCAACGATGAGGATTAAATAATAAGCGCGGCAAAAATGCCATAGGAATACATTACATTGAATGAATAAGAAGAAGAATAAGTGCCAAAAAGAAAAAGATGGTAAATTACAAAAATGATATGAGACTGTCGAACCTAATTCCTTTTACCTCGATTTTTCCTAGAAGAAACAACTGTCCATCCATCTTCTCCTTGAGCCTGCTGACTATTTGGCTCATCAACCTGCATGTTCAATTGATTCGACTTTGACTGCAATTTTGGTGCATCAACCATCATGTTTGATTTATCATCCATGCTGTCATCATCGTCACTGTCCTCATCTTCATCGTCATCCACAGCCTAGCAAAGAATAGAAAAAGCAAAATAAGAAGTGATATTCCAAACCATTGAAATAATTTGACTTCTAAATTCTAGCATACTCTTATACAAAAAGAATTTTATTCAAGGCAATGTAAACAGATGATAAAAATTCCTACCCTACGGATGCCAGCAATATCTAAACTATTGAATAAACAAACTTCCCAGTCAGGATATTCCTCTCATGCAGACGACAGAAACATGCTAATATTAGATCTTGAATTTTCTATTCAGTTAAGCCCAAAAGGCAGGGACCAAAATAGAGTGCATTCTTCTCTAAAGATGCAAAGGAAATGAAATTCCAAATTTATTGCTAGTATGGGGGCAAATTTTATAAAGTGCACAATCAAGACACGTGCACAAGGGCTGAAAAATTATGGAAGGCAGGACAATCCTAAAAAAGAAATCCATAATGAGTATAGCAATTATCCATCTCCTGCTGAATCCGAAGGGAGATTTCATAATAAATTATCAGTATAGCAATTATCCACATGACAATAGCACTATCAATTATGGGTTAACGTCAACTTATATCAAGCTCCGGAAATTTTAGCATCATAACAGCACTGCACAAAAGGTAAGTAAGATGCATTCATAAGCAGAAAAGACACGTTACATAATTTCTATGCAAAGAAATTAGAGTACCTGTCTAACATGTTGATGAGCTCCTGTCACAGGACCTGCTTGCCTTAAATTTTCAATAGAGTTGTAATTACCTTCCAAACACTCTTCGTGCATAATCATTAGTTTTTCTGCAACCTGCGTGGAGCCATATGAAATGCAGAACCATATAAGGTAGAAGTGAAAATTGCATCCACAATGTCCAAAACTAGCTCCACTAGGACTGGCATAATGGAACAATAAAATAAGCCATGGCAACAGGGCATGGTTGCAAATAATATAAGTAAACTTCCACAGTTTCGATCAAGCAACATGATGATACTCTAATTACAATGACATACTTTACAATTATACAAGTTGATAGTAACAATAACTCATTGTTACAATTACACAAGTAGAAAACAACTCTTTGACACAATATTGCAAAAAAGTTATACCTCCTCAACGCTTCCATCCTCAATCATTGTGTTTAGAGAAAGCAATCCTTCATCCAAGATATTCTCTAAATCATCGATATAAAGTGGCTCTGGCAGAGGGATGAAGAAGATACACTCAAAAATAGAACAAGGAATAAGAAACAATTAAAATTCACTCTTCAAAATAAAGAAATAGAATTAGATACTAGCAATCAGAATATAATTTGTAGTTAAAAACTTAAAATTATGTATTCTAAAACCAAAAACCCATCAATATGAAAAGAATCAAGCATAATCAATATTTTTTATCAGTTCAAAAACAACCCTTGAATATGGTGATTAGCTAGTTCTAGCAAAAAAACTCAATTAATTAGCAATTAAACAGACATTTCAACACAGAAATCACGGAAACTAAAACCAAATTATTCTACTTTCTCCAACTAAATAAAGATCCAGAAGGGAACTGCAAACGAGTGACCAATTAACAATCAAAAATTCTAAATTTGCGACATAGCAAATCGAATAAGGTAAAAAAGATCCCATCTTCGCCCAAAAATTTGATAAAAAGAAGGAACTTGTAATGCTTGAGTTGAGATTGGATGAATTGCACCGACTTGGGTTCAGTTACCTTTTGACTGAGTAAACCAGGACAAGACATCGGCGCCGAGCTGGTTAGCTAATTGGCCAGATCCGCGCCCGCCCCACTCATTCTGAACGGCAAGTTGCAGAGCCGACCATCTGGAGAGAACGAGAAATATGCCTTCTTCAAATATTGGCAATGACTCTGACAATAGCTGCTTTTTCGGCTGGCCGCTGCCGCTTCCGTCCATAGTGCTGCTTTCGATTCAACTACACTCTCCGCTTTTGAGTTTGTAAAACCCTATGTACTGTTTAGAGGAAGAGATCTGTTTGGTTTCAAGGATAGTGCAATTCTTTTCCTCGTTGAATTCTATTGTTATTGTTTTCTTTAGATTTTAATTTTAATTTTTTTTAAGTTCTATTTATGGCAGCGTTACTCTCATGTATCTACACTTTTTTTTTTTCCTTTTTAGTTTATATTTTTTGTCAATTAATATTAAAATTAATCGAGACTAACGCTGTTTTTTCCTCTCTTTTTTTTCCCATCTTGCCCCTTGAAACATATTTATTATTCATTTAATCAATTTTTATGCTAATCTTTGTTTCTTACCAATAAATCTTAATTATGCTTTTATTTTTTCACATCGTAATTCTTAAATCAAATTATTTTGAGAACAATATATGTAAAAAAATCAAATTAGAAAAAAAAAACCTCGCAAATTAAAAAAGAGTCATGTTTAATTGAAAGGGTTTGTCCATTTTTATTGAATATATCTATATATCTCCTTAATTTAGAAATTCTAGCTTGTCTGTCCTGTATTTTAACATCTAAAAATTAATTAATAAAATAAAAAAAAATCCAACCAACCAAATTAATTCTTCGAGTTATATTAACATTGAAAAACAAAATTGCACTATATATATATATTGGGAAAAGAGAAAGTTGAGTTAGGTCCATAAATAGTAAGGCAAAATAGTACCAATAAAGACCGAGTCAACAAAATCCATATTTATAGATTTATCTAAAAATCTGATGGAAACTAGCAATTCACCTCAAAATCAGCCGAGTGTGGCGCATAATACACAAATGTCTCTGCATTTTCCTCCCCACGTCTCATTGCTTAACTACACGTGTCCAAATCTTGCATGTCCCCATGCACGTATAAGAACATCACCGTCTTCTAAAGAAACCCTAAATCAGATTTACTGAAAACAAACAAAGAAATCAAATTAGAAAAGACAAATAAGGATGAGCCAACTAAAGCCTGAAAGGCCTCAAGAAGAGGAGGTAGCAGAGATTAAAACTAATAATAATAGCGTTGAACAGACTATAGCTGAGGATAAGCCAGAAAAGCGTTTGATCAAAGAATCAATTGCTGGACAGGTTCTTTAATCTATTTTTCACGTTCTCTCTTGGAAATTCATTGATTCAATCATTTATGTGTGTGTGTATATATATATATATATATATGCCCTGAATACAACAATTGAACTTTTTTAATTTCAGTTTATAACTTAATTTAAAGAGAGCAATTTTAATAATAATAGAACATTTATTTGATGAAGAACAGATGCAGATAGCAGAACAATATTCCAACAGAGCTCAAATTCAGTCATTGCCTACAACAATAACATTTCCACAAGGTGGTGTTAGTGGCTGTGGTGGAATCACAATTGGTGAAGCACTTGAAGCTACAGCACTAACAGCCGGCCAGAAGCCTGTTGAATGGAGTGATGCCGCCGCGATTCAGGCTGCTGAAGTAAGAGCCACTGGTCGCACCACCATTAGCCCTGGCGGTGTTGCCGCTGCTGCACAGTCTGCCGCAACCCTAAATGCTAGGGCTACGAGAGATGAGGATAAGACGAAACTCGCTGATATTCTTGCGGTACTTCCTTACATTAACACATTCTTTATTATTATTGACTCTTTTTTATCCAACACATTTTCCAATATGGAGCTTGTGAATATGTTCTTATAGGATGCGACTTCAAAGTTACCGGCAGATAGGCCGGCGACGAGGAAAGATGCAGAAGGGGTGACGGGTGCAGAAATGAGAAATGATCCGTACCTGACTACACATCCAGCAGGAGTGGCTGCTTCTATAGCGGCGGCAGCGAGGCTTAACCAGCAGAACTCTTTCAAATAATTGAAAGCACTTTAAATTAGGGTTTTTTTCTGTAATATTAACGCTTTGAAATTGAAATAAACTGGACGACTCGGAGTTTGTTACATATGTCTTGGGCGAAAGAAAGAACATAAATGAATTTCTTCTCTCACCCATTTTGTATTTAAAACTGAAGATCATGTTAAATACATAATTTAATTTTTTTTTTTTTTTTACTTTCTAATTTTGATGTGATGTTATGGGTTTTATTTGGATTACATCTTGTAGATTAGAGATTCTTGAATGGGATCGGAATAATGCCCTATCAATTAGGGAAATGTTGTCAAAGATGATCATCTACTGCACATAAGGCAATAGAAATTTGAATTGGTGCGTCAATGAGCTTCAATAGAATGTTTAACTTCGTGGCTAGTTGGAAAATAATGTCACTTATTATGTAGTTTTTGTGACAAATATATGGGGGGGGGAAATAATTGCCCTATCAATTAGGAAATGTTGTCAAAGTGATCAGTCTACTTGCACATAAAGGGCAATAGAAAATTGAATTGGTGCGTCAATGAGCTTCCAATTAGAATGTTTAACTTCGTGGCTAGTTATGGGAAAATAAATGCTCACTTCATTATGTAGTTTTTGTGACAAAATCCCTATATATATATTATATATATATATATATATATATATATATAATATATATATATATATAATATAACAAAAAAGAACTTGATTTCTCAGTATGGATGTTTCGAATGACAATATATATTTACAATATGCTTGGAATATGGAATTTTTCCTTTTAAAAAAAAAGTCAGTTTCGGATTTTAAAATATAAATATATATATATATATATCGTTATATAGATTGTATTTGTTATCTCATGAAATTGTCATTGTTTTCTGGTCTAAATTTGCTATTTTGATATAATTAAAATGTCGAGTAGGAGTCTTAAACGTATTTTGAAAATAATAGTGAAATTTTGAATTATGCTGTAAACCTGTAATAAAACCTAAGGTAAAATTAATTACTTGTAGCTTTTAGTGATAATGTCAAGCGAATACAGATTTGTAAAAAAAAATCTGCATATAGATATATATATATATATATATATATGTTATATAGATTGTATTTGTAATTCTCAATGAAATTGTCATTGTTTTTGGTTAAATTTGCTATTTGATATAATAATAATGTCGAGTAGATCTTAAAAGTATTTTGAAAATAATAGTGAAATTTGAATTATGTGATAAACCTGTAATAAACCTAAGGTAAAATAATTACTTGTACTTTTAGTGTAATGTAAGGAATACAGATTGTAAAAAAATCTGCATATAGGATAAGATTTGCCTGCACCTGCACTTGAGCATGAGGTCTCCCATATGAATGCTTTCATTTGATAAAAAAATATTTTTCTACTAATTTTGGCGCAATGAGTGTAGATAAATCATTCCCGTATAGAAGTTTTCTTCCTATTTAGACCGGTGAAGTCAGTGTGCCCCATTTGCATCCCCTTGTAATCTCGTTCGGCCAGATTGCCTAGATTTTATTTGGCTTGGATACATCGTCTCCTGCTACTTCTATTTAGTGCATTGGCGTAGCCATTTTTTTCCAGATTGTATTAACTATTTAACCTGGCTGGTTTACTTTAGCGCACCCAAATCTATCTTTTTCAAAATTAATTACTACAAACAGAATTAGATAAATTAGATTGAGGTCAGAGACGAAGTTTAACAATATCGTGCCTTTAGGACCATAAGGAAACTGTAAAATGTCGGGTCACATAAAACAGAATAACAATTACCATGGAGAAAAACTGTTGGAGATCTGGAAAAGAGCATCAATTACTACAGCCAAACTCTCGCCCTTCACTGCAGTAACGGAATATATTCCTCTCGTGTTTGTAAAAACATGACTTACTATGTCTGCATAATCTAAACTCAGATTTGATAATAACGGGTGAAATTTTTTGAGAGGTAAATTTGAATTTTCACCAAGCATAGACAATAAAATCCGAATGCATGATAACATCAGAAAATTTAATGTTCAGGTGATTCCAAATCCACCTCAAAAATCATATATGTAGTTCTATCCAAAGGAGCTGCCAATGAATGATCTCTATGCTACTGATGAGTTACGAATACAACTGTATACATTATTCCAACACCATTGATAGAGCGCAAGACAAACTAAAAACTGGCTCTATCATTCTGATCCATCTTGAGATGAAAGCAGTGATTTAAATACAACAAAACCCTATCATGTACAAATCTACAAAATGCAACATTACAAAATGGAGGACAAAAAATATTCCTTCCCTAAATCATATCTATAAACATGGAATTCCATGAGAATTACTCACCCTTGAAGATTGCAATTTTCCGTGTATCAACTGCCAAAACTAACCTTTTCAAGCGCCAGTTCTCTGGTGATGAGTGTTAGCAAGACTTGCACCAACTCTCTCACCCTTGCTTCCCTGCCAACAAATTTTTCGATACATGATATAAATGTGTAATCTATATTTTAGGCTAGTTTGGCCTTGCTTGGGCCAAAAGTTGCAAAATGTACTTTTGTGCAAATGGATGATAGATTCTTTTAAGGCTGGGTTCGACTCAAATACGTTTTGAAAGACCCAAACCACAGTAGGCCAGTTTCCGGTTAAAGTGGTCCAGCACCTAGTGCCGGTTCAAGTCTCATGACATGATAATTTAATTAAAAAATGTGAACCCTACAACTACACAATGTTTTGTAGCCATGACCCACATGCATTGGAGCTTTCCACTTCAAGTAGTACACAGGACTAAGCCATCAATCTAAATATGGTCTTATTGCTTATAAATGGCTACTTCCAATGTTCCATGGATATTGCAAAACAGAACATCAGTTTATTTTTGTATTATTGGTATCCTGAAAATTTTACAGCTAAGGTTGTCTCAAAATGTTAATACATTACTCCGTCCATCATTTATTGCGAGTTATTGCCAGAATCACAGCAATGATCTCCCCTATGCCTTTTTTTTTTTTTAAACAATACTAGATATCTGTCAACGTTACAAGTCTAGTGAACAAATTATGCTTAAAAAATAATTTCTCACCTGGTTGTTACAAGATCACAAAAACTGGGAAATAGCACGAGTAGATGGGGATGCTTGTTTTCATCCTCCTTGTCTTCCAGGATACTTCTCAAATTAGAATGCAAAGGAAGAACAGGCACTGTATCTGGATGTATTCTCAGATGAGCTAGTTCTTTAAGGACGTAGAAAATTTCTTCAAGCCTCACTGCTGGTAATGGATGTTCACCTGCTGGAGCAGTTGTGAAGTTCAACAAGCATAACCAAGAAGATGAGATTGATGCTTTCACCAATTGATAAGTTGCATGATAGAAGCTATGTACCTAGATCCTTCTCGTCCATCAGAAATCTGTTAAAGATGTCTTCGCATCTAACTATAAGAACCATGAGTGAGATTTTGCTCACTTCCAATCTTGTTGAGTTCCAATCACTCACTTCATTGTTAAAACTGAAAACACATTAATGGTTCATTAAAAATAATATTCCACAAAAGAAAAAAAAAAAGATAGTGCAGCCAAGGGATTTGGTTATTATAATATAATTTATCTATCCATAACCTCAATTCTTCAAATGTTTTTATACGGGAGAGAGATTGCTGAATGGAGGAGCTTCCAATGATTAACAAATGTAGCAGCAGCATAATAAATTTGACATTACCAACTGATTGCTCAATATGTTTACTTGTTCTAAGAACAACAATGGTATTGGATTAGAAGAGTCCACACATACAAGTTGTTGACAGAAGCAACAGCTTGAACCTTCAGGTTCCTACAAGCACATAATCAAAGAGAAGGAAAAATATCTGGGACAATGCATATTTTATGTATTTCATGGAAGGACAAGATCCTGGGGTTGCTTATTATATACCATGTCATTCAAGAGAAAACAAAAAAATCCAAAAAGATAGAAAGAAAATTAGATTGGCCTACTGAACAGTGATTTTTACCTGCTCAAGAAAAACAATTTCTGCAAGCAAGCCAGGGAAAATCTGCTACAATGGGATGGCATAAGCTCCACGGTCTCAACAGGCAAAGAGCATGTACGTGATGCACAACGATCCATGGTGGAAACTAGTCGCCCCAGAATCTGAATGAAAAATGGAATTAGCAAAGCAAGAGTAATCAGGCATCAAAGCCTCAAACCATGAAGAAAACTTTGCAACAGTGTTAAAAAGGCACATGAACTATTAATGTGCAATATATAATCCAACTGGAACTATCCAGGTTCCACTAACGATAATTATCACATATATTATATGATTTGGGTCATCAAAGTAAAATGCTAGAAAATCAAAGCAAAGTTTGACCTATGGCTACGAGATATAATAGCTTTGGAAGACTCAAAATTTTGCAGATATCTAATCTAACAACCTGGACAAACTTTATAAAGTGGGGTAATGCATGAAAAGCGTCTAGGGTTGATTAATCCTTTAAACAATTGGCATATTCTAGTTTGGATATCAAACCCAAATCTGCTACAGAAATTAATATGTTGAGTAGCAGAGTGATCCCACCCAGTTCCCATGCCTCGCCCCAACTTTTTCAGTTTTGCATCCATCACTTCCCTAGTGGGAGAATAAGCGTAATAGTTGAAGATGATCAGTCGAACTACGTCTATAAAGATATTATCTATATGTGTCTAGCCAAGGCCCCCATGTCACACAGGTAACACAAGGTATGCTATAGTAAGAAAATTACATCAACAGGTGCATCAATTGGCGATTTAAGAATCTTATCACCCAAAACGTGCAAAATGTCCATCTCCAGTGCCTCATCAGCCTTAAGTGCTGCAGCTGAGAATGAGTTGGAAGGGATGGCACGACCACAATAACCGACAAGGAATATTTCGTAAACATCTGCTATTTCTTTCCATACACGCATTCTTGCAAGTCTACTAATTTTCGAATCTGGTCCAGAGTTCATATGAAATTTGCAAAAATCATCAACAAGAATACGATTGAAGCCTTCAACAGCGACTCGCCAAAGTGACCCATCTGGATTGTCTCTTCTCGTTGTCATACACCTACAAAATAAGCTCAGTTTTTTTATTTACATTTCCAAAAGTTTCTTCTGACAAGCAAGGAAAGCACAAGGGGCACAGTTCCCTAATTTGTTCCGGCTTTTCTGACATTAAAGCAAATTGGTTACCTAACACTATATACAGCATTGCATATGATTCTATAATATCAGGTATACTGGCTCCAATCCACCACAATCCATTCTGAAATTACGTATCCATGGATAATATACAGAACTCATTTGTGACTATTACATATCTGTTACAAATCAAGATACTGAATTTGCACGTGTATTTCACATTCCATGTTATAATACATTGATCCTCATTTTTACTGCATGCGGAATCACAGATAATTAGCTAATTAATGTGTTGAGATTACTTCTCATTTTCAATGAACGGAATTATAGCTCATGACAATTGATAGCATAAATGCAGGACCAGATAATAAAGTGAATAACCATTACCTTCCAAGACTTTGAATAATTTCTGGAAATATAATATATTTTTCAACTACTGGAGCCTGTAGCAAAAGATCTATTATCACAGGAACAAGCTTTTCAGCAAACACACAACTTGGGATCCCACTGAACAAAGTTGTTGATTCTGATCCCTGATGTGGAGTTTCAACTTCTTTTGGCAAAATGGAAGCTGTACCATTAGGTGTTTCTTTCTTTCCTTTACCCATGCAAACAATTTGAGAATTTCAACATTATTATCACCTTAATGGAGATTCTGGATAATTGATACCAAGCCAGTTACGTACCTGAAACATTATTACTAATGGCCGTGTGCTTAACCTCAACATCCTCATTTGTTAAAGAAGAATCTGATCTTGGCAGGTATTGCAAAAGCTCCCTAAGAAGTACAAGCCACATTGACGAGATATGCTCAGCTGGTTGTAATAGCGGTAAGATTTCTAATATAGTACGCAGCACAGGTGGAACATGTCCCTAGGGGAAAGTCACCTTTTCATTAGATAATTTCATATGTAGAGGAGTCAATTGCACATAATCTGTGAAGGACCATGTTTGAAACAAAAAAGTTTACTTACAAATTCACTTTCGAAGTTATCATTAGTAGCTATGATTTGCTTAACGGCCAAATTTATGATTGCAATCAACTGAGAGAACATCTGATCATCAAACATCCTTTGTGCTTGCACATACATTTCACCTGCCAAAAATTTGAGGTCATCCAAAGTCCAAGCAGCCAAATAAAGGTTCCAAATCCAGAGGCACAACTTTAATAAAGACAACATTAATCACTTCATTAAGGGCAGGACAAATGTCATCTTCAGACATCAGAACAACACATGGGCAGGATATGGATTAGTAACTGAATATTAATATAATAATCTTTTCATGTGATTGTTATCTATGCTCAATGACATCCTGGTCTTGCAAAAAATTCTCAGGCTGAAGTAACAAATTACCAAGATCATGTAAAATCTCCTGCTTCACCTTGCTAGCTGCATTATCACTGTAGTCTGGGGATTTTCGAAGTACATGCTCATATACATCAAATATGGAGTTAAGATAAGGCATTGGCAAATTACCCTGAAACAGGAAATCATTTAAGTTGTAAACAATTATACACAGTTGATATTAGAAGAGTGTGACTATAAGAGTCTGTCACTGCTATATTTACACATGCAATTTAAAAAGACATCATGTCAACTATTTTAACTTAAAAAGAGGAAATAGTAGCTCTAGTTTTGACCGTGTAATTATTACCTTGAGACTATGAGAAACAACAGTTGTCTGCAAACAATTTATAGCAGCAATAGCAACCTCTTTACTACCATTTAAAATACTGTTCTTTACAAAGAGAAGCAAAGATTCCCATCCTGCCCAAATGAACATCATGTAATATTCATAGGGGTTTTCTCAGTAACAATGCGAGACATGCGGAAGCTACAATGTTTATACCTGACCAGAAATTGCTTAAGCTACTGAGAAATGGAAAGAAAGAACGTAATAGACGTGCTATTCCACCAAGGACCAGCACAAGTGTTTCATCCCATTGTTTCTGTACTGTGTTACGACTGCAAATTCGAGGGAGAAGGATGCACAAATAACACTATCAAGACAGATGAAACTCCATATAAATTCACAAGAAGAAAATATATAACATTTATACCTGTGATGTATCAGCATATGAACAGCCTTTCCTCCTCGAGTTCCTAGTTCCTTCCCTTGTGATTCATCTTTTGATGACGTTGCAGCCTACATAAACACATACATCCTATTAATACAGGCAACAAAAGCTCTTAAATAAAATTTGTGCTTTTTTTCTCTACAGAAAAGGGCAATTGTTATTATTACCATGTGCGAAGCTTGATCTAAAGCAGGAAAAACATAATTCCAAAGACAATCTTCCCACATGCTTTTTGAAAGTTTTTGCCCGTTACTTCCGAGACTCTGAAAGAGTGTCCTGACAGCAGCATTTCTGACCTGAAAATACAGCTCAAGTTCAAGTTCCAGTTCCAAGAAAAGAAAAAGAATGAAATACAAATGGATTTAACTAAAAACGTTATTTTACTGCCTATAGCTACATGAATCCATATCCTCTTATGGGTCTTGCTTGAAATTCTGTATATGCCTGGATGCGTATGAGCATGCGGAGGTATAACTTCCACCCATGAGACTTCTTTCCTAACAAATAAAAACTAAATACATGTATAGATGGATGGCTAGTGTGGGAATGCTCAGAGATGTAACCACTCAATAGACAATTTCAAACAAACATTGAATTAACTCCCGAAAGATAGTGCATTATTAAAACCTCCACCTGATGTAAAACAAAACTTTTGTTGAACTCCACAGGTCACAGCTCCGCAAAACCATCTTAACTGGAGGAGCATGTGCAAGTAAACATTATGACCTTCACACATTTTTATCACTCAAATTATTTGTTCTAAACCATGTACTACCACCAAACTATGCCAAATCTTAGTTATAATGAGGCCAAAACCATCATACCTCTGGTCTCTCATCAGCTCCAAGCCGTTGAAGTAATGAAAATACAGAGAACAACAATTTGTCACGATCCGTTATATTTATTGGGGACGCTTGGTCATTAGGTTTATCAGTTACTTCCAGAGTTTGTTCTTCCTTTGATTCACCATCTGTTTGCCTCAAAATAAAATGCTCATCGAGGACACCTATAGTTTTTTAACAAAGCAAAACACTAATCCATAAAAGTTTAATGTAAAGATAGCTGATGAAGTAATGTGGCTGCTAAAAGTAACAGTTTGCAAAGGAATCTCAACTGGTTTCCTTTTCTTCTGGAGGTCCATTTAGAAGCGTCTTTGCAATAAAATCAGTTGTGGTCCATAAGAGGCCTATTGCTGTTAGACTTATATTCAACTCAGTCTTCTGAGAACTGTATGCTCCAGTGACATCTACACATCTGCAATATAAACATCAGCATTTACTGGTATGATTCGAACAGGTGTGGTAACTATTATCTTGAACAGTATATTGATATCATAAATTGCAAGCTATCCACTATCACTTTCATAAAAAGATGTGCAAATTGTTCTGACTGATAAATTTATGTAGTTTTATTAAGTATTCAAAATTTATGTAGTTAATTGTGTTCTCTCTACCGTCATGTTTCTAAATCTTCTCCTAACTCAGAAAATTCTGAAAAAAGTTGTTTCTATTTATTATTTCATAGCGAAAGGGATTTGACAAAGAGAAAGCTATTCAAAGTATACCGGATTATGTTTCCGCAAACTTTGAATATCCCACTAGGAACAAAACTGAACAAATCGTATTCTATCACAGAATCACTGTAGCACTTATGACTAACCATATATTTAGAACCTTTATTTTACAATGCAGAATAAATGAAAATGTCATTATACCATTTGCTTAAAATATTAGGGAATTACTTTTTTCAGTATAGTAAAATATATATTTTATATTTCAACACTTCATGAAAATTCTATTCGAATGCGTGAGCACACAGATACACAAGCATGCATGTAGAAATCTATAATATGCACACGAAATGTTTATTTAAGTAAAACAAGTTGTAGCAGAGAAGATATGTAACGGAATAGATTAAGGAGAACATTATTAAAACAGCTAAATTTGAAATCTTACACGTGGAGATACTCAGTGGGTATAGATGTGAGTCCATCATTCATAATGACTCGTAGGCTCTGTAGGAAAACAGATTCATCAGATCTTTTTCATAGAAAAGACCAAGCCATTGTTCTTATTCAGTATTCCACAATGTAAATATATTATTGTAAGAGAATTGCAGAGCACATTACGGCTTAGGATTTCAATGACCAAATGTATCATACAGATCATAGTGCAAATAAAAACATCAGAACGCATTTTTTTTTAGTTCCCATTATGATATGTATATAAAGCATGTTTGTCCCAGGGTATGCCACATATGTGTAGCCAAAGGAAGAATGTAATTAGAAAGAAGATTTCGAAATCCACAGACTCAGGCATAATGTTTAGGACCTGGAAGCCCAAGGTGACAAGATCTTTCTCTGGCGCATCTGCAACAGACCTGAAGAGGCACAGGAGTAAAAGGGATCAACCAAAGACAGAAAATTCTTAAATGGAAATGGGCGATTGAGAGCAAATAATTCTTCAAATACTGAACCTTAACATTTCAAGAATATTTGGCCAACTGTAATATAATTTTTCTCCATGCCTCTGAAAGAGAAAAATAAACAAATAAAAAAGGGTTGTAAGAAAACATTATAAGAATAATTAATAATCAAAGATAAGATAAGTTAAATTAAATTATAATCTATTTTAGTAAAGCCATGTCACCTCCAAAATATGGAGAAGAATTTTCAAGGAGCCAGCATGAACATCTGCATTTTGAGTGGAAAAATAAAGAGCCCTAAGTGGAGATACGACAGAACACTCGAGCGATCTCAACTTTGCATGCTTAGTTTCCATCTGGAGAGAGTGCAACAACAATAAGCAGCATAAACTCCCAAAGTCAATAGACTACTTGTCAGCCATGAAGAGTTAAAATTTACTCACATCATAAGTTACCCCATGGAGTCTGGATTGCATGTAATCCTGGAACTGTTCAGAACCTAAAACAGCAGATATTGATCGATCTAATGCATCGAAGGCCATATTTCGCAAATGCTGATTAGAATTATCAGCAAGCTGCAATAAATACATGCGATGTCAATGACGTAGCAGCACTAGAATTATACCATACAAGAAAAATAAACATAAAAATTACCTCCATGAAGTGCCCCACTACATGATCCCACAGTGGCTCTACTCCTGCAATATAGTATAAGAATGAGCGGTAAACATAAAATTATCCAGTTTGCTTGACTTTGCATGAACTTTTAGCAGAGATGGGCATATACAGATCTATGAATCTAAAACAGGTACAAGTTACAACTTATTACAGACAAGAACATTTTTAAGTGAAAAAAAAATGGAGCACAGTTTGGAATATGATAAAAAATTTAAAATGAAAATGTCAAAACTCTTAGAGACACTAGCAGTATTAAGAAGTATCAATGAACACTCAAATTCACCGGTGTTAGTCTAGTGTAAAAATCCACATCAATAAGAAACCATAAAAAGGTTCTCCAGTACATAGAATGATAAAATCTATAGAGATTAGAAAACCTAGGAACTTTAAGTACAACTAAGAGAGACTTTTTAAACAGTAATACTCGATAACACTGAGTCATTAGCAAAAGGCACTTGGGGAAGGGGAATTCTTGTTTCAAAGGCCTTTAGGAATACAGCACAAACATGTGACTATAAAAAGAGAATGTATTAGTGATAGGTAGCAAATTCATAGCATATCAACATGAATCCAGAGATTACGCTGTGTAAATGCTCAAATATGCAAAAGCAGAAAGGAATACAATTTTATTACACCAATTACTGCAAATTCCACATTACATACTGTGAAGATTATTGACAAGAATGGATATCATCCTTTCCACTGAAAAACTGATGCTTCCAATCTTTTGATTCACTGCTGGGCCAAAACCACCTGACGCATCACACATGCATTGGTGTGACAATTGACGCAGTGCAGAAAGAAGTGATTTAACTGCAGATATGCGCATCAATGCTGAACTCTCAAATAGCTTCACACATCAAGAAAAGATTAGTTAGAATATGCAGTCCAGTACTTTAATGTTTTGACAAAAAGACAATGCAGATCCATTATATATTTGTTTTTACATTTCATTGAAAATGGTAATATTATATGACACCATATTCAAGAACTCAAGATGAATAAAAAGTTGGAGAAGCAGCAAGCCACTTCAAGAAATAGGGGAAAATGTTGGTTTTCTTATTTAAGATGGCACCACAGCAGGGAGGGAATGGGACGGGAGGGGGTGTTGATGTTTATTTCTCAAAAAAGGGAATCATATAACAGGAAAGAGGACCAAAAAAAAAACACAGAATTCCAGAAATGTCTCAGTTCATTCCAAAAAGAGTTCTGAGAGATACAGTTCTGACATCTGCTACCAAATGGCACAGAAGTTCCACTACTTGCCTGGGAATTTAAAGAAGACAGAACACTGAAGTCACTGTATTGGCCAGAAGATTCTCTAGGAAGCTTTGAGACAGCCGTGGAGACTTCCTGAGGAACAAAAAGGATGTACTAAGCTTTAATTTAAAGCATCAAAATTGTCCTCCTCAGAGAACCATCCTTACAAGAGATGAAGAGCCTAGAGCCGCAAAAAAAAAGTTTATTCAGATTATCAAAAAGCAATACATGTCAATTTAATACATAGCTGACCATTGAGCAGAAGATCTATCAAAGCCACAATGCCATTTTCATCATATGTAATATTGTTCATTTAGTATTTCCCAAGAATTGTAACAAGTACAAGGAAACATAGCAGGCCTCATCTACTGCAGTAACAGAATTATGGTTTTCTAAGTTAAACTTTTCGGATGAAGTGAATAAAATAGGAGAGCCACGTTCAACCTCACATTTAACACAAATAATCCAGACTGGGCGTTATTCCACATCATTTTTGTGCTGTGACTGTAATTTTAGATTGGAACCTATATGGTATATAACATACATTACTCAACTCTTTGATGTATTACATCAAAGCATATTCAAATCAGATCCAACCCACTTTATAAGTGGTTCTACGAAAAGTTCTAATCAACCTATATTCAAATTTTAACAAAGATGGGTATGTCTGTGCAAAAGACATGCATTATTTAACATATTACAATTACCAGTAATTTCCAGACCATGCCCCATAAATATAACCACAATTCAATATTAACCTGAGATAATTTCTAACGTTACCTGCGTGGTGGCATGTGGTGAGTGGATTGCCCGATCTAAAGCTGCCAAAGTTTCCAAAACCTGAATTTATTATTAAAGTCAGTACAGATTATAAACATCAGCTCATAACAGATACAAAAAAGCAAAGTAGGAAACCAACTCACTAAAACCCATGATGGCCCCAAAACATTGTGCAACCGATGAGCAACGTTGAAGAGAGTCCTCAGGGCCTGAGTTACCAGAGCAATTGCAAAAAAATGAAGAAGCAGCTAACAGAGTAGGAATGAATAAATATTCTAAACAAATAAACCGCAGGAACAAAGGCTTCATGAATGTAAATATTAAGGCAAAATAGCAAAATTATAAAAATACCTGCACATTTTTGGGAGTAAGGACAACACTGTCCCTCTGTTCAACTAGTGACTCAGGACGTTTTGACCCAGGGGACAGCACTGCACTGCAGAAATCTCAATTTAATCCAGAATTTCAACTCATCAGGCGGATTGAAATTGTAAAAAAATAACACAAATCCAACATGTTACAATAAAGACCTAAACTAAAGTTTTAAAATGTCATTAGAAACTTATACTGCAGGTATTGTAGAGTCACCCAACAGAAATAAACCAGATAGTTTTATCATTTTTTTACCACTTGTCAAAATGTGCATCTTACATGAGCATATATAAAACTAAAGTTTTAACAATGTCATTAGAAACTTATCACTGCATGTATTGGTAGGAGTCACCCACACAGAAATAACCAGATAGTTTTATCATTTTTTTACCAACTTGTCGCAAAATGTGCATTCTTCATAGAGATTAGTATATTATAATATATATATTTAATATATATATATTAGCAAAGCAAGATATATATATAGCAAACAAGAATAATTGACGCTTCAACCTGAACACCTTACATATACAACAGTCATGAACAACTATTAACTGTTCTTGCTAAATGACTTCCAAGTATTCATTTTAATTTACAAACCATGTTTAGCTTACTGTGAAATGATTGGAGACTATCTGGAAATTTCCGGGAAAGGAAATTTTAAAAGAAATGCAAAAAGAGTAATGGTCAAGAATCTTTTTCCAACGTTTATCAAGTAACAACATCCTTAAGTTCAAATCTTTAGCCCTGAAAGAGGGAAGGAACATCAATTGGACATCTCTCAGCATTATCAACTTAAGAACTCAAGAAGGGTAATACATGTTACTCTCTTCCTTGATCAGAAGGGAGCGGAACTTTTTGGCTCACTTTCTAAGAAGATACTGCAAACTACAAGCTCAAAAAGCTTTGCAAAGAAAATAACTTTTGGCACGACCATCTAGAAATAAATTGAGGGATTACAAATCTATTGTTTGAAATGAGGCAATTCTAACTATCAGGGATATTTTTGCAAGCACGAGTTTCTCCTATTCTTAATTGTAAAAGGAAAATTCTATAAATTGGCACTTGTGACCTTTTCCTTTGTAGTGAAAAATCACGGGTGGCTCTTCACAGGTGCAGGTGTATTGCAAAACCAAATCAAAATCCCTGTGTTTTCCTATCTGCTTTTTTCTGATCTGTGTGAAGATTTTGCATGCTTATTTTTCAACAAGGATTAGGAAAGGTATCTCTCATAGTTTTCTGAATCACTAATCAGTAGGACTCCTTTTGTAGGAAGTTCTGAAGGTAAAAATGATTCAGATTTTTTACATGACCCCTTGAGAATTTCTACACCATCTCTAGATCAAAAAGCTTTCTAGGCCAATAGAGCTGAACACAATATTTTCTCTATGCTTACTATATTGTGAATATTTTGCACAAGTGCTGTGTTGTTTACTACTTGTTTTGCTCCCTAAGGAATGCAAGAGACATTTTTCACCCAGATATGAAAATTACCTCTTCTTTTCTGCTTCAATTGGAAAATTAATAGTGAATTTGCAAAGAGATGCTAGAAAAGAGTTCAAAGGTTCTACAGCAAGAAGAACCCCACAAGCCTGCAGAATAGAACCCCATAGGTAAACAAATTGAATCTTTTGAACATAATTAGATTTGTAGTCATGTGTAATATCAGGAACGGAAAAAACCGGAATTAAAACTCAAAGAAAACTAGAATTGACTTTGTGAGGGAAAAGAAAAGAAATGAATAAGAGCAAAGATCCAACATTTGAATACATCAGATACCTGAGTGAATGCTTGATATCCCTTCAATATTTCCAACACAATAGCCTCTCCTTGTGACCTTCACACATAACTCACATGTCAGATACACATTGTTTTTATCTAATTCTTTAAGTACATCATCTTCCAAAAGAATAATTCAACGAACCTCGACAAGATAAGGGACAAAGCATCAAGAATGGTCAACCACAATGAATCAACCATTGCAATACAAAGAACAGCAGTTTTCCCAGTAAATTTTGCTGCAGTATCATACTCATATCTGGGAGATTCAAGCTGGTAGTACCAAGAGAGAATAAAATCTCTTTTTATATTCTTCTTCTAGGAAGGGGGGAGAGGGTAATATAACAAAAGAAAATGTTACCTCGCCAGCATCAACTGCTTCATCTGTTAATGTAGCTACAGTAAATACGACACCCAACAGTCCTTCAACTGCCAAAGTTATTGCATGGGCTTCACTAGCAACCACGACGGCAGCGTTGGATGCATCATTATCCAGACTCCATTCAATTCCTGCAGGGTAAGAACTGTAATCTTCCTGAGAAACAAGAACTGCAATAAACAATAACTGAATTTTGTGACTCAAAGAAAAGCCAAATGAACCATTTTCATTGTGTATGCCTACTCATATTGAGTCCAAAATAATAAAATATATTGGAATTTTTATAAACCACAGCTCTTGAATCACCAAAATGGGGGTAAGGATAAAAATGCCACCAGTAGAAACAACTAAAATGATCCCTTCCAAGCATCCCTAAAATGTTAAAATTCAGTGAACTATGTTAAATACATAATTAAAGGTAAAGTTTTTCAAGATCATTTCTACAATTCATAATATATATATATATATATATATACTATATATATATTTATATATATCATTTATACCAATTGGTACTTTTTTTTTGTTTAATGAGTACCCATCATGCATCTATATCACATGTTATATATTTATACCCAATTTTTGGTACTTTTTTTTTTGTTTAATGGTGAGTACCATCATGCATCTATATCACATTTAAAAAAAAATAGACAAAAAATAAATATTGAATGCATCAAACAAATGAAAGCTTTCTTTACGCCATTTAAAGATTACACCTTGACCATGCAGGGGAGTTGTCTAAATCTATGAGCAACCTAGTTTACTTAAAATTTCTGCTTCTATATTTCAAAAAGAACCAAACAATACATCATTTCTTTATTTGTTTAATTCATTAAGCACTAAATTTTCAGGCTCTTCCTAGAAGAATATAATTCTGCATGTACAACAGATAATCAAATTAAGAGCAGGTTGAACGTTTATGTTTTACTTTGAATGTCAAATGATCTTTTGCTATCTATAATACTGGAATTACAATGCAGCTCCGTGAAACTACATAATGTTGCAACAAGATTGGAAAGTTGCTACAACTTCTATGAATTCAGATAACTTTTACCTTTAGCCTTGCTGCTAAACATCCCTGCAACAGCTGCCAAGCTCTCCTCACTTGTTTCCTGAACCTAACATGTTAAAATCCTATGTTAACAATAAATTCAAGTTATGCACAGGATATCCAATATATATCACAAACTTTCAATATCATCTAATGAAATATACTACTTACAAACGTTCAACCACAATGAACAAAAACTGAAAACATAATATATGGTGAAGGAAAATGCAGCAGGAGTTAGAAATAGAGGGCTCAAAACTGCATCAAAACACCTAAAAAGGACACCAAAAAGAAGCCTGGATGATATAATTAAAGTAGTAGCTCAATCTTTAATATAATTCAACAAAGCCTTAGTCTCAAATTAGATGGTAATCAATTAAAAGATATCTAAGAAAAACTAAGTATTTTACCCACAACATTCAAACATGAGACTTCTTAGCACACGACCTCTTCCTCGCGCCTCTTTCAATTACACTATGTTGGGAAAAGTGGAAAAATAAATATTTTTGTAAAGGAAAGAAACTAAGGAGACAGAGGCATACTCTAGCTTTTGAAAGAGAGCAAAAATGAAAACAAGGGAAATAAAAACAAAATTTTCCACCATTTCTCGATTTCTTCAATTAGGAGAAAAGAGATTGAAAATGGTTATACTCCACAAAAGTTACTCATTTGCCAAGGAAAATACAATATTAGGATAAATTTCACAACAATTATTTGGTACCCTTCCATCCTCTTCACTTTCCTCCCATCCGAACAATAGAAGAGAATATTTTCTTGTCTACAAATGACAACTTTCTTTTATCTACCTTGATTCCTGAAACAAGCAAGAGAGGCAAGAAGTCCTATATCTGGAAACTTAATTTTTGGCAATCGACATGAAACATCAGACATGCCCCAAACCATAAACTAACATCAAAGCAGAGAAAATAAACACTTGAGAGTTGAGCCTCGAACCCATGAAAAGCCAGCAAACAGCCAACTAGTTAAAAAGAAGCCAAATGCAACATTAGAGAGGGAAGCAATGAATACATTGTTGGATAAAAGGTAAATACTAAAACAACCTAGTTCACAGCCAAAGTTTCATAAGATCAGGGGAAATTTGTTAATTTTTTTAGGGCCCACATGCAGCTGCTGATAGCAGAAGCGGTCATGATGAACTTTGCAACTGCAGCAATCAAAAATCCCAGTAGATGAAAGTCCAATACTGGAGAGTTCAACTTACAGAATTACAAAGCACAAAGACCATGAACCATCACTTAAGACAAAGCATATAGAAAAAAAACAACCTCCACAACAAATCACACCAATCTCCCCCAAGATACAAACAGTTCAGCATGAAACAGAAAATAAAAGCATTTAACTGACATTAGGCCCTTAACTACAAATTAGCGATATAGTTGAGGCGAACTAATAGGAGATGATCATAAGCCAGAAACAGTTGAAACATTTCACCTGTAAATTTGAAACAACACGAGCAAGAGCTTTAACCATACCCTCCACAACATTTGTGTTCTTAGGATGCCTACAAGAGCAAGCAAATCCAATTGTTACACATGAAAATAGAACTAAAAAATAGATTTCTCTCAATGGAAGAATGGCCATGGGGTAAGAAAATGAAAGAACAGAGTTATCAGAAAAGACAAAAGAAAAAACGGACTTTCTTCATACATATGGGATTTGACATGACATATAAAATAAGAGAGATAAATTTATTCCTTTTTGGCATACAAGGATTTCTGAAAGCAATATTTTTTGTACTTTTCCTAAGATTGTTCTTAGGGCCTCCATCTTTTTTTTTTTTTTTTTTTTTCCTAAGATTGTTCTTAGGGCCTCCATCTTTTTTTTTTTTTTTTGGCTCTCGGCGTTTTTTTTTTTTTTTTTTTGGGCTCTCGGAAGATACATGCACAAGCGCACAGAGACAACATCTCATAAGTAGTTATTTTGCTATAATGGTGATCTTCAATGCTCTCTGGATGTGCATGTACAAGTGCGCACAACATCACATAAGTAGTTGTTTGCCATAATGGTCATTTAAATAGGTGAATCTTCAACAGCAGCCCGAAGTTTTTCCACACTGACCATTGTGCTTGTACTCAACATGGTAATTCTGCAATAATTTCATCAAACTCAATGTGTGTGCGTGTAGAAGGGCACAAAGTCCTCTTCCAACCCAAGCACACACAACAGAACACTTAATTCAAATAAATAATTTATTTTGCTATGTTAGTTATTTAAATAAACCATTCTTCAACAGCAACCTAGCTCATTTCTCTCTAACACATATATGCTTGTAATGTATTTTCACTTTTATAATGACTTCATGTCTTCATCAAACACTTGTAGTTCATACAAAAGCTCAGTCTTTGGTAGTAATCACATCAAATGTGTCTATTACTGCACTGTCTTCTTATTTTATGTTATTTCTTATTAGCCCCTTCGGAACATGAATATGACATCCACATATATGAGAAGTGAGACAGAGGGTGCTAGAAAGAGAGAGACGAAGTGGGGAATATATTTGATAAAGTATTCACAACATGGAGAACAAAATGAAAGATGCAGAATAATAAAGCTAGTGCTTACATATCAAAGTTCTGGAAGAGAATGCGTAAAGTCCGAGCCTCCACACAAAAACCCTGTCAAATTGAACATCTAGAATCTCAATAAATTTCATAAGAAGTGTAGATAAAAAAAAAAAAAAAAATAAAAAAAAAAAAAAAAATAGTAATGCCCACAACTGCATGCTGGGAGAGATTACCCTTAAGATTCAAGCCACCCAGAATACGATTGCCATAATGGCAGATCAAGAAAAGGAACCTCAACAAAGCATGACCTAAGGAAACACACTGCCGTCATGGGTTTAGAATATCTTATTGGGATTATTAAGACTTTACTTTAAAAAAAAAAAAAAAAAAATAGTAATGCCACAACTGATGCTGGAGAGATTACCCTTAAGATCTCAAGCACCAGAATACGATGCCATAATGGCAGATCAAGAAAAGTAACCTTCACAAGCATGCTAAGGAACACCTGCGTCCAGGGGTAGAATATCTTATTGGGTATACAGACTTTACTTTCATATCGTGCAAAAACTTAATGAAAACAATATAAATACACATGGCTAGACTTATAAAAGCAGTTTGAGAGATATAACTTGATCCCAACCATTTTACACAGTTGTGAGAAAAAAAATGAGTGCAAGTATGAAATAACAAAGTGAAGCTGTCCATGAAGTAAAAGGGACCAGGACAGACCATGATGTTGAAAAACTGTGTTGGAAAAAATTCATAAATTCGGCCAAACTGAATGTAGATCTGTTAAAGAGATTAAAACTTTGACAAAAGCATTACATTAAAAATGCTAGCCACATGTCATTAGCATTTGCTTTTAAGTTGAATCATATATTCTAGTCATAAAAACTTCAAAACTGTTAAGCAACATTCCCACACTGCTTTCACCAAGAGTGTCTAAAATGGTGCTTTTCTAGGAACGCAGTTTCAACCTCAAAAATCAAAATAATCCATGAAACTTTCAAAACCCCACTAACCATTCTACCTTTACACCACTCTCAATACTCTGAGTATTCCTCTTCCTCCCTTAATTTCCATGGGAGAGTCCTTTAATCACCTCTTCTTTCTTTTAAAGCTTTGGTTATTTGTTTCTCACTATCAATGATAATGCCTAGGTAAAAAAAAAAAGAAGCACTACTTGAGTCAAAAATTGGCTCTATCACACAATACAGTTCCCATTAGGTAATAAATGGCTAGAAAGGAGAAATCCATGCTCTCTATCAAATCCTGAAAAAGTACAAGTAAAGAGAAAGAGCATAAGATAGTTCCATTCTCACCTCATGGTTTTTTTCATTTAAGGTTATTAATGATTCATAATACCAAATCATGCAATTGGTAATGCAAGTAAATACGGGTGCAACATTTTATGGTAACTTCAATGAATTATTTATTTATGGACCATATTAGGATATATGATGAAACAACTTTGATTACTTGAGATTAGAATGCAGATCCAATTTAATACAGTTTTCCATGCAGCAAATTTAATAAAAACTACAAGAAGAAAGATGCATTAGAATAATAATAATCAGAAATCAGTTTGGCTTCTAAAAATTTTCATAAATATAACATTTCAAGGATAGGGTTATTATAACAGTTGAACAAACCTCACACTCAGTAATAAGGGATGAACTGTATAGCCTGATAATATGTGCAACTGATCGCAAGACCAACCGGCGAAAAGACGGTTCTCCAGCTTCTCCTTCAATCTGTATCAAAATTGTAAGGTAAAAAATGTGTGCTATAGAAGTCATCATGGCACAATACTACAAGCACTACACAGATAAAAGATGCACTCCAATCATTTCAAAAAGAGAAGCTACCTCAGCATTGATACGAAGTGAAGTCATCAAAAGTGAACATATCTGGTGACGCATAACCTGTCAAGTTTCCATGCAAACTTTACAACTAAAAAAGTTCTGATAGCATACTCAAACAAAAAACTTAGAAATATTCTTAGAGAAGATATTCTTAGTATTACCTGTTCGTAAGGACTCAAGGTCTTGAAAATAACAACATAATTTGACAGGATGAACCTGCAAATGGAAACTTTCAGCAAAACAAATGACAAATTTATTTATATTGCCGAACATCATAGTTCTCGTTGAACAGAAAAATCTTCAAAACTTGTTATCTTTATACTTATAGTCATAAGAGCACAAGACTCATTCCAGAAAAATAGCCTTCAGTAAAGACCCAATAGAGGTCAAATGAAATAATCATGATCCCATGACTATCAATAAGTTCCAAACAGACTATCCTAACATTATACCTGAAAACATGACGGAAAACTACTTTCTATTAGTTCTACATATGTTTTTAATCAACAGCACAAGCTTTAATATCAAAATCTTACAGATGACTATTACTATTCATGAGGTGCTTTTTGCTATCAGGTAATCCTCTGGACCACTTTAACAAGGATGCTATATGTAAATAATTCAGCCCAAACTACTAGAACAATTTGCAAAATATAATCTATATTCTCTCAATGCCATGAAAACTTGATGGCAAGAACTCTTGTTTGTAATTGGAACTCCTCGCAAGATATCATCTCATTAAGCACAGCATCAATAATTTCCAAGCACTCGTATCACCTCAATGACTTCACAAGACAAACCATGAGAATCTCACTACTTGAGAAGAGCAGTTTTTAAGTTACCTTGGAGGATCTCATTTTATATAAAAAAACATATAGAAAAATAATATAATACTTTGTGCTGCGTTCCAAAGCCAAGGTTTTAAACATTAAAATAATATATTCAACTTCAAATATTAGAAACCAAGATAGATTTTACTCAAACATTTCAAACCAAGATAGAATATAGTCATTGAAATAAATGTTGTCATGCCAACCACTTCGAAAACCTAATAGTCATTAAGAATGATGTAGGAGAGGTGGTCAAATTTTCAAATGCTAGGTATAGGTGATTACATCTTTTTTTTTTAAAATATTCAAGGAGCTACATTTGAGCAATAAATCAACATGACTGCAGATAACAATAAAATATAAAATTGCATGCACATTTGAAACAAAGACAAACAAATACAAAATAGTGGGGGCCAAGGGCATCTATCTTACTCAAGTATATCAAGGACAAATATCCGTTGAAGGGAACTGACACGTAACCAAATTGCCTGTGAGATGAGGAAAATTTTTGTTAAAAACAAATGATATAATTTGACACTCTCAAGCAATTCCTAAGACATACACTAATAAAGAACAGACAAATAAGCTGGTTCCACAAGATATCTAATAGTTTCAAATAGCACATACAGATCCACCTGCAGCGAGAGCTGTCAGGTCTTCGAGTAAACGAAGCGCAAGCTTTCCAGCATTTGTTAGGATCTCCCTCATCAATGATTTCTCTCCAGAAGCAGGTTCATGCCCCAACGACCTGTTCATTCTTGCGTTAGATGTATGGATATGCCACGTAGGTTACATGTTGAAAGCTAATTCAAATGAAAAGACTAGTCTCCTTGGGATGCATGACCCACTCCATCCTAAAAAATTTGTGGAGCAGTCTGCAGATTCAAATTCACAAACTGGTTGAAAAGATATACCCACCAGCAGACGCATTCACATACGTATATCTATAGAATGTGTAGGGATCCATGTACATATATTGCATTTGCAATGTATAAACTAGAATCTAACAGAACACACGAATTAGAATGCTTGATTCACATATGGTTTCCATGATGGTTCACATACGCTGAATAATTGATGCTGCGACTAACATCACCAGTAACTGAGCTGGATCGAGAAATATGACCTCCAGAACCAAATTTTTTTGCAGGAAGAGACTCTGCATGAACCACATGATCAAAAATCAAAGCTACTGCCTGTCTGAAGGTAGCTGCAGCAGTGCTAGAAATGGCAACAGAAAAGAGCACGTAAGCAGAAGGTCAATAAACGTTTAATTCTGTTTTGGTAAAATTTGAACTTATTAACTTACTTCCGCACACTGTCAGAGGATCTGTTGTTTTCAAGAAGCTGAAGACATATATGAAGGGCTTGAGCCATATTTTCCTGAGAAAAAGAGCAATTCAGGGACATACACTTCTAACACCCGCTAATACCAACCACAACCAAGGCAATAAAAATAAAAAATTAAAAGAAACACACACTATTTGGTTACATCAAGTCTATGTTTAGCGATCTGTAATCTTTTCTTTGCAAATCCTCTGTGTAAACAACGGACAAGATAAACATGTCCACCATTAAATTGAAGATATGTGCTTAGCATTAAGATATTTTCAGCCAAATCGATGAACTTTGTTGACTCGGGAAAATGCAAACCTAGTACGATTTTAGCAAAAATAAATTTGTCACAAAATTGTCTAACAACCCATATATATTTTATCAGATGAAAGCTTGTAACCAGATTTAAAATACTATATAGCATTTCCTTTCTTAAACTGGATATCAATTTCCATTCAATGACAAAGCATCAGATCATAATATGCAACTACAATTTCGCCATATCCCCTTTTTGTTTTGAGATTAAGATTTTATTACTATACCATTCTCATTTATATTCTACTGGAACTGTTGAAGTCATCAGGTATTATCTCACATCTGATACACCTGAGTCCAAAAGCTTCCAAAATTGTTTCCTATCTGACTCCTAGTTATCACAAAACAGAGAAGGATATGCACCTATAATCATACATTTACAGAATGCTAATAAATATATGATAACCAAAAAACAAAAAAAAATATATCAGCTTATAAACAGCCTCTATACGTAGCAGGCACAAAACAAGAGGGTAAGGCAAGTTCAATTCATCCTTCTTCTGTTTTGTCCAATAAAGTTGAAAGTCTTATGTCGATAATGGCTGACACGGCAGCAGTTATTTATGTTCATTTAGAGTATTTCAACCTAACATGTAACAAAAACACAGATCAGTTTAACAACTTATATTTTCCACTTTAAAATCTATAGTTTTTGACAGAGTTTCAAAATATAGCACATCCATCAATGTGTTTCCTAAATAGTATTATCAAATCTCCTATAATCCATAGCTCATTGATTCTCAGTTCAATATCTAACAAAAATATATAAACACAGCAGAATCATAATATTTTGAAACATATTTTACATACATCATTCACAACATTTTTTTAAATAATTCACTACAGTTGAAATCCAGCTATACATCTCATTCTGGGAATAACACATTCTGCACACCCACCGAGGAGACAAAACCAAATAACTGATGTTACCTCATTCTCCGGATGTAATCGTGACTGAAATATTATTAATATGGTCTGTAAGGTCTTCAGTTGAACACTCTCATCTCCCATTTCAGCATGCTGCATGGAAGGGAAAATGACACAAAAGATTCTGTAAATTATCTAATTGCTTAATAAGAGAATAAAATGATCTTACATAATTGAATTCAAATGTTTCTGCCCAAAAATGAGAAGAAAATAATCTAACTACATCACCAAAAATGTCTACATAGAGAACATATCCTAACCTATACTTACTTGAAATGAATGTGTGCTTACAATAACTATTCAAATGCAGTAGGAATTATGTAAATTTATCTTTTTCATATTGTTGGGAGATGTAAGCAATAATTTTGTCCCACTAACCAATTGGAAACAATGGAAAACCATTTAAAAGAAAAGATTTCAAATCATAGATAGCCCTTCATGAGGAAGATTAGTGAAACAAAAGTGTGGTAACAAACCAAAAACCAATTAGAGACCAGAATAAAAGTCATCCGATTCATTCCATGGTTTGCAAAAAAACAGAATGTCCGACAGAACAGTTCATATGAACTGAAAGAGATCCCCAAGTCGTGTGGGGAACTGCAAGAGGAAAAGTTGAATTAAAAACAGAAAATAAGTTCTGCCTCTTCATAATACTGGTTTTCTTTCTTCCATGGAAAAAAAAAAAAAAAAAAAAAAAAAAAAAAAAAAAAAATCCCAAAGTCGTGGATGTGGGGACTGCAAGAGCCGAAAAGGTGAATTAAAAACAGAAAATAAGTTCTGCCTCTTTCATAATACTGGTTTTCTTTCTTCCATGGAAAAAAAAAAAAAAAAAAAAAAAAAAAAAAAAAAAAAGTTCTGCCCTCAAAAAAAAAAAAAAAAAAAAAAAAAAAAAAAAAAAAAAAGTTCTGCCCTCTTCTTTTTCACAATGATTTTTTTTTTTAGTTTATCCATACTATGAATATAACAAATTCATTTTAATCATCAAGCAATAAAGAAACATCAAGCTTTTGGCACCCCACAGAACAAGCAATAAAAGCCATAAAGTTAAGTATTTGCTAAATTCAATTTGAAGTAGAAATCACCACATCTGAGAAGTCAAATACAAATTCAGACACAAACTTACATCTTTCAAAGTAGAAAGGATCTCCTTTAGAGCTGATGGAGCAACTGTATCATGGGATATAAGCTTTTGTAAGCATGAAAGTCCAATTACACTCAGCTTGATATTTCTGACCTCACAAGCCATCAAAAAGATCCGTAGAATGTCCTCATTATGTGCAATCTCACTAGGACTTGATAGTGAACGAAGCTGCAAAGGCCATGACAATAAATTCATAATCTCAAATTTTAGCTGCCGTATCAATGGCCATATAGATTAAAAGGAATTGCAAAAAAATGATTGGAGAATAAAATTTCAGTTTTTGCATATTTTTGGTCAGTCACAATGCTGAAGCCAATAGCACGTTAAATAATTCCAGCAACTCGAACTCCAGTTCATTTTGCAGAATTTTTCAAATTCTACAGTTAATTGGAATACCTACTAAAGCTAAATTTCCATACAACACAGTCTGAAAACCTATTTAAATTAATTAAATCCACTTCTGAAAATAAAATTGATAATAGCATTCAGAATTCGCTACTCTTCTATCTCCCGTATTTTTCAGTACAAAGGTTTAGTTCTACGTGTTACGCACTCAACTGATTAAGCGGCAGTTAAGCTGCGTGTAGCTAATCCATTAAGCCCCTTCCTGATTCTCCATCTTCCTTACTCCTCAGTAACCAAATGCACAAGCAATAACAACTTTCCTATTCAACAAAGTCAGCCTGATCCACCAAACACTTCGAAAGTAGCTACACTAGACACCAATAGATAAATATATACAACTATCAAGCGGCATTTATCAAACAAAAGAAAAGCACAATTAGCACCTCATATTATAAATATGCACATTTGGAGAGTGCACGTGTACACACTATAATTACAAATAAGTGAGATTAAAGGCGCGCGAATTTGGACTCTAACCTTTAAAATGGCATGCTCTGCGCCGTCTTTGACTGCTGGATACCGCCGGCGCGCTTCAGCAGACAAGGCGCGAAGATCGGATTCTAAGACCGCCATGAAAGCCATGGCTGAGGCTCCGTTAGCTTGAGTTCAACAAATGCAACGAGGAATTTCTGGGGTTCCTGTACAGATAAAATGCTACTAGTAGAAATCGAGAGAGAGAAGGAGGGAAAGGAAATTGAGATCGATCAGCCTGACCAACGGGAAATGAAACAAGCTACTAACAGATCTTGAAGATCCATTTTTCTTTTTTTTTTTTTTTCTTTTTTGTTCGTTTTTTATTTGCCATTTTATATGTGTAAAGAAACCGCTTAGCTCGACTTAGCTAAGTGGGCTGATTAAGGGTCCACAAGGCCTAGGCCCATTAAACTAAAGAACAAAGATACTCGCGCTTCGTCCGTGAAGTTTGAAAGATTTTGCCTCCCCCGGTAAACGACAGGCCGGCTTTATTTCTGTCGTCTACATAACAATTTACTGAGGTAAATGTCGTGTAAATGTCTGTGGCTGTGCACTGATGGAGAAAGTCATTTGTCCATTAATTTTAAAGGATTGGTCGTTCCTCTAAAAACGTCTGTCGTCTACGTCTAATACAGGTGTATGGCGCAAAAATCAGACATTCTTCCACAAGAATCGGAGGTTTTCCAAAAAAAGAAATCACTTTCTTCGATATATATAATAATCAATTCAAAAGCAAATAAGAATTTAACTCAAAAGAATCTATACTGTGAGGGTCTTAATGATATTGTTTCCAATATACAATATTAGTTTGTTCTTTTAAAGATAGAATTAGAACATTAGATGTACATATAAAGAGGGAAAATTTTTTGATAGAAAATTAATTAAAATGACAAAAAAAAGAATCATGAAATGGTTAATTTTATGCTTTTTGATATTGCAGATGGTTCAAATAGCAAAAGCTTCAACTTGTCTTCATCGATGCCAAGATGACTGCGACCACGGGAATTACCCATTTTTTTGCAAGATCCTTTGCCCTCCATATTGTGCAACTCACCTTGAACATGGTAATATTAATATGATGATTAAGGATTATTAACGATTTAAACATGTATTAATATACGTAAATATGTGTTTTTATTTTCTTACTTTCTGCAACACCTTCCTTAATATGCAGTTAGAGACACCAACGAAACCAAAGTGTAATGGCAGCATTTATGCATGGACTTCTTCGTAGGAAATAATGGGGATCGCCATGTTTAGGCTCATCCTCTCCTTTTCTTTTTGTTTTTCTTTTCTTTCCTTTTTTTTTTTTAAATAGCAATTGGTTTTTGTTTTGATAGATGTAAGAATATTGTAGAACAAGATATTTTTCTGTTATTGTTCCTTCTTGTTTTGTTTAGACTTTTCCACAAAGAAGAAAAAAGGCTAGTTACAAGCACCATACCCCTCATATTCTCTCATAATTTTCTGAAGAAGCCAAATAATAAATTTTGACTTTTTCTTATTATAAAATAACAAACCAACAAGCAAGCAGAATAATAAGAAAAAGGCAATTTGGAGCGATATTTCTTTTATAATCCCATAATCAATTATCAAATGTCATGTTTTCCATTTCATGCCTGATGGAATCAAAAAGCTTGGAAGACAGATAACGTTCTACTGAACTGGGAAATATTACCTGCACAATTAGCAAGCAAATGAAATTAATAGCATATATATATATATATATATATACATACAGTATTTAGGCTAAGCAGATTCTTCTATGCTGCTTCGATAAATGGAACTTACAGCAAAGAGTTTCCCAGCATTTTCCGGTCTCTTTGCCAATTTTATTGCAGCAGCAGCTGCAGCACCAGAAGATATTCCAACCTGTGCAGAGGAAATTAGGGAAGAGAAAATTCAATAAATTTTTTTCACAAGTTGGGAAGGTTAAGGGCTCATCGCAATAGCAATGAACATACCAGCAGACCTTCCTTTGAAGCAAGCAGCTTAGCAGTTTCAATAGCTTCCTCACTTGATATCTGTAGAAAGTAACACCAGCATCATCGCTAAAAACTAAGTAAATGATAATCTTTATATATATATATATCAAATAATTGAAGACTTACTTGAACAACTTCATCCATGATATCAATATCCATAACACTAGCGACGATATCAGAGCCAATTCCAACGATCAGATGTGGGCCTTTTGTATTTGCAGCAGCAAATTGTCAAAGAAAAAAATAGTCATAATGAGAAATCTGAAGTAGAGTATATTTATAATTACGAAGTAGGTAAAATGGGAGCTCATTACTAATTTCTTATAGCATTATCAAGTTTTATCAATAAGAATCTTTTTATTGTGCTTATCCGATCCACGATCAAACTTCATTGATCCTAGATCAATTGAGAATTCTTTTGCAAGAACTCAAATGCAAAATAGAGAAGACAGGAAAAAGAATTCATCACTAACCGCGTGTTACTCCACTTATCATTGCATTCTCAGATGGCTCAACACCATAAACCTAGGAATCAATAAATGAAAGCTAATTACATTTAAAACCTAATATTATCCCCCCCCCCCCCCCCCCGCGTGTTATGCCACTTATCATTGCATTCTCCAGATGGCTCAACCACCATAAACCTAGGAATCAATAAATGAAAGCTAATTAACATTTAATACCCTAATATTATCCCACCGCCCCGCCCCAAAAAAAAAAAAAAAAAAAAAAAATCCATTCTAAAAGCACACACAAACTGGAACAAAAATACATCTTTGGGTTTTAAAAAAAAAAAAAAAAAAAAAAAAAAAATCCATTCTAAACACACAAAACGGACAAAATACATCTTTGGGTTTTTCTCCTTAAGAAATCTTCCAGCTCCACCTATGGTACCACCAGTCCCAACTCCTGCAACTAAGGCATCAACTTTTCCTTCAGAGTCTCTCCATATTTCTGGACCAGTGGTTTCATAATGAATCTACACAAGGAACACCAAAATTACTCGCAAAATCCTCTTGATTTTCAATCCACGGCAACTAAGAAATACCTGTGGATTGGCAGGATTATCGAATTGGTTAAGAATGTACCCATTAGGTGTTTTACTAAGTATTTCCTCTGCCTTATGAACTGCCCCTTTAAACCCTTTTGGTTGGATCAGTAAGGCAAACCTCAGCTCCAAGAGCTCTCAACACAATTTTTTTTTCAAGAGTCATTGAAGTAGGCATTACTATTGTAGCTTTGTAACCCTTTCTTGCAGCAACTGCTGCTATTCCAATGCTAGTATAACCACCAGTAGCTTCGATGAGGATTGTCTTTAGCCAATGGTGCAATTGTTTAGAACTTTGAATGTTTCACTCATTTAGTCGAAATTTTAACTAGGATTGTAAAAGAAGAATTCAAGAGCAAAGACTGACCTTTCCTGGTGTAATCAAGCCCTTGTCTTCTGCATCTCTGATCATACTATATCCAATTCTGCTCACCAAAAATCAGTTCAATGTATTAAATACAAAACAAAAACATAAATTCATAAAGAAACTGAATAAAATGATAAACGAAGTATGCCTGTCTTTAACACTAAAAGCAGATGTCACCATTTCAAGCTTGGCAGCTATTCGAGCCGCACAACCATCCACAATATTTTTGAGGTACACCATTGGAGTATTGCCTATTAACTGCCCTCAATCAAACAGGAAAAAGAAAAGGAAGAAAGAAAGGAACAAGATTGCAGAAATGAGTATGTTAAGATGGATATCTGTTCACAATATTAGACACTATTAGAAATTATTACAGTCGATAAAAAGGTGCAAGTATCACAAGTTAGGGACAAAATAAGTGAAGGACATCTGAGATATTTTGGTCATATCCTACGTAGACTCCATCTGCTCCAGTTCGTAAGTGTGATATATTGATGGTAGAGGTTACTACAAGGGGAAGACATAGACCTAAAACTACAAGGAATAAGGTTATATCAAAAGATCTAATATTTCTGACATTAGTACTAACTTAGTTATGAACAAAGTGAAATGAAAACAAAAGATTCATGCAGCCAAACTCAACTAGTTTGGGACTAAAGTAGTTGTTGTTGTAGTCTGCAATGAAGAAGGTATAAACTAAAAATTACTTTAGCCCATTTTTCTTGAAAATAGAATGATTCAATATCAACAAAAACTTTTCAGTACCTCAGAGCAACTAATCGATTTACTTGTATGTGCTTCTGTTTATGCATAAAGAGAGAAGAGGCATATCCACGCCAGGTAATATCTATATCAGATTACTGTTATTTTAGCCCATTTTGGCTTCAACTTCAAGATTATGGCTTCAACTTCTTACCTTACTTTACTATTTGAGTGACTGCAATAACAGTAATCTCATTCCCATTCCCATTTACCATATTTGACTGCACATTGAGCTATGATAAGCTGGATTATGTTGCCATTATATATGTTTTATCTTATAATAATAATTATTTATATCTTCATTATCCTGTCTGAAGAATCTTTTTATATTATATAATAGAGGCCATTCTTATCCTGCACTATAATGTCTCAAATATTCAATTATAATAATTTATTTTTGGAACTTCCAATATACTACCCAATAAATGGCCGCATAACCAATGGTTTCACAGCAATTCTGGTTATTTTCTTTTTATCAACAAATTTTATTTCTTAGAATATAAGTATAGGTGCACAGTATTTGAGAATTCTTGGTATGCATCGCAAATTTTAAATATATTATATTTTGCCCCTCCAATCGTTCAAGTCTATTTTTTCACCTCCAGAAACATATGCCTGCCTACCAAAACAACCTTTGTACCTACCAATATAAGGTGTCTGGTGTTTTCTCTTTTCATTTATTTTTATCCCTGAGTAGTACAAACCATGAATCATTTCCATTTGAGAAGAAAAAAAAAAAAAAAAAGAAAGATTAGGATCCTGTTAACATAAAGAAAGCAAATATAGTTTAACCCATGTTTCTGGATGCTGATTTTGGTTTTAACCAATCCTATCACAGTTCCTGATATGTATATATATTAAAAAAAAAAAAAAAAAAAAAAAAAAAAAAAAAAAAAAAAATTATGTTATATATATTTAAAAAAAAAAAAAAAAAAAAAAAAAAAAAAAAAAAAAAAAAAACGCAGAAGTATAAAATATTAATCCAAAACTGAACCTTACCGTTCCCTCGCCCACCGTTGAACTTAAAATTTAGCAAGGCAAATTTCTTTTTATTATTCAGTTTTCTGCTTCATCGCTTCCAGAGAGAAGTCAAATAGCAAATCTGTTTAGTTTTAGAGGCTTGGAGAAAAAGACAGTTTTGCTCTGCGCTTGCCTATGTAACAGTTTCAAGTTAAAGCCTTTACATAAAAAAATAAAAAAAAAAAAAAAAAAAAACCTGATATTGAAGTACAATGGAGTAGTACATGAGTTACAATCTTTGGAAAAAAAAAAAAAAAAAAAAAAAAAAAAAACCTGATATTGAAGTACATGGGAGTAGTACATGAGTTACAATCTTTAGGAAATGGAACATGAAGAACAAAAAGAAAAAATTGAAACTTTGTGAATTATTTCCCAATTGAAGCAAATAAGTAATATCTCAAACAAAAGTCAAGTTTTCCACTTCATGCCTAACTGAATCGAAAAGCTTTGTAGATAGGTAACGCTCCCCCAAACTAGGTAATATCACCTGGATGGCAAGCAAAAAGAAAAAGCACATAATTTAATGGAGTGATAATGATATTAGGCATTGAGCCAGCAGGTTTTAGCATTTTATGCATGTATTGGAAATTGCTGAGATGGTCCAAATTATGCAGTGAAACTTACAACAAAGAGTTTCCCAGTGCTTTCAGGCCGCTTTGCCAACTTAATTGCAGCTGCTGCTGCAGCTCCAGAAGATATACCAACCTGTGAAAGGAAAAAAAAGAGGTTTTAGGGGGCTTCTAATGGAGGCCTTGAAACTACCTAATAACAATAATACTAGAGTGACCTTCTCATACCAGTAAACCTTCTTTCAACGCAAGAAGCTTAGCAGTTTCAATAGCTTCTTCACTTGATACCTAAAAATCAATAAGACCAGCAAAAGAATTGAAAATAATGATATCTCCGCTACAATTTTTACCAGTGCTGTATGTTTGGCGTGTGCACTTTTCAGTTCGAAATTCTAACAGAGTCACAATGCAAGCAAATAGTAATTACTTGTCAAGTCAAAGATAATCAATTAATGCATATGAAAATGGTTTTAGACTTACTTGAAGAACTTCATCTAGCAAGTCAACATCCAAAACACTAGGGATTATACCAGCACCAATACCCTGGATCAGATGTGGACCTTTGTGCAATTTTTCAAGAGAGAAAAATGCATTAATGGAAATATTACCCATCTTAAGAGAAATTAGATGAAAAACACTTCAGAGAACATGAGAAAATCATTAAGTCTGCATAATAATATTCAACAATGCTACTGAACTGAGAAAGAAAATAGAGACAGAGCTTGAAAAAGCTAAATAACTCACCAGGATTTCCTCCATTTAAGACTGCACTTTCAGCCGGTTCTACACCATACACCTATGCATAAACAAAAGGAAGCACATAATTAACATAAATGGCTATAATTATGTCTTTCTCTCTTCTTCCTGCCCCCCAAAAATACAAACCTTGATCTCTGTGTTTTTCTCCTTGAGGAATTTCCCAGCTCCAGTCACGGTTCCACCGGTTCCAATCCCTGCAACCAGGGCATCAACTTTCCCTCTTGAGTCTCTCCATATTTCTGGTCCAGTGGTTTCATAATGAATCTACACAAAAACAACAAGAACTGATCCATATATTATTTTTTTTTTTAACCATGAATCCACACTCTAATATATTAGACTTGACTGACAAAAATGATCAATACCTGTGGATTCGCAGGATTATCAAATTGCCTAAGCATATACCCATTAGGTGTCTTACTTAGTATCTCCTCACACTTCTCGACTACTCCAGCAAAGCCCTTGGTTGGATCAGTAAGGCAAACCTCAGCTCCAAGAGCACGCAACACGATTCTTCTTTCAAGACTATATGAAGCAGGCATTATGAGTATAATTTTGTAACCCTTCACTGCAGCAATCGCAGCCAATCCAATGCCTGTGTTACCACTGGTAGGTTCAATGAGGATGGTCTTTGGCCAGTTTTTGTGAAAAAGATCATGGAAAATGTAAAATTGTTAGGCTTAACATCTTTCCTGCACTTAATCGAACTTTTTTTTATTGAATGAAAAATAACTGATGATATGGAGAATGTCTATATGACTAACCTTCCTTGGAGTAATCAATCCCTTATCTTCTGCATCTTTGATCATGCTGTACGCAATTCTGCGGCAAACAAAAAAGAAAATCCAACATATTAATTCCAAAACAAAGGTTTAATTATTGGTAATTTCAATAAGAAAAATATATGAACAGATGGAAAAAGTACTGTACCTGTCTTTAACACTAGAAGTGGGTTCCATCATTTCAAGCTTGGCAGCAATGGTAGCCACACAACCATCCACGATCTTATTGAGATATACCATAGGAGTGTTACCGATTAACTCCATCAAGTCCCAATGAAAAGGAAGAAGAAGATGACTCACAAGTTATAAGCAGAGGTACATTATTTAAGATAACAACAGGAACCATGAAAATAAGAAGGAAAGTATACCTGGGTGATGTCTTTCTTGATACCACAATACTCCTCCATATCTTTCTAGATACTCTGCAAGTAGGTAAGCATTGGGAGGAGAGAGAGAGAGAGAGAGAGAGAGAGAAAGAGTGCAATTCTATGCAAAAAAATAATAAAACGAGCTTTCTGGGTTTCCTATGGCATAGATTACAAATCTCCGATTCATGCATGGAGTCATCAAAGCAGATTAAATATAATCTAATGTATTTGTTGGCAAAAATAGCAGAACAGGGCAATAGCATAAGAAGTAATAATAATAAAATAAAAAATAAATATTAATCAGTTTCCCAGAACGTCAAAAACCCAGTAAAAAATTCATTATCAAGAATGAAAAAAAGGCAAAAATATACAGTATTAGTACAGTTATCATTGCAGAAATAGCAGTAGCGGCAGTCCAACTGTGTAGATACTTAAAAAAGGGCAGCAAGAATTTATGTATCAGAGAAATCTCTGCCTACAAAGCAGACAGACAGACAGATATATATACATATAGAGAGAGAGAGGAGAGAGAGAGACAGAGATTATGAACCACAAACCTGATGAGATAATATTAACTATCTCCTGTACCTCAAATTAATCCATCCCTTCATTTCAACAGGTGTTGTTTTATATAGGAGGTCTGCGTCTATCCATTAATTCATTCGATAGTAACAATTAATAAGAAAAAGACAATTGTTTAGGTCATCGTTTTATATTTTTCTAGTAACTCAATAATTTTTTGTTGGCTGTGGATGTTCTTTGACTTCAGCTCTCTTGAATTTGGGATACTAGTCATGGTGGTGATTACTCTCTAAACATATAAAAATAAAATAATTTCATTTTCTCCATTTTTTGTTATCTATCTTCAAAAGTGTCTTTCCTCTAAAGCAAGTCTTCAGATTTGTTCAGTTAGCCATAACATTTTAAGTTATGTGAGTTACGGCTACACAAGCGGTTAATTACAAAAAATATTTTTCAAATTTGAATTTGTTCATTCAAAATCTGGGATTTCTATTTTTATTTTCATTTTTTGTCTGTTGTTACTATTTGCAAGAACAACAGAGTTAAAACATATACAAAAATCCTTATTAGAATCAATAATTCCATGCTTATATACAAAATCACAATGTTTCAGCTACAAATAGAGCCAATTTCGGGCTTCTGCTACTAAACAAGCAACTAGTTCCAGGCACAGTCCAGCTCCTCTTCAGATGTTCATGCTTGATTATTTCCAGGAGTCAAAAGATATCAATCAAAGGTCATATTTTGTGCCTCATGCCTAAGGGACTCAAACAACTTAGAGGACAGATATCGCTCCCTGGCACTGGCAAAAACTACCTGCAGAGCAAGCAAGATACAAAATGTTATTAGAATCATTAGCATATTGGTGTATCCTCTAGCTTAAGCTTCTAATTAAATTAAGTGTCCTCCTTGGATGAGTCTGAGGGCAGACTCCCATGCTCGGCCTGCCCATTAGCAGAATGTACTGCATTAGAAGTGAAAGAACCAATTTAAGGTAAGTGCACTTGCTACAATAAGTTTGCCTGCATTTTCTGGTCTTTTGGCCAACTTTATAGCAGCGGCAGTTACAGCACCAGATGATATTCCAACCTGCATGGGGAAAAAGATGTCTAACATTTTTTCATCTCAAATGGAAGATGCTGAAATTCGCATCAATCTAGTAATACTAAGCATACCAGCAACCTTCTCTTGAAGCACGCAGCTTCGCTGGTTCAATAGCTTCTTCACCTGGAACCTAAATTGTAACAGCAACACCATAAAAGTCTGAGTAAAATATTCTAAAACAAAACCATAAGTTAGTTGACCCTTTCACATTACAAAGAAATGAAAAGTATGGAAGCACAGGCAAATCATTTCAGTCAATTAAAATGCCAATGGTGAGATGGTTTTGAATTTAGCGGAACAACTTCATCAAGCATGCCAACATCCAAAACATCAGGTATAACACCAGCACCTAGTCCATCAATCAGATTTTTACCTTTGACATGCACAGAAAATAATTTATCCATTTCAGAGATAATATCTAATGCCCTTGCTCTTTATTAACGTGTCATAAGCTAATAACTGAAGACATGAAAGCCTACAAGATCTGTAATGGCACAATGCTCTCTATATTTTGACTGACTTGGTAACCAAAAAAAAAAAAAAAATTTATCCATTTCAGAGATAATAATCTAATGCCTTCGCTCTTTATTAACGTGTCATAAGCTTAATAAACTGAGAGACATGAAAGCCTCAAGATCTGTCAATGGCACATGTCTCTATATTGACTGACTTGGTACCAAAAAAAAAAAAAAAAAAAATAAAAAAAAAAAAAAAAAATGGTGTCTTATGGTTGTATATACCAGGAAGAGGCTACCACTCTGTGGTTCTGAACAATGTCAAGAAAGAAAAAAGAATGCAAGCAAACTGTGATTCAGTACTTACCCGGTTTTCCTCCATTTAAGACTCCACTTTCTGCCGGTTCTACACCATAAACCCAAACTTCAATAAGAGAAAAACATATAATAATTGGAAATAGAGAACAACAGGTTGTTTATGCATGGCAAGTAAAGGACAAAGAGCATCTTAATCTCTGGGTTTTTCTCCTTAAGGAATTTCCCAGCACCAGTTACTCTGCCACCAGTCCCTATTCCCATAACCGAGGCATCAACTTTACCTCCCGAGTTTTTCCAAATCTCTGGTCCAGTGGTTTCATTGAATCTACAAATGACAACAAACCCTAAATATAATCCCTTTTGACTACAAAACAAGCATTACAAATATTGACGAAATAATACCTTAGGATTGGTCGGATTTACAAATTGATCAAGCATGTAACCATTAGGTGTATTTTTCAGTATTTCCTCAGGCTTCCTAAGAACCTCGTTGAAGCCCTTGTTTGGATCTGTGAGGTATAACTCAGCTCCAAGAGCTCTCATCACAACCCTTCTCTCAAGACTCTTTGAAGCTGGCATGATAGCAATAACTTTATACCCGTTTCCTGCAGCAATGGATGCAAATGAAATTCCAGTGTTACCACTGGTAACCTCAGTAAGGACAGTCTTCAGACAAGTTTAGACCAGCAGAACCAGAAAAAAATAGCAATTTCAATTTTCATTAGAAAAGGCACAAAGTAGAAGCTATAAATTAGCTATTACCTTGCCATGACCAAAATGCTTTGGATTATTCACTTTCTTATAATCTTGTTCATCGGATGAAGAATGATTGATAAACAGTACAAGGAACTAATTTGGAACTTGTGTTACCAACCTTCCCTGGTGTGATCAAGCCCTTCTCTTCTGCATCTTTAATCATACTATTGGCTATCCTATATGTCATAAATGAAAATTAGCAAATTCACAAAAAGAACAAGAAACAACATACAAATTTTGAAGTTATATACCTATCTTTAATACTGAAGGAAGGTTCGATACTTTCAAGTTTGGCAGCAATTCGAGTTCCACAACCTTCCAAGATATTGTTGACATATACCATAGGTGTATTGTCTATTAACTGCAGAAGGCCAACAGAGAGGAAGATACTCACTATAAGCAAGAAGCAGGATTGTCGTTAGTCAAGACCATAGTTATTAATAAAAAAATTAGAGGCAATTATGAAGAGGATTAAAAAAAAAAAATTCAGTAATATCTTTCTTGATTGCACACTTGTCCTCCATTCTTTTCTAGAGATTCTGCAGAAAAATAAATTTGTGAAAAAAAAGTACAAATTTTTTAAAAGAATATGTCTCTATTCATGGATAAGATACTACTAAATTTAGCTAAATGAGATAAATCTGAGACAAATGGTGTAAAGATATTTAAAGGTAATAGAAATTCTTGAAAAACAGAAGAATTCAATCAGCCTACAAGAAGAGCACAAAGTTCACAACAAAAACCAGAGAAGGACCAAATAATTTAACAATCCACTAACACCCACAATAAATAACAATCAGTTAAACCTTCATGAACCATAATTTTAAAAATTTATCAACAAGGTAGAAAATATTTTGAACTTAACAAATATCATCATCCCGATAGTAAGTTTTTCTTTATCCATAAAATTCTGAAGTATCCAACATGGATTATTAAACTATAAAATGCAGAATCTTGAAAAGAAACACCGACATCCACCTCAAAAAAGAGTAAGGATCGAGAAATGTTGTTTTCCCAGCAGTGTAAACAGTGATTAAACAAAATCAAAACAAGAACAGACTCTGCAACAATCCTTACCAGAGAGGTCTTCGCAGTTTCGTGATGTAATATTACAAATTATCGACAATATCATTTCTTTGGTCTACACTCTACGGTAGTGAGTTGACCTCTGATCTGCCTCTGCTTTTGAGACGGTGACAAGTGGCAGAATATTATACTCTTCAAACAGTATATACCAAATTTCCTAAGATTTTTTTGTAGCGACGCTAACTCACTTTAGCAGATTACAAAAAATAACAATTCCGGTTCTTAATATTTTGTAATTCTTCTAATAATAATTTGCAAGAATAATAGTTTTGTACTATGGTAGTTGTCCAATTACAAAATAATAGTTTCGATTCTCGACATTGCATAATTCAAATATTTTATAAAAAGTTACTTTTTTTTTTTTGTACTATGGTAGTTTATGAAATAATAGCTCTGATTAAAAATATTATGATATATTTTCTAAAATGCGAAGCTGTTAATATTTCTTAAAATTAATTAATAGATGACGTTGTTAAGAAAGATTATGTAGAAATAAAAATAAATTTACATTGTTTCAATTCATACAATACTAATTTTTCCACTTGAAATTACTAATAATAAGTTCAAAGTAGCGTTTTTATGAAATTACAGTGTTATTAAATGGAAAATTTCACCTACAAAAACATATTTGGGGTTATACCATTGTAGCAGTTTATTAGGATAAGTTATGAATTATAATAGATGAAGCTAAATCAGCAGCAGCTGCGAAATAGACCAAGGAGCTTGGTTCGCTAATAAGTGAAAGAAGTCTTTTTGTCCCACATCGAATAGAGGGCAAAGATATAACGGACACGAGACTATAAAAGAGAAGCATATGAAACTGCAAAACATACTTACCTGGACGGGGTCAATGGGTGATCAACAAGGCCCATGGCCTAGGTCAGTGACCTCCATTGCACTTTGGAGGGGTGCTGGCCTAAGGTCTCCCCAAGTTGGGAGAGCCTACGTCATAATTTGTGGCAGTGGGGGCCTGCGTTCGCGCGGCCCCTACCCAATATAGTTTAAATTGCGTTATTTTGTACTTTTCATCGTTATGTACAATCATTTTTATTTAAATATATTAAAATAAAAACATCAATCAGTACCTTAAAATATCAATTGGTAGGATGAAATTATTCGGGATTATAATTATTTTATTTCTTGTGTGGATATTTATAAACAAGTTTAAAGTATCATGAGGGAGGCTAACGTTAATTTTTAGATTAGAAGTCTTGCCGTCGATAGCAATGAGATTGTCACATTTAAGCCCGTAGAAAAGGAACTAGAATCCAAACAAAAATCAGTACTAACTTCTTCTCTGTCTGATTGTATAAAATTTAATGCTAAGACAGCAAGACGTGAAGCTGAAGGTGTTAGTTTAAGGATAGCCCCTTGTTTCTCTGAAACAACCCTTGAAAATTTATTGCTCTCACAAGACACAACATAAACAGTTATTTAGTCACCTTACAAGCTTTCTTTCCAAAAAATACAAAGAACACAAATATCCCCCGCGTTATTTGCATCACATGCGATCAGGAAACCGTGAAGAAGTAAAATCATTGAAACCCCAGTTGGAATTGTTAATTGTACCCCATGGTTTGTCTACCTCAAGGCTCAAAAACCATACTCTCTGCTTCACGCTTCACAGATTCGAAAAGCACGGAGGATAAATAGCGCTCTCCGAAGCTGGGGAAGACCACCTGTTTTAACATTTACAAGGGACATAAGATGCAGCCACATGTTACATCGACAACAGAAGGTTGCTGCTTTGAAAATCACACGTACTTGACTTTTTTACTTTCAGTTTCAGTTTTTAATTGTTCAAGAATGTTTAAGATTAGGATTGCATGTTCATTAAATAAAAAAAACCAGAAAGATGCTAACGTAACTATAGCCAAACTAGAGTAATATTTTTGAACAAAATATTTTTCTTGTGCATCATAAGTTTTATAGGGATACCACTTAAATTTTAGCCTGTTATATGATGATATATCTACGCCAAAATAAATAATAAAATCAAACTTACAACAATGAGTTTTCCAGCATTTTCGGGCCTCTTTGCAATCCTAATTGCGGCGGCTGCAGCAGCACCAGAAGATATCCCTACCTGTAACACACAACGTCCCATCAAAAAGATCTCAGGCCAGTTGCATGCTCCAATATGTTGAGACTGAGGATAACTAAAGAAGAGAGTGCTACACAGATAATGAATCACCGTCAGAACATATAGTAATTAATTAACCACAATCTTACCAGCAAACCTTCTTTCAAGGCAAGAAGTTTAGCAGTTTCAATTGCTTCTTCACTCGATACCTGCCAAGTCATGCAAATGCTCAGTAGATTGTTGCATCTGAATAAAAATATTAGCTAGTAGCTCTTGCAAATGAATGGAGTGTGGACTAAATGCATGATTACAACCAAAATATTCTATTTGCTTTTACAAAAAATACAAAATACATGGTTCGAAAAGATGTGAAGAATCACAGCCTTTCACTTCTTTACAATTTCTAAGCGCAGGTTGTCTGGAAGTGCATAAGTATCACCAAAAAAGAATTGGGATAATACATGCACAACACTAGAAAATTCAAGGTCTCTTTTGTTTACATGTCCAGTATCATGTTTTCTCATTACATACTCCCATGCATAAATAGAATGAAAGATGGCAAAATTGTCATCTAAACAAACCACCTCCGAAAACCACATAATGACAGAAATAAAATCCCAATTAAAAGGATCGAGACTTACTTGAACAACTTCATCAAGTAGACTGACGTCCAAAACTCCAGGAATAAAGCCAGCACCAATTCCTTGGATCTTATGTGGGCCTTACATTAACATGATTTGATCAAGTTAGCAAATAAACAATATATGTGAATAACCTTTTAGTTCAACCAGAGAAGAATTTCACAAATGGCTAATCTGTATATGACAAATGTTACGCACAGTTTGAACACTAATCCCAAAGGAAAACAGAAATAAACAGTTTAGAAATTTCATTAACAAGTTCCTAAAGTTCAGATGTCATATAGGACATTGTAGAAATTCTATTGTTCTAATATTTAGTGTTGCCTGTTTCACTCACTGAGTAAAAAAAAAATGGTGTTTGATTTCAACAGTCTGGTCAGTTCATCCATCTTTTAATAAAATATCCAAACACTCTACCTTCTCAGTCCTCAACTACATTGAGGAGAGTTATATGCTTCCAAACAATTACTTTCTACATTATCTTTGTCAAAAAAATTATAGACTCACCTGGTTTCCCTCCAGACAACACAGCACTTTCAACTGGTTCTATACCATAGATCTGCATACAAAAAGAACAACAGCAAGATTTACAACCATTCCAATATTAGAACTTTCACAGTAAAAAAATACAAAGAAGCCAACCTTTATATCAGGGTTTTGCTCCTTGAGATATCTCCCTGCACCTGTAACTGTACCCCCAGTCCCAATCCCGGAAACAAGAGCATCAACTTTCCCACCTGAGCCTTTCCAGATCTCTGGTCCGGTGGTCTCATAGTGAATCTGTCAAGAAAACAAGAATCTGATTGTTGTCCTCTACAATCAGCAAGCCAATAATACACAAAATGTTAACAAAATGACACCTTTGGGTTGGCAGGATTCTCAAATTGCTGTAGGATATAAGCATTTGGTGTCTTTGCTAATATCTCTTCTGCCTTCTGAACAGCTCCTTTCATGCCCCTGGCTGGATCAGTCAGAACCAGCTCAGCTCCAAAAGCACGGAGAACCATTCTTCTTTCTAGACTCATTGAAGCAGGCATCGTAATTATGAGCTTGTAGCCCTTAGCAGCTGCCATGAATGCCAGCCCTATACCAGTATTGCCACTTGTGGGCTCGATGAGGACACTCTTCAGTGTTAAGAGAGAAAAGCGTGTAAATATCTAAGTTTCCTCTTCCATCTTATTTCTTCAGAATCAACAAAAACATTGTTTGTGATAAACAGAGAAAGAATATGCACTTTTTATGAGTTCAACTGATGACTGATGTTGACCAGTGATGCTGGAATTAAAAGGCTTAGCAACTATTATTTCCACAGGCGTGCAGTCTAGATTATCTTAGATATGGAAAATTAAATTACTAACCTCACCCGGCTTGATGAGGCCTTTCTCCTCAGCATCTGCAATCATACTGTATCCAATCCTACAAACAAGAGATGAATCAAAGACAAAACCCCATTAATAGCAATGTTTCAAAGAAAGGTCCCTTTTTTTTAATCCAAATCCAACAATGAAGATGATTAAAATCATATAAATCCAACAAACAGCACAAATTTCCATCTGAGATTAATTTTCAGATTTATGGAGAACAATAATTTAACCAATCTAACCAAGTACTGTTAAAAAGTTATGAAATTCAATAGGAAAGCAATAAATTCTGAAATTTCCAATCAAGAACAAGGGCAATGTAACAAATACCTATCTTTAACACTTGAGCAAGGTTCCATCATCTCCAGCTTGGCAGCGATACGAGCAACACAGCCATCCACAACATGGTTCAGATACACTAATGGCGTTTTACCAATGAGCTATTCAAGTCAACGTAAATGGACGCATAAGCTCTAGCTTAGATTTCTTATCACAACCCAGAAAGAAAAGAAATGAAAGTGGCAGTAAAGATAACTTACTTCAGTAACATCTTTGGCAATCGCACCCTTCTCCATAGCCATTTTTAAAATCAGATCACTGCACAAGCATTAAAAACACCGAGCGATCAACAAAAGCAAAGTTCCAATGGTGAATAAAAAATCTAATGAGACATAAGCAGATATTGCAAGCACTGAAAGTATTAAACAAAACCCAGTTGATTAAATTTGGAAATGATTTCCAGAAACTCAATTTTTCAATTGAGTAACTCGATTTTCAAAAATAGCCAAAAAAGAACTCGATAGTCAGCAAAATGGTGCAATAACCCGAGAAAGACAAAACAAAAAAAGGGGGGAAAAATAGACTGATTACTTAAGATTTTTAAACTATCCCATTAACACCACGAACTGATTAATTAACAAAAATTTCCAAAAAAAATAATTAACCCAATGAGAAAATGGGAAAAAAAAGAGTCAACCAACTGAGAAATTCTGGAAAAATGCAAAAGAATGAGGAAGATAACAATACTTGCAAAACATTGACAAGAACAAACCTTTATCTACGAAGAATAAACAACGAGGGCTGCTTCAGGCAAGAAAGAGAGATAATAGTGGAAATCCAAATAAATATGTCTTGGGGATTTCATTTTATATTATATTGTGATGATGCTGAGGAAGGTTTATCATTTCTTTCTCCGTCCACCTCACTTAATTATTTAATTGTTTTGTTTTATTTAACCATTAAATAAGGTACTAAAATTTAATTCAATAGTAAATATTGGAAACTTTTTTTTTTTTTGAAAGGTAAATATAGGAAACTAATTAGTAATTTTATATTAAACATGAAATATTAAATAGTTAAATAGTATAAAAAATTAATTCTAAAATGAAACTTTATAGATAAAATGACTAAATAATTTAATACGTTAATATATTTACTAAAAATAAGAGGATGAAATTATAAATATTATCAAATTTAAAAAATTAATAGTAATTTAGTAATTACACGTTTAAGATTACAAACCGATACTATATTAGAATTGAAATTCTCCTTTTTCGATATTAAAAAAAAAAAAAATGGTAATTATTGTTTCCACATTTTTCTATGCTTTTTGTTCGTGTTGGATTGTTCTACTGGTTTCCGGGTCAAATGTGACCCTCGGTGTGTGGGAGAGTCAAATATTGGAGAATGGCGCAAGTGGATGGGCCAACATGGGCTCTTTGACATCCATAATTAGGAGTTCAAATCGAAAAATCGATATAATTCAGCTGTTCGGTTTGGTTCTTTAAATATTTATCAATATTATTAGCTTTAGTTTTAAGTTTTAGGTATTTTTGATTTTAAATTTTTATTTTTCTAAATGAAATCAAATAAGAAATTTCATTAACCTTATGGTAATTATAAGTATTATAGTTATTGTTATTGATTTAATTGATTTTAAAACCAAAAATTTATAAATTTAAAAATAAAATTAGGCACGAGAATATATACTCATAAATCAAATCACTAATTTTAATCCATTGGTAGATTGGGAGCCTTCGCTCCCCATAATTAAAAAAATAATTATAGAGAAATTATATTAACTGCACAAATTATAAATAATTATAGCTGGCCTTTCAAAATTTAAAAAAATTTAATTTTTTCTGAACCTTATTTTCTAATTTCTCCTTCATAAGTAAGAGTAAAAAATTTAAATAGATTGTCATGTTAGAAAAATCAAACTTTATGTATGATTTGTGCTTTCAAATTATATTTGAAAGAGTTTAACTTCTTCTAATAAAACTGATGATAAACACTTTTTTTTTTTTATTAAAAGAAATACAAGTACTTATATTTTTAACTTTTAATTAACAAATATAAATGGAGATGATCTGATTTTGATATTTTAGTAAATAAGAAAAATATATTTAAACAAGATTATGCATTTTATCAATTTTTAAGTACATAAAGATATCATACAATTTATGAAAATAACAAATTAAGTTATTTTAAAAAAATAGTGATGCAATTGATTTTAATATAACGAAATAATTCTCTTCATAAGAAAAAATATATATAAAAAGGAATAATTAATTAATTATTACGATAAATTCAGATAGAGCACTAATACATTTTTCAACCCGTTCCTTCACGGTTTCACCAACCGAAAGGGCATTCTCGTCCATATAATTTTTCCACGTGCCAACGCCGCCTAACGCAGATCTCGAATTCTGTCTCGCTCGCTTCCTCTCCCATCTCCTTGACTTGACGAGATCGTTCCCCATCGAACCAGACTATACCAGACCAAACCAGGACCAGTCATGGGCGTGCCGGCGTTTTACAGGTGGCTCGCAGACCGGTATCCACTAGCCATTGTCGATGTAGTTGAAGAAGAACCTAAAGAAGATGCCAATGGCGTCTCTATCCCTATTGATGTCTCAAGACCTAACCCTAACGGCGTTGAGTTCGATAACTTGTATTTGGATATGAATGGTATAATTCATCCTTGTTTCCATCCAGAAGGGAAGGTAAGTTTGGAGATTAAAGCTTTGTTTACAGTTCTATTCTTACGTTGATTATATCTGTTTAAGTGGGATTTCTGAATTTAATTTGTAGTTTACTTGTTTTTTTTGGAAATTAGAGGAGGTTTAATTAGTATGTGCGTTTAGTTATTATAAATTCAATTGGATTTGCAGTTTACTTGGTGTTGCTTGTCATTTATGTGTGGCAAGAAGATGGTATAATGATGGAATGCATTTGCCAGAACTCTTTTTTTATCTTTCTGCTCCTCATAGGATGTTAAATAAATTGAGAGATGCATTTTTTAAATTGAACTAAATCTTTACAATGTTGTCACAAATGACAAAGATGATGATATGTTGCTCTCTATTCTTACAGCCTGCGCCTCCAACTTATGATGTTGTCTTCAAATCAATATTTGATTATATTGACCATATTTTCTCATTGGTTCGCCCGAGGAAGCTTCTATACTTAGCAATTGGTAAATTTCATTATGAATTTGTTTCATTTTTATTTTCATTGCATTGGACGGAAAATGACCTTTGATTTTTGTAGATGGGGTTGCACCTAGAGCTAAAATGAATCAGCAACGGTCTCGACGCTTTAGAGCGGCAAAAGATGCTGCTGAAGCAGTAAGATCTCTCTCATGGTAGTTTAAGCGGCTAATTTTGAAGTTGGAACTTACTGTACTGCCTCTCATTTCTGATGTCATAGGAAGCTGAGGAAGAAAGATTGAGAAAAGAATTTGAGGCGGAGGGGAAGCTCTTATCTGCTAAAGAAAAACCTGAAACATCTGACTCTAATGTCATCACTCCTGGCACTCAATTTATGGCAGTGCTATCAGCTGCACTTCAATATTATATTCAGATGAGATTAAACCACAACCCAGGCTGGCGGTATACGAAGGTTTGATTGTGTTACCCTTTCCCTCAATTAGTCCCTTCTAAGATCGGATCATTCCTTGCCTGTGGAGTAATCCCTTCTGTATTTTTTTCATACACGTCTGGCTTTCAGGATACTTTCTGTCTCTAAATTTATTTACGGGGCTGCATTGGGTGATTATTTGAAGGTTATTCTTTCTGATGCGAATGTTCCTGGTGAGGGAGAGCACAAAATCATGACATATATAAGATTACAACGTAATATTCCCGGTTTCAATCCAAACACACGGCATTGTCTATATGGTCTGGTGAGTTTTTTTTATTAAATAATTATTTTTGATTTTTATTGTTCGTGCTTTTTTTTGGTGTTGTTTAAAATTGTTCTTAATTAAAACATTTTCTTTATAATCATCAGGATGCAGATTTGATTATGCTGTCTTTAGCAACACATGAAATTCATTTTTCAATATTGAGAGAGGTCAGTGCTCATGTCTCTATAAACAAATATAATTCATGGTTCTACCTTACTTATTCTGCATGGTTGACATTAAAATATTTGTTTTCTTCACTGCACAGATGGTCACGTTTCCTGGGCAACAAGAGAAGTGTTTTAGCTGTGGTCAAACTGGCCATCTTGCAGCTGAGTGTCATGCTAAGCAAGGAGATAATGCTTTGGATTGGAATGTAGTGGATGATAGCCCAATTCACAAGAAGAAATATCAGGTTGGTAAAGAGATACCTAATTTCAAATGTTTTTCCGACCTTTTACTTCTCCTAGTATGATGAAATTGATTCACTTTTTTGACAGTTCCTTAACATCTGGGTGTTGCGAGAGTATTTGCAATATGAGTTGGCAATTCCAAGTCCTCCATTTGAGATAAACTTTGAACGGATAGTGGATGACTTTGTGTTTATGTGTTTCTTTGTTGGCAATGACTTTCTTCCCCACATGCCAACGTTGGAAATCAGGGAGGTGTGTTAGCAGTTAAGAGTTGTTACTCTATGAATTTCAATGAATTTTGGCTTCAAAGCTGCAATTGAAACTTTATTTTATTTTATGATACTATAGTATTGTTTTACATATGATTGTTATGGAATTTGTTCCTTCTGCAAACTGTTCCTTTTATTTTATATTTAAAATGCTTATTATGGAGTTCTTTGCTTCAGGGTGCTATAAATTTGTTGATGCATGTATACAGAAAAGAGTTCTCTGCGATGGGTGGTTATCTTACTGATGCGGGTGAGGTAATTTATTTATATCTTTTAGAATGTTATCTATGAAACTTGTATATGCTTCATATGCATTTTTGTTGATAAGCAATCTGTGGTTCCCCCCTTTTGAAAATTGTTAAAAATAGGTATGATTTTTTAATGGCATTTTCATAGTTTTTTTTCCCCTCATCATTTTACAAGATCAGACTCACACAAAATGAATTACTGAAGATGTTCATGCTACACTGTTAGTGCAGCTGCTTGAAATTCATTCCTTTTTTGATTTGCATAAATGCCTGCATATGACAATGATGAGTATCATTTTTCCTACATACTACTGAACCAGTTGGAGCTTGACTTGGTTCAGTCTGCAACTTTTATTTTATGTGGCCTTGACAACAATCCCTCAGTTTTCTAAAGGTGAGCTGAAAATAGCGTTTATTGAGGGCTCTTCTACTTTGGTGCTAAGCTTTCTAATACATAGTGGCTTGTCCGTTTCATTGGTACTCATGAAAACTTGTACTAAGAAATATTTCTGCCTTCTTAATTGTAAGACAGTTGAGATTTCTGATTTCTGATGCTGTTATGCTGCTCCAATTCTGTGGTTGATACTTTCGGTGCTATAACTTTGAGCATATGGTTTTAGGTTGGGACTATTAATCTGTTTAAATCAATAAGATAATGTCAATTAGTCTATATGCACAGGTTAATCTAGATAAGGTAGAACATTTTATCCAGTCAGTTGCGATTTATGAAGAACAAATCTTTCAGAAAAGGACTCGTATACAGCAGGTGAGTTCCTTTTAATATGTTTTGATTTCATTTACTTTTAAGAAACTCTTATGTACTTGGCCAAAAAAAAGAAGACACTTTGTTAAATTTTCATACTTCAATCAAAATTTGAACTCTGTTTTCTTATTTGTTATATATGTATTTTATTCCTTTCTGGCTCTTTTCTCTCCTCATTCTAAATAAATCTTTGTTTACTATATTTGTGCTGACTGTTTATTTTCAGGCATTGGAAAATTATGAGGAGATGAAAATCAAAGCAAGAAAGGAGTCCTCTGAAGAGATACCAGCACCAGTTGCAGATAAGGTCTGTGAAAATGATAAATTTTGCATTAAATAACAGAGGATTGAAATGGAATGAACTATTAATTCTGATTTTTAAGCAGATGTAATTATTCAGGGTTCTAGATCAAACAGGAAGCTTGATCAAATCTATTGCTTGCTGTTTTTCCATTTCTTTTCGTTTATACAAGTCACAACCCAAGCATATTTGTTTCTCATAATATAATTCTTATTGTTAATGTTCTAACTGTTAAATCTGAATAAATATGGAGTCCCTTGTTTAATGTGATGAAGACTGTTTAATATTTTGGTAGATAACTATTTCAAGTGATCCAAATGAATAGCTCCTTCCATAGCAGGAGTTCCTTCATTAGAAATACTCAGTAGTAAGTAGCATTTTCAAACTCTTGCAGTTCTTAAGAGCCTCTTCAACTATTGTTTTGAAAATGAGTGAGGCCAATGTATATCGTTGTAATTCCACTTTGCACAGTTATAAATTAACTGGGTGGTTGACAGAATCTCATTCAAGTCCCCTAGATTTGCTGTCTTCAAATAACTTGGAAATGCTGGTTTTCTTCTTAAGCCCATCAATTGCTTTGAAAGCTTTTACTCCTTTGTTTACAGCAGTTTCTAGCATTTCCTGCAATAGACTTGCATTTTATTTATATTCAACTTTGTTAATGATGTTATCTTGATGGTGAATATGCTATTCTGTTTATTCTTCACCATCCATCCAAGTGATGTTTCTGAATGTGTTAATGTAGTTTGATTCATTAATTTTGAGTGTTTTGTATTAATTAGCGTTTTGATATATGTTTCATGAGATTAAGTGATCCTAAATCAGGTGGGCCAGCTAAGGACTAGGTCAGCCCATCTGAAGGCCAATCTTTTTTCAGTTAGGTGTCATGTAGCTGTCTTGCATTTATATTATTTTGAATTTGTTTCAAATTTCTTGTTTCAGGTTAAATTAGGGGAACCTGGTTACAAAGAAAGATATTATGCTGAGAAATTTGAGTTATCAAAGCCAGATGAAATTGATAGAGTTAGAGAAGATGTTGTAAGTTACATCTCTTCTCTGACATGAAATGATTGCCTTTGGTAGTTATCTGCTGCTTCTGTTGGACTTGAGTAATTGTCCCTATCCAGTTGATTTGACAAATCTCTGCCTTCCCTGGACCCCCCAACAAAAAAGAAGAAAAATTGCACTTCATTACATGCGGCTGATGTTTGTGTGAATAATGTTATTATCTGGAATAATCATGTATACATGTAGACCATCTTGAAAAACTGACTAATTGTAAACTACCTGGTGGTGGCAAAGATGCATTTTATGTTGGCATATGATGGGGAGCCAACTTAACGGAAGAAAAAGCTTGGAGAACTTTCCCTCAAGCTGCCCTCAGGGTGTCGTTAATGTTACTGTATTATCTACCAGCGTTCCTTCTACATGTTCACAATCTTATCTTTGCATTTCTTTTTGAAACATTTTGTTTTCATATACTACTATTCAACAATTTTTAACTCTACACTTCATTTGGAATGTGCTAAATTGTTCGTTCCTCTGCATGTTAGCTTTTGAAGTATGAATCCTTTTTTGGATTTTTCAAAATTAATAATAGTAGTAAACTGAATAAAGTGAGATTACAGTTCCGGTATCAGTATAAAACCACTAGCTGGTTTTTGGGCCTAAAGAAAGTCTGTTTCACTTCTATCTGTTCCTGTTATTGCCTCCCGTAATCATGGCAGTTGAAAATTTATTACATGATTGTCATTTATGTTTTTTGAATTCAAATAGATTAGAAATTCTGATTCTACACCTTATTTGACGGACAATACTTTCAGGATCAAGTATTGCATAATCAGTTTCTATTCATTTCTGGTTATGCTTTGCTGTTCCAATTGATTCTTATGGATCTTACATCTTAGCGAATCCAAACACAATTGTGTTTTTGGTGGATGTGACCACATATATGAATGTCTCGTTAACGAGATAGGTAATTGACTAATTGGTAGAAAAACAAAAAATTTTGGGCAGAGAGCTGTGTGATTGTTGGTTTGTGGAATGCCAAATGTTTAGTTATGTGAATAATGTTGACTTCTAGTTCTTCTCTACTTTAATTGGTTTTTGCTATGGCCAATTAAGCACTGGTGCAATATGAGAAACAACATTAACTGTTTGGTGCAGATTTTGAACTACGTGGAGGGTTTGTGTTGGGTCTGCCACTATTACTACCAGGGTGTTCGCTCTTGGCGATGGTCAGTTTTAGTTGAGACTTCATACTTCTTTTTTTCCTGCTATTTCACGTGCTGTTAAAATAATCTCACTAAGTCTAGGTAAGTACATGCACGAAGACATGCATATATGCATGTGTAAATTCTCTCAATCCATATGGTTGGTTTTTGGAGCATCATAAACAAAAGAGAAGGTTTAAATCTACATTTTTCTTTGAGAAACATTGTCCTTTCTTTATGTGACCTACTCAACTTGTGGATTTGCATTTATGTGCCCATTGCATGAGGTGCCCAAATTAAATTTCAGCCACTTTGTTAGCTCATGTGGCATTGTTCTTGGTCAGTTAACATCATATTTTTGTTTCAGGTTTTATCCGTACCATTATGCTCCATTTGCCTCTGATCTCAAGGGCCTTACTGACCTGGAAATAACTTTCTTTCCGGGAGAGCCGTTTAAACCCTTTGATCAGCTAATGGGAACCCTACCAGCTGCCAGGTCTTCTTTTTCCGCTTGAATTATTATTGCTATTTTTTTCCTGAAACAAAACAGAATATTCTGCTTTTTTCCCCCTTTTGTACTGACTGGCATTGTTTGGCATGTTACAGTTCTAATGCTTTGCCGGAAGAATACAGGAAATTGATGACTGATCCATCATCACCAATATATAAATTTTTCCCCTCAGGTAAAGTTGATTGATGATATCAACAATAACGTTATAGAAATCTTCATTATGTTTGTGAGATGACTTGGTCTCTTTATGTGGCCAGATTTTGAGATTGACATGAATGGCAAACGCTTTTCTTGGCAGGTTTATTCTTATCTACTATGCATTGTTATGAATATGTTATTTTTTATCTTCTCTCAACTGACAAAAGTTGTATTGTATTTGTTTCTTGGAAGCCAGGGTGTTGCCAAATTGCCATTCATTGATGAGCGGAAATTACTTTCCCAGACCAAGAAACTAGAAAGCTCTTTAACGGTCTGAATTTTGTTATTCTAAAGTATTATTCATTGGTTTAATTTATGCCTCCTTATTTGCCCGGCAATATTTTTTGAAGCTTCACGTACTTTATCTTTCTTGCCTTTAAGCAGAGACTTTTACTTGATATATTCAAAAAAGCTAAGTTTTTGAAAAAGAAGATTAGCAAAAATCTGCAATGATGTCCAAGGGGCCAAGTTTTGGTGTTAGAGAAAAATTTAAATGCTCCATTTAAATTGGTGGACAAAACCTATGGGTAGCACAGGTTTTATTGATATAGATTCTTGGATGTAACAAATGAACTTGGATGTTTGAGTTGAAAAGAAATTGTAGTGAATACTCCTGGCTCAAAGATATTGCTAAATTTCAGTCTTCTAAGTTGCAGGAAGAAGAGAGAGTCCGAAATAGCAAGATGCATGATTTGCTATATGTCCATCTTGCTCATCCTCTGGCGGCAAAAATCACAGCATACTATCAGGCTAACATTTTGTTACGCCCTTTTGAAAGATTTTGTTGGGAAATAGACACAAATGCCAGGTTAGGGGATGCCCATAATAACTAGTCTTTGAGTTAATACATTTAGAGATCACTTTGATAGTAAATTTTTACTTCTAGTAATCTCATCAGTTGCCGACATGTTGCAGTTCTGGGATGAATGGATATCTTTGGTTAGACGAGAGGAATGTCTGGAGAAGTGTGGTCCCTTCCCCTGTCAATGGGCTGCCAGACATAGTGCATAACCAAGTTTTGTAAGTTCCCCTTCACCATGTTTTGTGAAGCTAATGAAACTTTTTTGTCATGCTGACCAATGTTTCTTTGCAGAAACATCACATATCTTGCTCCTAAAGATCATATACACATCCCTGAACTTCCCAGTGGCGTGGTCATGCCTGAAAAGGTGCGTGAAATGTTTTATTTAGGGGCAGGAGAAGTCAAGGATAAGATAGTTCTTTCAACTGAATTTGTAGTGCTTAGCCAGAAATTGTCTTTTAATGCCAGAATTGTTGGAACATTAAACTGGAGACAATCCTTATGTGCATCCCTAAAAGATGATAAAAATAGTGTTTCATGTTAAAACTATCCTTTCATTGAACCTTAATTGCATGTTTATAACATAATAGTTCGGCATTAAACTGGAGGCATTTGTCATGCCCCAAGTTACTGAAGCTGTTGTTGCTCCCTGCATATGGGAGCAAGTACCATATGAAATTGTAAGGATGCATACAGTACTTCCATAACGGGCATTGTTAGCATCAACATCATTTGGTGATTCATTTGACAAATGTTTGTTTTTGGTCTCTGATGAGTTGTTAATATTGCAGATCTTGAAACCTTTAGATGTTAAGCCATTCCCCACATTATGGCATGAAGATAATAGTGGTCGGCGCTACCAAGGTCGAGACAGGTAAAAAATGTATTGCCATAATTTGAAATGATAGATTTTACATGAGCATTCACTGCCTGGGTATTTTAGAACAAAATCAGCTAAAATCCCTCATTGGATGCGTGGACGGGTGGGTGGAAGGTGATTGACTGGAATTATGTTGTGTAGTTCATTATCTGAACTGAACTTGACTCAAAACCTAACTCAAACTTTATCAAAGCCGTGTTTTTCAAATTTGACCTTGATTCAACTGAATGTGCAAGGTATTTGAGATTGACTTGATAATTTTTAAGAAGAACTTGAGTAAAACTTCTTACTAGTTTAGAATTAGAAATTAAATAAAGTGAGTGAAGTAAGTTCTAATTGAACTTTCTTTTGATATAGGTAAGAATAAGGTGGTAATATCACATTTTAGTTTTTAAATATTGTAAATAGTGTAACAACTGAGAACTAAGCCTCAATCCCAAACTAGCTGGAGTGTGCAAATAGTATATATGTAAAAATTAGGGCGGACTATAAATAGCATATAGTGTGTGTATATATAGTGGTGTGTTTATATATATATTTATATATATATAATATATATTTATATATATTGAACTACGCTTTTTGACATTAGTGCCGATTTAGCCTTTTAACAGGAGCCAGATATATATTAGAAACTACCGTTTCTTGACATTAGTGCGGATTTAGCTTTGAACAGAGCAGAATGGAGACAAGTGGATTAATATAGCTGACTCCAATTAGTTTGGGTTAAGGCTTAGTTGTTTTTATTGTAATATATACATAAAATCATATGAAAGGTTAAATATTTGATAGGCTTATGAGTTCTTTGGATCAAGTAAGTTTTGTTGTTACTTGACTTTAGTTAAAGCTGAGTTGAATTTGTATGTGTTGCAAGTCGATTGTCTAATGAATCAGTTAATGATGGGGATGCTTAGTTATTGTATCTTCTTAAGTATGTGTCTGTTTCACAGGCCGCAAGTACCTGGAGCAATAGCAGGTCCTTTATTGGGAGAGGCAGCTCACCGTCTTGTAAAGACCACGCTTAATATCAGATCAGGTGGTTCATCTTCTAGATTTTCTGAGCAAGTGCCATATCGTAATATCCCTGGAAATCATACGTTCAACAGAACTAGGCCAGCTGGACATTATTCTGGTCAAGAAAAGGGCTACATTGATGACCCGAACTTTTATTATGGGCATCACAATAACCAGCAAGGCCTAATAAGTAATACTAGATTTCCTCCATTGTCAAATGGTGTGACAGGGAATCGGAACAACTTTAGGAATCAGGAGAGAGCACAATACCCTGAACAGTACCGAGACTTGAGGACTGGAATATCTGCATTGACTGTAGAAGAAAATAATAGAAGGCCACCTGTAGTTGTGATGCAGCGCATGCCAACATCAGGATATGGATCAAATTTGCCCAACCAGTTCGAGCAGAACTTGGGTCCACTTCCATCACCACCCACTAATTGGATTGGTAAGGGAGCAGGAGACGCTGATATGTACTTTCGACAAGAAGCAGTGCAAAGGAGTGCTAATGAGAAGCAAGTGAAGCAGGTTTATCAGATTAAGACACGGGCAGCACAAGAAACATCACATCTAGTCACTCGAGAAGCATCTGATCTAAACCAGCAATAACATTATGGAGATTGAACTTCGGATCATTTCTGCCAAAAAGGTGTTCCCATAGAGCAGTAATGATATCTCCATCTAATGGCAAGGTTACCAATTGCAGGGCACTGAGTAGGAAGCTATCCTGCTATGAATGTGGCAGTGCCCTTCATTGTCATTGTCCTTTTATTTTGGCACAAAATTGTGAATATCTGGTGCAGGAATCTCTTGAAAATTATTTTCGATTTGGAAGGGGGGACAGCATACAGCTTTCCAATTGCGAGGACTAATTGCAGGTCATCTTTCTGATTTTCTTGCCGGGTTTTTCGGGGAAACTGTATAATCAACATATTTGGCTGTAATCCAGTATAGTGAGGACATAGGAGACTACCACCCGTGATGGAGAAGAATCATTAGTGATGTTGATTTGTTGTATGTTATGTCATAGAGATGTAATTATATGAGATCACATATTTGTACTCAGCTTATTTTTCAGTGATGAATTTCATTTCCCTGTTTCAGTAATTATAAAGGAAGATACTCTATTACGATGGCCTTAATGATGCTGTGTTTTGTATTTTGACAATTTTCTTCTCTACTATATTTTATAATAACTAAAATAAAGTGATACAAACTGAACTGAAAATACTTGGAAATTTCTATTAGGAGTTTTCAGGTTCAAATCGTATATGAGATGGTAAAGATTTATATGAGAAGAGAAGACTTACAGTCCATTGTGAGTTTTTAAATTCTGATGCAAAGGTGCATCATCCTCCAGTTTTCCTAATATGCCCAATTCCGAATCAAGAATTATATACGAATGCTGGGACTTCGAAGTTTGAAGGAACTTTGCGATGTCGAAAATCCACAAGTATTCGTCCAGCTAAAGTTGCAAAATAGAATAGTACTGGAACAATTCGTAACTCAATTGCCCATTGAATTGAAGAGTTTTATTAACAAACTAGTATTCTATAACACGATATAACTCTATTTTCAAGTATCACAAAAAAACTACACATCATGATACGATAAGCACAAAAATTGATATAAAAAAGGGCAAAGCTACAAAAAACCATTTTTGAAAATACCTTCTACTATTGCAGAAAATACCCTGACAAGAACAGAGCAAAGAACAACAACAAACTCCCATATATCAAAGCAGCTTTTTGACCAGAAGTGAGTGAATTTCCTCCAAGCCCAAATTGTTGGTTCTGTGCAAAACCAGCTATCTCCACACTCTTACTCTCAAAGAAACTCTTTGCAGCCCCACAAGTAGGACATCTCCAATCCTCAGGTAACTTATCAAATTGCAAGCCTGGTGGAATTGGATATGATGGGTCACCAACTGCTTCATCATACTTATAACCACATGACCTGCATTCGTAAATTCCAGTATTCAAAACTGCAAATTTCTCCTCCAGTCTCCTTTTATCAAATTTGGGTTCCTCTTCTTGAGGTGGTGATTCCAATGGCGTTGGAATACTCTGTTGATTTGAAGTGGGTCGTTTGTCTTCTTTAGAGACATCAATTGAGCGAATAGTGAAATGCGTTTGCGTTTTTGGGGTTTTATAAAGAGAGAGAAATGATGATTTGGAGAAATGGGTATTGGGTCTTGGATGAGAAAGGTGAAAAGAGAAGGTGGGTCTTGTAGTTGCAGAAGCCATTACTCGATGAATTTTTTTCAGGATTTAACGGCTTCTTCTGTTTTTAACTTCTTTTGCTGTATTAGTGATACGCTAAGAACATAAAATTCAAATGAGAAGTGCTTTTAAGCTGTGTTTGTGGTGATGATGAGTTTCTGGGTGGAGGAGAAATGAAGAGAATCCATTGAAGAGCATATACTGTTTGTGAAAGGGTGGGGGTGGATAAGGTAAGGAAATGCCAAAGATTGCATATCTATTTTGATTATGGGCTGGTTTTTTATTTTGGGCTTGGGTTTTTTAAGCCCAATAATGAACCTAATGAATTCATTTTTTTAATTAATTAATAATTATAGTATTAACTACTTAAGTTATATAAACACGCGCCAGAGTAAGAGCGTGGGTCTGAGCAGTTTCCCAACAAAACTCTTGGCCACCAAAAACCAGGCAGGCGGGCAAACCCACCCTTCGCCAAGTCCAACACAACACGCAAGGAAAAGGAGACCAACGAATCCTCGTGAACCCCTAACCCACCCGTCCTAACCTTAGCCCTTTAGCCCTCTCCCACCCAAAATTAACCGCCTTCTCTCTCCCTCTCTCTCTCTCTCTCTCTCTCTCTGACTTTTTTTTTTCCTTTCTTCCTCGTGTTATGGCATCCGGCCAGGACGACACCGTTTTTGACCACGACCTCGACGACGACGACGAATCCTCTCAGTCTCAAGATGACGACGACGATCTTGAAAACGACATGGTCGAAAACGATGATGTTCTAGCCGACGAGGAGGACGAAGAAGACCTCAACTCTGTTTCTCCTTCCACTTCTTCTCCTGCCGCCGTTCCTGTCGCCGTCCCCTCCGCCTCTGTCGTCACCATCGCTGTCCCTAACGGCTCTGACCCTCCCACTGGGTCGATGGATTCTGCACCTGATCCTAAGCGTCAACGCGTTGAAACGACGCTGGTTATTCAGCGGCCTGAAGAGAAAAAGCCGCAACCGCAGCAAATAGATGAATCAAGACGGCTTTTTCAACGGTTATGGACGGACGAAGATGAAATCGAGCTTCTCCAAGGGTTCCTTGATTATACGACGCAACGAGGAACCAATCACCACGACACCGCTTTGTTCTACGACCAAATCAAGTCAAAGCTCCAGCTTGATTTCAACAAGAACCAACTGGTTGAGAAATTACGCCGTTTGAAGAAGAAGTACCGTAACGTTCTCACCAAAATCAGCTCAGGTAAAGACTTCTCTTTCAAGAGCCCTCATGATCAGGCAACTTTTGAGATTTCGCGTAAGATCTGGAGCGCTACTGGTAAAATCGGTGTTGAAGATGGAAATTTAGATGATGAAGATGGAAACCCTAACCCTAACCTCCCTAATTTCAACGATGGTGAAATTAAAATTGAGGATCAAAAGTCCACGCCTAGGTCACGGAAAAGATCGCGTCCGCGGCCATCTACTGCTGCTGCAGCTGCTGCTGCCAGTGTTAAAGTTGAAGATAAACGCTTGCCAAACGAGGCATTTGTGACTAATGTTGACAATAACAATACCAATAACATCATTCATAATACTAATAATGTGAATGTTTCGAGTTTAATTGAAGAGACCATGAGGAGTTGCTTGTCCCCCTTGTTTAAGGAGTTAATGAGCAACTTAATGGTTGCAGGGCCATGTAGTGGGAGGGGAATTGGAGGATTGGCAATGAATGCCATGCCATTGAGTTTTGGAGGAGGAGAAATGATGATGGATGAGAAGTGGAGGAAGCAGCAGATATTGGAGTTGGAGGTCTACTCCAAACGATTGGAGTTGGTTCAGGACCAAATTAGATCACAATTAGAGGAGTTGCGGTCCATGGGTCGATAGTCATGACAGAATTTTGGAGTAAGTTTTTATCTCACAAAAATGTTTCCTTTGGTCATTCTGGGTAGGGGTTAACTGCAAATTTTTTTTTTTTTTTTTTTAATTTTTCTTTTTCTTTGAGGGTGGGTCCGGATGGGATCTTGTTGTTATCTTTGGTCCTTTTTCTTTTCTTTTTTTTTTTTTTTGGTTATTTGATATAACAGTTGTTGAATAATTGTTTTACTAATTTATTTATCAGTGAATAGTTTGTTCTACTTGTAGATTTGGCTTGATGCATAGATTGAAGTGACTCTTAGAATAAAGAAACAGCTTTTATCTTAATACAAGCTTTTTATTTTTTTATTTTGAAGCATTTATTTCATCTCAATATCATGTTTTTCTTTTTTGTTTTTGGGATCGCTTTCCTGTACTTGATTAAGAAAAAGTTTCCATCTTTAATTTAAATTTTATTGGTTTAAAGTTTCACGAGTTCATTAGTAGCAACGTGAATGGCATCAGTTCACTTATCATGGACGTATGGAACTTGTTGGTGATTAACCTGAGAAGAGTGGATGTTATTTATTTATTTATTTTATTATACCGGCTTAATGTGGTTGTAAACAGACAACCTGAGCCTGCAATAAGAAATTGGAAAGGGAGTTAATTGGGCGGCATGAGTTAGCGGGTCATATAGAAAAGCACCTTTTGGCTTCTTTTCTGGCTGCACTCTCCTTCATTGTCTGTGTTTTTTAGGTCCTTGTGATCTTGTTAAAATAGCAAGTGGAGGTTCTGGGTTAGGTGAGTTGGGTTATTGAACTGCAAATTCCAAATTTGCTGGGCTGTGTTCTTCAGTGCATATTCTCGCTGATCATTTGTAAGATTTGGACAGAAGCATGTGCTTGTTATTTATCATATGCAAATTCTTTACTGATAAATCTCTTGGGTCATGGCTAGGTTTTGAATCTAAATCATCTCTCATCTCTCCTTTTGACCCTTTATGTAGCTTAGTCTGGCACATAATTTGGATTTTGCTAGACTAGAACTTGTATTTTTCATGTTGGCCTGCTACGTCTTATGCTTTGTAATATCTCATGTTATTTTTGTTGCTTCTACCTTCGGCTCTTTGGCCCTATCTTTGATATGCAGAACTTACCTTGCGTAAGATAAATTTGTGATTTTTTTGGGAATGGAATTAGACACATGATGTGGGAGTTAAATTCAAAAGTCTGACTGTTTTGAAGATAGAAACAGAACCTATGTATGTGTTATCAGTGCTGGCTTTTGTAAGCTGAGTTCTGAGCATGGTCTCTAACTCGCTCGCGGAATCGTACAGGAAGTTATTTTCAGGCATTTGGGTAAAAAATATGATAAAGTTACTGTCTCGCATGGATCCCAGAATCAGTGCTATCAATCAAAGGATACTATGAAATTTTGCTCATTGTTTATAAGCTACCAAATGGAAACTGGGGTGTGTGAACTTCAAGTTCAAGTCCCAAGATAAGCAGACTCTTGGAATGAAACAAATGACCTTCGGAATTCGGACCAGAAAGGTGAAATCTGAACTGAGCTATGTATGATTCATGATGTTGAAGTAGATGAAAGAAGGGTGCAGTAAATCACTTTTGATATTTGTGAATAAGATTGAGGTACTCTCCTGATGGAACTTGGAGGAATGCATGAATTCATTTTCTTACGACTCGTTGAATACTCTTACAAGATTACATTTGTTAAACATTTTAATTAAAAAATTATTTTATTAAATATTTGAATTTCTAGACAGTTAAAAGAAATGTAAAATTCACAAATTATTTTAATTATAAATCAAAATAATATTTTGCGTCTCTTAAAATTGTTGCGTGGAAAGAGGTAACAAAAAATTATAATATTAGAGATATGAGCCAATCAATTGGAAATCATTATATCCACATAGTTGGGAATGGGATGATTTCTAGATAAATTTAGTTTTTAAACTTGAAAATTCTTCAAATATTTGGATGATAATTAAGTAGCCACCATATGAAATTCAAAATTGAGAGATCTTATCAATAAAAATCACCACATGGAATCTAATGTTTGATGATATCTTTTTTTTTTTTTTTTTTTTTTTTTTTTTTTTTTGTTAACATTTTAATTAAAAAAAATTATTTTATTAACTATTTGAATTTTAGACAGTTTAAACAGAAATGCTAAATTCACAATTATTCTTACATTTCAAATCAAAATGAATATTTTGCGTCTGCTTAAAATTGATTGCGTGGAAAGACGTAACAAATTTATACATATTAGAGATATGAGAATCATGGCAATCCATTATACTCCAATAGTTGGGAATGGCATGATTCGTAGATAAATTTAGGTTTTTTAAACTTGAAAATTCCTTCAAATATTTGGCATTGATACTTAAGCTGCCACCATATTGAATTCCAAAATTTTGAGCAGTCTTATACAATAAACAATCCACCAACATGGAATCTAATGTTTGCAGGTATTTTTTTTTTTTGTTTTTTTTTTTTTCTTTTGTATGTTACGAATATGATTAATTAAAATGTTTTAAAGAGATTCACCCCAAAGAATCGTTTTTTTTTTTTTTTTTTTTTTTTTTTTTTTTTTGTGTTACGAATATGATTAATAAAAATGTTTAAAAGAGATTCACCCCAAAGAATCTTATTAGGGGCTATTGTAGTTGCAGCATTTAATTCCATGGTTGAAAAGAATGCTGTCTTAACAAACACCAGAAGTCAACTATAGTTAACATCTAAATTGCTGTCTTTAAGTATATAAATATTAATTAAATTATAATTTAATCTAATTAAAGTTAAGTCTATATATCACTTAGTTAAAAATTCAAGTTAAATATATAATTCGCCAGTAGTTATTGTATTTTTTTAATAATTCGTAATTTCTATAAAGCTTTAGTTCTAATTTTTACCATCATAAAACTGTTTATGTATATTGGTGAATTTTTAATAATTAAACTGAATTATTTATATCAATATTTTATTTGTTATAAAAATTAGATATCCTTTATTCTAAAAAAAATATAATGCGTTGATATAAAAAAATAAAACTATTTATAGGTGAACCAATATCACAATGTTATGTAATAAAAATAATTAAATGATTAATTAACAGTGGGTCAATCATCTATTTCCCTATTCAATAATAGAAATTTCGTAAATTCTTAAATTTTTTATAGAAAAGACTGACCCGGATGTGGAGAGTAGATGCTGAAATGGCATAATCTCAATGGATTATACAACACGTCCTCTCTGAAATAGTGACGTGGCCATTTTTTACGACGTCCGACATGTATGTATATATGAATTATTATTATAAATTAATAGCACTAATTAACAGATAAAACTAGTCTGTCACCAATTCCAAACTTAAACTTGGACGAAAATCCATTGTTAGATTCATTTTTCCGTTCTCACACATCAAATTTTGTTCGAAAAAGAACTCGACAGAACTCACTCTCTCCCTCTTTTCTCTGTTAAAACGTCAAAAGACCCGCCTTTCTCATAATCTCTATTTCTTTGTCGTCGAGACCAACCTTGGATCTTCCTCTGATCCCCAAAACCCTGATTTGTAGTTCGTTTTAAATCTGTCCAAAACCCTAATCACAGTTCTACCAGATCCAATTACCCATTCATTGATCGATCCAATCCGCTCTGATCCTGGTACTGCTGCTTGTTTATTTATTTGTTTTTTTCAGATTTGTGATTGATGGATTCAGCTACTTCGCAATTTAATTTGGCTATATTCATATCTTGAATATGTGAATTTTGGTTGAATTGCTTTTGATTTACAGTTATGTATTTTTTTTTTCTTTTGATGTCTACATTTACAGTTGATCCTGTTCAATGGATAGTTTTGAATGAACAATTTTTCTTCCTATAATTGTTGAGATAAAAAGTTGAGAGATTTTACGTTGGTTTGGATAATTGAACATGGCAGCTTCTGTGCCTCCAGGGGCACCTAGGCAACAAACACCCCCGCCTAATTATAACCCTAATTATCAGCAGAATCCCAATGCATTATCTGATAATTTGCAGAATCTGAACCTCAACCGGCCTCCCTCGATGCCCAATTCAGCTCCTAGGCCGTTACCATTTGGTCAACCACCATCATTTCCTTCCTCCGCCCCTGCGCCATCATTCTCCCGCCCAGGCCCACCACCTCCTGGTGCAGCTCCTAGACCCTCGGTGCCTCCCTCAGGGTCCCCACCACCTACATTACCCTCAAACGTAGGTCTAGGTAGACCCACTGTGCCACCTTTTAGCCAGCCTTCACCTTTTGGTTCCAGACCACCTCCTGGGTCATTTGGCCTTTCTTCTGGGGTACCATCTCAAGCATCACTGGCACCATCTCTGGGTGCTCGTCCAAGTCCTACTGCATCTTCTGCTGCACCATTGTCTGTGCCCCTCTCAAGTCCATCAGGTGGTTTAGTCAGTAACGGGCCAGCTGCACCACCTTTCAATGCCGGACCAAGGTTTCCTCTAGCCAGCAGTTCACCACAGCAACCACCAATGGGCCCTCCACCAACCATGGGGGTAGCTCGGGCACCTTCCCTGGTGCCAAGCCTGCGCCCCTTGACGGGAAGTTCTGGGATCGGTGCTCAACAGGTACCTCCATTTTCAGCACCACCTCAAGGGACGCCATTATCTTCAGCACCACTTCAAGGGACTCCATTTTCAGCACCACTTCAAGGGACTCCATTTTCAGCACCACCTCAAGTTGCTCCATTCTCTGCACCACCTCAAGGGGTAGCACCGCCAATGGGTTTTCCTTATGGACAACAGACTCAAGCACAGTCAGTAAGTCTTAAAAAATTATACTATGCATTGTTTGAAACTATGCTACATGCTGTAGTTATTGCACCTCTTTAGGAATTCCCACTTGCTCAAAGTTTGAATGGGAGAGTTATTTTGGCACTTTCCATAAGATGAACTCATTACATCGAAGTGGGATCTAGTCTTTATTTGACTTGGAATTTTCTGATGCAAACACAACAAGGGAACCTTTTCCTTTGCTTCAGTGTAGAAATTTGTTAACCTTGTAAAGAAGTTCTAAAGAGTCTTGCATGAGAATTCATATACATTTCTTCAATATTCAATTGAAGTTTCTGGAGTCTGAATTTTGTGGATTCTTTCAGGTGGCTCCGCCTCCACAAATTCCTGGTTCACAACCTCCTAGAATGTATGGAATGCCACCGCCACTACCAAATCAAATGACTGCTATATCGCCAGTTGTTGGACAAACGGGAGGTTCTTTGGCAGGATCATCAAAAATCGATCCCAATCAAATTCCACGGCCCATTCCAGGTTCTGCTGTGCTTCTGCATGACACTCGTCAAGGCAATCAAGCTAACCCGCCTCCGGTATTTAGTCCTGCATGAATTTTCATTCTTTTATCATCTTCCACACTCACTTTCAGTTTTTCATATCTCAACAAATTTTTATTGTTTCCTCTTATTATTATTATTATTATTTGTGTATTGTAAAGCCTGCTACTAGTGATTACATTGTTAGAGACACAGGGAATTGCAGTCCGCGCTACATGAGGTGCACAATCAATCAGGTTACAGTAAACATTTAAAATACCTCAGTTTCTGTAGTTAATTTTGTTATAAACTGTTAGATCTCTCATATAGGCAGTTAGTTGTTTTTCTTTATTATTAATATCATTATTGATCAGTTTCTTCATCAAATTTTCAGATTCCATGCACTGTTGATCTTTTGACAACATCCGGCATGCAGCTGGCTTTGTTGGTTCAACCTTTGGCTCTTCCTCACCCATCTGAGGAGCCCATCCAGGTCTTGATGATTTATTTTCTCTATCTCTCCTCGTATTTATTTACTTTATTGACTCTCATAAAGCTCTAAACTTTTTCTTTCAGAAAAGCCTTAGCAGTTATTCATTACAGTTTCTGTTGATTGCTTATCCAATGAAAAAATTTCTGATTTTATTTTTCATAAAACTTTTGTGGCTGTAGCTGGTGGATTTTGGAGAAAGTGGTCCTGTCCGTTGTTCGCGTTGCAAGGGTTATATAAATCCTTTCATGAAATTCATTGATCAAGGAAGGCGGTTTATCTGTAACTTGTGTGGTCAGTGTACTTTGTCATTTATTATTACGTTGTTTATTTGGAATTTTTTGCAGTGTTAACCATTGTGAATTGGATGGGTAAGGGGCACTATGCTTATTAGGATTGAATGTAATCTTCACCTTTGTGGATCTCTGCCTGATCACAGTGGTTAGGATTACCAAAAAATTGCTTTTTCATATTTATGATTTATATGCAGGATTCATTATTGCTGGAAATTATGAGTGATGCTTGCTTCATTTGTGAGAAACTTTTTTTGTCCATGACTTTCACATCAGAGTGATTTTAGATGAGCTACCTTTGAGTTAAATTTATGGTCTTGTATGAGCTTTGTTGATTATATTTATTCATGGTTCTATATATTTTCTGATGGTTTATGTTGCTTCTTCAAACATATGCCATTGAGCATTATGTTGATTTCAATGGCTTGCCAGTTTCTTGTCTTATGTTCACTAAATATGTTGGAAAGACAATGAATGTACAGTTTTTGGCATATCTGGTAGGATTTACGGATGAGACACCCCGTGATTACCACTGCAATCTGGGACCAGATGGTAGGCGCAGAGATGCTGATGAAAGGCCTGAGCTATGCAGGGGAACAGTTGAATTTGTTGCCACAAAAGAATATATGGTTTGCTACGTTATAGGATCTGCTATGTTTATTGAAAAACCATTGTTCTCCATACCTTTCTTTATCTTTCTGTTGGATTCTTGATGAAAAAATTCGGTGTATTCTACCTATTCGTCTTGTAAGTTGTTTATGGTACAGTAGAGATAATGACTGTTTGCTTTATTTACCACATTCCAGGTGCGTGATCCCATGCCAGCTGTGTATTTCTTCCTTATTGATGTTTCCATGAATGCCATACAAACTGGTGCAACTGCTGCAGCTTGTAGTTCAATCAATCAAGTTATTGCTGATCTTCCAGTGAGTTTTATGTATATTTCTTTCAGGACTTTGTAGCATGTAACGGTGTGTATTAGACTGTTATGAACTGCATCCTTTCTTGGAATCTTGATGGACTCACTGGTACTATTATCATGTGGAGTGTTACTATTTTTAATTGCTATCTCCAACTCACTAACCTGCCATTCACTTGTCCATGCTCTGTTGCTTTTTATTTAAGTGTGGAGAATTTACTTCTACTTCTATTTCTGGGCCATATAAATTTGCGAAGGAGATTGCTATTGTATATATTGATTATTAATGAATTTGTCATTGCAGGAAGGACCTAGGACAATGGTGGGAGTTGCAACATTCGATTCTACAATCCATTTTTACAATTTGAAACGCGCATTACAGCAGGTATCTTCCTTTGCAGAATTTAATTCCAGTTGGTTGAAAACTATCATCCATATAGAGTAATGATCAAAGAGAACAATGGAAGTAAATGTTTTCTTTTCGTCCGAATAGTGAATTTCTGTTATTGGGGTTTCGCATCACTTTTGGTGCTTACAAGTATAACAGTCTACTTAGTGCTTTGGTCGAAAATTATTTTTTCAAAAAGCACCATTTTAGATGCTGTCGTGAACCACATATTCAAGCTGCTGCTCAGTTGTTTTAAAGTTTTTATGACTTAAATGTTCCAAATTTACCTTTAAAACAGTTTTTAATATCCTCTAATGGCATATTCAATGCAATGCTTCTTAGCAACACCTCCTACACAATTCTAATATACCTGACATTTTGAGATGCATTTGCTTGTTTCGAATGAGCTATGATATTTCTATTTTACCTTTTTGCTTCGTAGTATTTGATTCTGATGTGTAAGTTCTAGTTCTATTATATACTCTTTTGGCATGATGTCTCAAAAAGAAAAAATTAAGGATGAGCATTATCATAATATTCAGCTAACCATCTAGGCTACATGACAATTTACACAAAGAATGAAGATCATAATTGCCATTAATTCAAAAAATGGAGGTGTATTTTCATAATTATGCCATCATCTTTCTATATATTAAATGTGAGTTTAGAAACTAATTTGACTTTGGCTCATGTTTACAGCCATTGATGCTTATCGTTCCTGATATACAAGATGTTTACACTCCTCTGCAAACTGATGTTATTGTTCCACTTTCTGAGGTTAGATATCTAATTCTTGTGCATTTTATTATTATGGCTAACCTCTTGATGTTGGTGAGACATTATTTGTACAACTACTCATTGCTTACAGGTTAAATTGTTTTGAGGAGTTCACAGTTTTCTTTAATAATTTATGTTTATATGTGAATTTAGTGCCGACAACATTTAGAGCTATTACTGGAAAGCATTCCGAGCATGTTTCAGAATAGTAGAACAGCTGAATCAGCCTTTGGTGCTGCAATCAAGGTATGCTGTCCTTATGAGGCAACTGCACTTCTAAGTAGCTCTTTATGCATTATATTATAGTTAAAAGCCCAAGGCATGTGTGCCATGTGACCATGGTGAGCCTGTACCTTGCTTTGGATTGTAATAATACATGTGTCTATTACACTTAACAGAATGCAACCCTATCCCATCTGCTACAAGTCTCAAACATCATGTCCATGCATGCTGTCACATGATGGTGTGGAGGACATCTAATAATACTTTTCTGGTATGTTATGCATTTGGCTGGATAAGCAGGAAAATAGAAGAAAAGGAAAAGGAAAAGGAAATTGTCAATGTCAATAACATTGGTGAAGGAAGCTATATTAGTAACTTGAAAATAGTTGTCCAATCCAATAAATTCAATTCTTCTTTCAATAAATTTAGAGAAGGCAACTGAACAATTGTTTAAGAACTTGAATGGTTAGAGTGCATGTTTCTCAACAACTTGCATCTGATGGAAGATACTTGTGATCTGAGAACACGTGGTGTTACTGGGTTAGCATGATCTGTTCAGAATAGATTGAGCATCGGTATACATGTATGTCCCCATTCATAGAGCAGAGTCATAAAAGATTATCGGGAATCATTTGGTGTTCTTGCCATGCTTGCTTTTGTGCACACATGACCACACTCATTTACTAAATGTGCTGATACATATTTTGCTAAGTAAATTGTATTCCAATGTAACATTTCATGTTCTTGTTTTTTAAGATCTGATTTTTATTATGTTTTTTTCTATTGGGGCAAAACCTAACTGATTCAAAGTGATAAATAAATTGGATGCGTGCTACTTAGTATATTTGGTGCTTTCAAATAAAGGTCCAGTATATAGATGCATTTCTTCTGTGCTTTTTGACTGGGGCTTTGGTGTGTAGATTTCAGCATGGATTCAAATTCTTAAAATGTTATAAAATGTTCTTACTCTTTCCAGGCAGTTTTCTTGGCAATGAAGAGCATTGGAGGAAAACTTTTGGTATTTCAATCAGGCAAAGCTCAAAACCTCATTTCTTTCTTTGGTTTTTACCTATTTAAATGAATGATTTCTTTCTACATATTTTCTTTCGTGTTGGAGTGTGCAATCAGTTATATTAATCCTCTTTATTTTTCTTCATTTATGCACTTATGATGCTTTGAGGTTCAGATCTTATTATTGTAGTTTTGGTTAGATGTGCGAAATAAGTAATGCAGTGTTACAATAAACATCAAAACTGAATTTGTTTGTGTCTACAATCTCAAGGAATTGTTGGTTTGTTCCTGTATGCAATTTGATTATCCTTACAGCCATAAAGAACGGTGAATAGTATTATGCCAAAGAAAATGTGAAGCAAAAAAGTGAGAGAAAAAAAAAATCAATTTCAATTGAATCCAAGAGTTCTAGGATTCGGACTGAATTTGAACTTAATCAAAGCATAGCCTAACTATTGGCCTCCCCATATACAATTAGCTACAGCTTGTGAAATTGGGTGCACATTTTCTGTGTGAATTTTGTGTATAAATGTGCGCACCCGTGTCTATATTTGGCATCTTTGGACCTGTATGAATTGTGCGCGCGCGCGTGCATGTGTATATATATATATATATATATATATAATCAAAGGCATAGCCTAAACTATTGCTCCCCATATACAATTAGCTACAGCTTTGGTGAAATTGGGTGCACATTTTTCTGTGTGTTTGTGTTTATGAAATGCGCCACCCGTGTCTATATTTGGCATCTTTGGACCTGTAGATTGTAGGCGCGCGCGCGTGGCATGTGTTATTATAATATATATATATATTATATATATATACATATTGTTGTTTTCTTATATATATATATATATATATACATATGTTGTTTTCTGGATATTGCTTTTTGTTTTTAACGTGGTTTTATAAAATCTGAAATTTTGCTTGATATTATGGGTTTGCGGCTTTTTTGTTATCCTTGGAACCTATGCAAATATTGAATGGAATTAATCAATTAATCTAGTAGAGAATTCTGATTATTTTACTTTGGTTTCAGTGTTGCCGTCGGTTGGCATCAGTGCTCTTTCTGCCAGAGAGGCTGAGGGAAGGAGTAACGTGTCTGCTGGGGAGAAGGTAAAAAAACTCTTAAATATATTCTGCAACCTGCTCTTGGAGTTCTGCTTTTGTTCTTGGTTATGTGCAGTATAAATTTGCCTATTTGACAATGGTGTTTGGTATCAAATATTTTCTTCTGTAGGAGGCCCACAAATTACTTCAACCAGCAGACAAAACGTTGAAAGAAATGGCAATTGAATTTGCCGAGTATCAGGTAGTCTATTTAATCATTTTTTCCATTTTGTTTAAATGGTCATAATCAAGATGTGGATAAGTTATGGCAGGTATTATTGCCTGTTTGCTTGATTATACTAGTCTTATATTCTATTTGTTTCTGGTACATATTTCAGGTCTGCGTTGATGTATTTATCACTACCCAGACATACGTGGACATTGCATCTATCTCTGTCATCCCAAAAACTACTGGAGGACAGGTATTAATTAATATAGATTGTTGTCTGCAGAGGTACATTTATACAGGAATATCAACTCCTAGCCCTGGAAGTGCGAATCCTGTGTTTTTAGTCATAACTGCTACAATGAAGATGACATAGAAATTAGTGTATATATTTTTGCACCTAAGTTATAGGTAGTAAGCCTTGGGACACAAGTGCAACAGTGCTGAACTGCTCCTGGATGTGCACAAATTTAAATTAACTTTTAAGATATTGAAAGGACATGATGACCAATAAATCATGGTCATTTATTCAATTTTGGCCACTCCTGTACAGGTTATCAGTGGTGGCTATGAACGTCAAAGTAATTCTACTATTAGTAACCATTGAGCAGTTTCTCTCTCTCTCTCTCTCTCTCTCTCTCTCTCTAAAGAATTAGAATTTTCACACTTCCTCTCTGCTATAAGCCAATAACAATGAGCAAAGAGATATCTTAACATACAGAGAGAAATTGACTAGAAACTAGTCCTTGAGAAAAATTGGTTGGTGGTCACAGTTCGTTCATTTATTGGAAGTTAGGGTATTTTAATAATATTAAATAAGTGCCAAAAATAATAACACCTATGTGATCTTATCGGTCAGTAGCCGTATTAAACAAATCTTAGCATTTTTCTTTTTAGTTTCATTATGTTATGGTAATTCGCCTGTGAACGCAAGCATTTTAGTATATATGAAATTCTGGATAAATCTAATCTGTTATGATTAATGTCTTCTATTGTTCCCATTGGTGGTCAAGGACTCATGGCACCGTTTCTGAATGATTTTCTTAGACACTCACTTTCGTCTGAGTTACTGAACACATTTACTCTTGCTAGTTCCTCATTGTGATACTTCGTTCTATGTTGTATAACTATGAAGAATATTACCAGTTTATCCTCATTATTAATGTATCTTTGCTTGGACATATGTTTTCAACCTTTACAATGTTCTTGCATTTGCAATTAACACGGCACTACCATCTAAATGTTAAATAGAATAAATTTGGACCACTGGTTGTATCTTGTCTATGAAACTCTATCCTTATGCGATATGGGTTCTAAGCTTCTTCTTTGGAAGTTGGCTTATTCCAAGTTTGACTTTAAATCTATTGCACTATCTTCCAGGTTTATTATTATTATCCTTTCTCAGCGCTTTCTGATCCTGCAAAGCTTTACAATGATCTTAGATGGAATGTCACAAGGCCTCAAGGATTTGAGGCAGTGATGCGTGTGAGATGCAGCCAGGTAATCCTTGTTCGGGTACTGGATATATTGTTCTTTTTTATAAATTGACTGCTTCACATATTTTTAAAAGCTTGCAGAATTCTTGTTATTTGACAAGGCTCATTGCTTTGTAGGGTATTCAAGTTCAACAATACTATGGAAACTTTTGTAAGCGGATTCCAACTGATGTTGATCTACCTGGGGTCTGTATTCTTTTCACAAAATAAATGAGTTTATTTTGTTGCTTGCTGATGGTTAAACTTGAGTTTCATTGTGGAGATAGTTGTTGAAGTCTATTAGTGAGGCTGAGAGTATTCAATTGCAGCTGATAGTGCTGGTTTGTGAGGCTCCCATAGTTATCTTCTGTTGTGATTTCATAATTTCTTTGTTCTTTTGGATTTTCGAATCAAAGAAAAAATAATTATAATTATATTCATAATACATCGTGCTTGAACCTGAAAAGCAGCCAGAAATTTCTCTCCCTTACATGCTATTAGGTGGGTAGAAGTATCTTTTGGAAATTTCTTTTTTTATTTTGATCTCTTTGAAAGCTGATTGATCACTTATATGCTATTTTACTATGGTTCTAGTTGTTCTGGTTTCTTTTCCTAATTGGTTTTGGTTTCTTTTAATTTAGTTATTTAGCAAATGTGTTATGTTATTACTTCTAATTTGCCTTCCCTGTTAAATCATCCTTTGCAGATTGATTGTGATAAAACTATAATGGTGACATTGAAACATGATGACAAGTTGCAGGATGGCTCAGAGTGTGCCTTTCAGGTTTATCATATTTCTTGCATCTGTTATTGTTTCAATCCTTGTGCCTCTCATTTGCTAATAAACTGCTCTCTGTTTTCAAATTGGAGCACTGATTCTCTAATTGTAGCAATTGCAATTATGTGCTCTTCAAATGATTTCCTTTCCTACTTAATCAAGCAGCAATTTACAACAATGGAAGTCTGGTTTTAATCGCTGCAATTAGAAAATTGAGATTCTGTTGTTACAATGGTTAATTTGAAGGGTCCATTATAATTTTATCATAGAGACCATCATTCTCTCATCTTTCTGTTTGTACTGTTTGCTTCATTGTTCAGTGTGCCCTTCTCTACACTACGGTGTATGGCCAAAGAAGAATTCGTGTTACAACTTTATCACTACCATGCACAAATAATTTAAGTAATTTGTTCCGCATGGCTGACTTGGACACTCAATTTGTATGCTTCTTAAAGCAAGGTATGTATCAGGCCTTGT